TTTAGAGTAGGTATATATATCGTTTTAAATTTTAACCATCGAATTTCAACTAAAACAACGGCCAATTTCGACGATAAAGACTAAAATTCGACGAGTGGGATAACAGCTTCTTTACCATAAAATCATACCGTCAGAGATCTATCACTCGATCTATCGTCAGAATGGCCGTCGATTGAAGCGGTACCGTACATCAATATTATTATTTTATATAGATTGATTTGTTCAGACGACGGCATAAGGCCGAAAGAGAGTCGCTTCTAGTCACGGGCCAATTCAAAGCACAACGGAAATAGGAATAGCTGCTGTTGAGCGATGATGCAAGTCATGACTCGGAATTTCAGATACATTGAATATCAAACAAACGCAAACTAACGATAGACTAATGCGATGAAAACGTCAATGAAAGGATGGGCAGATGGTCTGAAGGGCGGACGGTGAGAAGTCGCCATTGCATGCGAACCCTGCTAGCGTTGAGTTTCATATAATACATAGTGAAAACACAACTTTGACGACACTCGACACACCATCGAAATATATGCGGTCCGGCGACGTCAGTCTAATTTGTGTGTTAGACGTGGAATATAATAATTGCGTGTCACGACGAGATACAATATCGACCGTCTTCGTCTGGGTATCGCTGTCGGGCTACTAATCTAGACAGACATTGGCAGTAGCTTATTTTGTTGATCTCACAATATGTGGAGATGGACAAAATGATGGACACGGAGTCGATTGGATAGTTGAGAAACAATATCTACTAAACAACACACATTTCTGCCCACAGAACTTAAACGGGTCGTGCATAGTGACAGGAGCGCGGTTTTTGGTTTGGATCACATCAACCGAATCTTTCGTCGGCCTTAATTTCCTCTGCGTAACTTAAGTTAAGTACACGGAGACCCGAGAGCTTTTGTATAGTTTCGTCTCGAGATACTTACTGTATAATTAATTCCCTTGGCCTCGTCGTTATCAACTAAGTTTACAGCTGGATTTTAAAGAGAGATGCTATTCCCTATGAGTAACTATCAATTAGTCATCTCGCGTTGTCTTTTCTCGTCTATAAACTTCAGTAAATGTCTGGCGCAAGATACATAGTAATTGTGTAAGCTGAAGATTAGTAGGCCACATGGAGTTGAGAAAATGTTTGCAATAATGATAGCAAATGGATTTTTTTATTTTAAGATCAAAAATCGATAACGCTCATAAATCTACAAAAGTCGTCGCTTTTGCTCAGTTATTGGATTACCTCGCAGCTGATATAAGTAATAGTTTTAAAAACCGTCAAATTCTATTATTAGCGTGACCTATATTTATATACTAATACAATGTTATTTGTTCAACATGAGTTTACTCGAACTGTAAGAGTAATTATGTTTTCCACGTTACTAGTAAACGTTATGTAACTAAACGACACAGATTTGAGCATTACAATATGAGAATAACTATTACAATAAATTATATCTAATCCATACAAATGTTATGAGATTAACGTTTGAGATACCTCAGAATTACTTTTTTTATGATGCTATATTTAAAATATTAAAGTGTAAGTAATTTTTAAACTGCACGTTTAAGATAATACACATAAAATATTTATAATCATAAGTATAATAATTCAGTACAGTACATGTATGATGTAAACATGCAAAGTGTGCATTAAAAGCATCTTGATTTAATTCTAACCATATAATGATTATTTTCACTGAATTTAACAAACCAAGAAATAAATTCGGAATAAAATTCCAGGCAAAATCCACATTTTACTTCTAAACTAAGAAAAATGCAACTGTTTTTTAAATAAGTAATTTACACAGTTAAAAAGATAAAACATTGTTTTTTTTAACTGTACATATTAATTTACTTACCTAGAATTTATATTTTAGTTTCAGGGTAATGTGTAATTTTTTTTTCGAAACTTAATGTGGGCCGCTGTGGTAATAACGTAAAAAAACCCACACTAATAGCAGTAAATGCCACTTCCATTTGCAATAATAGCATTTATTACTGCAAAATATAAAAATATATTTTATCAAAACTAAATTCGTAGTTAGTTAAAGCATAATAATAAAAACAAATTTAAAAACCTAATTTTAATTAAATAAAAGATTCAATGGGTAACCTAATTTTAATTTGTAATGCTAAAGCTAAATATTACATATTACATCTACATAAAGCTCACATAATATTATAATCACAATTTTTTCAAACAAATAAAATACTATGTGTACAACTGGTCCACGTCTATTATATTTATTCTAAAATTTCATTTTTTAATATTTTCCGTTTGGCTTGTCCAAATGTGAAAAAAAAAAAAACATTAGGTGTCTGTCGTTTGCCGTTGTTTACAACACGCATCAATCTTTCGATTACACAACAATTTATTCATTTTTTTTTTTCTGGAAATATCTGGTTAAAGTTAACTTTTCTTTCGAGTTAAAAACGATACAACGTACTACTCGAGTATCGACTTTATTTTTAAGACTAATAAGTGTTCCGTTAAAAAACGTTCTACGGTGCTCAAAAAATATAATCATCAGTTCGGCGGTTAAAAACGAAATGCAATGTATATTTTATTTCCGTACAAACATTTCTTACTGGCAATTCAAAACCCACATAAATTACACGAGATCTCAAACGAAAAGCCATAACAATGTGTATCGCTTGGTTTTTTTCTCTATAGGGGCACGCCCATCCCTCGGCCCCTCTCCCGCAACCACGCCGCATTCCCATCTGTAACCGCATTGAATATAATGTTTGATTTAGTTCGCATACATGTATGTGTGTGTGTGTAGTATGTATATGTATTCATACACGGCCATTGAAAGAACATTGCTGTTGCCGGTATAATATTGTCGGCATCCCCTTAAGATTGGAACGCGTCGACTCCGGTGGATCTACTCTGTACGATTTAATGCACATCACTATCTGTGTTTAGACCATGGTGTACACAATTAAACAGCGGTTTCCAAAACGAATAGTTCCGAAACCCAATAAAGGTTTTAGATCCCGGGGGCTTTTACGACTTGTAAAAACTGCTTTTATATTTTCAATTTAGTTATTTTTTTTTTTTCATCCCCCGATTGTAAATTAATTCCAAAATCTCTCCGACGCGCCCGTCGGTAAAAACAAGAGTTTTCGAAGCCAAACGAGATTTACTATTTTATTGGTCCGCCTTACAGACCCCGATCGGGGCTTATAAACCCATAAGACCGTTCAGTTCATTCGGACTTAAGATTCTAAAAACGTGCAAAAGTTTCTACCAACAACTTTGTCACGCTACGCGCCACAGGACAATTTATTGTTTTATCCGTGGGATAAAAATTGTTTTGTTTCTTTAGAGAAAAATTAAATAATTTTTAGCCGGCAAAAAAGTGGAAATAAAATATATTTTTTACAGTATTCAAGGCTTCATAAGCTTTTATCGTTTCGCAACTAGGATATCATTTATCTAAAAATAATACCTTTCTGTCGACAACCCGTTTTTTTTTTCAACGTTTTGACTCGTAGCTTTACCGTTTTGTAATTGGTTTTGTTTCATCTTAAAACACATTCAACTAATAGATTGATTCACAAAGCTATAATAACAATACAAATTCAAAAATGTTTATTTCAACGTTACCTACTTATCTTAATAAATTTATTTCCGAATATTTTTTTGTAAAGTGGAATAACGCTTTTAAACTATTACATTAAACAAGTATTTTATATGCACGCTTATGGTAAATTATTAACTTGACCTTTAAGCAATAATTTTTTAACAAGTTTCGAGCGGATTAATTATATAGTTTTTAATGGGATTTTCGGCAAACTTTTTCATTTTTCCTCAGGTTAGCGCGAAATTACTACAGTTAATTATTAAAACGATATCACAAAAAAAAAAAAGAGAAAAACTAAAATTTCTCGTTGCCAAATGTTATAACAAAGTTACCTCCTTGCAACAAATCACTCTTTTGTGCTGAGAAAATCTCGCACCATAGGGTGTAATATTACGGGCTATGGCATGTGAAACTTTTTTTTTATACTTTAAGATATTCGTTAAAACATTACTGAAATTACGCTCATCCTTACAACTCTTGTCCGTCTACTCAGTCGCGCCAATGGTATTTCTACATCCGCAAATACTCGAGGAATAGCAAAACAAAAAATAACTGTATCCGTTTTCTCAGTTTAACTTATTTTTAATTACACGAGAAACATATTTTAGGCTCTCCGGTTTATGCAGTTCCTGACTATGAAATAAGTTACCCCTCGCGGGTAATCATCCGTGATTATCATCTATAGTACCAAATTCACTGACAAGCTCTGCAGTTCCAGCTAAACTAATCATAGCACTTTGTGTTTAACTGTCGATGTGTATAGATTAATTTTGGTAATAAAAAAAAAAATATCCATTGGCATAATCATATGCAACTGTAGCTATAGGGACCGGATATTTAATGAACTAAATATTTGCCGATTTTCGTTATATTTAATTGTTTCGGCGAAATTAATCGAAGGGACTTATTTAAGGGAGAAAAATGATCTTAACGTTTTTTCCCTCTCGCCTAATATATAATTATTTTTGGTAATAATCGAACCAACGCTGAATCACTAGGTTCTTAGTGTTGGTTTTAATCTATTGACTTTTTTTTCAATTATTACTAAAAATATCATAATGAGCTTGCCATCGCATTTTCCACCGAGAAGCCGTGTGTACCTGCATAATTTATGTTGTTTCTTATTGTTGAGAAAATATATTGTTCCTGTTAGTTTTGTGTTTACCTGTATGCGAATCCTTTGTATTTATTCTTACTCCAACTAAACGTTAATGAAAATCCACCAGCTATGTCAATTATAGGTATTATTCCTACATTGTATAATACTATAATCATATTTTATCTTTATTAATAAATATCGATTGTATTTATAGCTACCCAATGTACACATTTAATTTATATTGATATGACTGTATTTTTTTTGTCACAGTTAATCTGACCTCCGCGTTTGTATTTCTGTTGCAGGACGGCCAGTGCACAATGTGAACGTTGACTGCCGTGTCTATCCACTGTTGTAGCGGCAGCGTCACAGGCCAACGCGACCTCGAGGCCCCACGCACGTCTGCGGTAGCTGCTGTCGACCGGAATGGAATACTCGAACATCGTACAGATAGCGGCCGGTTGGTCGGCTATCGAGTCGGGCGTCCACAACGGCACGCTGGGCGGCGGCGGCGGCGGCGGCGGTGGGTACAACAGCACCGGGGCCGACAATGAGACGTCCTGCGACGACACGTCCGACCACGAGTCGTCGTTGTACCTGATATCGAAAATCCTGTACATATTCGTGTGTATCATCGGGATGTTGGGCAACACGCTGGTCATCTATGTGGTGGTCAGGTTCTCTAAAATGCAGACGGTGACCAACATGTACATAGTGAACTTGGCCATCGCCGACGAGTGTTTCCTGATCGGCATACCGTTCCTGATCGTCACCATGTCGATGGAGTTCTGGCCGTTCGGCAACGTCATGTGCAAGGTGTACATGACCACCACCAGCGTCAACCAGTTCACCAGCAGCATATTCCTGATGATCATGAGCGCCGACCGGTACATAGCCATATGCCATCCCATATCGTCGTCCAAGGTGCGCACCGCGTACGTGTCGAAAATCGTGTCGGTCACCGCGTGGACGTTCAGCATCATACTCATGATACCGGTGATCATGTACGCCAACACGATGGACAAAGGCAACGTGATGAGCTGCAACATCATTTGGCCCGAGAACGACTTCTTCAGCGGCCAGACGGCGTTCACGCTTTACTCATTTGTGCTGGGCTTCGCCATACCGCTCATGCTTATATTCGTATTCTACATACTGGTCATTAGGAAACTTCAAACGGTCAGTACTACTACCGATAAACGTCACACATGATATTACTTAAAATAACTAATTCAGAGTAGTACCTATTTAAGTACGTTTTAACTGTTTTTTTATTTGTGTCCGATATAAAAAACAACGTTAGTAACAACAAAGAGATAAAAGTAAATTGTATTAAAGGTAGTGCCCGTCTTGAAACCAGCCTTAAACCCAACGTAAAAATAAACATTTCTTTATTTGGGAATGTGCATAAAATAGCCGACCCGGTTAGATAGTCTTAGTCAACAATATCTATTCAATGCTTTAAAAATACAGAATTAAACTTATTTTAACCTCAAAATCAAAAATGTTAAAAAAAAACTGTTATTCACTTTCACATAGCAGCAACCTAGAAATGTATTACATACCGTAAAAGTGTAATTTTCTCTTTTTTTTTTGTGTTTTCCATTGTAAAAATAAAATTTATAACAGCATTTTTGAGAACATTTTTTATTTTATAGACCCACTCTAGATCTACCATTAGTAAAATTGTTTTTATAAAAACAATACCTTCTCGGCTAGGCATCGAAACTAAAAGAAGAGTTAAATAAATAGCTAATTTTACGGACACGTGGGTTTCTCTTAAAGAATAATTGTATCATTATAGTGGCTTAAAAAATGACACTCACATAACAAAAATTACAAAGTTATGTGTTTTATAAAAATATTTTAAAAGTGTTTTAGAGAAAAATGCAAAAGACAGCTGCACGTTTTAAACTTCCTACTGCACAATTACAAAAGTCCCGTGGCATCTTAAAATAAACTTATGTACATTATTTAATTCAACTAGTCACGCGCGTATCCGACTTGAGGTAGAAGAATAGAAATATCTGACGACGGTTTCCATCAACTTCGAACTGTACAAGAAGGGTGTGCTTGCTTGTGACATTATATTGTAAATGTTGACAATAGACAAACGAAACTTCATTAATTTAACACTGCGTATTCGTTGTTTAACGGCTTAACATTGTGCGATGAAAATCATAATTTAAGAATATATATTCTTAGCTTCGTATTTAAGCAGAAAGCACGACATTACTATTTATATTAGTATACATGGCGGCCTAACTTAACCTAATAATAAACAAAGAGATATTTATCGGATAACAGACCAATATGACCTAGCACTAATACATATATATATATATAGGTCTTCAATATAGTTCAATTGCGCCTCGCTAACTTATAAAACAATATACTCCAGCAATATCTAGTAGAGCATAGCGTATATACAACAAATAAATTCTTCGAAATAAAAACATCTCAACCAGAATTTATATAACGTCCAGACATTATACGGACCAAGAAGAATTTAGCCCTCCGCTAAATTATTAAAAATGCAACTTTATTATACAATAAGTAATAACATTTAATACAGTGATGTTTATTGAGGTTAAACTTATTGTATTTTCCACAACCAAAATATGTATATCTGCTCTTGTTATTATATTATAATGTTTTTGAGAGAGATATTTCGCATTTTTGGAACTACCTGGAAAATCGTATACCTCGCCGTCCGATGCAAATAATTTTGCCATACCCGAAGATATAATAAATACCAACTACGATGTCGGTAATAATTTCAAACATATTTTCCCCATTAAATTGCTAACGCTTGTCCCGCTGAAAAACAAGGTCAATCCGCTATTGACAATATTTTCAGAAGCACATTTACAAAAAAAAACTTGAATTCAAAAATCTATATCAAATTACCTGTACAACTTATTCAATAGGTATAAGCTTTGCCTAATCGTCTTTTTATACTCGATAATAACTACTTGGCGTCGCCTTTTCTAATCGAGTCAACGATGCGTGTCAGTCATTCCTGCAAAAAGCTGTATACACAATACACGCATGCAGAATTACCCGGGGCTATTAAAACTTGATATACATTAGATGATAAGCCAATAAACCATTAAAGTACGCATGCACTAAGGGGGGAACACTTTAATCGTTTCCCATTTTCGAGTTCACTGGAAATAATAATATTATAATAACAAATATACTTACATTATCTCGAGTTTTATATAGATAACCTTTTTGTTCAAAATGTTTGTAAGAAATATAAAATTGTTTGTTTTTATTCGTCAACATCATTCTACAGATAAATCTCTATGCTGTGTTAGAAAAAAATATTTCAAATAGTAGTTGCGAAGAGTATTAAAATATTTTGCACTATAATGCAACTTTTGATCGATTCGAGTACTAGAATTGTGCAACATTGATGCAACTAGAGGGGTGCTAGGGAAATTATAATCCTTCTAAACTCGTTCAGGCTAGAAAAAATATCAGGCACATCCCCTCAGTAAGTTTTATCATTCTTACTGAAATTCAGAGAGAACTATCAGTTTTTAAAAGGTCCAAACTTCCTTAGCCCCCCCCCCCCCCACTCAAGTTGTGTCAATGGTTATGTAGGTTTTTCAAGGATTTCCTACTTACTGTGCATGATGATAAATATCCCTAGAATAGATAAATTTGTGTACAGTTTTTACTGTATTAAATTATTTATATTGTCGAAACGTGTTGTAGGTGGGCCCGATAAACAAGTCGAAGGAGAAAAAAAAGTCGCACAGGAAGGTTACCAAACTGGTGTTGACTGTGATCACGGTGTATGTGCTGTGCTGGCTGCCGTACTGGATCACTCAGGTGGCGCTCATATTCACTCCGCCCAAGCAATGCCAGTCCAAGGTGGTCATTACCATATTCCTGTTGGCTGGCTGCCTGAGCTACAGCAATTCCGCTATGAACCCTATACTGTACGCTTTCCTCAGCGATAACTTTAAAAAGAGCTTCCTGAAAGCGTGCACGTGCGCTGCTGGCAAAGACGTGAACGCGGGCCTGCACCAGGAAAACAGCACGTTTCCGCGCAGGAACCGCGGCGGATCGGAGCGCCTCAAGACTGGCCGGGCCACCACCATTCTCTGTCAAGCGGTGGGCACCGGCACCGTGGGCTGCAGCAGCCGCGACGACGACGCCTTGTGTTGCGGCGAGTCGGGCCCGTTGGTCTGCAGCCGCGCCGAACTGGTCAGCAAAGAGAACACGTCCACCGCGCTGACCATGACTTCCCGGTCAACATACAACGACAACGGCAATGTGCCACCCGCGCAGTTGTAGTAACAATAATAATATAACATGCGTTATTATTGCGCCGGCGTCTCGGGCCGGAAGAAGTGCCATTCTCCTCCAATCCATCGTGTTATTGCTGTTCGTGTCATTTTTCTTTTGTTCCCATTATTGTTTACTCCCTTTGTTTTCATACCGTTGTTTCCCTGCCCATGTTTCAAAAGCTTCCGGTCAAAACTCAAGTGACCGGCCGGAAGTGGTATTACGATCTATGTTTCTTCAGAAGGCTATTGTACGATCTCCGCAAGGACACGCCGTAAAAAAACTTACATATAAATAAGCCATTTATTTCTGTTACGATCTCCTTCCCGATTCATCTGATCCCGATTTTCAGACTGCAAATTTATTGTTGTTGAAAAAAATACATGATCTAGCGTCTAAGTTATTATGTTTCGTTGATTATAATAACTTATTAAACCGCATAACTTTTATGCCGTAATCGTGTTTGTATAATGGATAATTACACCATTACATAATTTACCTATTTCTATTATTTGAATAGACAAATATTATGTGTAAAGCTGTACAAGCTATCATAAATAGGCGAAGACTGTTAAGAAGACGCTACCACTGTTAAATCTCACATTTTTTTTTCTATAAATTTATAAAGTTTTTGTATTTTTTACAAATTATTAAAAATTAGCAGATTGAGTTAAAAAAGATTAAGCGCAGACGAAGTTCTTCTCTATTTACTGTGAAAATGTAGAGATTTTACAATAATTCCAAGACACTTTGGTTTTAGTGCGTGCAAAGCTATTTTTATGAAATTAAATTGTAATTTTTTTCTATAGAAATGAATGTAATATTCTGAAGAAAAAACAGAAAAAATAATAAAGAATCCTCAATACTGTATTAATAAGTGAATACTACCTATAGTTTAAGCTCTAAATTAAAACAACTTGCTCTTTACAAAATTAATGGGTAGAGTCTTCTTAACACTGAAAATCATATGTAATATGGCGTGTATATTTAAGGGCGCCCTCAGATGACAATTCAGGGGGAAACGCCGATAATTTTGTACCTAATAGATTTTACAAATTTGGGATATTGGGTATACATCTTTTTAACTAGCAGAGAAGCTAGGGGGGAGTTGTCCCCCCGTCCTTCCTTGTGGGCGCCCTTGTCTATATTACATGTTAATGAGTGTGTGTGTGTTAAATTTACCTTTGTAATGCCTTTATGTAAATGTATGTATTTAATTATAATGGTAAAACACTACATTTATATCCAATAATTGTAGTATTTGTCTGTATTTGTTCAAAACTCACTCTGGCTATTTGACATGTGCAAACATTAAAACACATAATAAGCAAGAGGTTTCAAAAGTCTTAACATTGTATAATAATTAATTATTATTATATTATACATATAAGGTATTTCATACTTACATATTATAGTGTTTACAGTTACAGTAGCTTCCTATCTCAACACGAGAATTCTAATTATGAATACTAAGAAATAAGTGTTAATAAGTAATCTCAATTTAATTATACCCATACAATTAGTAACATACAATTGATCACATTAATTCATCATCAGTAAATATAAATTCACTGTGTTTATTATTTATTTGTCCGTTTTTTTTATTTAGTTAAAGCGGCGTTAGCCAGGTAGTAGGTACCTCTACGACTAACTTGCAAGGGTATGGATAAAGTTCAAACCAAAAAAATGTTCAAGACTATATATGTATTACGCAGAATTGGACAATCATTTTTGATTTTACATATTTAAAAAAAAAGTTTACTGTTATTCTTTCCGGAACAAATGAAATCTATTTATTGCAAACATTTTTTTTTTTAATTTGTAAAATTATTGTTCGATTCTGATAACATTTAATTTAAGAATTTATTTTTGGGTTATATATTAAAATGTGAATATTGCCCGAAACTTTATCCGAACACATGCTTACTTGTTTTAAGGTTTAGTTTTAAAATAAGCCACGCTGAAAGGTTTAAGAAATGTATTTTTTAATTTTGAATTATTCCTAAACTTAGATCAAATGTAATCTTACAGTCTAGTATATAGGACCTACTTAAAAGATACAACCTAATAGTATCTACTTAAACTTTTGAGATGAGACAAACTTACACTTAACAGCTATTAATACTATAAAAACATAAATAACCATTCAAATATGCTGTATTAACAATGTCGTTTCAGAATGTACTTCTTAATTTTAGGTATTACATTAAATTAAAGAAAATTCAAAATAATTTAATCATAATCATTAATTATAAAATATATATTGATTCGTGGTTATGACAACTACCTATATGAAGCTTAATACATTAAAACCTAAATATTTGTACGGCAATATTTTGTAATTTGTATGTAGATATTACAGTCCCATGGCGGAATTTCATGTTAATTATACATACCTATGATATGCAAAATATCCCATTAGCCAGCCATTAACGCTAGGTCTAGGAATAAAACCAACACTGAACCATTTTTTGAAGTTAGATTTTTATGATATACAAGACAAGATAATAACAAAACAGACAACATAACGTAATCTCAGTGTTGAGGTTTCAGCTATACGAATAGGAACGCATATCATCTATACACAAGAATAGCAACTCGACGAAAAAATACACGAATTTTAAATTAGTATAGTGATTGAAATATATTTAATAATATGTACTTTGTAAATAAATTTAAAACGTAACTTAATATTTCTTAATTGTGTAACTATTCTTGTGACTATAGGCGATATTACACGCATACAAAACAGTAATTTTCATATAATGTAAAAATAATTTATAACTATTAACAGTGAATTATATTTGATACGTATATGTCTACATAGGTAAACTAATAAATAGTAAATGTGAATTATTAAAAAACATTTGCAGTGCTTTCTATGTTCCTGTAACTTGTACTATTATTAAATTTAATTTTACTTGTTGACCTAACCAGAAACAATATAACTGATTATAATGTCATATTTAAGATTATTTCAAACAAAATGTATTAAACGAAAAAGTTCTAATAAACTCATTCCAACAAAACATTCAACTGTATTACAATGTGGTAACGTTATAGCATTATATTAATAAGCTACAATATTAATGTTAACTATTTGTTAAATTGGCAAAAGTAAAATATATTGTTTATATGAATGAAACATAGAAAGCCAAATTCCCATAATATCGCTGAACATTCATTGTAATATTAAGATGTTTTATTAATATAAAAACTGATGTAAAATAAAAAATAATAACAGATGTACTCAATATAATATAATGCACTTATTTTTAATTAAGCATAATTTAATAGTAAAATAATTATAATAATTTTGTTAAAAATACTAAGAATTAAATGTGTCAATTTACATATTTATATACGAGTAAATTATACTACTAAAAGTTCGTATTTACAATGTATATTAATGTACACTTTTTTCTCTTTGAAGTTTCAAAAACAAAACATTTTAACATATCAGAGGATTTAATGTGTATGTTTTTAATTGGTAATACATAATATTATATAAATTACAGATAGATATAAGTAAAAAAAAAGAAACATAAAACTTAATTTATTTGTATAGCAATCAACTCTATGGTTTTTACTAAAGACCATTCTGTATTATCTTTTAATTTTTACCCGGTTACTATAATTTATAATAGTTATTGTACCTAATGAATTTAACTGTTTAAATAATAGATTTATATGCATTGATGGGAAAAATTGTTACTGAATACAAACCAATTACTATATATAAACCGAAAAAGCTGGCATTTAAAATTATATTTCTTATAATAATTTAGAAAAATCATAGATATGCCCATTCCTACAACAAAAAATCATTATTTTATAAATAAAGATAAATACAGTTAGTTTTTAGATTGGAATTAAATTGAGAACAATTTATCACATTATGTTATTTATTACATGCCACAATTTTGCGTTTTTTTAAGCATAATACCTTAAAATGTATACTTAAATAACATTTAGAAAGTCATTCAAGGAAACAACTGCATAATATTTATGCAAAACTTACTTTCTTTTTTAAATTTAAATGGTAACATCAGCAGTCCATTTAATCACATTAAGTTGATTACATTGAAATGGCAAAAAGAAAATTGTACATTACATTAGACCTATTATCAGTTCTAGTTTGTTCACATACCATAAAACCACAATTATTGTGTAATAAAAATGTCTACTTTTCAAGATATGAAATTACATAATTATAAGTGTTGTCTATCCAATGTGCATTGATTGAATGTGTTTCATGAGTTCTTTTCTGTCCTCAAATACCTCGTCACAAATATCACAAATAATAGATTCCGATACAGAAATAGATACTGGAGGTGGAAGTTCCGTATCTGAATCTATTACTTGATCATCAGTGCTTAGTTCAATATTAGCACCAACTTCCTCCACGTAATCGGTTTCAAAAACTAGTTCAGTCTCGATCAAGCAATCATTTGTCATTGGTTCTAGTTTAACATTTTGGCAATCGAATTCGGCATTATCCTGCTGTATGTAATACTCCACCTGACCTTGGTCGGCATACTCGATACTACACACATTATCGTAATCTTGAGTTTCAAAATCGGACTGCTCATCGAGTGGCTCCATTTTAACGTTAGTTAAATCCATGTCTTCCACAGATATCTGATCTTCGGGATCATCAGGATTATCGTTTTCTTTAGATTCTTCACCCAACGACGAATCAGCCGCTGCAGGATCAGATCTTGAAGAATAATAAAGAACTGTTGCGCACGTCCTAGTGCACTCACCATCTTTGAGTACAAAAGTTTGCTTTTTTGGTGAAGCTTCTGGCTTGTTGACAACAAATTTAGTCGCATAAGACGTCGACTTGGAAGGTTTTTGATCGTTTTTCACCAATTTACCATTAACAATTTTGTACGTTTTAACAGGGGATTTACTAGGACTAGTGATATGTTCTTGTCTATAAGACATATCGTCTTCTAATATCGACTGCACGGCTTGGTCTTCTTGTGTAGGCATCGGTTCGTCCTCACAACTTTCTGTATCTGACTGCCCCGACATGACTGTAAAAACTTTCTCCACCAAACACCACGTATCTTTTCGATTCCCCAACTTGCTACGGCGCTTATACTTACGTGGACCAACCTAAAAATAATATAATGCTTATAAAATACAATTTAATACAGATAAATAAAATTATTTATATTTTCTTAAAAACTAACCGGCACCACTCTTGATTTAGCAGTGTTTTCGTCACTATGTTGTACTAAATGAGAGCAAAGTTCCATTGATGACCTAAATAAATAACCGCATACTTTACACTCGTAGAAGTTGACTTGACCACCTCGAGCTTCAGTACCCGCGTGATGTGCTCGTATATGTTCTCTCAAAACCACCTTATAAATGAAAATTATATTATTTAATATTATTAGAAACAGAATAGAATTGAATACAAAACAATATCTGGTTGTCTTACTCTTTGATTGAACGCTTTTGGACAGACGGGACAAACATAAGGTTTTTCACCAGTATGTATTCTTTCATGTTTTCGAAGTGTTCCACCATCGGCAAACGCTTTATTACAGTATCTGCAACCGTAAGGTCGTTCTCCCGTGTGAATTCTAATATGTATCTGCTGTGAAGATCTTGAACCAAAGACCTAGACAAATGCAGACATAAATTTAACGAATGACATAAAAAGTCTACAATATCCGAGACACAAAACAACGTACTTTACCACAGCTCGTGCAAGGGAATACTTTTTCTGTCATTGAAGTTCGCGTAACACTAACGGTATTTGCATGACTGGCTTTGTGATTTATTAGTGCTCTCTTATCAGCTACTTCTTCTCCACATATATCACATACAACTCCTTTTTCTCGATGAGTTATCATGTGTCTAAAAATAAAGAATTTGAAAAATTAATAAAAACTTCAAAATAATTCATTAAAATAAATATTTAATTTAAATTGTTTTCTGAAAATTATTCCTACCGCTTGAGACGTGCTCGAGAATGAAAACGTTTTCCACACATAATACATTTATTGTCTGAGGTATCATGAATCATCAAATGTTTTTGAAGAGCTTTGTCATCTTTGCATTGCTTTCCACACAATTGACAAGAATTGTTCGGTAATGTACCAGTGTGCATTTGAGAAACATGATCTGACAGTTCATCTGTGCTATCAAATGTTTCACCACACGCTAAGCATTTTGACTTCTATACACAGACATACACATTGTACTTAAAAATGCATTGACTTAAAATTTTAAAAATAAAAAAACAATAATATACTTCTGGAATATTTGTTGGAATCAAATGTTGTTCTGTATGCGTTTCTAGCTCCATCATAGACTTGAAAAACATTCCACAGTGTATACACATATGAGCTTCTTCGTATACTTCTTCTTCGATATTCCCAACCTCTTTTTTCATATGCTGCCTACAAACAAATTAATACATAAATTAAAACATTTTTTAATCATAACGATTGAATGCAAATAACTAATGCAAATTGTAAAATGTTTTAAGTTTTTTAATAATGAAGATTTAAAATTTACCTTTGATGTCGTTTTAAAAAATCAAATCTTTCAAAACTAGCCCCACACGAATCACATGGATAATTAACATCGCTGTTTTTATTATTAGACAGAATTGTGAGCTCATAAGTATCTGAATTTGATTTTTGTGTGGTAATAATATTCACACCATCATCAATGTGATGAAGTCGTGCATGATTAAGAAGTGCCTTTTCACGGGTAAACGAAATTCCACAAGGATTACAAGTATGTGGTTTGGAATATAATTCTGAATTCCAGCCGAGTGTAAGCAAGCGGTCTTTTATTGGCCGACCTCTTCCTCTACCTCGGCCTCTCCCACGACCACGACCGCGATTTTTGGCACATTGTTCAAGAATATCTCCTTTATCGCCAGATTCTTCTTCAGATGTCACACTGCGTCGGTGAACTGGATCCATAAACATTAGTTTATTCATTACTTTCGTAACCGATGCACCTTGGTTTTCTAAATTACAAATGAATTCAATAATTATAACAATACAAACAATATACTATTACTTATATAAATTTACCAGTATTACCACTGTCAGACATATTGCCTGGGTCAATATGAATTTTCATATGGTTGGCTAAATCACACTTGCGGCGATAACGAACCCCACACAATGCACAACAAAACGGACGTTCTGACTGATGAGTTACCATATGATTCATTAGATGAGATTTTCTATTAAATCGTCGACTACAAAAATCACATGGAAATGGATTAACGGATGATGATGCTTCTTCTCCTTCTGGTATTGGTATTTCAACATCTTCATTCGAAGATGTACACTCAACATTAGCATTTATTATACTGAAACAAATAATTGTTAACCAATTAACTTTTAAGAAATAAAAAATAATTTTAACTACAAATGATAATCTTCATAGAATGATCTGCGTAATTTTGATTGAAAACAACTCATTTTAATTTTAACCGTACTCTGAAAAATGCATAATCCAACAATAGTTTTGAAAACCGGTACAAATTTTCAATGCTTGCTTTATGTATCAATCAAAGTACAATTTTAATTTTTGTATTTAATGTTATCGTAAAAATCATAAAAAATCTTTAAAATGACAATTTTTCACAAAGAAATTGTTACTTAACTAAAAATAATTTTTAAATTGTGCCATGATCTGAAACCTTGTAAATGTTATGAAGAATTCAATTGTTTTTTCAAAACTTAAATCAAATTATTTTTAAGAAAGTGAAGTAGAAACATATGTTTTATACATAATAGAGGTAAGAGGCTGTATGCTTTTAAGAAGTTGAAAAAAAAATAGATCCCTACTTCTTGTTAACACATATGTGTATATACTATACACACATATTGTCGCCGTCATGCAAAAACTGACTAAGTGTTTTTTTAATAGTTTTTGTAGTATTTTAATACTAATAATAATGATATAGTTCAAATAACACATTTTATAATGTTATTTCACTTGGTCACTTCTTGCACATGTCAGTTTTTGCATGAATTAATGTTTAAAAAAAAAAACAAGCCGGGTTTATTTAAATAACCCAAATTAGTTTTTTTTAATTTATTTTAAGACATATTAGGAAATAAATTTAGGTAAAAGAATAATAAAATAAAAATGTTATACTTGTGAAAATTAGTTGAACGATTGACATCCCAACTTTGAGTGATGATTTCTTGTTCCGGACATTCTTGGACAACAACCTCTTCTTGAACATCAAAATATTCTTGAAATTCTTCTTGACTTATTTGTTGAACTTCTTCGTCGCTGGACTCAAATAAATTACTAGTATCCATTTGTTCTTTTAAATGCTCTCCTTGACTAGATTCCTGAACATATTACAATGATGCAAGGATTAGTATCACATTATTTGTCTAACTCGGAGTAAAGATACCTTAAAATTATCACTGAAAGAAGATATGGCAGCCAAGTATTGTAATCCATCAGCATATGGTACAGAATTCATAACTGCTTTAGTCATATTATTGAGCTCGCTTTTACGATTATCACTAGGAGTGAAATATGAAGACTCAACAATAGATTGTACTATACAACTGTCAGATGACATAGTTCCAATGTCATCTTCGTTGAAATATTCAGGGTTGGTTTTAGGCTGATCAGTACCATTTGAATATAAAATGGTTTCCTCACTACCAAAATCAATTGTTTGACTATCAGAATGGATGGACACAATCTCTTCCACAAAATCAGTGTCCATGATTAACAAGGAAAAAAATATCTAAAATGAAATATGTCAACTATCTAAAAAAACTCTGCCTTATTTTGACAAACAATTCTATACCTAATGGAAAATACAATTTTTTACTGAAAATATGTAAAAAGAAATTACATATTTATAATCTCAACCCAAACGTTATACCAAAGACTTATTATTATGAATAAGACCGAATCGTAGTAGACAGAACCATTATTTACTGAAGCATAAACTTCTTATGGATAAAGTTAAACTCTGAATTCTATAATTATTCTCTGCTAAATTTATAATGTAGACACCAAGTGAAGGAGTATATAGTCCTTAGAACTCAAAAGTTCTACTTCATTTTTCAATTTATAACAAGGTTCTATCAGATCGATCACTTTTGATCATCACTCATCAGGCATGTTGATTCTCATTTGCCATTTCTCAATTCTCAAATAAATACAATATCCGTTTCAAACAGTATTACCTATAACCTAAAAAAAGTTGTCTTTTCCTCCATTATTTATTTTTTATGGTTAGTTTTAATGACAGTACCTAAGTTACACTACACCGTCCAGAGAACACCATCGCGGCTGAGCGGGCTTTCGTCCCAGACAAATATTCTTTTTAAGTTCATCATCAAACAAACAATCGCTTAGGCACTGCATTGTCATAAGCCATTGAGAGAAGCGACAGCGGATGCAAACAGGGAGAGGTCGAGTTGCCCCCGTCCTCAAATGGCGGACATGTTTGGTTTAAATATTTTGTCCCTAACCTAATAAATTTTCTCAATGGCGAAAATACTCACCAGACCGGAGCCTGTACATCAGACCAGCGACCAGTTACGTTTTTCCGTACCGTTTTCCACCGTGGAACACAAATTTTCACAGAAAATCGTCGAACAAACACGATACGACGCCATTATCCGAACAATCGACAATATTCTATCACTCCCCTCCACCCCACCTCCCGTCTGTAGTATCCAAAACGTTGGCTATGATAACTCATGGAACAAAAAATACAGCGAGTCCAACTTTGTTCCCGGTCCTACTTATTCCCGCTCGAAAATCACTCCGAACATTAGTATTATTTATTTGCGACAAATTAAGAATTTCATTCGCAAATTGCATTTGAATATTTTTAACATAAAAATGAAAAATCCATAAATCGTCTGACCGTTAAAATTCAAAATTCGGCAATCTCAAGTCTTATTGGTGTGTTCACATGTGGTGGGGGTTAATCGTTAAAATGGATTCCTTTGTCGTCAATATCTTACGTGACAACCAAAACTAAAACTGATACTAAATACTAATATTTTTGAAAGAAATTTTACTAAATAAATATCCCGTCGTGTTCCTAATCATAAACATTACTGAAAACCATAAATCATTATTAGCATATTATCATTTAATTTATCACCGTTTAGTCAACAAAATCCTCCGAACATGAGTTCTGTAAGTCGATCAATACTTTTGTTTATTAATTATTTTAATGTTTATATAATTTCTATTTGTCAAATTGCTGCATTATAGATTTCCAATGTTGAAAATCTTTCTCCTCAAACCATCCGTCGAATAGTTAAAGAACAAGAAGAACTGATTAAAGATCCACCAGAAGGCATAAGAATTACGGTAAACGATTCCGATGTCACTGACATACAAGCATTTATTGACGGTCCAGGTAAATATCAGCTACTGATATTTTTTAATTATTTTGTAGATGGATTAATCTAGTTTTTAAATTACAATAATGATTTTTTTAATAAAAGCCGGAACACCATATGCTGGTGGTCGTTTCAATGTCAAATTAGTTTTGGGCAAGGATTTTCCACAAACACCACCCAAAGCGTATTTCCTAACTAAAATATTCCACCCTAATGTTGCTAGCAGTGGAGAAATATGTGTTAACACCCTTAAAAGAGATTGGAAACCAGACTTGGGCATAAAACATATTCTTTTGGTAAATTTGTATTAATAGTAAAGTAATTTACAACTTACAATGTAATTTTATATTTAGACGATCAAATGTCTGTTAATTGTTCCAAATGCGGAGTCAGCATTAAATGAAGAAGCTGGTAAACTCCTTTTAGAAGAATATGAACATTATTTCCAAAGAGCACAAATGATTACCGAAATTCATGCTCAGGTATATAATTTTTTAATATTGTACTTGACCATGACCATACCCATATTATTTCATTCTATAGAAATGATGACAGCTTTTACGGTAATATTGTTCCCCGCCTTGACATCTGTTTTGAACACCTAATCCACCTCCTGTGAATGATTGACATTTTTATCGTTATCCAACCTTGTTAAGATGTTAATCACTATGGTCATGTTTCGGGCAAAAGAAGTTCAAAAAATGTTGTTTTTTATAATTAAATAATGATAATAATAAGAATAGATTATTAACTTTTACTTTGTTATTATACTGATATAGGTACCAAAAAGTATGAAAATTGGCCGTGAAGAAGATGCGAGTGATGGACCTATGGCAAAAAAACATGCTGGTAGTAAATCATTGGACAAAAAAAAGATTTCCAAAGATAAAAAGAAAACTTTGAAAAGACTATAATGAATTGGGTAAAATGTTTTAAGTTTACATTTTTTGTATTATACCGATGAAATTTCATCAATAAATTGTCATTTATATTTATTTTGTAGCCATTTTTGGTACCCATAGACTATAAAAAATATGCCCAAAACTAAATTTTTTTCCTTTCTTTTATTTTATTTTTTGTAGTATCTCGATTTTCAATTTTCTAACCGTGTGTTATGCAAATTTCAGAATTTGTAACTTTTAAATGTATATAAAATGTTTCATAGTTTAATTTATTATAAATAAATCTTATATTAAATATGTATGTTGCATTTTCTTATTTCTGTAGTGACTATGGTTGTCTTATCATTTTTACTTATTTACCTATTAATTATAATCTTATTAATACCAAGATAGTCTTGAAAGGTGTAAGCACAATCAGTGTGCTAACCAGGACCGACAGAAAGGTATATTGATTAAGGCAGCTGCCTTAGTTAGAAACCTTAGTTTCCTAACAATTAGTTAGGAAATTGAGTACTTTTAGCTTTGGTGTGGAACACGGAAGTTATTGGTTTTACAATGACGTGTAATTTTTATTTCTTGCGTCTGTAGTCACGATGACTTTTCTTAAAAACTAATTTACTTCAGTAATACCTATATAGATCTGAAATCATATGCGATTGATATTTTTGTGCGTCATAAGTTGAAAAAGTCAGTCCATCGAGGGATCACCTTCATCCTCTAAATCGGGAAAAATTAAAAAAAACTACAATATTTTAATTTTGTTTTGTTAATATTTAAAGAAAAGTAGTCTGATTAAATTGAAATTTATAATAAATGTTTATTTGATGTGCTCCTTAATGGCAATAACATCAAATTGAATTTATATCCAAAATTATTTAATAAACGTCATAACATACTGTAAAAAATGATCATCGGAAAACATTCAACCACATTCTCTACATATCTTTCAAATAAATAACAATGAGGATTAAGACGTCACACACCCTATTTAATAAGACGTTCGGTATAGGCATTATTTTGCAAAATTGTAATTATTTAAAAATTAAACTTATGTGTAATAATTCGTTCAGTAATGAGGAAGTTAATTAATTTTATCAGACTATTACAGCACCGTTGAGCGATTTAAAAAAAAATTTAGTCTAATCTAGCTACGCATATTCTCTAAATAATAATCGTCCAACACTTTTTTTTTATATATTTAAAATAATGAGAATTTTATGAAGGTTCTCAGTCAGATTTTTTTGATATTATTGGCCTAATATTCTCAATTTATACTATCATGACGACTCGTCGTGTATTTTTCGTCATTGACGAGAGAACAAAGTTTAAGTTCTTTGCTTTTTAACGGTATCAAATGTTTTTCTATGACCATTTCAATTTACCATTAATACATTTTTACAATTATTTATAAAAGGTATAATGACGTCCACTTAAGATTTTTCAATAATGAAAGATTTTTTTTATTAAGTAATTTTACGTTTCATTAATACTCGAGTAAGGTATTTAACATGAATGTGCATTTACAACCTGCATCATTAATACTAACAGAAAGAGCTACATTTTATTCAACTAGACTAAAACGCTATAGTCACATTCTTAAATCTATTAGATATGCCTGAAATTATTTCTACTACAGTATTTTTAAATCAAACCTTTGTAATAACTAATAACTCATAAAAATGAAGTCCCTAAATAATGTAACTATAAAGCTTTAAGAATTATTTAACTAAATTAGTCGAAATATTTAAAATGGCTTATACATTGAAATAAATGTCAAATATTGCCTATATTCTAACTTATAAATAGTTTTTTCCCTAGCCCACGACATTTAATACTAAACACTCGCCCGCCCAAATGTCCGTACTTTTCATATATTTCAGAAAAAAATTGAATAAAATTAATAAACAAACAAAAAAAACGAGAAAATTTTGGTTTTCACGACCACTTTATTTTATTGCTATATATAAGGTCGTCTTAAATTTAATACTCCAATTTAAAAACCTTAAGACAATGTACATAAACAGTTATATAAATGAAAATTAGTTAGATTATAAAAGTGTATAATTATAGGTTCCATTTCCTAATCACAATATTAAGAAAATAATATTAGTATTAGTACTAATAACGTTCAACTCGTTTTTTTAATCGTTCAAAATCTAGTTAACTTAAAATAGAAATTAAATAGACAAAACTATGGTACAGTTAATATTCATAATCAATTATTTTTGCTTTTTATGAAACTGTCAAGTTGTGCATCCAATTCATCTTTATTAGGCATCTTTTTCTCGGCTCCTCTACCGCCTCCTCTGGCTGCGCCACGACCTCTAGAGTTACCACGAATACTGTTACGTCCTCCTCCTCGAACACCACCACGATTAGCACGAACACCTAAAATAAAAGTAAAATATTAAAATTATGTCGAGGGGTGTTGTGCAGTGGTATAAGGATAAAACTGAGTAATAGAAGCATTAGATAGATAGCCTTGAGGTACATAATGTTTCTTACATCTGTTGTGCACTTGGTTTGTACGTATTGACGATGCAAAATGAATGTACCGTCAAAATATTATGTGTCAGAAGAGACTTAAAGTCAGATAATATCTATAATGAATAAAAAGAAAGAAAAATACAAACCTCCACGGCTACCACGAGTAGGTAAAGTTGCTGGCCTACTTAGACGGGTAGCAAGATTGGCAACTGTTGATAAATCAGTAGCTAGTTCAATTTTCATAGGACGACCTAAAAAAATCATAAAATTTAGAAGGAAAAAACACATTTGTAAATTAAATATTAAATTACCATCAAGAGGAACATTGTTGTATTGTCGAACTGCTTTCAACGCTGCATTTTTACTGTCAAAAACAACATCAGCTGTTCCTAAAGACCGTCCAGATCTGTCATAATGTACTGTTGCTGTTTTTAATGGTCCAAACTCATCAAATAATTCCTGAAATTGAACAATTTTTATTAAAAATTGTACCAAGATAAAAATTAAAGTAACTATTAGCATATATACCATCCACGCCAAAACCATTCACAAAGAATACAGAAAATTAAACTATATTAAATTTCCATAATTAAAAAAACTAACAGTGATTGTAATAGAAGGTTTAGATTACTTTGTTTAAAAATGTGTTATTGTTGAACGATTGTACAGCAAATGTGACAACAAAAATGATTTTTTGGTTGGTAATCCATTAGGACAGCAGTGTTCAATATTTCTTGTTCTTGTTTCTTACTATAGTTGATTATGATGTTGAATATAGTTTTGTTTCGCAATAGTGTTTTCTCTTAATTTGGCAAGGCAATTCGATTTTTGTACTTTATTTGAAATGATCATTCATCAACTTCCTTGGTAAAATTTGGAGCTATTAAATTACTTCAATGTAATCCTAATATATATATTTTTTAACAATAGCTTTGATTGAAGCTCAGTGACTTCATATGCATTTAAAATATTTGGACCCAATATAATAACATTTGTTTAACTATTTTGCATCACTTTTGCATTTATGCAATATTTGTAATCAGTTAATTAATTTATAACTAGTTTAAATAGTTAAATGCCCATTTTAACGACTGTAATTACACTGAAATATACTAATATAATTTCTCTTCTTAATTATAATATATTGATCGCCATAATATAATTTTTCACACGGCAATTTGTCTTCTTATGCAACTCGCATTTCAATAATTGTTGATATCTGTATCTTGATGTAATCAAATGGATGTATTTTTTTTTCATGTTGTGTTACAGGAACAGACAGATTATTTAAATAAATTTCTATCTTTGATGATAATTTGCATGGCATTAAATTATTCCATAACAATCCACCAACTAATAATTATTTGAAGTGTACATTTCAACAAAAAACAATGAATATAAACAATACGCAAGACACAAAAGACCAAAAACAAATATTTTCAAGATTTTACTGTTATGATTATACCTTACTTGTTAACAAGTTACTAAATTTTTGCTTTTCAAACTAACACCTCAGAATTGTTAGTTACTTAGACAAAAATGACAAGTAAATACAATGCATTTCACTCACATTACGCAAGTTATAAAACGTTTTAACATATTTATTCATAAAATGAAAATTTCAATATTCTAATTTGGCCTAACTACCAGCATTATTGTGCCTTGTTTTTTTTTTAACAGGTATACCAAAGTGTAATTAAAGTATTTCAAATTTTATTATTGTATAAATTGATGTTGGTTTAAAGATGTAGAAGGTTAAAGATGTAGATATAACTGAAGATTCATTGTAAACGAAGTAGAAAGTAGTAGGCTTCAACACTTGCACAAATGTAAATGATTTAAAGATGTAGTCATTTCTGAACTTCATTTGGTAATTCAAAACTTGTTTTAATAAATTTGATGTTAAAAATTGGTATACCTGAGAAAATACTTTGTTTTTAGACAATATTTGAGTTAACATAGGTTGAATTAAATTGACATGGGTTTTTTGCTTCTGAATAATTCAACCAATACTTTTATGGTAATCATAACATATTATATACCATTTCAATACAAATGTACACATTATCAGAACTAAGCACGATGCTTTGTAACTCAAAATTGTTTGTCTTAAAATGTCATAACGGTACTTAATGACCAATGTTGATAATTTCAATTGGGACAAAATATTATAACAATAGGCAAACACCTCTATTGTGATTACAACCGAATTCATGGGCAACAATTAATCTTGAGTAGCCAGATACCGAAATTATAAAGAGAAAACATTGTCCATGAGGATGATTCTGGACAGCCATTATTACAAATGAAACCCAAGCCTTGAACCAATAGTAGATCTAATATGTGACGAACATTCTATCTAGGTATCTTCAAGCTGCCATCGGCTGAAGATGCCTGGAAAAATAATGTTATCATTTTTATTTCACAATACTTATACGGTAGTATAGTAAAAAATACAATTATCTCAGAACTAATTCGTGAATCAATATATTTTTTAGTTATTAAGTTAATAAAATGCAAATAAATACTGTTAACTTTGCTTGTTTTTTTCTTAGCCTAACTAATTTTAGTGTTTTTTATTATTCTTACTAACAAACTATAATTTATACATTAATTGATAATAAATCATTTATTGAATAGTGTAAGTAATATATCTTGTGAACTTAATATTGTACAAATATAGACTGGTATACGCAATTAGAAAATGCTTAAAACTTGTCTATCATTATTTGTTAATTTTTTATTTACTGTAATATTGTCTTTAATTATAGTTTTAGTGATGATAGTACTATTTAATTACTAATATTTAATCAGAAAAATAGGATATGCTAATAAACTAGAACAAAATAAATTTGATATGCAGACAGATAACATTAAGAAATGAAATTTTTTTAAATAATGGTAGGTACCTAATAACTTAAAATTTATTAATTTTACTACCAAAAAATACCAAACAATGTAATACCAAACATCCATATCATAGAACAAAGTTATTGCCTTTAATATTCTTATTATTTCATCTCCATAACAATCAGTACCTTGAATATATCTTCTATTATGTTATACATTAACTTTTCTTCCTTAAATCGCTTTAGAAATATTATGAATAAATTAGAATAAAATATGCACAAACATGTATACATTATTTAGACATAAGCAAGAATATGGAAATATCAACACCATAAATTAAATATATTAGAAAACAAAATAGCACAGAATACTAAAAAATGATTATCAATAATTGATATTTTAATAATTTAACAATAATCAAACCTGTATGTCTGTAGAAGTAACTCCAAAGTCCAAGTTTGAAATAACAATTTTGTGTATATTAGTAGTTGAAAGTCCACCTCTAATATTTTGTCTCTTAGGTCCATCATACATGTCATGAGTCCAAGATGAATTTACATCACCCTAAAATAATATATAAACAAAAAATTGACAAAGATATAATTATTATAAATGTTTAACCTAAAAGGTAGTGGATCTTATGGCCTAATTAAACCAATTTATATAATAAAATTATCTTCCATTTGTTCCTTTCTTTGATTTTAAATAACATCTAGATTTGATACCTAGTAGTCAAATGATATAGACAACTAAAAGGAAAGCTAAAAATTGACAAAATACATCACTAGTTGTGTAGGAACTAGGAACGGCTTAATACAAAGTTAGGGAAAACACAACTACAATTATTCAAACAGTAATATGCCCTAATCACTATTAGTCATTATTGGTATTAATCCATTTTTTTTAGACACGACATTTTGTGTTTAAATGTTTTTGTCTTTTAATCAAAAGTGTTTTTTAAGCCTGCATAAGTTTCCACTGCTCATAAACTTACAAGTTACAGACAGTTCAAGTTTGCGGCTTGCAAGTATTACTGAGTGCCACAACATCAACATCATACATACAATGTGTATACATTGGCAGCTCGTGCCATGAAGCACTTGAGCACTTGCATATTATTTGAAGAATATTAATAATTTTACAGCAATAAAATATAATATTGATAAAAATACAAATTATTTTTAGGATGAACTTGTTTTATAGTAGGTATTAGGAAAATACTGTACATTGTAGACCGTACTACTAGGTGATGTCACCTAGCATTTAAGTTATACAGGTGACGGCAAGCGGACAAGGCTAATTCAATTTACGAACGTTAATAAAACATATGAAAAATTTGATCACTTTGCGAATGAGCACATATAGTTTCATTCCCACTACTTCCAAAAATATGTTATGTGCAATTAAGACTAGTACAAATGATTGCAGCATTGTCTTGATGGTATGGGGATGGGTAGTGATAATTTCACCACTGTTCGCGTTTCTGCTAGCCACTACAGCTAATACTATTTTTATCAACAAAACATGGGAATATTACTCCTGTATACAATAATTATACTTATTGTACAAACGTAATATTATTACTATTATACAATAGTACAAGAACACTGGAACACTGTTCACATTATATTATATCTTGTGTACAAGCAACAAATATGAAGTTTTATTGTATAGTTTATTTATAAATATGAACTACAAGTAACAACTATTTTACCCACGAGCCGCCACCGATCTTGTAGTCATTTAATATTGAGCATCATCATCAAACATCCAACAGTACATACTGTACACTTTTGATTTCACTACCGTTAGGTTAGGTTAGTTACCTATTACTACTAGTATTATTTGTTTACCTTTGTGTATGGTGAAAATCCGTTGGAACGCCTTGCCGCCGGCCTGCCTCTACGCATAGGGCCGCCACCGCCACCACTTCCGGCACCGTTCGATCGAAAATTGGATCCGCCACCTCGTTTGGCATTACCACCTCTTGGACCTTGTCTACCGCCACCACGACGGCCACCACCGCGGGATGAGGACCTTTTATTTTTAATGAGTTCGTCTAGGCTAACATCCATGTTCAAAAAGTATGTGTGTAATAAAGGTTTGCACAAATAAAGAGTAAAAGTAAAGACAATAAGGCGAACTGACGCTTTAAGTGGTGGTGAATAAAAATACTGAAATTAAGTGAGACAAACCACGCTACAAAAACATTTGTTAAATAATATGGCGTATGGCGTAACTATAGTACTAAAAAGTAATGTGGCCAGCCGCCAGAATAATAAAACGACAGTACGGCGGACGCTACTCGTTTAGCGTCAAAAATCTTGGTTATGGTCAGGTTAGGTAATACAGTACAATAACGATAAGTTGGCGACACTGTTAAAATAGCGCCAACGTTTTAAATCATGATTCAAGATATCAATACATTTTTTTCGTTAGTTATTTTTTTGTTGAATACAATATATATATAGTTTCATATAACGAATACTGTACGCGCATAGTTGTATTTTAAATATTTTACATATTTTAATGTTTAACATTTTAGTGTGTAAATTGTTCATCAAACATGAAAATCTGTTGATTTACAACGAAAAATGACGCTTTTTATAAATTTGATTATATTGATGAAGTTTTCTTTTAAAATATTTTTTTTTCCTCGGCGATCATCATTATATATATATATATATATATATAACTTATACAAAGTTACATATTTTAATCTCATTTGTTTTAACAAGCATTTAAAATGTGATTTTTTCAAAATTATCAAAAAAATACCCACTTCTCCAAAACGGCAAACTCTTGTCTCTTGTAGAGCGAAAGTAGCTAAATTGATTAGAGATTACTTAATAAAAAAGTACTTTATTAGGTACATAGTATAAAATACTATAACACAAAAATAAACAAAAACACCATTCAAATAAATTCAATTTTTTTATTTTATGAACAAACAAAGCAGAAATTACGCCGTAAGAGTTAAGACATCCGTGCAGTATTTTAGACAGTCATTCAGCAGTATTGCCGACAACTTTACGTTAGCCCCAAAGTTCATTTTTCATTAATCTAGTAAATTAGCCTTACATTTTGTTATGGTTATGAAATTCATTTGGAAATACTATTTTAATTTTAAGTATTTATAATGTGGCGGAATACATCTTTTTTTAAACCTCCACTTTTCTTCGTCGGTAGAATATTCACTGAACAACGATAGTTGAATCCGTTTTAATCAATTGACGCAACTCACATTCGCTTAAAATGTCTTGAAAATCAACTATACCACATGTTTATGAAGGGATTAGTATTACTTACTGAAAGTTTGCAAGTACATCTTACTATATGTATCATACTGTTTAGAGAACGCTACCCACTCATAATTTGTATTATAAAACAGAGTTTGCGTGAATCAGTACTCTGTACTGTAGAGGCTGTGATAGTACTAGAATCAACAATTTTCCATAGAAAAATATAGGAGAATATTATCCATGTTTAAGTGTGGTATTTTTTAATAGATTGAATTTTTTTCTCTGTGAATGTTTATAGTTTAATGCCGGGTTGCACCAAATATTTACTCAGAGATAAATTCGATTAACTGGAGTTAATCATTTAGTTTATCATTGATTAGACCCTGTATGATGATAATATTAACTTCTACTGCTGATACCATTTCTTCGATAATCAGTATACTGGTAACGTTAATATAAATCAACGATTTAGCAACACTCGTAAATTTAACACATGTTAATTTAACAAAAGTAAGTTCATTACGGTGGTAAATAATTGACCAATAGATAACAATAAGTTTGGTGCAACCGGGCATTAGGGGTTTTTAGTGTTTTACAATAAAATATTAAAAACTAATGGACTGAGTAATCGAAAATTTAAAAACACTTAAGCACAGATAATGTTTTCCTCTAGTTACTGTGAAAATTACGCGATTTTACAACAATTACAGAACACTTTAATTATGATTCTTGCAAACCAATTTTGATGGACAAAATGAAGTTTTGTCTGTAGAAATGAGTGCGGTAGTCTGACAAAACAAATAACAATGAATAATACATTATAATTATATATTAATAAATAATAAGTATACACTATAGTTTTAAGTTCTAATTTAAGATTTTGGGCAATATTGCCTATGCTTTACTCTTAATAAATGGGTGGGTAGGTTCTGTGACAATATTTCTGGTACAATTTGCTATCCCATAATAACATAAGATGACATTAACGGCGCACTTTGACGCTTTCAGGTAGAAAAATCAGTCGGCGCAATATACTGTTACCAGTAAAAATACGCCAAAACAAAAATTAATGTAAGAGCTTTAGCATTTAACTATTCATTCACATACTATTAAAAAATAGTTCGTGATTATTTAATTATATTTACATAATGCCAATAAATGATTACGTATCATTTTCTAAGCAATTTACAATAATATTAAATATTACTAACCTAGGAAAAAAAAACTTCACACGTAAAAATAATAAATTATTATAAAATTGTATAATATTCAATTATGTACAAAATTACACGTGCGTAGTATACATTTCATTACGATCTATCGACTGTAAATAATTATGTAGGTACGCTTGTTCTGATGCCGATAACGCCATGTACTACGAAACTGCTAACGGACATTCTAGAACAACAAAAAATTAATCAGAAATAAATTTTAGAGTAGAAGGCAAGTAAAAATTGAAAAAAGTGTTTAAAACACATATACAAACAGTTAAACTGAAATGGGGGTGGTGTTATCTCTCTTACCTCCTCTCCCAATAATATTAACAAAACAAAAATCCTTATTAGATATGCCAGTTTATGGACACTAAAATTTCCTGATTATAAAAATAGAATACAAAAAATATCTGTCTGAATTGTAATGACAATTTTTTTTTATGAACCCATTAATATATGATTTAATTATTTAATTTATTATGTAGTAGATATGAAAAATGTATTTTAATTTTAATTTTTGAATAACAACAACGAACTTATAGTTGACTGTAAAAAAAGTTATTTAAATACATTTGCTTATTACAAATTTCACTTTTACAGTTTGTACAGTATTTGCCTAAACATGAAGAATTATTTCCTTTTATAATATACTAGTTTTGCCCCATTAAAAAAAACTAGGTTTAGTACGCTATAAGATCAATGTAAACGGTTAAAGCTTAAAATAAAACTACGGACGTGTAAAAGTAGATCGTCGCTTCTTTAGACTACCTAATTATTTGGTCACGCAAGATGTCCTAACGACAAAAGGGTAATGGAGCGTGTATATGTAATCTACAAATTGAAGTAGGATTAAGGTGATTCATGATTTAATTTTTTTGAGGCGTTTCAAAATACTTGATGATACAATAATGCTCGTGGGATTTATTATAAATTAACTAATAGTCATCATTAGGCAAGGGCGCTACAGGTAAAAATTCAGAGGGCCGCCTATGATTTTTTAATGGATTTTGGGAATTTGGGATACTGAATATAAATTGTTTTACTTTTAGAAGAGCGGGATGTTGCCTCCCCTGCCCCTCCCTGTGGGCGCCCTTGTAATATTAGGCACTTAATTGTACTTGGATGTTTTGGTATGTGCTACTTGTTGACATATTATACATATTCTGATATTCCGTATTTGTTTCTACGCAAGCAAACTGATGATTTACTCGATAAAAATGAATAAATATTTAATAGTACAAACATTTTCTAATTAAATACTAGAGAATTTACCAACTAGAATTTTTTTATACACGTATATAATAGACACGATATAGTGGTTATAAGCACAATAACTGGCTAAATGTATTGCGATTTATTTGAACAACTAAAATAGACATTATTTTTAACTTTAATAGGGCTTGGCATTACCTCATTTTAAACAGAATGCTTGTTAATTATTTTCTAAAATAAACTTAAATTTCATCACAGTAGCTTAGAAGTAAATATTTGTTATGAATGAAATAATTAGATCACAAGGCCAATAGATAGAAACTTATTTCGTTGCTTTCCAAAAGTAATGTCGGTCGATAAAAAAAATATATAAACAAGTTTTAAGTTATTTTATACAGCGAATCAGCGAGTGGTGGTATGCATTTGTTACGGTCCTCTCGTTATAGACGCTCTACACACAAATAGCAAAGTGCATTTTTCAAACGCCTACAATTAATTATTTTCGCTATGTCAATCTCACTTTCCAGTCGTCGTCGTCGGTATAATATTGAGTATAGATTGTACATAAATACTATACATTTGGAACGTATTAATATTATTATTTATACCATACTCATTGATGGCACTTACTGCAGACCGAACAGCCAGATTCGTCCGAGCCGTCGCCGCATCCGTCTCGGCCCGAGCACAATACAGCAGTGGATCGGCACCTACCATTTTTGCATCTGAACGGGCAATGATCAGTTGGTGGACCACGAGCCCGTGGCAATATAGATACCGTTTTATTGGTAGTCACCTGTACGCCACTGACACATAAACCTTCCAGTTCGTCTGACTTATCTGCGCACGTTACCACAGCATTGCACAGTTCATACTCGGGCAAGCAACGGCCATCTCCACACTGGATCGTATACGGTGGACACTCTAACACACAAGTTCACAATACACAGTTAAGAGTTAGTGCATATTACATATAACTATAAAATAAACGTACTACGAGTGCATTGATTTTAATTATTATGGTCGCATCCTTGATGAGAGTTATAGAAACGTGTACCTATCCAGCAGTTATAAATTCGTTACGTTGGAGAGAGTTTCAGTTTGAAAGAGGTATTTAGAAGAAAATTACATTAGTGTAAGTTTAATTGAATGGTTCAATTAACAATGGTACATTCAACAAATTTTATACTTAAAAACAAAGAAACTCTTACTTATCTACGTAGTGTTAGTGTGCATAAATCATTATGAATGACACAATTTCCTGACTTGTAACTGGCAATAAAGAGTGAATTGCTATGTAAAATGATGAGAATCAAAAAAGGGTATGAACAATATTTCAAAAAATAAATGTGTTTGATCATAAAATTTGTCAATGACCAAACCTTTTTCTACCTATACAAGTACAAGTTTTGCAATTGTTCTTAAATTTTTAAGAAGATTGAAAAAACGTATGAAAATCACATGGATGGTATTATGTTCTTCTAAGAGAACACATTGGAAAAACAACTTTTATTTTACTCTCCTGTAAATTAAAAAAAACCAATCGTATTCTTTTGATTATCGATATTTCATATGTTATGTTTTAAAATAATAACATTATTTGGCGACTGCCAAAATAAGAAATGCATAATAATAGTCACTGGCCATCAATAAAAATGTTGTTCTCGAGGATAAGGTGTAATTTATAAACAACTTGGATAATCCCACTATAATTTATCTATACCAGCATCAATAATGAAATGTTACACAAGTAACAAGTTCAGCTTAGTATAATAGAATAAAGAAATGTGTTATAAAGAAAAACATAAAGAAAGAAGTTTAAATTACATTCCTCATTTTATACATGTAACCGTCGGTGTGTAAATTGCTTACTTGTTACCAGTGTAATAATCTTGAAGACGTGCGTACCTATACGTTATACAACTATTTAATGTAATTTAAGATCAATATTTACCCTTGTGTCCAACAGCTTTACACCCTTCTTCGTCATCGCCGTAAGGGCAGTTTTGAATTCCGTCACAGCGTGTTGATCTCGACACACAGACATTTTTAATACCATTGCCAGACCTGCACTTAAATGAAGTGCTCGGACATTGTTGGCTTCCCGAGCATTCCTCGTCAGAGATATCGTCCTCGCCACAATCGCCTTTCCGGCCATCGCACACGAAGAACCAACTTATACATTTCCCACTTGACCGACACTAAAGACATACCATTAAATGAATATTTTCTTAAACGAAAATGTATATAAAAGGACATTAATTTATACATTTAATATATATATATTATGGCCGTAATATATAAGCCGTATTAAATTCTTATACCTGGAACGTGTTCGGTAAACATCCACGATTCTTTGCTGAACACTGTAGATTTGTTGTGCTGTTACTGAACTGACAATCACATACGCCTTGAATACATCTTGAATTTATATCATTCTGCATACATTGTGCATCAGTAGAGCACACAAATCCCAGGCTTATTCGTTTTTTGGAGTCGCCTTTCCTCGTCAATAAACCTAGAAAGTTTTATTTTTATTAAAATTATGTTTCTGCATTTTGTATCTATATGAAATCGAAACATTGATCAGTAAGCAGTTTACAAAATACATTATAAGCACACAATTCGATATTCACCTGAGTTAATTAATGGTTTCTTATACGGTTTCGCCGTAAGATTGTCATCGATTGTTTGATTCTTTTTTTGAGAATCCTTTAAAGGATTTTTTAAATAATACTTAACGGGTGAATATGTTGGCGTTGAAGTAAGGTTTACAAATAAAATCGGATTTTGGGTGCTAATCGGCTGGTTTGAATAATTTTTTATTTCACTTGTTTTGTTTGTTTTTAAAATAGGTTTTTTCAACGGTAGCCTACTAGTCGGTCTTGTTGGCTCTGATGTCGTTGTGGTCGCAGTTGGCCGTTTCAAATACGGCACCTTTTTCTTAAAGTCTGGTTTCCCGAACGGATACTTAAGCACCGAATTCGCTGGTTTCGCCAGAACCGTTTCTTGTCCCTTAGACGGACAGTCAGATTGAGAATTAGAATCACATACGCAAAATCCGAATACGCCTGGTATGGTAAACTCACATTTGTTTCTTTCATCCCACATTGTGCAATGTATATCACTATAACATACTTCACCCATTTTGGCAGCTGTGAACAAAAGTTGTTGGATTAAAAACACCGGTAGGTGATTGCAAAGTACTCGATTAATGGAAATTTGAATTATCGTGTCCCTTGTGGATCTAGAGTGGCATAAAAACAGGGAGGGTTCAAATTCAATGGACAATGTTAGAAAGTTTTAAAATTCAAAGTGTACAAAAAATATCGGAGATGAAAGTAAGTGTAATAATGATATTATATGTATATTTTTCGATATTAGACATTAACATTTTAAAATATAATTGTATTTCATCCTGTTATTGCTATTCTTAATAAGCTATTTAGTTGACAATTTAATTTACACGTGTATATAATCATTGATTATAAATACTAATATTTATAATTTATAATCAACAATGGTATGATATACATAAATATGGTTCCTAGTTCACTACTTACAGAATAAAAACATTAACGACTTACTATTTGTCTATATATTTACGAATTATAAAATATATATTAATTTTGTTTTCATAAGTATAATGTAGTATAATATAAATTATTAGGTACGTCTACCAAATTATGAAATATACTATGTCACCTATATCTTATATTATAATGCATGATCTATGATTTAGATCAATGGTGTTAAATATTTCAATATAATAACGTGTAGGTAAATCGTGTAGTTTGTGTTTACAGTTTACACCAAACAGATTACAGTTAATTTATTTCACACATTTTTACGCGTATTCGAAAAATTTCACGCATATAAAATTCGTGTATTATGACGATGGGAAACAGCCTCAGCACAGTACAGGTAGTCTAGTCATATTTACCCATTGTCATACATGCCTCCAGTTGTGTTATAAAGATATTTAAACCTCTAAACACGTATTCAACTAAGCGGACTATAACATGTCTATTTATTTATTTTAATAATATACAAACGTCAAAACAGTTGAAATTTGTTTCTTCGTTTTTTTTTTATTTGTTAGGTATATTATTAATAATAATTATTATTAAATATTATATTAATTAAATATACTATATCAGAAAATAAAATAATTAGTAAATATTTTAAACATTTAAAATTTAAAGCATTTTGAAATTTATTAGATAACTAATAAATCTTCAAACTCTGAAGGAGAAATCTGATCATTCTAAACTTAATTTTTCTTTTTCCAGAACAAAAAATTGTGTACTACAATTTTTATCTTTCTCTACGACTAAATCGTTTTATATACTAATAATTAAAAAAGTTGTAAAATATTATTTAATGTTTTCATTTTTCACAATAATAGCGTAATTTTGTTATAACAAAATTGTCTACGGTTTTAGGATTTTTTTTTGTTATTGTTATTATAACTATCATGATACAGCGTTATTTTATAAATGTTTTTAACGATAGCATGCAAAATTTGAACTGTTATACTACCTTTTTCAAGTCAATGACTCTGATGTTCAAGACTATAAATTGTAATAATACTATCTTATAAATTATTCTTACTACAATATATTAGGTAGCTAATAATCAATATTTGACTTATTTTTGTATAACTGTTATATTAGAATTAAAAAATGAGACTAAGTAATAATTAGCAGATCAAATCTATATTTGGCTACTTAAAGGCATTAATAAAAGGTAAAGAAAATAAAGAAGGTACAATATATCTATACACTGCAACACCTTTTTTCTTTTCCAATGTAATATGCTCAGAAGTAAACTAAGTGTTATGATAAATTATAATAAAACGTAGTGAATATATTTAACCATAGTTTGATTAGATACCCACATATCTTCTTAATCACATCCACCTAGTACATAATATTACAAAAAATAATCGATTCAAATCTAATTTTACAAATAACTACATTAAAAAAAAAAAAAAGAATTTCTATTTATATATATATATTTTAATTACTTTTAACCGTAACTTTTTTTTTTTGCTCTAAGTATGTAAAATTGGGTACAATTTTTTTAACTATGTAAATAAGTAACTGGTAATAATTGCATAGTTAAGTTAATATTATGAAAAACGCTATTGACATTTGACCTTATAATTCAGTAGTAATATTATCGAATAGGTACATTTTTTACTATTTGACTTTCAAACAAATTTGTTTTCGTTAATTGCGATGTAAAATTATATTTTGCTGTAGAACATTAAATCGTTATATCCGATAAATGACAAACGAGACGCCCACATAATAACATTCCTTTTTATCCAGGCCAAATCGGCTACGGGTGGATTTTTATAAATCCGTCGTATAATAGAGCCAACTGCCGAGAGAACCAAATTGTATTATTCGATATTGTGCCGAGATAATCATAGTGGCTGATGATTCAATAGTGTACCGAAATAGTTTATTGTACTTTCAATTTAAAATTTGCAACGAAAATCTCATTACCGCGTCACCGTACCGTTTTTTTTTCTTCTCTTGTGTCTACTGCAATATGTGTTAATCCCTTTTTCTACGAAACACAAATTAATCCATTGAAGCGTGTGACGTCAAAACCTATGTCAGTATTTTATTATATTACAGCTGCGAGACACATATGGTTTGCATAGTTCCTAACAGTGACAATATTCAGCAATAATCATGCTCGGAGTTTTATTATAGTTTTTGCTCTCGATTAGGATCAGCTGTTTTTTATGTCATAAATAAAAAATGTTGAAAATAATAACGGGATCTTAAATGTTAATGAACGATGTCAATGAACCAAAGTACTCGAGAAAAATCGTTGCATATATTTTTCACGCGATCGAATACGGTTGCTTGTCTGGGCTTACACGCGTGGGTAACCTATAGGCTATACACACTACAAAGTACTCGGCTATGTTAATATCCCGTATTGTTCTCCCACGTCGCTATGGGCAATTCCGAATACTAACTAGCTTCTTGTACTAGATATTTGTTTTGAGTAGCTTATATAACGGTCACATCGCCATGCAATCGGTTCCTTAATAAGTTTTTTAAAAAGCGAATCAACCGTTTCTTTATTTAATTTAAACCTATGCCGTTCTTCTCTTTAAATATAACGTTTGATTTTCGAACCACATAAATAAGGTAAATAAACACTACACATTACACACTTACGACTCAAACAGGTGTGCCTTCGGTACTGCCAAAATTTTGATTCGCACTGACAAACATTGTTTATGCACCTGCTATTGGCGACTTTCATTGAACATTGTTCGTCGACAACACATTCGAATCCTAAAAGTGTGGCTGTAAATTAGAAGTTTCGAATTAAAAATTATGTACAATACATTACAATAGTATTTATTTTTTTACTATTATCGCTAGTCCAGCTGAGGAAAAAGCTATTTATTTTTTTATAGTATTAACCTTAAATCATAACGGGGTTACAATGCTAATTGAATTATTCAGTGGGCAGTTATCAGCACGACTGGTAAGCCCGAGGCACTTGTAGAAGGCGCCAAGAGAACAGACAATGGTAATACATTTTATTACTTTTGAACAATGCTATAAGTGTTCTAGTTCCAGTTTTAGTTGCCCGAACCTAGACTAATTTTATTTTAGAAACGCTACCAGGCCTCAGCTAGAAAATTATATAAATGTAAAAAAGTCTGTGAAACGCCTTCGTTTCTAAACGTTCAATTTGATAACAAATTGGTAATAATTTTCAAGTTTCATAGTTGTCAAGTTGTCAGTCATATGTATCATTTATATCTTTGCTAGACGATTTACTTTCCCATGTGAAAATCGATGTATTACTACAATATTTATACATTCAACATAAATTATTCGACTTTAACCTTAATACAAAGTCGAGAGAGTAATGGTTAAATAGTAATGTTTTTATTTATTTGGCCGTCTGTAAGTACTTTTTCAATGGGTCACGGTTGTCTGATTCTTCATTTAATCATATAATGTTCCCTTTTTCTATAACAACTAGTAATCACAAATCGTACGTGTCTAGTTATTACCATAGGTAAATTACAAAATTTCAAATTGAGTCTTTCATTTTTTAAAGTAACTCTCTCCGAAAGACCAATCACTAGAAAATTGAAATAAACAGCTTGGATATGGTTAATAAATATACTTGTAAATATTTTTTTTAAAGATTCTAAAATACTTTTGGTGTTGACACTTGACTCCAGTAAAATGTTTAATATTTTTATTTATCTTCTTGCAAATTCATTTGTAAACTATATTTTTGCAATGTTAGGACTTGTTAAGGATAATCCTTAATAGCGTACTCCGGAGTAGGTACCATAGAAACCCGCAACATAATGGCGAATCTCACATACCATTATAACAATAAAATATTAAAATGTTTATAATTTTAGGGCAATTAACCTGTTAAAATTAATTCTCAGACCACATTTTGAATATTTTCAAAGCTTCAAACTATGTTTTTTTTTGGGGGGATTTAAAGCCTAAAAATTGTATTGAAAATCTAATGTGTATACTTGTTTAAAAAGTTAAGTTATTTTTAAAATAAAACCTTATAGTATTTACTTTTTACTTTTTATACCTACACAATTTACGATTAAAATACAAAATAAAAAAACCAAAATACACACTTTAATATTTTACTGAAATTATTAAATAATTTTAATTTATTATTTTTGTTAACACTTGTCAAGAATATTTATATTTTGTTCTATATTTTTTAATCAAAGTAGTGCACTTTTTAACATTTTAAATGTATAGGTAACGTTTTAGCAAACTAGTGAACCATATACCATCATTCTTTTTTTATCCAAAATATTACATTTATATACAATTAGATACTATAAATGTGGTAAAATGTATAACAATATATTTTTTGGGATAATCTTTTGTTATAGTATTTAAGCTTGCATTAAAGTTGTATTCTTTATTTTTTGTTTACTTACATTGTACACACGTGTCATTCATCCTTGCATAATATGGCAAACAAGTGCAAGTCTCCGACTCTTTATGACATTTGCTGAATTCTGTTCTACAGTCTTGATTAGATGAGCAACTGTCTCCCAATTCTGCTCCAGTAGTTCGTCCAAGAAAACTCTAAACAAATTTAATTCGTAAATTATCATAATTTTATACGGTATAGTATGTTTAAAATCGATTAAAAAAATGTATAAAGGGCGTAAGAAAATATGATATGAGTGAAAAATGGTATTACACTTGAAACTGTATTTATTGCAAATAAAATTATGTTTTGAACATTTTCTTAAATTTGAATTTTCGCTATATATATGAGTTTTTTTTTAAATTTAACTATCAATGAAGCATTAACTTAAGTTTCATTAGAACTCAACGTTCCAACACAAACCACGGAATATGACAATACATATTTTGTTTATAATTATTTTAGTTTTACTAACCAAAAGTTATAACAATGAAAGCTATGTGACGAGTTTTAATTTCTATATATTTATTTCTATTAGTAAAAACTAAAAAAACAAAAAAAGAGTCTCTAGTTCCTTCTATAAAAATACAACTAGAATAATAAGATGAATACGGTTGGTGCAACTTCTATACTTTTTCAATATGTATAGTCAACCACCAATGTGTATTTAACTATTACAAGGAAACATGTCAAGACATCTAATATCTACTACTTTTTAAAAATCGTATTTAAAGTTCAGACGTAGCATGCATGTGCAGTAGTTTTGAGTTACAGTTTGCTCTCCGGTTTAGATGAAAACGTCTAAAAAATTTAACTTTGTAAAATTGTTCCTATAGGAATTATAAAATTATATTTTGTAGACTGTGGGATGCTGAATGATAAATGTGATCTGGTCAATAAACGTCAATAACGTAGCGAGCTTAATAGATAGTGTTACATTGGAATTAAAAAACTGGAATGTTAAAGAGGATGTGAGATGTAACGCGGACCGTAACACAGTTTAGTTTAAAACACAAAGGGGAACGATTAAGAATTAATTTATAAGTGTGGGCGGAAACTTATGTCTACAGTGTATTTATAATTGAACGACAAAACGTTAAGCATGAAACACTAGTAAATCGTCGAAGTCACCATGTAGTTTTTAAGTTTTATGTCCTAATACAAAAGTAATAACAAAAATAATCTTACACATAAAACGTTAATATTGTTCCATGTCAATGGTTTGATGTTTTAATGTTTAGTATATAAAAAAAAACATTTTTGATTTTTCCATTTTAGACAATTTTATTTTATTGTAATAATAGCAATAAATTATAAAAAATTGAGAGAAGGGGCTTAAAAGTTAAACACCAAAAATATACTAAAAAGGCCCTTCATGTAACTTAATGTAAGAAACGTAAACAAGTTTGAGGGTGCTAAGCACACTCAAGCCTCCCTTAAATTGTGTCTATATTAACGCCAATAATGAATACTTAACCGTGGCAGCTGATATTTTATCATTTTATTTTGTAAGTATTCTTAGTATTTTTTAACTTCCCTGCTTCCCTAATGGTATTATATTTTTAAACTTTCAGATTTAGACATATTTTAGTTATTAAAATTACATTAGGCACAAAAACAACATCCAATCGATAATCGCACATCCAAAATTATCTCAGTAATATAACGTATCGTTTCATTCTGCCTTAGAGCTGGACTTATCATTAATCATTATCGTGTTTTAATTATATAAATGCTAAGACTAATTGTAACCAGGTCTAAACAAAAAAAAAACATTATCATTAACTATATGTTTTATGTATAAAGTTTAAATACGAAATGCACTTTATTTTTTAAATACTACTTACTCAATAATGACTAGTCTTGAAGTTCCTAAGTTTTGTACGTATTTATTATTAATTATTTTAATTGTTTAAAGTACAAAACTCTACACTCTCAATAATGTGATAGGGATCCATTGAAATATAAATTGTATGAGTATTTTAAATACCTATACCTAAATTAATTTGTAGTAATATATATTATAAGGATTAAATATCAGTTCAATAATTAAATTATGAACATGTTATTTTATTTAGTATCTCAATGTAATGCATGCGTACTGAGGAATAAGAGAATATCAATACTAGAGTGATTCATAGGTTTAATATTTACAAATAGTGAGAGGCAATATTGTTACTAGTAAATAGCAGTTATGGTGTAGTTAGTAGTAACGTAGTAGTAGTAGTAGTAGTAGTAGTTTTCGACTAAATAATTCATGATTTGTCTCGTTTATTAGGGCCACATTTTTCAGTGGAAAAAACGCTGGAAAATATAATGAAAGTACCTACCAATACAAATATAATAAAACGTATTAAGTATAACAAAAAGAAAAATCCATCATTTAATAGTGCGTTATATATTACAATACACGTATTATTTATTAACTCAGGTCATACGTGTATTTTTTAGAAATTTTTTTACAAAATTCATAATCTTATTCAAAATTTCTGCTTTTAATAAAATGTTTTGCAAACATTTAATAATCCAGTTTCATTAACACAAAGTATATACTATAACTCTATAGTTTTGCTCAGGATTTAGCAAAAATATTATAATCTAAAATGATAGCCATTCATTTAAGTATTGTATATAATTATGTATTGTTTAACTATACTTGGTATAAGTATGTTATACGTTTTTAATAAATAAGTACTAAATTTTATTACATAAAAAATCAAATGGGAACTATCATTTAAATTATTTATGTGTTATTAATTTGATCCTTGTAAGTTTATAACACTCATGACATATTTTAAATAAAAAATAGCTCCTAGATCTAATTACGTCTATGATGACATCTTGTAAGAACATTTTAGTCATTTACAATATTTACCTAAAAAGATTCCCTAGTATAAAAAGGTTTTCACTTTTAAATGTTTTATAAAAAAATAAAGTAAAACATTATACACATCAACTTAACAATGAAAAAAAACCTACGTGATAAAAAATATTGTTTACACTCATAAAGGTGCGTGTCATTTGTTAATATTTGACTACGTATCATACCTATAGCAATAAAAACAAGAGTCTTCTTTGGTTTTTATGGACTTCTTTCGGGGGGGGGGGGGGGGGGGGGAATTGACGCGTTTTACACTTAACCGTAATTCTAGTTTTTGTCTGTGTACTTTATGTATTTACTTATGTTGTGAACCAATAGTTTAAGCCTTTACCTGTTAGCGCGTATAGTATACACAAGAAACCGTGTATGTTCATTGTTGTGTAGTCTTATATATGTGCACCGTCATTCCCGACCATAAATCTAATAATATAATAACAATAATAATATTTGTGCTATATTACCATTCTCATATTTCTCACGTGAGACCGTATTTTAGTCTAAGAAGTCCTACTCACGGGTGAATATTTAGCTTCTTATATTCCGTTATACGCAAGCGGCACGAGGAATAAGAAACGTTTTTGACATTCGTATTCATATGTATTTTTTTTTTTTTTTTATCAGTATTGCCATAATCTCGACAGCACAACAATGCAATAATTTATACGAACGTCTATATTTTAGTTGAATAACTTTATAAAATTCGGTTTAAAAATATTACAAGTAGAGTAAACGTGATTAGCAATTTCAAATAAAAATACATTATGCACTAGTAAGTATAAGTGTTAATACGTAACTACGAAGTTTACCATTCATACTTATGAGTTATGTCTTATAGGTACATTTCACATTAATATTTTGCCTGCACAATAATAAATAGTTAATATTCATAATAATAATAATAAGTGAATAAAGCGCCTATTACCTAATGTATGCAAATAACACACAAGTACTTCATACAATATTTAGAATCAGACGTGAATAATTTTTTTTAAAAAATAATAAAATATAAAATTGAACATCAAACAATGTGCAAACAAATTGCATTAAACAATAAACAATATCTTATTTGAAATAAACTTTAACTTAAATCCGTGGTTAATTGATGTATTAACATTATTTCGAAACTAAAATAGTATTGTATCATTTAAAATCATTTACATTTAATTATGATTTATGTTTCTACCGTAATTATTTCTAACTTTTAATGAAATTTAACATAACTTTTTTCCAGGGTCCGCCTAAGCAGCAACCGACGCCCTTAGCTATAGTGTTGGGGCCGCACAACTACTGTTTAAACGTTTTGCAAGCTATACATCCCTAATTATCAGATATAATATGTATGTATTTATGAGCTATAAATAATAGACCATAAATAATGTTGAAATAATTAATTGGGTATGTTAAATACAGCAGAATATTCCGAAGAACTATAATTTAGGCTTTTATTACTTTAATAATAATATAAAATTAATAAAATCTAAAAAGACGTTTGGCCAACACATACATCCATATCAATTTTTTTTTTCTAGTAAATCTCATATCGAACAATAGTGATATGTGTTTAACTCTAGAAACTGTGCAATTAGACTACTTATATATACTTTTAGCGTATAAATGATTGGGACACGCCTGGGGCGTTCTTCATAAACCAATTCAATGATCAATGTATTTTTGTCGTGTCACCATCACGTTAGATCTATTTGTTCACAATAAGTCCAGACAGACGTCTACGCCAGAATCAATTGACGGGAACGTTTAATTTAACAATATAAAATGAAATGTATACCTAGTCAATATCCTCAGTCTGTTTTATCTTCGAGTATGCGATTGTAGTATTTGTATCCCCATCAAAGATTATTGATTTAAAAATGTTGTTTTATTGTGAGATTTATATGCCAATCTAAATGTACTCAATGAAAGGAAGAATAAAAGAGAAAATCAGAAAATAACGTAATAAGAAAAAAGCCGTTCGAATTAGGTTAAACTCTGCAATTCACTCGAGCGGTTAAATGAATAAAACGATTTACTTTAATTCTATAATGCAAGTTTTTTATGTATCTATTTATACCAAACCCTTTCTACTCAGTTATAAAAAAAATATATTCATTTTTCAATTTTTGTAAATTATTTACTTAACATTTTACCTAACGTGATGTATCCAATTATATTTTTCAGGGAGTTAACAAAAAATGATAAAATATTAAATATATGTTTGATTATAATATGTTGAACTATCTTTACAAAGACAAGGTTTTCAAATTTATAAAAAATTAAAATATTGTTATACAAATTTAGTTTTGGAATAGGTAGGTTAATCCCATAAAATTTATATTTTTCCAAACCGTTTTTGTATTAATTAAAAAATCAATTTGCATCTGTAATAAAATTCTTAATTACCAATTTTGTTTATAATAAAATATAAATATGACCGTTTCTGTGAAAATAGAGACTATTTTATTGACATCTATACTATAATAGTTAGATCTATCAATCAATTTTCTTATAATGACATTATTATGTTTCTTAAATTAAATATATATGAACAATAATTAAATCAGATGCAAATAAAATAGAATAAATCATTATCAAAGCTTTATAGTATATTGAACACAGATCATCATTAATCATAATTAAGCAAAAAGACGGAAAGTTATGAATTGAGATGGTATGTTAACGAGACGAATACACTTAATGCATTCCCAGATGCATGAATGCAATCGTGCTCATATAATATAGACTACATCTTTTTGTGTAATTGTTCGTTAATAGCACATAGTTAGGTCTATTATGTAGCTCTCTTTTATTACATTAGATACCTAATTAATCTCTATTATAATGTATTGTTGGTCCACTACTTTACTAAGTATCATTGCGGAGAGATTTTAAAATAGATTCTTGTAAAGGATATAAAAAAAATATAAAGCGAGATGTACCTAAATCTATTTATATTAAGCACACGTGTATTAACGCTAGGCTTCAATATAGGCGTCAAAAATGTGCTTAGCCCACCTCAAAAAGCTGAATAGCCACACTAGGATTTTAAGTTTTGTTTATAGTTTATTACTAATTATACTTGTAGTAATGGAAAGAAAACTGATGCAATATTTCCTTTTTTTTTTTAATTTAATAATCAAATAAGAAATTTATTTTTAAACAATTCATATTTTTCAAACTCTATACAAAGGCGCACTACTTATTAAAATATATTTATATTAATTAAACCTTTAATGCATATTTTATACATTATACGCCGATACGCGAATTAATGTACCTAAGCTGGTAAGTTTTCCATTTTTAACAAAAAAAAAAATATGTTTGTGTAGCATTTAACAGTTAAATTAAATAAAGACCACATTTTAGCTTACTTACCTCAAGTACCATTACAAAGCAAAAGCCTTTTAAAAGATTAGGAATCATTGTTTTCTTGATTTTGGCAACACTCAAAAATGGAAATAGATATAAGAAGTCACGTAGTGATATTTTTTACAAATTAAAAAAACTACTCGATATCGTAATAAACTTTACGGTCGAAGAGCTGTAACACATAGTTGTAGCACAGCACGACCCATTCGGTCACCCAACACACTGTTACACCGGAAAAACTGAGATCCCGGCCGGAGTGCACCGCGCGACATACTACTATCCCCACCGAATTTCCTTTATAGTAAATTCTTTTAGGCTGCAGCGATTCACAATGCATAGGTGCTATCCCGATAGTTAAAACGCTTATGTACAAAATTATTAGACAGGGCATCACGCTTGCGAAAAGGGATATGGGACTTTTCTAATATTCCACACATTGAAAAAAAAGTAAAATACACGCAATAACAAATAATCAAAACGTGTGTAACATTAAACATTTTCCGATTTTAATTTAATTTTACAAAAATTATATGGATTTTTAACTATTCAAATATACATTTAATTTGAATAACACTACCTACAGTACCGTGCTAAGGGGGAGGGGGGAACATTGTTGCAAGCATTGACGAAAATTTGAGAGGGTTTGGGGACCTTAAAATTTGAAGGTAATGCTTGTCAAAATACCTACATGTTTGAATTTTATTTTTTAGCGAGAGGTTTGTTGAATCTAACAATTCCAATTTCAACTTACACTATGTACAGTCGTATAGAGTATACTAACATTTTTTTAATGTAAACTGACAGTTATAGCGTTTTCAAATAATTAAAAACTTAGAAAATTCTAGTGTGATAATGAAATCAACTTATAAATATAAAATTTGGGATGGCTCGGCCTTTTTTAAATAGTTAGAGTTATCACGGAAGAAAGATTTAGAGTTAGAGATAGACCGAAGAAGCGGGTGGATGTTGTGACTTGTGTGGAGTGAATAAAGAATGGCTCCCCATTTTGCCAAGAAGAAGATGCATATAAGGTGTTAAGAAGGGGATCACGCCACTCTTTATTTTGCATGTAAAACAACACTAAGGAAGTGAAGTTAATTCTAAAGAACTGAGTAGTTTTATACACTTAATATTTTATAATACTATTTGGATAAATGTTGGCTTTGGAACTGACATATTATAACAGTTTTCAGTTATATATAGGCTAGATTAAACTAAGACAAGAGGTGAACGAAACAGCGAAAAAAAGCAATGTACCTTTCAAGTCGGGCGAAGAAACGATTGTGATTATTAGCAATTTCTCCTAGTTTGGCCCATTCATGTAGAAATCAGAATGACTTCTTTAAAACACGGTCACGAAATCGATATGTATTGGCCATTGTTTAAAACGTTGTACATTCAAAACAATATAAATTTATAAGTACCATATATAAATATATTTTATGCATATAATACCAGTCCTCGATTATAGAAATAGAGCTGCCTACAATAAAATATCGATCTACTTTTGTAAGAAACATAGAAAAAAAGTTGAACGTTAATAATGAATTAACAGATACTTTATACAAAATGTATAGTTTCTCTTTAGCGAACATCAGGATACATTGTAATGAACTGTAACAAAACTAATATGTACAATAATTTTTGCAATCGTATTTTTACATATTCATGTTTATTATAGTTCAGTAATAATATCGATTAAAAGAACAGTATTTATACCAAATCGATAAGTAAATAATTTAAAATGTGCATAATATAATTACATTTACCTGGTATACATTGTTAGATTTTTAAACTACTGACTGAAGTATTGAATATTCAAATAAACTCAAGTCAAACATTTATGCTATATTAATTAGATAGCTATGTAGGTGTATTAAAAAAATAGGTACTATAAGTGCGTTTAAAGTTTCTATTAAAATATAGTTGAATCACATATTATGGGACTTTTCACTACTATTTTATAGCCGATAGTTGTTTATAAATAATAATATATTTGATATTTGTAGACAATAGTCTAGAACACGAGCCTCTCTAACGTGCTATAAGTAGGAAATTAATATTCGTATCGCGGCATGTTTTCATAAGGATAACTGTAGCTCGGTTTGAAAGGTCTCCATCCGTAGTGTTCAGATAGTGGATCGTATATGATGTCTTGACTATTAGACAACCCATTGTTGTCGATCTCGAAAGCCTCTTGCGCCTGACCTACTGATTTTCTCACCAATCTTAAACATTGCACCAAGCTCACTGGGCAACACCACATGTAGATCAAAATTTCTGCAATATCACCATCACAATAAATATTACAAGGTATACAATAAAACCACATGATGTAATATTTTCGCTAAAAAATATTTTTATACAATTATTTATACATCTGACATTAGGTGTACGAACTAGCTAACTTTATACCTTCATCTTTGTTTTGTAGTAATCGTAAAGTTTTAACATTTTAAAAAAATATAGAAAATAATATAACACAACATATGTCATCGAATTTTATTGCCATTGCCTACTTTATTTTTATTAACTTTTTTAAAACGAATTTTTTTGTTTTTATTTTTAAAAAAAAACTCCTAAATGGTAACCAGATTTTGCTTGACGGTAGAACTTTTATTTTTAATATTAGACTAAAAGTTCTAATAAAACTATTATTTTTTATTTTTGGAATTTACATATCATTATTTGATCATTATCAATAATAAGGAAAATACATTTCCATATACCTACATTTCTATTTTGGCGAAAACGAATATATACATTTAACGGCCAATATTACAATAACGTAACTCTTTAAAAAAATATTTGGAATAGCAATGTTAAAAGTCTTATAAAGAAAAATAAAGTATTAATAATTTGATAAAAAGTCTATAATATAAAATTAATTTATTATTTATATAATATCATACATACGCAATAAAAAAACTCCAATTACAGAAACTAAAATGAGAATCAAAAAATTCAAAACGTTCATTTTTATCAACACCATCGATGTTATCACGATGTAAAGAATTACCAACAATCTCACAAATTCCAATATTATATACGGTAAAATCAACATTATTGCATTCTAAAAAATATAATATTTATTAAGTATAATATACTATATGAGATATATTATATGAGTACACTGTACATATAAATTTATATATTATGTACCATGTCTATTAACTAAAACCACTTATTATCATATTTATTACCTTATAAGCACCATATAACAACAACAAACAACTTATCGTGTAGACAATATTATATATTATAATCCCCAAAATATAACTATTCGGATCTGTAACAAAGAATACACATGCATTTGGAATTTGAAAAACAAATTTTATTTAAACTTTTAGATTTATACAATACATTTTAGATGTGTAAATAGATAATAAGTTTCAAAATGTATCTAACCTTTTTCTATTGATCTCAAAATATCCGTCGTATACGCCATATTATTTGAGTGAAGTAATAAGTTCAATTCACATGATATTGTTCCTGTCATATTTAAACTTAAAATACATAATATTTCTGAGAGAATTGATTGTGCCTGAAAATAAAATTTCTCAATTTAGGCTTAACTTTTAAATCATTAAAATCAAATGGTGCTTGTACGTTAACGATTCCTATTGAAATTGCTAAACATCTAAAGTGAAACAATTGGTTGTTTGGAAAGTAAATACAGATAATTTGAAAGCCTATATATACCCAACAAAATTGAGTAGGTACTAAAGTTGTTTTGCGGCATGCGCTTTCACACATTCAGTTCCTAGTTTATTGCTCATAATACATTTTTTTTTCATAAAAAAGCATTCTTCTTTATGATAACTTTTGTACTACTTACATTTTCGGTTTTTTTATTACCTACACTAGAATCGTGTTTAGAATAGTGTTCAGAAAACGTAAAAACTTATATTCTAAGGAAATTTCTAATACATTTTATAAGTATAATTAGTATATAGACTATAGTGTATAAGACTAAAAAAACTTAAGCAACACTTTTGGTTTTATATATTAGAGAAATAAAATTATAAAATATTTTTTAAAAAAACCTAACGACAAAAAAAAATATACGCGAGTAGTCGTGTTGTAGTATATAAATACACGTATTACGGCAGCAATAAATGTTCCGTAATAGGAGATATGTGTTTTTCATGTTCCGTATGTGTTCTTTAAACCTAACCCCGATGTTTGGTTCTTTCTGAGCATTTATCAAATTCAACACACTGTATTTAAAAAAATCCCCGATTTTTTCTCTTGCCCTATTTTATCTTTTGTGCTACCTAATAAAGATTTTAAATTATTTTTTTTATGCAACTATTTTTGTTAATCCTTTTGAGTTTACGAAAAGAAAACAGATCTTATTTTTTTTTTCATTATCCCTCCTACTAAGCGTGCTGGTTATCCTACCATTCCAGTTTCCTTGGCCATTCATGTTTATTAATTAATCTAAAAATCATCACTGCATCATACCCATTAATTTTAGCTATCTCAATTATTACATTTTTAAATCGTCGTTAAATATAGGAATATTGACTAATCTGAAACCATACTATTAAATGGTGCTATTTTCTGTTATTTCTATTATATTGTTTCTACGGTGAATAAAGCCTAAAAATCAATGCGTCCTGTAAAATATCAACTATTTTTCTAATAGATAAACTATAATCAAATATATTGAATTATAAATAAATGAGAATGTATGTCGCAGGGTTTTATTACAGAAATTCAGTTGTAGCATTTAACAATTATTAAGAAAATAATATTTCAAAAACAAAATTAAAAAAGTGGCTTTCTTAAAACGTTAAAAAATTAGACATCTAGACAAAGCTATAATAAATATAAGTACTACCAAGTACCAACCGATAAACATTGGCAAACAAAAAAATTGCATAATAAACCCTTTCCTCTAGAAGGGATAGACAATTTTTCTTTATTTTACTTTTTCAAGTAAATTTTAGGGATTTGAAAATTAGACCGAAGGTACATCTTGAATGGAACTATACCATTTACAATTTTTTCAAAAATCTGTAGTAAAATTTTTGTTTTATTAGGGAAAACCCGAAAAAAGGGGAATATTATACTTTGGCCGTAGTCAACTTCCAGGTTGCTAGTGTATGAAAATCAACAGCTAACAGGTAATGAAAATATTTTCATTATACTGTTAACTACGATCAACTTTAATCGTATCTACCTTAATACTATAAATTAATTTATAAGCACTTATTTGTCATTAGGTACAATGCTTTTATCGATATTTTTATTTTTATCAGTGGACCTCCCTTACTCACTTATCTACGTATAATACTTCCTTACTGTGATAATTTATACTGTGCTTGATTTTGACTGTACTGGTTTGAACTTACTGTCCACAATTTTGCATCGAAGCGTTTATTTAAAAGTGATTTTATCACTTTCAGACATAATAATTCCTGTAGATCTGTGACCTCCCCGTTCCCACTATGCCCCGACCCCACTGTACTGGCTTTTTTCTACGAAATAAATATTATTGCTTTCAATTAAATCAATTAAGACCAGAATGGTGCAATAAAAATAATAACTAGTTTTACATAGATATGATATCCACGTCTTATAAAACCTTCATTTTATCCTACAGAATTATCGACACGCCGCTTTATCTCACTTCATCTTTTTACATTTTATCCTATTTATTAATACGTGTTACAGTAGCACTGCTACTCGTCTTCTTAAAAATCATCATTCTTCTCACTACAGATCCATCTCGTTCACTAAGCATCTTATCTTTTATCCTGGTGGTTATGAGTTTATCTCTAATCCTGATTTTTTTCTGCTAACTCCTGAAATTTATAGCTATAGGTACTAGTATTTTATTATAAATAAGAGTTACTTACTATTGATATCAATCCAACTATAATTGTTCCAAGACGTAAAGGAAACCAAGTACAAAAGGTATACATTAGAGGCATTTCGTATCAGTATAAATTATGGCACCTCCATTTGTAGTAAATAAACACGGTAACAATCAGCACCGTGTCCGATTTCATATTATTGTCATGTATATTATGGCATCACATGTCATACATGCATAGCTTGTCTATTTGCCTATTGATTTATTAATTATGTAGGACTCACAATAACTGATGTTAACCGAGATAAACGTGACCTTTTTTATAATACATGGAAACCACAATTGGTAGTTATAGTGTTTTTAGTAACTTATGCTGTGTAAAATTACCGATCAATATTTTAAAATATTGTAATTTCTAATGATCACAATGTTTTAACATAAAATTAATGCGTAAATGTTTTTTTAACCTCTAAAACTACAGACATTTATAGTACCACAGAATAGACTAATAGTCTATTCTGCGATAATACTGTAATGTCATTACTCATTATTATATCACCTACGTTTGAACTATCAGTATTCCATGTAAGTAAGAAATCTCGTGTTACAGTAAGTTATGAACAGACTATTAACATTTTAAATATTTGTATACTCACTGGAAATAAACATTATAATTTAATTACAACTAATTGTGCACATTAGTTTTCAATAAAACATAAAATACTCTTAACATTATTAACTATTTCTTACTTTTTTCACATTGTTTAATACTTAAATTTATATCTTCCAGACCAGTATCAGACAACCTGCCCACCATGCCACAAAAACATAGGATGTTGATTGAAATAACATAACATGTATTTTGTGACTTATATGGCTGAACACCCTATTTATTGTGTGTTTAAAACTAAGTTTCTAACTTGTTATTTAAATAACCCTCTTAACTAAAGATTTGAAATAGGTAAATAAATAACAATTCAATGAGATGAATAATTTTACTACTCAACACGACATAAAAACATAGTGTAATTCATTCTATACAAACAATGTAATATCTTCCAATAAATAACAAAAATGTAATTAAAACAACGCTAGTTCTAAATTGATACAGGAGTTTTGAAAATAAAGCCCAAACTTGCATCATCTTTGTTAATTGTAATTAATTTATTGGTTTCCTTGGGGTCGCTATAAAATCAAAACATAGTATTGTTATTGAAATGTCAATGTTCTAATTATTTAAGTAAGTACAGCTACAACATTTACCTATTACTAGACCATAGACCATGTTTGTTGACTAGTAATAGTATCATAAGAGCAGGTAAATGAATCAAAGAAAACCTAAATAGTTTCCTCGACGACTTGCTATCAGATTCTTGATAAAACTTCCAAGCTGTGAAAAAAGATTACGTCAATATATTAATTTTAAACAGAATAATATTATACAGGTCATTCTTTTATCATAGGCTACTCAATATCTCATAGGGTTTTATAAGAAATAAACAATTTTTTTTTCATATTGTTTTTATACAAACGTTTCAATTTTTCACAATTTTTTTTTGTTTTTATCCATCTTCCAACTTAGGGTTTTTTGAAAGCAACTTTTTAAACTTAAATGGTATTGCATATATTTTACTAACTTTTTAAATTGAGAATAATGTACTAAACATTTTGACTGGTCGTTAACCAGTTTCGTATAACTATTTTTGAAGTTTCATGTTTAAGGCAGGAGAAAAGGTAGAGTGTAGTATTATTTTTATTTGCGCGCATTTCCCAAACGCACTTCCCCTCTTATCCTAACTTTAAAAATAGTTGTCCAATACTGGTTATCAACGATTCAACATTTTTAGTACATTATTCCAAATTAAAAAAGTTAGTAAAATATATGCATTACCATTTAAGTTCAAAAGTTGTTATAAAAAAAACTAAGTTGGGAGGGGGCTAAAAGCAAAAATTGTGAACAATTGAGATCACATTCTTTAAAAACAACATATTAAACCCTATGAGATATTGAGTGGTCCGTGATAAAATAATCACTCTGTGTAAATAGTATATACCTAAGTAGACGAAATAAGCATTCAATGGCGCAACAGCAATTGAAAAATACATATTGGTCAGTTCACACAAAGGAGCTGCACAACACAAACCAAATATACCTATAGTGTAGCGCAATGCTGTTCTTCTACATAATCCTATAATAAAAATTCCAATATGTATGGTTAATCAAAAATCAAAACAATATTTGTTTTCTCTAATTTTACCTGGATTAGTAACTGACATCATTCTATAGCCAGCTCTCGAGTAGTCTGGTCGTAAATTCCATGATAAAGCATTGAAGTGAGGAAACTGCCATGTATACAATAAACCAGCGAGTAACAAACCACCGGGATCAATAAGTCCACCAGTACAACCTGCCCATCCAATTAGTGGAGGTATTGCACCAACTAATTAAAATTAAAAAATTAAAAACCATCAAATATACAAAATAGCAAAACTTAAATTTGTTAAATTTTCAATTTATGACTGTGAATTACCTATTGAGCCAATCCAAGTATTTAAAATACTAATACGTTTCATTGGTGTATAAACAGACGTATACAATATTAAATTTGTAGCGCCCAAAGCGGCTGTTATTGGATTTGCACCATAATATAAGGTAACTATACCTAAAGACCCACAGACTGTTGCAAACATAAGTGCATGAAGTGGCCTAAAAAAATTAATTTTACAATTATTTATATTACAAGATATCAAACTTAGTCGATAAAATAATCATTAGTAATTATCAGTGGCAAAGTGTTATAATAGCTTATAGAGATGATGGTAAAATGTCTACCCACTTTTATTTAATTTAAATTAGTATAATAAATATTCTACTTTTTTTTTAATCTTGAATTTATGACTAACGCCTTGCTACTGGTCAGTATTGACAACTAAGTAAATTTGAATCTAATAAGTCACAGACCAATGTTTATTACACATAAATTAATTGGTTATGCCAAAAATCTTACGATATTATGCCACGAACGAGTACTCGGTTCTTAGTTCTTGACATTTGAGCGTCAAATGGCACTTCATGATATTGATTTATTGAATTAGCAGCTGCTGATAATAGACCAGTTCCAGCACAGCAGTATGTCATTGTTAATAGATCAAATGGAGCAGGAGCCATCGCATAGCCAGCTAATGTTGTCATCACCACCAAAGCTATAGAATAATGTTAATTAATATTTTCATATAGTATCTATGTGTACCCAATTCCTATATTTACATGTTTAAATATAATTCACTTTGATTTAAATTAACCCTACAAATAAGCAGAATTTGTTTATAAATGTCTTAAACAACATCCATTTTACAGTGATAATAAACACCTTTATAGAAATATGTATGTGTACTTACTGGTTAATCGACTTTTCGAGAGTTTTGAGTAATGAAGGTGCAAGTCTTTGAAATTGACTCTTACATCCATCCATTCTTTATCATTTCTAATAATATTTTCATTGGCACTACATACAGGTTTTAATTGTGGTGGTAACTGTCTACCATTAGGCAATACTGACTTAGGATTATCGACAATTGTTTCATTGGCTTCCAGTATCTTTGGTTTCAATGTTGTCTGGGATATCTAATTAAATATAATATTTTAGATATCTAAATTAGTCATAACTGAAACAAAGCTAACCTGGCGGGTAATTGTATGGTTTATACAAAAATATATTCTCCTGTGTTGTGCCCCATTGCAAAGGATTGTTCTTAATAAATGTTGCATAATTCAAGTGATTCAACGAGCAGCTACAATTGCTCATTTTTACACAAATGATCGCAAAATGGTAATGTTACCCTATTACCAGCTCTGAAAATAAAAAAATACATCATTATTTTAATTTCGACGTATGCATAATAGTAAAAAAATCAAAACATTTGTTAAACTAACTTTACGGTTTTGATCATTTAAATAACTCATGACTTTTAAGTGTAAGGACACAAACACTGAACAGTATCAAAGGAAAAGATAACTGAAATTGATCACAACCCTTATGATAAAAGATGGTTATGTTATCAGCTCGTTTCTAACATTCTACCATTTCTATGCAAGGTGGATTGGTCCACCTTGATTCTTTGATTCTACCATCGAGATAGATAAGAATATTCTTATCTATGTCGATGTATTCTACTTGTGTTGATATTTATTATTTTTGTTTCGGCCATGCCCTTACTACGACAAGACAAGTTCATCTTGCGGAATAGTACATCTTGGTTAGTCTCCATTGATAAAAAAATAAGTATGAAGATTGTACGCGAATGAAATCGATGTATCTTAATTAATCTTTCATAAGTTTTATAAATATTAGTAACTATAAGCGTTTTTTTACAAAATCGATCGAGTTAATAGTACATAAAACGCAGAATAGACTAAATTATCATAGTTCGTAGATCAGTACATAAAAAAAGAAGTAAATGGAAATGCTATTCAACTCAGTTCTGTTGTACTTGTTGATTGGCATAAAAAACTAGGTACATCGTTGTGGCTATCATTTGAGTATTTTTTTTTCAAAGTAAGTATATATATTTTTTACTTGAAACTATGTACCCCTATTATTACATTTTTTAATTACTGTAAAGCTAATTCGCATTAACACCGAATGAGCTTCTGATGAAATGTCATTGTTCGATATCAAGTATTGTCAGTTAAGGAGGTGGCACAGTCAACTATTTTTCTACCAGTTTAACAGCAGACCCGTGACAAGTTTAGTCGTCCCTGCTTATGGGCCGATCTGTTAATCTCTTTATGACTATTCAAATTATTATTAATAGTTTATAATATAGTTAAATTGTGTAATCGTATAAAATAAGTTTGTGTGTATGTTGCTGGTGGTATCGATTCACCAGAATATGCAATTAAATAAAATTCATAACCGTAATAAGGTATTGAGCTTCAATCACCTTGTCTCAGTCATTTAAATTATTATCATAAAACTAATATTTTAGTCCAAAATATGTATTTTTCAAAGGCATTAACTTAAAAACAAATTGAATCCAAAATATACATGACCTTTATAAAAATGTGTTGCCCAATAATAATATTTTAAGACTCAAAGCAAAATTTAAAAAAAAAATGTTCTTAAATTTTATGTATTTTGAAAACTAACTCATGCAGCCATGTATTTATTCCACTACAGGCTTAACATATCATTCAAAACATGGAAGTTATTGGTGATTATGAATATAGCAGCGCTAATCGTTTGGGATTAGGAGCTTTTGCAATTGTTTTCAAAGGCCGTTCCAGAAAGGTATTTAATACAGTTTTTAAAATTTTCTTTTCTGAAAGGATTGGCATATTAACCATGATAGACTTATTATACACAAATATATAATACATATTAATATTTATTTTATTTATAATTAGAAACCTGATATGGACGTTGCAGTCAAAACAATTATGAAGAAAAATATACCTAAAACTCAAAGTCTTCTTAAAAAAGAAATTGATATTCTGAGGGTAAGATATTTTGTCTATATGGCTTAATATTTTAAGGAGAACGGAATGCGCTATTTATTAAGGGGCAAAGGATAGGCAATATTTGACAAAAATATATCTAATAGCCATTTTCAGGGGCGGATATCCTAAATTAATGTTACCATGCACGTGTAATACATTTTTGTATTTATAAATGTAATCACTAATCAATATTAAATATGATAGTCATAAGTTTAGATTCTGTATTTATAAATATACATTATCATAATATGTTAAAACTTAAAATTATAATAATATGTCAGAATTTATGAACTACTAAGCCTTAAGTTTTAATACTTAATACTGTTCAATATGGAAGCACTTTTTTGAGGAGATCACTTTTGGTTGAAATTGTGTTTGTTATAACATTATTATCGAGATCTATTAGAATGTGTTTTTCTACACTCATTAACATGAGTGTTTCAAGGTTCTGTTGACTTAAAGTACTACGAATTGATGTTTTCACTTGTTTTAATTTAGAAAAAGTATGTTCAGATGATACTTGGCTTACTGATAAAGTTAATAAAAGTTTGTAAGCCAAATAAAGTCCTGGGTATGCATTGGTATACAGATTATAGCGAATTAATACAAAAAAAATAGCAAATGTGACACTTTTTGTCAGATAATTTACAACAAGAACTTTTTTGCATTATGTCATCTAATATTATTGTTTCATCTATCAAACCACAGTTTTCATAACCTTCTTTATCATAGTTATTTCCAATATCGGAGCTATTATTTGATTTAATGTTGTAATATTCTTCTGTTAAACTTTGACTCAATGTTTCCCATTTCTTGCTGTAAAGATTGTAAAGTTATATCATTATTAAATTGTTTGACTATACTAAACACTTCTCCTAAAGAGTTTGGGGGTATTTGTCTTGAAATTTTGTGGATCTAAGCATGAAAAATCAGCGCAGAGTTGTCCATGTTTTTCAAAACTGGTTTCCAAACTATTAATAATTGTATCAATCATTGAATTATAAACATTACATTCATAACTATAAAGAAGATTATTGCTTTGTTCATCTTCAAAATCATAAGAGAATAAACTTTTTTTTTTACGTGCCATTATTGCTATTTTTAGTGTTTAGTTTAATTTTCATTATCAAAATCTTTAATTTAGTAGTAATAAATTAATGTTGAACACATCTGTATTATCTATGATATATTTGTATCTCTAAGAGCAGGAGGAGTGGCCGAGTAGGTAAGGCGACAGTGTGTTAGCGTTCACTGTCGCTAGTTTTACACTTGGTCATGGGCGCTCCGTTTGCTGGGCGAGCAATCGTCCAATGAAAAGGAGCCATCATCCTTTTCCAGCAATAGACTGAAGACAGCAAATCTGTCATGAAACCATCGTCTTATAACGGCAGCGATGGGTCTTTAAGGCTTGTTAAGCTGATGATAAAAATATTTGTATGTCTCGCTTAAGTTCTGTCAGTATCAAAACTAAGCGTATTAGTATCAAAATTTAATGTTAAAAATAACCTATAAAATCCACCAGATTTTCACTGTTAAAAATACATTAGTATCATGAATTTAAGTATTTTTTTAAAAAATCATATTTCAATATCATTCTGTTCATTAAACAGTTATCTACATAATTTATTAGTTAAATAAATAATAGATTCAGAATTAAAATCAGTTATATTATGTATGTTTTATCTTAGAAATTGACAGTTCTACAGCACGATAATGTTGTCCACCTTTTGGAATGTCTGGTATGTAATATTTGTATTTTTGTTTAAGCAATATAATTTACTTGTATTGTTTCCTTTTTATTTTTTAGGATACTGATGATGCGTTTCATTTGGTGATGGAGGTATGCAGTATTTAAGATATATTATCATACATGTTGTTAACTTTTTATTATATTAACTATGTATTTATATATTTTTAGTACTGCAACGGTGGAGACTTACAAGATTACTTAAATGGTATTTATAATTACATAACTAATACAGTAGTACAAATTATAATAAACCTCGAAAAGATAAATTAACGCATGTGTTTTACAAGTCTATCAATTTTGTTTGTGACTAATTGTACTTTGTTAACATAGAACTTAATTTCTCTCTGAATAAGTTTAATGCCTCGTTCAATACTTAGTATTGAAATGTAATTTAGTATATTTATTTATCTTTTTAACAATTAACTCTTTGTTTTATAAAACTGAATGTATTGGTTTTTTTTTTATTTCAGTGAAAGGATGCCTTAGTGAAGATACAATACAGATTTTTTTAAGACAACTCGGTAGATATTATTTCCTTAAGAATTAAATATTATGTTGAAAAACTTTAATTAAATAAACAAAACAATAAAATCTATAATACATTTTTTTTTTTTTTTTAAGCGGGTGCAATGTATGAATTTAATAAACAAGGAATCCTTCATAGAGATTTAAAGCCACAGAACATTTTGCTAAAGTTTTCAGGAGAAACTCGTTATCCAGAACCACACCAAATTACATTAAAAATTGGTAATTACTGTAATCAATTTATTATAGTTACCCTAATATTAGTACTATAATACAATTCATAAAACTGTCATTATAATTTTTAGCTGATTTTGGATTCGCTAGATTTTTGGATGAAGGTGTAATGGCTGCTACCATGTGTGGCTCCCCGATGTATATGGTATGTTTTTTCTATTATACGTAATACTTTATTTTCAGGGAAATTTATCTGAGGTCATATAGTTAATTTATTACTTTTAAAAATATTTATAAATCTTTGTAGTTATGATTTTATAAAATATTGTGTATCTTTAGTATTACAACTCATTTTAAGTCACGTATTTACAAGTTTTGTTTGAATACTTAAATGCTCACTTAATGTTAGTTATCAATATTATTTTTTTAAATCTTGTCTTACTAATCATTTTTAATTAAGTACTTTTATTGAAATATTAAAAATATTATCTAGAGCAAATACTTAAATTCTTGAGTGCTTCCCATTTTGAAACTAGCAATGCCGAACACAGCGCTAAAAAGCAACTACGGCTGACCATTGTGCCACCCCATGCCATTATGAATGATTTGTTAAAATGATTAAATGAAAATAAACTCGTACTATTTCTACTTTAGTTGTATTTAATTATTTTACAAAATGTATTTCTTATTTATTTTAAAGAAATGTACAGTTGTAATTTATGACACTATATATAATATATATGTTCTACTTTTTTTTTTTAGGCGCCTGAAGTTATAATGTCATTGCAGTATGATGCTAAAGCTGATTTATGGAGTTTAGGTACGATTATTTTCCAATGTTTGGCTGGTAAAGCTCCATTTTTTGCCAATTCACCTGCCGGCTTAAAACAAATTTATGAAAAAACAAGCAACTTGATGCCAAAGTATTTTATTTGAATAAATGTTTTGTAAATACAATAATAATATTGTTATTATGGTTAAACTTAGGATCCCTCCAGGAACATCATCAGATTTGTCAAACTTATTATATGGCCTTCTTAAAAGAAATCCTAAAGATAGAATATCATTTGAAGCATTTTTCGATCATCGATTTTTAAAAATGAAGCCTCCACCAGTAACTATGCCATCTCCACTTGCTGCTAGCCCAAAAACACCATCAGTTTTTGATCAAGGTCAGCATAAATAATCAAATATTTGTATAAAGGAATAATCTGAAATTTGACTTTATTTCACTTAAAATTATGTCAGGTTATCAATATTCAGCTAGTCCTGATCTTTCTGATGAATATGTTATAGTGCCTTCAAATTTGCCAGCATACTCTCAGTAAGTAAATAAATGTGTACTCTTACTACTCAAAAATATATAATGATTGTACTGTCATAAATAATAAATTTAACTTAATATATAATAAAAACTTTTCACTGACCATTGATTTCATACAATTTAATTTTGTTATATCATAATTATTTTCAACTAACTTAAGTCTTTATAGCAACAATCATTTGAATTGAATATTTTTAGTGTCTCGTTACTAGTACATCTAATTTTTAAAAAATTATTATTATACCTCAATAAAAGTCTTAATATAGTTAAGTTATACAACAGTTACCTATATTTCCTTTTAAGTATTTATATAATTGTATTGTATGTATCATAAATATATTCATATCGGTTTGTATAATATATTAAATCATTCTGTTAATTAATTACATTACCAGAGAGAAAGAAATTAGTGCTAGTCCTCCACGTCCAAGTACTTTATGCATACAAACCCAGCAAGACTACAATAATGCTCGATCTCCAAAAGTAAGTTACTTATTGTGTAATTAAATCATATACAGCAAAACCTGTCTAAAACCGACCCTGGAAAAACCGGATAACTGGAATATACTGAATTTTAAATGATCCCGCTAAACCATTTTGCTCATATATTATACTAAATAAAATGATAAATTGATCACTGAATTTTCTTATGGTCCCGTGTAATTCGGTTTTAGATAAGTTTCACGGTATATCATTACACATGTGTAGAAAAAAATTGATAATATATTTATTTTATTCAATGTATTTCTAGTCTGTGCCTAGATCTCAGCCGATTACAATGAATGCTAGACCTTCAAAAAACATAAGTGGGCCAGATTTTTGTTCCATATCGCCACCTTCCGTACGTTTAAATCAATTATGGAGTTTGTATTAATTAGAAAATTAAATAACAAATGTATCATACCATACAAATAATTAGTAAACTTAAGGTTTTATTTATCTGTTTTAAATAAAAACTATATCTATAATCATTTATAGTACTAATTGTAAAGTTGACTATTTAACCTTCCAGCGAACGCACTGTTGTAAAAAATACAACAGCTTTGAACATATCAATTTTTTTTACATAGAGTTTTATCTTTGTATATGTTGTATATTGTTTTTATTAATTTTATTTATTGCAGCCTATTATTTAATTAAGGTTTAAGGTACAGTTAATGCATTAATATTTGATAAAATTAATCGGATGTATGATTATCAACCAGCTTTAGTACTATTGTAAATTATACAATGTGCGACTACTAATGTAATAAGAATTGCAAATAGAGTGCCTGCTGGAAGGTTAAAATATCAGCTTTAAATTTATACAAACACTTACATTATGTACTGAGTAGTAGGCTGTGTCCTCGTGGTAATCCATGAATTGGGCAATTCACCGATATTTTATTAATACAAATTGTATCTCTCTTCAAGGTACAATTTATGCTTGGAACACCCCCTTCTGGAAGAAGAACTTCAGAAACACCACCCTATAATACATGGAACATTACTCCAACTAGTTCGCCACTAAAAAAATCTGGTAAATTAATTAATGATTAGGTTTTTAAGTATTTGCAGTTAAATATTTTATATTTATATGTTGATAGTTCTAAGTTCTCCAATATTGACACAGCAATTTATGTACAATACTAATCAAAAACCAGGCACTGTAGGACTTCCCTTCAGTAATAATAATCGTACCATGACCTTACCCGGTAAGTAAATTTCACTAGTTCATTTTTAAGTTTTACATTAAATAAAATATTATATTTATTTTTAAAAATAAGAAAAAATATGTTCACTATTATGTATTTTCAACTATATATACAATTATTATTTATAGAACTTGGAAACATTACGTTTCCTGAACTTCCCCAAGAAACAATATTAGAAGTAAGAATTATTCCTAATTACATAACATGGCCCTAGTAGTTATAATAACATATTATATCAGTAATGCAAATCATTTTCATTTTAGAAAGAACACATTGAGACATTAGCCAAGTTAAACTTTGTACTAGCGTTAGTCGAGTGTATTGTTGAATGTGCTTCCCCTAAAAGACCACGTTATGAAAGATTAGTATTACTTGTTAGAGCTCTACAACTACTGAGCTCAAGCCTAAGTATTGCTACCTCTGAACTGAAAGCCGGTCGATTACAACCCTCGACAAATGTCAAAAATGGTATAGTTAATATTTCACTATAATCTTTAATTGTAATAGTTTTCATAATTTAATCAGTGTGTTTAATTTGAATTTAAAGTCGTACAGCAACTGAATGAAACCTTTCATAAAGTAATGGACGATTGTAAACAGATCAATGTACCAAACATGCTACATAATACATCTACTTCAGCTACATCGGCCGAAAAATTATTGTACGAATATGCCATAGAAATTGTAAGCTCATTAAATATCAGCATAAAGGTTTTTTTTTATAATATGTAATTTAAAATATTTTAGTGTGCTAAAGCAGCTTTGAAGGAACTGGGCAACACGCCATATGATTATTTTAAATCGTATCAAACAGCACAAATACTTTTACATAGTCTATCTCAACAAGTTAGCTCTCCTCAAGATAAAGAAATATTAGTTAAATGTAAGTATTAAACCTCCCTAGCCAATCATCGTTTTGTAGTAAATTACAATCGCATAATAGTAAGTTTTTCAATTAAAAATACTACTGTTAATGAATACAAAGAACTGATAGGATAAAGTAAGTGGTAGTGTGTAGTGCTTTTAGGCGGCTTCATTTACTAGACAAAGATCTGTCTAGTCAAAAGGTTCCACCATAGGGCCCGGTAATAGAACAAACAATCTGTTTTGAAAAACATATTCGTATAGAAGCCTCCTCCTTGAAGGAATTAGTGACGGTCCTCAAAGAGACGCTTAAGCCTACATAGATAGAATTATACTGTTAACAAATAATTTTTAATTAAATAATTTATATTGTTTTATAGATCGTGATGCAGTTGAAAAGAGATTGTCTATTCTGCAGGAGCAAGGTTATGTTTACTCAAATACAGTAAATGGAAATAATTCATCATAATTAATATAGAGTAAAAAACAAATCTAAATACATGCATTATTCTAGTCTTAATTATATTTTTATGTCATAATACTTGATGTTTATTAACAAATTGTTGTGCGGTCCTTTTTTTTACTTAATATTATAAACGACAAAAGAAAATTATATTGATGTATTATCTATTAATGTTTTCTAATAAAACATAAAAGGCTTTTAATTTTGTTTTACAATTTTTTTTTTATTACTATCACATTATTTATTACTATTACTATTTTTTATATACATAGATAACATAGTTATTATTACAACTACACCATAATAAAATATATTAGCTGAATAACAAATTTGAAATTTCATTTTTTATATGTATGAAATTATTCTTAAACTCGTGTAGCAATCGCTGATAGTAATCGACATGTAATTTTATCATAACTTCAATTCGTACCAGAAAACACACTACACAGAAGTAAAATTACATTTTAGTGAATTTAGTCTATAGTTGCTTTCGTCTAACGAGTTTTCTTTAATTTGAGCTTATTAACAAAACGATAAGTTGTTGAAATGCATTTTTATTAATGATATCTATAAAAAAACATTAACTATTGCATTCGAAATTGCGCTTTAAATCTATTTGAAATATATTCCGAGAATAGTACCTACAGTATTACATAATTATTAATATGACCTTCCGCATTAAGAATATAAAACTGAAATCATTGCGTGAAGCGTGTCCTTATGGGTCATAATATTATCATACATCCTCATTCCTCTTTTAGGAAGTATTCTTTATTTCTTTGTGTTTCAGTTGTCACGAAATAATTGTGACCTGCGCAAGTCGGCTGTAACTTAATTGTTTTTGTTCTATAGGTAAAAATCGTGGTTACCGTTAACCCCGGTCCACGGATAATATAATAGTCCTATTTCCCATCTATTGTTCCAGAACAAACATTATATCCAGCGATCCCTGCGGAGATCGTTGAAACTATATTTCATTTAAACCATAATATATATATATATATATACATATATATGTGATTTTATGCGCCTCAATAGATTTATCTTTAGCGTACTGTGTTGTGTAACTATTTTTTATTCGTAAAAACTGTATTGGCCAATAACAAAACAATTATTGCCCCCTCCAAATAGGACGATATCAGTGTTTATGTTTTGTCAGCTGATTTGTGATTACAGATTGCTGTTGAGTGTTGTTTTTTATAGGCTATTTCGCAGTTAGCAGCAGCTGATTCATTTGTATTAAATATAAAATACACTGAACAATAATAATAATACCTAGGTATATAAAAATAATTTAAAACTGTGTTTAAAAGGCCATTCGTGTTGTGTACATTTTTTTGTAGCAAAGCATTAAAAATGACATAACTTTCGACATATTTGTAATGTATAGTGTATAGTGTAAAGATTAAGTTGTACATCATAAAGAAAATGTTAACTTTAGACGTCGTTCCAGAAAGATCTCTGGGCTGTGAACAATGGGAATTTGTTTTAGGTAAGTAAAAATATCGTTTTAAAATAGTTTATTTACGTGCTTAAAATTATGACCTTTAAAAGAAACCTCAAATTTTAAATATCTTATAGTATAACATTGTTTAAATGGAACTTAATTTTGATACGCTTAAATTATTTCTATCCTTTTTTTCATTTCAATTTATTCTTTAACTTCAACTTTATTTAAATGTATTTACCTGCCATGTAACATAAATAACATTGTTTATGAACATTTAGCGAGTGTATAATATTTTATTAATTAAGCAAAAATATGTTCATAAGATATTTGAACGATCAATGATTACTAAATGTTTACATGTATTTTTGGCTTTAATGCGTCTTTATTATTCATCTTTTTTTTTTATTACTCTTATGGCTTTATTTTCAGGTATGCATTTTTGTCAAGCTGTAGCAATAATTCAATCCCAAGTTGGTATTATAAAAGGGGTTCAAGTATTATACAACGATAAGGTATTTTATTAATTTTATTTTATTCGTCCTTATTATCCATATCTTTTTTTATTATTTACACGCTGTGATTTTTACAGAACCCTTTAAGTGTTGATCTCATATTGGACCTACCCCAAGATGGTATTCGATTTGTGTTTCATCCTGTTAACCAACGTCTTAAAGTAAGCAAAACAAATTTTGTTTACTACAATATTTGACAGAGCTAATTATGTTTATTGCGTGATTTTAGATGATCGAAATAGTTAATTTGAAAAATATTAAACTTCAATATTGGTAAGTATATTGATATATTATACTTCTTTTATTTTTATGTATTATTATTTAGTTGTTTAAATATTGTTTATAAATAGTGGAGTGTTGTTCAACGCTCCCGAAGTGATGCCCACCATTGAGCAAGTAGAACATACGTTCGGGGCTACTCATCCTGGTGTGTTCGATGCAGAAAAACAAACATTTACGTTGAATTTCAGAGGGATTTCATTTTGTTTTAATGTGGATTCCAAATTTCAAGTTAGTAATCACTATACAATTGTCTTATTTGTAGAATTAAATATGTATGTTGTAGTAAAGTGTAAAAAATACACAAATTCAAGTGAATGATCTAGTTTTCAACTTTTCTCATGACAAATATATTAAAATTTGATTCTTTTTTTCAGGCCGGTAATGCTCAGTGTGGTCTGGGATCGTTACAATTTGCTAATGGAGCATCGCCTAATGTTAGCCGAGTAATTATATTTTCTGGCCATCCAATACCTGGTCAAGATATGTTAAGCGTTCCATCACACCCGTTATCCTGTTATAAAGGACTTACTTACTTGGAGCGATTAGACGTTCAAAGAGACCATAGAAGTACTAAAGGATTTCAAGTACAGTTCTATTTGGAGGGTTCTGGTAAGTACATATATATTTTTATACTTAATCAAACATTTAAAAAATATATGTATTGATTACAATGTTTAGGTGTGAACCGTGGACGTAAAGTCTCACATACTCGTGAAATTCAATTTGGAATGTCATGCCAAGATGTCACTTCTATGTTGGGAACTCCTTCGCAAGTATTTTACAAATCGGAAGATAAAATGAAAATACATTCGCCCAATATTCATAAACATATAACAGTGCCGAGGCGTTCAGATTATTTTTTCAACTATTTTACTTTAGGTTTTGTAAGTACAAATATTTTGTTTTTACAGACAATTTTTATTTAATAGAAAAGCACTAATGTGAGCAAACTCTTAGGATATACTTTTTGATGCGAAAACACACAAGGTGAAAAAGTTTATTGTACATACCAATTTCCCAGGACATTATAACTTTAATATGTAAGTAACATACATCAAAATAAACAATAAATTATTTAACTTATAATGGTTGTTTTTTAGATATCATAGGTGCGAATTTAACATTGCTCTGACAACTGGAAAATCAAAATATGAGCTGTCTAACGACTGCAAAAAGTATACGGATAAAAAATCGAAATCTATTGTTGTAACTACGTACACCAAATGGGATGAAATATCTGAAAAATTAAAACACAGTGAACGACCTGTAGTGTTGAATCGGGGTTCGTCTGAAAATTCTACTAATCCGTTTGGATCAACATTTTGTTACGGTTACCAAGACATGGTATTTGAAGTGATGCAAAATCAGCATATCGCTTCGATTACATTTTACCAAAGTGACATTGAAGATGATGTATGACGAAAACTTTTCGCCACACGGGGTCAAGTGGCTATGTTCAATTTTCATTAATAATCGACTTTCTTATTATTATCATTAAAGCAGTATTTAATATATTATAACATAACAAATCTATGTACAATAAATAATATATAAGCGTATACAAATAATGTTATAAATTTGTATAAATATTGTATAATATAATGCTAGTTCTACACTCTCACCAAGGCAGCGTGAGGCAACCCAAGCGCGAGAGTGTGGTCGGTGCTCTCGCTTGGCCTTGCCTAGCCTCGTCTCGTATCGTCTCCGATGTTGATTTTTATGCACTAGTCAAAGAACACTAGGCGACGATGCTCCAATATGTAACCAATAGCGAGGTGCTGCGAGAGTATAGATGGTAAAGTACTCTTGGTACCTTTCCTCGCTTCAGTTTCATATAACCTCTCGCGCGAGTTGCGAGGTGATAGTGTAGAGTTAGCTTAATATTTATTACTAATGTGACAAATTTATCTTAAAATGTTGAGATTATTATAATTTTATTTAATTAAAGAAATATATTATATTTATATATAAAATAATAATGCTCGAAAATGTTTGGAGTAGATAAAGAATTCTCATGTTCACATGTTAATAGTTGTGTTACAAATTAACTATGTACATATTATAAGTAGGTATTATATTAATTTATTTCCTTGGTCTGCTTTTTTGAAAGTTAAACAATTTTTTATTTAATAATTTATAATAGCTGTAAAGTAAAATAAGTGTTTAAAATTTTTAAAATCTCTTAATTCTATATTAATTGTAGTTAAGCTCGTAACTTTTTTGTCAGTTTACCACTTTATAATTTATTTATCTTTTTAGGTAATTTATATTTAACACTATTATAAATAATTTTCATTTAACTACTTAACTAGTTCATTTAAAATTTAATAAAAACCGAAATGATTTATATTATGATCTCAGTAGTTAGAATAATATAACACGCGGGATATGAATTCTATTTTATAATATTTGTTTATAGTGCAGGGTTAAACTACCTAAGTATTTGTTGTTTTTACTTTTAATCAAATTATGATTTTTACCATCATTAATCTATAAAAACCTCTTTGGCTCTTAATAAAAAATTTACATTTTGTGATAGTTATAGTACTTGTAAAATATGATTCTGTATAATTTTGTAAATTGTATTTGTATATATTTTTGTCTTGATTAGCTTGTTTAAAAGTTGATACATGTATTTATTATTTTTTAGTTATAATAATTTATAACATAAAGTATAATTAATTCCAAGCCTGTTACCACGATACAGAGTATTTTTGATGTTTATGAAGATAGAGAAATAATATAAATCATAATATTATTCAATACTGTATTTATAGTGTATGTTTATTGTCAATACAATCATTATATTAATTATTACCAACTTGAAAGAAGTTTAAATCCTTAAACTTTTATCCTACGACTTAACAGTTAATTTTAAGAACAATTAACGAAAAAGAATGAATTCAACCAATGCTGCAAATACTAAATAAAATATATTACTTAGCCATCTGAATTTAAAAAAAAGACCATCATGCATATGTAAGTAATTAAAAAAAACTGAAATAAGATACATAATTACTACAACTGTAACCTAACTATAAGAAAGAATTTAAGTACAATGCATCTTCACTCGTCTATTAAATACCTATGCATATTATGTAGGTATTTATAATGTTTGACTCTGTACACTGCTACATAGTTAATAATAATTAGTAATAATGCGCAATAACTTTTATAATATATTATAATTTATGTATTATACAGTAATTATTTCTACAAGAGATTGTATTTGTTTTTCAATCCACAATATATATTTACTGACATCTACGTAGACACCAGGTACCGAAGCAGATCCACATCCGATTCCCCAAGACACAAGACCGACGAGGTATGTGACGGAATCGACTTCACATACTAATGGTGAGCCTCCATCACCCTGGTCAGCATTAATTTTTATAAATTAAAATATTTTAGTAATTGTACTTATAAACTCGAATACATAGTTACTAGTCAAAAGTTGCCAATTTATTATATTGTGATGTACCCTTCGTTTTTTATTTTAGAGGTAGAGGCAAAAGTAGATTATAATTTATATAGGCAGAGATAATAATCGGGTGGCCAATTTTTGATTACACGTTAATTTTGAGGTTTATCAGAAGAAATCGTTTATTGGTCACTATTTAATTTTTTAAGAAGGAAGGAAACTTTAGACTATTCGAATTGGTAATTTGAGAAACGGTTTTAGTCGCAAAATCTAAATTTTACAGGACAGGGAAAAACGCTTCTTACTAATGATGTTTCTCTTGTAAACAAAAAACCAAATCCCAATTTAGATCGGTAGAAAACTCGATAACAAGAGGTGTGTCCAGTGTCTCCATAGAATATTCTACCAAACAATATGTATCTACACTTGTCACTATATTGTAGAATCGAAAACAACAAAAAAACGATTTTGGCTAAAATATAGTGTCTTATGGGGTTTCTCAAAAGACCGATTCATTTAGGAGGAGGCGACTGTAAACTCCATTAGCACTCCATCCATATTTTATCATAGCCCCGCCCAAAATACCTACATACATAATAAAAGCCTGGAAACGGTACCGTAGACAGAAATGTATTTTTGCCTGTCGCCCCCTCCTTTACTATGGCATTGCGGGCACCGGGAGCGAAGTGTCTCTTACCGTACACGCGTCTTCATGTTCTTCGCCGCCAGCGCACAAAAAGCCTTCGTGCAGGTCAAACTTCTCGCCTAGCCTTGTCGACCTCAACCTCGCCACACACTTATCTCGTTGCCAGACGGGCACGTTGACTTTTTTCAATATACCCGGAAACCGAGGCTGTTCGAAACTCTCGGCTCCCCAGCCGGACACCCTGCAGTCGGTCCACAGCTGTGTTGACGCCACCGGGTTAGACGCACTTATTGGCACGCATACGGGGCTAATGTGTTGCGACAGCACAACCGGTTCGGATAGCGTTATAACAGCAATATCGTTATGCAAACTTGACGAGTCGTAACCGGGATGCACCGCTATACTTGCAATGGACCGCTCGACGTGCGAAAGAGGTTCCACGTTACGGTATACGTCCCAATCGCCCAGACGTACTTTCAAAGCGCTCGAGTTTCTGAAAAACGCAACACCGCCGATTAGAAAATAGGAATCTACTAGCAAGAAATTCAAGTTCCAACGTCAACAATGAATACAATATCCGTACATAACTATGGGCCAGAGCCTATTCATTCCGCCACTGACATAAAGGTACAATATGCCTGTTGTATAGGAATAGGCATAATCCACAATATTACCTTTGTCCGTTGAACGTTAAATTAAATTCATTAACCGTAACGATTTAAAATTTGGGCAAAACTTATAGGCGTGTGCAAGCTTTAATTCCCGGGCGATCTTACAAAACAATATGGGCCCCCGTATCTAATTCGAGCCCCTAGTGAATTGTCGGAATAAAATCAAATTTTGGGCTAAAAATGTGCCACCAAAACATTTTAAGCAAACTGATAACAAGGGCACACAGTTGTTAAATCGTTTGCACAAAGCTTTAGCGATTTTATAAACACATATATTATATATTAATGCTGTGTTCAACACGATTTTGGAATTAAAGCCAAAATACCTACAGACTACATCTATTTTTTTGCTGAATCCAAATATCTAGCTTCAAATTTGTAAAAAAAATACAGTTTTGTGTCATTTTAACGTGCCTTATGTATGTTTGAAAAATGTTCTAAAATGTATTTCAAATAGTTTTCTTTATTGGGTACAGAACTGATCTCAAAATTAATTTAGTTTTAATTTTTTTAGAACGCCAAGAAGAAAAAAAATTCCTTTTGTTTTGTAATTTGCTTGCAACTTTCAAATAGATTTTAAAAACAAATCGAAACGCTACAAAAAATGTAAGGCTAGATTTGGATCCATCATCTCAGCATAAAAAATAATATAAAATGAGTGTAATATATTTTTTTCAGAAAAAAAGGTTAAATATTTAAATAAAGGATCATCTATTTATTATATATATAGATAAATAGTTTATAACAGATAAATTACATATTTTTAAAATAAAAATCAAAGTATATCTATTTTTTTCGTTGGACCCAAATTTAACTAAGATATTCTCTAACATGTATTTTTTAAATCGCTTCCACAATCTAAACAACACACAAAAAGAAAATCAGAATATTTTTATTTTATTTTGTGTTTTTTAAATCATAAAATAAATATTCTACATTCATTTTTAAAATGTACTGTTAATTAAAGTACATTATTCATTGTGTACTTTAATTATGGACAATTTCCTTCGGACCCAGGGCCTGTCCCGTCGAGCCTCAACACAAAAGTATTGTGGTATATGTATTATATGGTTTATAATGGGCGAATATTTTATTCGTCACATTGAGCAATTTTCGGCAAAACAGCGATAAGCATAGACATTTTTATTTTTCGTAAAAACAAGTGGTGCATAGTGTTTTGTATGTAACTTAAAGTTATAGCTGTTAAAATAATAATCAGTACTTACTTTGTATAACTGGTTATAAAGTGGGCTGTTGATATAATGTGTTTTTTTCCAATTAGAACTCCATTAGATACAAATGAATTATCGATCGTTAAAAATAATGCTTGCCAAGGAAACTCTCCAAATTTAGCCTAAAATAATGATACTCATCACGGTTATAATGCAAATAAAACATTTATAATTAATAATTATTGATCATAAAATATATAGTTAAATCAATCAGGTTTCAGTAGAAAGTAGACATACCTAGTAAGTAAAACATAATATTAGAACGGCCATTAGCCTAGGTTTTTCTTATTGGGTTTGTATGTAAATCTTGTTTAGTATTTAATATTATTTAGAAAAACACATTTTACCGATTTGTAAGTATAAAATATTTTATAATTATTATTTAACTTATGATAACGTCCATTAATCATACTTGGTCGGGATTAATTTTGATTCCTTCAATATCTAAAGGTGTTATTTTACCACACGCCAGTAATGGGTTTTCAATTGATGGATCTTTGCAACAAAATATCTTTCCAGTTGGACATTTGTTCGGTTTCTTTTCGAAATAAATAAATTGTATTATATTTCTTATATTTTATTGTATCTCAACCGATAATATCGTGAAACCGTTTACTTACAGTAACTATTCGTATATCTATGGAAGCAACATTCTTTTCAGGTACACAATCCGAGTGTGAAACACATTTGCATTCTTCGGTCCATTCACTGTCTTGCGATGATTCTACAAGCAAAAAATTGTGCCTGAACATGCAATTTTGTAATATATTCCGTTTACATTTTATAATTTAAATGTAAATTTGTACTTACTGATGAAATCATTTTTACTTATTTTTTTAATTTGCGAGTCCAATCTGTCAAATTTTACAGGACCATCGTCGTTTAGTTTGAAATCGTGTGCTTTGGACGCTGTTAAAATTGCTATCGCTATTACTTTTGTTAATATCATTTTTTTAGTTATGTTAGCGGAGAGCATGTTGTGATGCTACAAAATTAGGAATCAAAACTAGGTACAGATTGGAATGCATATAAAATATATCCTTGTACTATATTTTAAACCGGATGAATATTTTTTTCAACATAAATTGGGTAGACCTTTATTTTAAACTAGGTATAGGTATATAATAAACAATACAATAACAACAATATAGTAAATGATCTCTTTTTATTTAATATTTGTTTAATAGTATAATAAATATTACTATTTCTATTACATTTGTTCTAATGTATCAAACAATCGTTTTTATTATGTTTATGCAATACCCGTGACCACATCAACTTCCCATCCAATTCCTAAAATAAAAACCTGATTAATGTCATTAATATAAATTACCTAAATAAAAATATTTTAGTATTCGAAGTACAAAATACGTGCATAGGTATTTATATAATTTGATGTAGGTACTGTAAGTACTAATTACAGTTTACAGTCTTTCGAAATAACACACACACACACACATATATTTATATATATATATAATTTGTTTTAATTATATTATTTATTATTATTCTTAAAGTTGCTATTATTATATTACTTATATTATACTACCTAATATTTAGTATCCATTGAAGAGGGTGGGTTAGATTTATATATTGATTTTTAAGCTTCAGGTTAACTGATTCGGATAGGAGAACCTTTATAAACGTGGATTAGGTGATTTTTAGCAGGAAGAAAACTACGTTGTCCCCATTATTATTTTTTGTTGTTATAATAATTGATGTTCAGTTTTTCACCTTTGTAGCTATCTACTATTGTCATTTGTCTATTTGCTGATGATTTAAAGTTCTATTGCTATTTTCCTGTATGGCTGTGTATGTTAAGGCTGTTGGGTACCGGCCAATTTTTAAGGAGTTTTATATAGGCAATATTTAAGAAAAAAGTGGTTTTAAAAAATGTTGACCATGTCAATTAATTTACCGGGTAATTTGTGTAAGCTTCATTGTATTATTTTTAATTTAAATAATTTTGCCTATGATTAAAAGCCATTTTAGTTCATTTTTCCGTCAAAAACTACCCATTTAACATCAATCGGACCGATCATTGTATCGAAGCGATAAGACTTCTGAAAACAGATTTGAATTCGGTATGAAGTCTACTTGAGATCGGTCAGAGTATTTTTTTCAATTTTTAATTTTAACCCTTTCTATTTTGATTTTAAAATTTAGAATTTTATATTATGTTCAGACGTGTTTTATACATATTAGGATTAAACTATCAAAAAAGTAATCCGACCGATTTCAAGTAGACGTTATGACGAATTCAAATCTGTTTTTAGAATTCTTATCGCTTCAATACAATGATCGGACCGATTGAAGTTAAATGGGTAGTTTTTGACGGAAAAATTGGCTGGTACTCAATAGCCTTAATTAATTCTATAAATAATTGTAATGCCTTTCAGGCCAATTTAGATAGATTCTATAAATTGTGTATAGTAACTATTACTCGTCAGTAATTAAGACACCACTTAATACATTTTTAACCCAATGTAATGAGTTACAATATTTTAAAGGTTTTCTATGATTCTGAAACCAAGTTAAGGTCCTTTATTTACCATATGCTAATATTATATTAATTCGGTTATTGTTATTTTGTTTGTCTTTTTTACATATACTGTACTATTTGCCATTTTAGCGTTATTCTTAAAATAAGTTAAAACAAAATATACTTAAGAGAAGAGAAAAACTCACCACATTCGTTATTTCCAATGGCTACATGTACGTAACCATTTATCCCGTAATCAGTTCCCCAGGAATTTTTTATAATATAATACGGATTATTCCCTAAGACGTATCCAACTATTTGCGCTGCATGATTTAACGAGTTCATATTGTTTTCACATTGACGAATTATTCCACCGGCATAATGTTGCCAAGATAGAGCATTTACAGCTACAGCAACTGGACTTTTGATTATGTATGACAACAATAGATCTTCTCGATTCATAAAACTAAAAGTTACAAGAACATATACTTACATAAACTTTTTTTTTCACACGCGCTTATAATTTGTACTTATTCTCAATGAATTTCTTAATTATTTATAATACTTAAACACCTCATTTTCCTAATTTAAATCCTAAAGCTTTAAATTAAGTACTCATCGTTAACTAATATGTTGTATAACTATAAATTGACTTACTTAAGAGATAAAAACGAGGTTACTCTGACTCCTTCCTTTACGTATGAAAAACTAAAAAATATATATATAATTAGGTATATTTACTGTCATCAACTCTAATTTAAATTCATCTGAATATAAATGCTTAGGTACTTATTAAGTTTACAAATCTGATTTTCATAAATAGTTGGGTAATTGTCTTCATATTGTACAATAATACCATTTTGAGCCATCCACAAAAGCAGGATAGCGGCACTTCCACCCAAACATCCTTGATTAAACCCTCCTGAACAATCCAACATCTATTAAAAAAATATATATATATTAGATTATTTCAGTACAAAAAAAAATATAAACCAGCATAATTTTAAATTAGTAGGTACTTCTTGAACACTAAATGCCTGTAACGATCCTGTTTTAATGGCATAAACAGATTCAATCACTTCCACGACACTAATTGCCCAACATGCTCCACAATCTTTTTGATCCCTCACTGCAGTAATTGCCCCTTTATTTCTCCTTAAATAGTATACGTTCATATTATCGTATGGAATTTGATTGCTTTTTTAGGTATTTTTAAACTAGTATGTTATTACTATATAAAAAAACCGCGACAGTCGTCAGTCAACGTGTTAAGCGATTTCGTACTAACCAATCAACATTTTCTAATAAAGTCGTTGTAACAGATCTTTTAGGCCTTCTCATGTAAAAACCTCCCATGCCTGTTAATCTTGTTGTCCTCGGTGTAAGGTGTCGCTTGGCGAATTCTTCTGGAGACAAATCTGCGAATCTAGTAATTCCATACTTAGTGTAGCCACCACAATTTCTGTTTAATTTATTAATAGATGACAATGCTTCCTAGAATAATTCACAGTTTTAACATCAAAAATATTATTTAAAAGTTTAATGTAAAATTGTTATCATAAAATATATTGTTATTCTTAATAACGATGTTAAAAAAAAAGATCAGTGAGGAATAAAGTTTAAACAATTATAATTAAATTTTTATTATAATATTTTTTAAATACTTAAAATTAATAAATCATTTTAGAAAAAACACATTTATATAATGATGCAAATTAAAATAAAAGAGGAGGTAATTGATAATTAATAATTATTTTAAATATTACTGAAGAAAAAAAATTTCAAAAATATTATTTTCTAAAATTTTTAGTTATGAAACTTTGTAAGTAATATTCAAATTCATGGTGTTGTCACAGTAGTCATATATGTACATTTTTATGTTCTGAATCATATTATGAATGCTTGCCACAATGCCACATATTTCAATTACTTAAGATAATTGATTCATTAATAAAGAAAGTTGTTTTAAAACACTACACTACAATAAAGTAGAACATATGTTTATATTTTAAAATATTATCGGCAATTGCTGTTTTAATTTTTTATTATTAATAACAATGTCACATATTTATAACTTTGTAGGGAGTGCTTAATTATTTTTATTTTTATTTTATTTATAACTTTTATAGACATATTATTATAAAAACACCATAACACATTTGAATTTTACGTTTTCAGTTTGACATCACAACATGTAGGTTTATGGCACTTTGTAAAACTTAAGTACAAATAGGAGTTATATATTAAAAACTTACAAAAATTTAAATAACAAAACATTTATTGTATTAAATAAAAATAGGTACGAATACCGGCAGAATATGTGACAACATACAAATTCATATTATGTAATACTTTTTTGTTCTGACCTGAAACCTTTCAAATCTCATCATCCGTTCCGTTTCGTTGTTGTAACTTTTATTGTATTTTCGAAGGAATTGTTCAAATTCAGTATGAGTTTTAGCTTCATTAAATGTCACTTCAAGATAGTATAATATAAAAACAACTAAAATTACAATTAATACTACTTTTAAAATATTACTTTTAACGGACATTTTTAGGAAAAAATTATTAACGCGGTTTCCTTAATTATTATACTACATAACACACTGACAAATGACATCTATTCTGTAGGTCTGAATAGGTAATTCTATACTTTGATTTGTGACCGTACAGTGTCACCGCTTTTTTGAACTTAATATCCTACGTTTAGTACTTACTTTCCATGTTTAAATCTTTTAAAAAATAATATATATATATAAATTATCGTTTGTTACTTTATATTCTTGTTTCGTCGCACAAATAATACAAAATTTGTATTTTGGGAGGGAGGGGGAAAATTACCAAAATTTAAAAGTAAATTCGTAAGTTAATTGATTATTATACTCACTGATTCCACTATTTAAACAAATACAACTTTTGTCTTGCTAAACATTTGTTTGAGCTTTATTGAGAACTGAATTATTAGTTTCATTAAAAACAATTTTAATCAAAATGAATATGATTCAAATTTATTTAACACAATACTTTTCGTACATTTTCAAATAACCTTTTGTATGAAATAATACAATTAAGAAAGTCTGCCTGATAACCATGTTTTAATAAAAATAGTCTAAAGTGAGTATTGAAATAAGTTTGAAACATTAAGAAATTACAATTATAAATTTTTATTTACAATTTACATACATAAAAAAAACAAACATATTTTCTGTTTCATTAAGTCATACTAAAATTCGTAATGTTAAGGTGTCATTGGATAATTACATACTCTTTATTTGATGTTTGTCATTTAATACACAAATAAAATACTAATAACATTACTTGTACCATTAATTCATAACATTGAAGCTATAAACTCATAAACAAAAAATAAAAGTCACAATAGGTATGCATGTTTAATCCCAATATTTTATTAGCCCGTCCCATCCAGCAGTTGCGACTTTGCTAGGTTCATGTGGATGCCATAACGCTGCTATGCATACATTGTCATGCGCTTTCCATTTTGTGTATAACCTACTGGTTTTCCAATCCCATACAAATACTTTGCCATCTGCGTCACCCGAAACTAAATAGCTAAAATATTTAAAATGAAATCATTAATAATAATAAAGACATGAAATATGTAAATTAATTATACCTCATATCAGGCGAGAAATCTAATGAACAAGCGTATCCTGCTACCATATGACCAGAAAAACTCTTTTTCCGATTTACTTTGAAACGGTTCATAGCAGAGAATATGACCACCTTGTTATCCATACTCTGGCAAGCTAACCATTTCTTATTTGGAGCAAGAGTTACACTAGGCATAGAATGCATTGTTGGATCGGCTATATATTTCATATCAACTGGAATGTCCCTAAAATTAAAATAACAAATATAGCAATAATAGAAAATTTTAATGTTTACTGTTTGAAATAAATTATACCATTCCCAAACTCGAAGACTTTTATCGTCAGATGTTGTAACAAATCGTCTGTTTTCATCAACAAATGTTATACTGTTTACAGCTCCTAAATGTCGCTCATACTCTTGAACAATATTTCCAGATCTTGTGTCCCACTAAAATTGAATATGAGTTTATTATCAAGTTATTCATATAAAACCAGCTAAATTAATTATTTCTAAGCTAACTTATTTTATTATTTTATTTCTTTACTATAATAACCACAAGTGTTGCTAAAGTTTTTTCTAGATGTAATAATAGTATACTTACACAAACAATTTTTTTATCAGCGGTTCCAGCAACAAATAAATGTTGTTTTTCTTCATCAGGGTTGAATTTCACACAATATAACACTTTATGATTTGTAAAGCTTTTTATACAATCTCCAGTCTCGGTGTCCCATAGTTTAACATAACGATCATATGCTAAAAATAAAAACACGTTTAGTTAATAATTTAAATATATTTGAAATGATGTCCTGGTTATTATAACAACAAAAATAAGAATAAACAAATTGCTTTGATCTATAAAATACAAAAATCAATAACTTATACAAATACTTTAAGCAGAAAACAGGTTTTGTTTATCTACTGTCATTATTATTTGGACATTAAGCAACACAGTGTAAAGTATTGACAAAATATAATAATAAACAAAAAATTGATGTGCTTTCAATCATTTCATTATATAACATTTTAGCTTAATTAATTAATTAATTTTTTTTTAATAATATAGCCTACTAAATAGTTCAAATCAATATACACACAAAAAGTCTCCCGTAATAATAACAGGGCATAACTATTAATTTTATTACAATACCTGCTGATAAAAATTTAGTTCCTTTATTATTGAAGCAGGTGTCTCTAACTGCTTGTGTATGACCTATATAGGTTCTTATACATTTTCTATCTCTATAAACGTCCCATAACTAAAACAGACAGGTCAATTATTAGTTTTGTAACCCACAAATTACAAAACAGAGTGGTGATGTTATAAGTTGAATTGTCTTACTTTAACTTTACAATCCATACTACAAGACATAAGGAGATGGGCAGAACGTGGAAACCATCGTATGGCTGATATACCCTTCGTGTGGCCCTGCCAGGTGTGAATATGTGCTTTAGGAAGAAAACATCTGTCCGGTGGCACATTTGATTTAAGATTAACACCTACGTCTTGAGGTATATGCAAGAATGACCTTCCTTGGTAATCTATAGGATCTTTAACTAAAATAAAAAATATATACAAATGTAGTGAAGTTTTAAGTATTTTTAGTTAAATTAGATAAAATTGTACTTACTATGAAGAATAGACTTTTCTTTGAAACTTTTATCTTCCACTTTTTTACCACGCTTTTGTTTTTTTGCAAGAAATTCTTCAATGGCAGCTGCATCTTCCTTTAAATAACAATTTAATAATTAATTTACACATACAAATTTAAGAAAACAAATGAAATAATATATAAACTACAACTTACACCTTCTGGCTTTGCAATTTTTTTTTCATCGACAAAAGATCCCCATGGCCCAAGATATCCTTCAATATCTTCAGGGTTATCATTTTTAAGTCTTTTTCTTTTGTCAGCCGGCCTTTTTGGTACAGATTCAAAGACTGTCTTGAAATCATCTCCTTCAGGTTTACGACCAATAATTTCATTTGAATCCACAGTAGGATCCAATGCATACCCTAATCAGTTTAAAATGGCTTTAACTAATAACTAATTCAATTAATTTATGAAAGTCCCTAGAGACATGGGCGTCCATGTTGATAATATGGACACGAATAAGGGACATTCAAGATAATAGCACAAACACGGACAATATACTATTGATAGCTAATTTAAAAATTAAATTTGTTATCAATTGACATCTTTTCCATGTTCTCATTACCAACACAAACTTTTTTTTTTTTTTTATAGAATTGAACACATTAAATAAAAGAATATAACAGAATAAAACACACCATAACTATGAAACGTTCTTCTTTGAGTTTCAAACATGAAATCACTAATGTGTGCTTTTTCTACAAACCCAGTCATCATGTTTTTAGCTGCTTTTTGTTGTTGTGTTTTAAACGGATTTTCTGGACCAGCAATTGGCGTAAACAGTTCTTCATATTTCATGTTTCTTGTAATTTCTTTTGTATCGACGTCTAGATATTGTACTGAAGTATCATGGGCCTATAATACAAATTCCAATTTCACTTAAGTATACAATGCACAATTCCCACCTATATTTAACCATACTAACTACATTTAAACATATTGGAGAAGATATAAGTTCTCCTGGGAGATTACCCAAGGTTAAAATATATGTGTACTTTAACCATCTTATACTCTTGCTATCAATTAACATTATTTATTGTCGGTGTAGGTACGAAAAATATGTTTGTATGAAAAAAATGATTGCACTTCATTTTTTTGGTTATGAATACAGTTATAATTTAGGAACAAATATAGTTAAAGGCCCGAGGGAATTTTTTTTTCAAAATGTGTTTTAATGCTAAATACAATAGTTTTTTAAACTTGTCAGGTCACACTGAGTTTTAAAATTATACCGTTAAGTATATATTAGTAATATATGTATTAGCATTGATTATAAATATTATAGATAGCTTACTGCAATGAGAAATACGCTACGCTCAAAATTCGGATACCGCTTTAGAGCGCTGCTATCACAAAATTAGTATGATCGGATAATGTTGTAATCACTAGTGTCGCGATGGTTAGTGACTAATAATATTCAATTAAATATATATATATTTACAAATGTTGAACCGCAAACAAATTACTTAAATGTCATAATTCATAGTACATATTCAGAGGAAAAAATAGAAAAAGTTTGCTATTTTTTTAGTTTTGTTCTTAATTCATTAATATTTCAGCATGGTCACTTTGTATTAATTATGATATATAGCTTCTTTGATACTTATGACATTATAAAAATATAGTAATTAAACTAAAAGAAAAAAAACACAAATTTAAGCAACTTTTCTTAGACCATTACACCATAACATGTGTTACAGCCTACCGGGTATAGGTAAGGTAGAATAAAATATCCAGTGCAAAGTTCTAGCTTGGTGTCAAATCTAAAATATACCTTAAGAAATCCTGTTATAGAATATTAAATAAATGAATGTTAACCGCCAGACGACTACCATACCAACTGTTTACATTACATGCTAAGGATATATTTAATGTTATTTTGAAACTGATTTTATTGGTTATAGCAGTTAATGTTAATTTAAATTTAAAACTAAATAATCAGTAACTAAATTGAACAATTTTAATGCTCAAGAAGAATAGGATTTATATTGTGATATTTTGGTTAGGTTAAGGAGAATAATCCATATATTTGGTAATCATCCTATTAATACACTTAGTTAAATTTATATTTATAATTTGATTAAACTAGTTTCATAACTTACAGGAGGTAACACATCTGGTGCAGCATTTATTGCAAACTTTTTACTTAAATCTTGTATACTAATTTTTGTATCTGCGTCTGTAGATGTAGTAGCATGCAATTTGTTCTTAGATGATTCGTCTTCATCACTACTATCACCATAATCTTTTAGTTGCAACATACTTCAAAATTATCTAAATTAAAAGAACAAACAATTATTATAGCAATAATATAGAAACAAACTTATTTTTTTAATTATTTGTGAAATTATATTTTTAATTAATAATTTTAAAAAAACTAATGATGAAGATACTTAAAAATGGGTTTGAGGCTCGAGCCTGAAGCTCATTCATTCAATAATAAAACGAAAAAGACAATTATAAGAAGCTAACTGCTTACCAATAAATTTGAATTAAAAACAATTTTCAGAATTCAGATGCCATTTGATCCTTGGCTATTGAAGCTTAAGCCTAACATTAAAATCAACAGCTATCGAGTAAAAACAAAACAACTTACCTCTTAACTTCTATGATAAAAATTTACAGTGTGGCCTATTGATGCGAAATATTTAATTGAACATGGCAACGTGATTTTAAGATATTATCTTTATTCTGGGGTGATAACAAATATAATAACAAGTTAAACAGCTGTTGTGTGATAACACAAACATTTGTTTAATAAAGTTTTGAATTTTCATAAATCCCAAGTAGTAAATAATAAATATAATTCAATATAGTACGCTATGACGTTGAGACGTTGAGAATTGAAATTTTTAATTGTTGTATTATAATATGAAAATTAAAACATTCCGTTCATAATGTAGTTTGTAGAACACCAGTTTACTACAAATGTATATAAGTAGAATATTTTATGTTAGTATATTACATAAATTTAGTCAAATGTTAATGTGATGTAAATTTTTTATTTAAAATGGTTACTTTACGAAACTAATTTCGTTAAATGACTGCATGATATGTTTTAGTTAATGATATGGGCTCGATTGCATCAGTCCTTCAATGGCATTGCAGTTCATGCTCACTTATAAATCCTACTGATCGTGCAACTTGTATACGTTGCAATGTGCATAGAAGTTTTGCTTATGGGGAACAAGCAAATAATATTAAAACAAGAACTATACATGGCTGTCCTACTCCCTATGTTACAGATATTTTGTGTGCAGAAGCTGAAATTGCTGCTGGTGCATTAAGTCTTGACGATGCGTTCGTATTGATTGTTTTTTTATCACCCTAATATAATCAACTTATAAAATATAATAATACTCAATATTATGTTATAGTGATCCAACAAAAATTGACCCAAAAAATCACATAGTTAAATTACAATTTAAATCTGTTGAACTTCAACGCCGAAAATCATGGAATGGTTATGAGGCTTACTCCCAAACATCACTTAGGCCATCAAAAAGTTCAACACTTTTAACATCAGAAAACGGATCATGGTTATGTAAAAATTGTCGAGCTAGAAACAGATTTACAAAACAATGTCAAAATTGTGATTCCTTTAAAATGTTAAAAGGCCAAAAAAAAGACGGTTCTTCTATTACAGCCATTATGTCATTTGGTAAGTTATTTTATTTTGTCTTCTTACCTAATTACTGTACTACAAAATAATTACTTCTAAAATCACTAAACTTGTAAAACATTTTTTTTCAGAAAATGATAAAAAAGAATCTAAAGCCTTAAATAATTGGATTTGTGAAAAATGTTCTTTTGCCTTTAATCCATTTTGGTCAGATTCTTGCGAGTCGTGTGGTTGGAATGCCATTACAATGATGCGTGATTGTGTACGATATACACCGCCCAAAAAGAAATGGCCATGCAAGCGATGTACACTACTTAATGATCCAAATACTACTGTTTGTAATGCTTGTGGAGGATCAAAAGCTAAAAGTCTGTGCACAGACGATGGAACGTTAAGAGAATTTTGGACTTGTGATAAGTGTACATTAAAAAATAAACTATCAGCCACAGTATGTAAAGCTTGTAAAACTAGTAAACGGGCAAATAAAAAAAGACGATCTAATAATCAATGTCCAACGTGCACATTTGAAAATGAACCCAATTCAAAATGTTGTGCGATGTGTCATAAATATCTTGAATCTGAATATTATTCATCAATATTGATATCAAATCACCCAAAAAAACAAAGCGAACTAATGGAAAACTTGAGAAAAATTGAAGAACAAGAAGCACGTGAAAAATGGAATGAAATTGTACTTTTTTGCTTAAAAGTGAGGTTCTATTTTTATTTTTATATCAACTAAGTATCTATTATAATGTAAGTTTAGTAATTAGAAGTTGGTATGTAAAGAAGTGATATATTAAATTAGTTTTAAATAAATAATAATGATCTTACAGTTCACAAACTCTTACTTACAGTTTTGATTATTCTTTATCTAAAATTATGTTTATTTGACAAACATGAATTCATAACATTATTTAACTTTCTATTAATTAGTGCTAGATTATAACTCTAACTTTTTCAGTCATGGCCATACTTTTAGATGTAGCTTATAGACTGAGTTATTAACGATTAAAATTGTACTATACGTTTCAAAAAAAATCAACTGTTGTTACATAATGAAATAAGTTATTAATTTTTTTTATTAGAATAATCAAGAATTTGTTGATGATGTATTTCCCCCGGCTCCAAAATCTTTATACTACAGTGAGAGAAATGAAAGTTGTCGGGTAACTCAATGGTTACGACCAAAATCAATAATCAGCTCAGATACAGATAATGATTTGTGTTGGACAGTATTTAGAAAGCCTAAGCCATCTGACATTATTCAAGGTTTTCAATTATTAATTAGTTTTACAAATGTGTATTCAATATGTTAGCAAATAAAATTATTATTATTTAAATACTATAATTTTAGGTGTTTTGGGAAACTGTTGGCTACTAAGTGCATTAACAGTTTTAGCAGAACGAGAAGATTTAGTACGACATGTTATGGTTACCAAAGATTATTGTGAACAGGGTGCATACCAAATACGACTTTGTAAAGACGGAAAATGGACCACTGTTCTTGTTGATGATTTATTGCCTTGTGATTATAAGGGACATCTTGTGTATAGTCAGGTGTGTAAATATTAACAATGCTAGATATTTTATTTTTGTTTTTATCTATTGACTTATATTTTATTTAGGCAAAACGTAAACAGTTATGGGTTCCTTTAATTGAAAAGGCAATAGCTAAGCTGCATGGTTGTTACGAAGCACTTGTCTCTGGAAGAGCAATTGAAGGTCTGGCCACATTAACTGGGGCTCCATGTGAAAGTGTACCCCTTCAACCATCTTCAGTGCCAACAGAAGATGAATTGGATCGTGATCTCATTTGGGCACAATTATTAAGTTCTCGTCTTGCTGGGTTTTTAATGGGAGCATCTTGTGGTGGTGGTAACATGAAAGTAGATGAAGATGCATACCAGAGTAGAGGTTTAAGACCAAGGCATGCTTATTCTGTATTGGATGTTAAAGATATTGAGGGGAAACGTTTGTTAAAATTGAGGAACCCATGGGGACATTTTTCATGGAATGGAGATTGGTCTGACGATTCTGACACATGGACAATTAAATTAAAAACTATGTTAATGCCTGATGGTTGTTGTGAAGGAGTGTTTTGGATATCCTACTCTGATGTTTTAAAGTAATTTTTTAAGAATTTAATTATTTAATATATTTTAAAAATATATCAACTGCTGATGTCTTAGGTATTTTGATTGCATCGATATTTGTAAAGTAAGAAACAATATGTGGAATGAAGTTCGACTAAAAGGATATTTGCCACCATTATCCTCAACTGATCACTTATCTTGTGTTATTATAACAGTCTCAGAACCTACCGAAGCAGAATTCACTCTATTTCAGGAAGGACAAAGGTATGACAATAAAAACACACTATGGGGTCGGAGTATAGTTGGGACGGGGTGATCAGGTCACAGGTTTTTATGGATTATTAAAATCATAGCATCTAAATTATGAAATCTAGAAAAATCTGTGACCTGCTTACCAAATTAGGCCCAAACAGGCATACTGTTCTTGATTTCTATTGTAAAGACTTGCTACAAAAAAAAATTAGTCCAATAGTTTAAACTTTAAGAGGTATTGCAGTTTCAACAAATATACAGAAAGAAAATGTTAATAATTAATAATTTAATACATATATTTTTTAAATTACAGAAAGTCAGAAAAATGTAATAGAAGTCAACTAGATTTGTGTGTAGCAGTTATGAGAAGTAGAGAGGTAACAGCTGAACGACCAATTTCTATTGGACGACTTGTTGAGCATAGTAAACGACAAGTTCGAGGTTTTGTAAGCTCTCATAAAATGTTGGAGCCAGATGTTTATGTTGTTGTCTGTTTAGCTTTTAATCATTGGCACACAGGTTTGATTCTAATTTTATTGGCCTTAATATAATATGTAATAAATATTAATGCACTTATAATATGTATATCTTTACACTAATGACAATTCCATGTATTTGCAATTTGGCAACTTTTCAGGAGAAGCAAAAAACTGTTTTACTTTGATTTGAAATCAGTAGTTTATACTTGTATATTTGTATATTATTTATCCAATTTTAAAAAGTGTTAGTTCATATTTAAAGTTATAATTATCAATTATAAAAATTAAGTAATTATCAAATTATTTAAGTTTTTCACAGTTCAGTGGTAGATACACGTTATTACTTAAACGTTATTTTGGAGAGAAATAACCAATTATATGAAAATTGTTGATAATAAAACATGTGCGCAAGGAGATTACGAATTTGTTTTATGTATAATACTCATTTTTGATAAAATAGTAAAATGTCAGTTACGTGCTATTGTCATTAGTGTAACAATATATAAAATCCACTTTAATAAATATATATTATTACCTACTTTTATAATGTATTAATTTTTGAAACAGATTTGATAGATCCATCGGTTTATCCAGAATTTGTATTGGCTATTCATAGTTCTAAACGTTTACTGGTTGAACAAGTATCTCCACCTTCTTTTGTTTTGGCTGATACTATTATTAATTTAACACTAGCCAAAGGACAAAGGCATGAGGTATAAATATTTAATATTAAAACTTTATTTTAGAAAACTTATTAATGTATTTATTAACATTATTACATATTAATCTAACACTAATTCTTTCTAGGGGCGTGAAGGAATGACTGCTTATTATTTGACCAAGGGTTGGGCGGGTCTTGTTGTAGTTGTTGAAAATCGTCATACCAATCGATGGATACACGTGAAATGTGACTGCCAAGAGAGTTATAATGTTATGTCCACTAGGGGTTTACTCAAAACAATTGACTCTGTACCACCTTTACACAGGTATATTATTATTCTCGCATACACTATACTATGCGGTATTATAATTACTAAATTTATAAAAATACCTAGGCAAGTTATAATTGTACTAACACAATTGGAAGGAAGTGGAGGATTTTCCATTGCACACAAGCTAACTCATAGATTAGCTAATCAAGCTGGACTTCATGATTGGGGACCACCTGGGTGTTCTCATTTGCCACAAATACAAAAATCCATAGAAGGGCTCCACTCTCCAAGACTGATTACTTAATTAATATTGTAACAAAATGTAGTATAGGTATTTTTACATTTCTGTGATTTTTTTTTCTTTTTAATTTTTATAGTTTAAAACATAATAAAATCATAACTCTTGAATTATGTCTAAAACTGCAAATAAAAGATATGTTTGATGCAGTCTACAGATAAATGTGGGATCATCTCTAAATAGTTTAATTATCAAATCCCAAGCAATTTGGAAGTATCCTTGTTTCATTTAATATAATAAATAATATTAATTCAAGTGCCTCGCCACTTACTACTTAGCTGAAGCACTTGGACCAGAACCTCCTTTCATTAACAAAACCATTAATGTCCCCAAAATAACAATACTCAACTTATTAATTATTCGGTTAATATATTAATGTCGATAGCCTACACTGATGCGGCTTATTTTATTAAAAATATTATTATAATATAATTTAAATCAAACCTAATAAAATGTTTACGAAAAGCATTGAAAATAATGCAAAATTGCAAAAGAAAATAAACTCAACGCACATGTCAAGATTAATAAAAACTGATTAAACATTATAAATTATCAGAATAAGAAATATAATTAGCAAATCATTATGCTTTCTATTGCAATCGACACTTGAATGACCCATACTCAGTCTACAAAACTTGTACTTACTTTTTTCCCTCCACACTAAAGCTTTAAGTATAACAAGACAAAAAATAGATGACACATTACACTTCAAAAAACAGATCCCCCAATTACAAAATGTTACAATCACATAAAAAATTATTTGTGGACTACCACAAAATGTAATGTATTCTTGAATCTTGATAAAACATGAGTCATGAAATAATATATAGTAATATAGGAATGGTTTTAGCCTAGGTGCTAGTTGAAAATTGGCTACACGCTTTATTAAGACCGAAAAAGCGTTGGTTAAGCTAATGCTTTTCACTTTTAACCAATATAATTAATTCATTGCACGCATAATTAAACGTTGATTGAAGATCAATAAATTAATAATAACCTTGAAACAGAGGATATAATTTAAACTCTATTTCACATCTGTTTTATTACCTTGACATAGATAGTATAATGTCGAATTCTGTCGAGGGTAAAAGTAAATGTGCAGTTTAAAAATCAATAGGGAAAACCGAAGATAATGAAACTACTAGAAAATGAAGAGGATACGGACGATCATGATGAAGACGTAGTCTTTGAAAAATTTTATGAGTTTCAGTATTTAGAAGCCATGCTGAGTGTTAAGAATGATTGGTCAATGGAGAATGGAATAAGAATAACAAAGGCAGAAAGGGCAGCATTCGCATTAAGTAAGTTTCTAAAATCAAAGTGCTTTTCAAAGAAAACAAAGGCAAGGTTGTATACGGTGATAATAAGACCCACGTTAACTTATGGATGCGAAACCTGGACGACCACCAGCTATACAGAAAGGAGACTGAGAACGTTTGAGAACAAAATATGGAGGACAATTTGCTGTCCTATCTATGATAACAGAACAGATACATGGAGAAGAAAATTTAATCGGGAACTACAGGAAGAGTTGGGACTAGCACTAGTCAGTAGCTTTATAAGTGGCCAACGAATACAATGGCTTGGTCACGTAATGCGTAGGAATGGGGATGAGACGGTTAGAGCAGTACTGGGATGGAAACCTAGGGGAAGTGACCTCGCGGGCGGCCTAGAAAAAGATGGATGGATACAGTGGACTGTGGAGGAAGATAGGAGTACGAAAGTGGAGAACGATAGTTCACAACAGGGAAGAATGGAGGCAGATCGTGATGGCGGCGAAAACTCTTAAAGAGTAATAAGTGCCAGCAGAAGAAGAAGAAGTTAATGTGCAGTAATAAAACCAGAAAAAAATAAGTATAATACGATTGAATATTGATGCTGGGAAATGAGTAGCACGTGAAGTAGTGAACCTCACGTCGAGTAATTGAAGCGACACGAAAAGAAATTGATTGGTGAAGTGTTCGTAAAAGCAAAAACCCCATGAACTGATGGACTTTAAAAAAAAAAAACTCGGAAACGTTTAGTTTTGGAGAATAATAAGGTACTTTAATCGTTGGGGACGAATCGTTATAGTTGTTCACAGAACTTGCAGGAGACCAGGAACTAGGAAGTGTCTAAAGAAAAACTGGAGGATTAAACGACGGCTCGCAATTGTTGTAGAAGATAAGTTAATCAGTCCTTCAGTTTTTATTTCACGTCATTTCAAACGTGATTTGTTGGTCTAATTAATTGTGAATAAAAATGTACCACAGAATTGTTTCACTGCGACTTATTTCAGTATTTGTCAATTTGTGTACTATTTTGGAGGGCCCAGGGTCTTTGTAGATTTCTGTTTTTACTCTTAATCATTCTTATAATTCTCATAATAATTTTTAATAATTCTCTATGTTATGACGCCAATACCATAGAATAGGACATAGCGTAAATAATAAAGAATAAAGATTTCCAACATGTTTTATGGTGTGTATTTTACATTTTGTTTTATCATAGATTAAATTTAACTAATACATGTATTCATTTAATCAGTGCCCGTGGATTTATGAAAAATTGTGATAACGTTATCACTAAATAAAAAAAGTAAAAACCGTTAACTGTTGACGCCTGGGCCGTCCGCCCTGGAGGCTGGTTTCTTAACGGTTTTCCTATTGTGTGAATCGTTATTGTTCGCAGACTGCAGTTCGCATTCGGGCTTCGGCATTCATGATTCATCCCTTTGACCTTCTGTGTCTTTCCCCCTGTTGCTGTTACTTGTTAGTTTTGGCGCTCGTTCAGTTCATTCTACAATAATTGTTCATAGTAGTTTGTTCTGCCATCATCTTTATTAAACTTGTCTTCACTGTTAGATTAATGAAATACGTTTTCATTTCGTTTTAAATAAATTGTTTTAACTTTATAAGTATGTCGTTCGTAAAAAGCAAAATTAAGCGATTCAACGAAATACCAAGTAAGATTAACCGAATCAAACTTAATTTTTAGTAAAATATGAATTCTAACTTGCAGATTTCTTCCTCTTTACCAAAAAAGTTCTTATATTTATATTTGATATTTTGTGTCAATTTTTATGTATGTTTAGCTTTTTTAAATATTGATTGTTTAATAATTTTAGGTTGTGCTCCTCCTCCCGGAACCTATGATCCAAGAAGTCCAAAACCAAAAACCATTAAAGGACCAAAAATTAATGCTGCCGAAAGATTCAAGCAACCAATTGGACTTCAAGTATGTATTAGTTGTATAATAAGCCTAGTGAAATAACAATAAATAATATTAACAACATTATTTATAAATTGTAAGTGTGTAACTCATAATAAATATAGTACTGTGCTAACCATAAGTACCTTTATGCCATTAAATTCCACTTTTTCAATGTAATACTGTAAAATTGGTATCCTTGCAATGTATACTGTCATAGGCACTCGTTCCATTTGCTCCTCCCTTCACACTGTCCTGATTGTTAACTTCATCTAAAAAGGTGGTAGAAACTGAAAAAAACGCTTGGTACATAGCTAAGTAGTAGAGCAGTCATTTGCCAAGGAAGAGACTCTAGTTTGATTCCAGGTCTTGTTGAAGTAAACTTGATTCAAAAAATTTTAATAATAACTTATGTAATATGATATTCGATTAAGGGGAACGGAAAGCGTCAATTTTTTTACAAATCAAGACTAAAACGCGGAGTCACTTTCCAAAGTGTACCAAACCGATTTCAAATTTTTTTTTTTATTTTATAGTTTAACATCTTCTCTATGGGAGCTAAAAGGCCAATTTTTTTTTTTGTTATCAAAAAATATAATAAGCATTTTTATTTTTACTTTTTTATAGTTTTTCTAATACATCTAACTACTTTTTTAATCGCTAAATCAAAAATCGACCATTTAGCCCCCATAGAAAAAATAGTAAGTTTCACTTAAAAATAAATAACTTGAAATCCATCCAATAGATACGTCAGAAAATTACTTCTACGAAAGTCATTAATTATCAAACTTTCGTTATAACTTGGAGAAAAATAACTTTAAAAGTATTATAATTAGAAAATTGTAATTGTAATTGTGTTTACCTTGGAATTAGTAGCCATATGAAAAATGGCTATTAGATCAATTTTTGCCAAATATTGTCTAACCTTTGTTCTTTAATAAATAGCGCTTTCCATTCCCCTTAAAAAAAAGACTATCAAAAAAAAAAAATTTTAATTTTTAATTCATAATAGACATATTTATTTTTCTAACCCATAAATTAATAATAAATTTAAATAAGAATAATTTATTGAATAAGTTTTATTTGAGAAGTTTTTGTGATATGGATATTAGATAATATTTAATAATTGTATACATCCGCGTGAAAATAGTCTACCTTGTCATTTTAATTTTCAGAACTATAAGCATAATATTTCTAGTACTAAGGCTGAGATTTCCGATTTGTGATTTTTTTTTTTTTTTAATTATTGAACATCTCAGCTATTAAGTTAACATTAGAGCTGAGACCTCGAATCGAATTTTTCTATTATTCGAATTATTCGAGTAATCGAATAATACTATTTGTATGAAAATAATTAGAATATTCGAATATTCAAATATTCGAATATTTTGTCAAATTTATGTTTTTTTTGTAATTATATATCTATATAAATTGTTAAAATCTTATTTGTTGTATATGTAATAATATTTATTTTGTTAAAAAATTATTAAAAATTGATCAAGGACACCTTAGTTGTCTCTTAATTTTTTTTTTTTTAATCTAATTATTCCTGCAAAAAAAATGATAAAATATTCAAAAAATCAGATCGAATATTCAAATAAAAAATTTGAATATTCGTTATTCGAATAACGAATATTCGTGCGAATAAAGTATTCGAATATTCAAATTTCTTTATTCGAATAGTCCCACCACTAGTTAACATGGATGACTTCTGTACCTTTGATAAATTTGTAGCTGTAGGTTTTTTTCTTAAAATAATGAAAAGGGATTCTAAAGGTAATTTTTCTCAAAACTTGTATTTTTTTAAATTTGAAATTGTAGTACTTATATCTTTGTCAATTTCCAACTCGTCAGATTTTTTTAAGGCTCAAAAAAAAGCTTAAATTATCTGGTTTAACAGCCTAGTTACAACCCCAAAATGAAAAGATTAGGTCCTTTTCACGGGGGCATACACAATTTATCATCTAATCTGTATCAATTATACTTATTTAACTGACTTTGTTGCTCTTAAGTAATATAGTCTTTTAATACTTTTATTATTAATTTTAATTGTTTTTGTTCTTTAGTCTGCTACAAAATCAAAAAAGATTAACAGTACATTCAAAATACCTTCTAACTTCAGGTATAAATCTATATACTAAAATTGTTTAGCTTTGATAATTACCTCCATGCAATACAAACTAGTTTGAATTGTTAAAAATTGATTTGTTTTTTTATAATTATAGTTCACAGAGTTCAATCTTCTCTGAATGCTCCAAAAAATCAAACAAAACAAATGGTTTAACTACCACTTCAACTAGTTCTATAAAAAATCAAAATAAGCATATAAACCAATTACAAAAAATTGATATTGAACTTGCTAAAACTCTTAAAGATATTGATATTCTAGATAATGAAGCCAAAAATGCAACTGATTCATGTAAAGATTATATTAACTCATGTCGTGGTGCATGCGCTGAAGCTCTAGAAAATCGAGTTTGCAGAGTTGTTATCGAAAATTCACAGGCTGCGTTATATGCAGTATGTCAGCGTTTGCGTGAAAGCTGTGAGCATAATGAAATGTTGCGTAATGAATCTGCTAGATTACAAGAAAAAATTGGCGATATCAAAAGTTTTGAAGAAATAGCTGCTGAGCAGATTGCTATTGTTGAACAAAAACTGACTGGCAAAGTCAATGAATATATGAACATTGCTGAAAGTGTAAAAAATAATTGGTTAGAAAAGATAAGGTTTATAACTACATGCTTAGATGAATTGGAAAATAAGGTGGATGGTGAAGTAAAACTGCTTATTCAAAAATTAAAAGATGATATTCAATCAGAAAATGATAATCATCATGAGCTGAACTATAAAGATCTTTTAAAGAAATACGAAGTGTATGTATATACTGTATTATATTAAATAAACTTATATAAATAAATAATTAACTTTTTTCATTTATTTTCTAGTGTAATAAAAAAAAATAACGAGCTTGAAGAAGAAGTTAAGAGAAAAGAAGATTTAGAAAGGAAAATTATCGATTTGACCAATGTAAGTAAAACTAATTTTGGATATTTTAACTGCAAAATAGTCAACGTTGAAATATAGTTAAAATCACTCTAATAGAAGTAATAACTTTTAGACATGAATCTATACATGTTAAAAAGTACTAAATAATAAATATCACCTTATTTAAATTGTGTTTAGTTTTTTGGTGTTTTATTCCCCAAAAAAAATAATTACAATAATTTTTTTTTTAGGAAAAGAATGATTTGGCAGCCAAATTACAAAGCAATAAATCTAAACTTGTTGTTTCATCTAAAAACCGTTTAGATGCGTTGGCAACTCCTCGTCGACGTGCTGATGTAGAAAATATACCGCCGAAAAATAAAACCTATGTACTGAAAAGTAACAATTTGAAAACTGCTAAACCTGTTGCTCAATCATCTCCGTTAAGAGAAAAAAATTGGTAATCCAATTAATTTTATGTCCTTAAGTATTATACATATTCATATTAAAAAGAAATAAAGACTTTATGTATTATAGATTTACATTTTTAAATTATACTTAAAAAAGCCCATTTCCATTATATTTCACTGACAATATTGTAGTATAACTTCATTTATTAATTTTTTAATAATATAATTTTTGAACTATACATTCATTAAATTAAATTATTAAATGAGTCTTAAAGTTTTTAATTTTTACTTGACTGTGAATGAAAGATGTTAATGTGTTGTTTAGGTTTAAAGTATTTGTATATGTTTTGTCCAACTTTTTGTTTTTTTGTTCATTACAGAATGATTGATAAAATGAAAACTTTAATGTTTTAAGAATTCCCAGTAGTGTTTTATCTAGGTATACAATTTTCATGATTTTTTTTTATTTCATTGTGTGAGAAGGAGAGTTTCTTTTTATTATAACAAACTCTTTCTCTGCTCTTGCGCTATTAAATCATAACTATAGAGATGTGGATTTTACGTTTTAAGTTAGGTTGATAAAATATACATGTACATTTTTATGTCAAATTTGTCATACTTTTTTAAAACTACTAGAAAATAAATATACATGTTGTACATTTATAATTTTAATGCTTTAGACTATCTATCTACTTAAACATTATTCATTACAATTATATTTAAATGTAATTTATTAATTTAGTGTATCATTGATTTATAATGAATGATAGTATTAAGCTAAAACTTTTTTAAATAATATTAATTTCTGGTAAATTTACATTTACCCAAATCTTTATTTATAATTATATAACTACTATATCATAACATTGTAAAACAGAGATAGAAAGAATAAAGGACTATTGTTAACTCGTTTACCATACATGTTTGATTTTTTCATTGAAAACTTTAGAAATTAAATTATACAAATTTTATAAAACATTACATTAAACTACTTCTAAAAGAACTGTACTCTTAGATTTTAATTTAAATTTTACAAGTATAAATTCTTTATTAGGTGTTTAATAACAAGTATATCCTGTTTTTCAAATCTCTCAAATTTATTTTATAATGGTCGTTCTAGAGTCTCATTTTTTGTTTTGAGATTGAATTTAAACATCATGTGCATGTTGGCAAGTGGTAACTTTATACAATTATTTTAGTAAGAATAATAATAATGATCAATGGCAATTGCCTAAGCGTTGTATTATAGAGTAATATTTACAATTACCCTTCAATTAAAAAAAGAGCCTGTATTTAAAGCTACTTTATGTAACTGTCCCCTAATAGACTGAAGAATAGTGGATATTGGTCCAATCCGCTCTTGGCCAAAATAGAAAACAAAACAAACTATTGAATATCTTAATTTCTTTTAGTCTCAAAAATGGGTATTCTATGTTTTTCCTTTTTTAATAATTGAATACAAAAGTTAACTATGATTAGTTGAAATTGTTTTATATTATAACTCTGCCTTAGTTTCCATTTCATGGTTATTTACTAGATAATTTTTTACATGTAAATGTTTGTTATGTCCTTTATACAGTGTAATATGTATCAATTCCATGACTTAATAAAACAATTTTATTTTTAAAAACAGCTGGATCTATTACAAATACATACAAATTCAATTAACTATACATTGACTATTTACATAAAAAAAAAAATCACTTCAAATAAATGAAGTGATGCCAAAACAGTATATTGTACACAAAACAATTACATAGGTTTTATTATATAGTTAAAACATATGTACATAAGTTTTATAGAATATAACTAAGTAAAAACTGTACAATTTAGTTGATGAAAATCTACTAATTGAGCGTTCCTCGGCAACACGTGGTACCACACAAACATGGTATTTTATTTTCTTCGAGTGGAAATTTGTAATCATACGTAATTTCCTCGTTAACGCCAATTGGCTGTTTACTATAAATAACAATCTTCTTTTGACCCTCTATTTGAATAATCTTAGCATAACAGTTTGGCTAAAACAAAATTAAGATTTATTAGATTATAATTTTCTTGTTTACAAGCATGTACATGTAACATAAACTGTGTACTCTGTCCAAAGGTACAGTCTACGACTACACCACTGTCTCCAAGAGTATTTAATTAACCATTATCTGAAATTTTGGTAATATTATACTGCTTTTTTTGGACAAAATAAAAACATTCAATTTTTAAACAGAAAAAATGTATACTTATAACTAGCATTAGGACTTCATTAAAATATGCAAAAGTCCTAAATAGATACCTAAAAAGAAATATTGTATAAAAGAAATGTCTAAAACTAATATTGAAAAACAAAATTTGAATTTCATCAACTTTTTATTCAGTTAAGGGGTCTCTACACCTGCGTATTTTTGGTCAAAACCACTCATTCTAATTCAAGCGTACTGTTCCTAAGAATACTCCGATTTAAGTTTTGAAAAAATATTTGAGTTCTTCAAAACATTTTTAAGGCATCAGTCATGGCACAATTTTAAAATTATTTCAGCTGAAAAAAGTTAAAAATTGCATTTTTTTATATTGAAATAATTAATTAACTGAAAATAATTTTAAAATTGTGTAATGACCAGAATCCTTGAAAATGTTGTGAAGAATTCAAATGATTTTTAAAAACTTAAATCGATGTATTCTTAAGGACAGTACGTTTAAAGTAGAACATGTGTTTTTGTACAAAAATAGATCCTATATGTCTTATAAAAGTTGATCAAAAAAAAGTTTTAAAAATAGATACTTCATTCCAGGGGCGTAGCTAGGAATTTTTTTTTGGGGTAGGCCCACTATAAACCATTGATAAATAAAGTTATGAATGATTTATCTAATTAATTAATTTTTTATATATAAATAGATGTATAAATATATAGAATATTTTGGGTAGGACTGGGCCTACCAGTCTAGATGAGTATTTATAAATTTATATAGCTAGTATAACATTTGAATTTTTATGATCCTACCCCTATTACATTATAATATACCCATATTTATTGATAAATAATATTTAATAGATAATAAAAATGGCCAATTAAATACTAATTTAATTAATTTCCTTAAATATTATTTTTGGTAGTATTTTACTAGTAAATATCATATAGAAAAAATTCAAAATAGATTACTTACAGTGCAACTATGATTTATAAATCTCGCTAGATTGCCACACTTGGTTGCATCAATGATGGTATCCAAATCTATTCTAAACAAGTATGAACTACCAATACCCGTGGCTTCATATTGACGCTCTCGTAAATCAGCAACAACAGGGCGAACCATTTGCCCCACATACTCAATAACCATTTCATCAGCCGCAATAGACTCCATTGCAAATAATCCCCAATCATGAATAGCAGATTTACCAAATTTAAGTTGTTTTTTACGGAATTTTAAGACATTAAATTTGAGTAGATCACTGTCTGATGTGGCACCAAATGCTGTCAATAAGCGGCGCTGATTGCTACGTGCTTCTCGAGAAAGAGCCAACATCTTTCCAGTTGATTCCTTAACACGTTTTAGTTCTGCGATACGATTTAATTGAGAAATAGTATGGCCAAAATGATACTAAAATAGAAACAGATCATTATTGTTTATTATGCATGATACATTTATGCTAATTTATACTTGTATTTGTATACAAATTAACTTTTAACTTTAAAATACCTTATGATTAGCTTTTTGTTTACTGTCTACTTTGTAGTAACCTTCTGTTCTAGCACAGCCTGATTCGTGAACTTTCCAGTCATCTTTTTTCTTTTTTTTTGGAATTTGATTTGGCAGAGCTGTCAGTATATTTCAATTAAAGAAAAGTTAATTAAATTCAATTAACATATTACGTTAGTATGTTTCTATACAAATGTCAAACCTTTCTATTTTAAATTAAAAAATAATATTTTATAAAGTGCATCAAATCAAAACTTTATTTTTGTATTCATTTAATACTTCTTTTATTGTGACTTATTTAAAAAAAATAAGAAGTTGAGGGTTCAGAAAATATTAGGTTTGAGATAACTTGATCAGGTTGGAAAATTTAAGTAACTATAATGTGAAATTCCAAAAGCTAGAATCTTAAAGCGGCTCAAACTATTTTGCAGTTGACTTTCTTTTACCTGACTTGAGTTTAAAATATTTTATTGATGCTATTATTTATAGGATCTAGCATTTGAAATAATATTGTATGACAAGTTATCTCAAATATTTCAAGAATACTCAATATTTAATGTCTATTAGATTTGAGATAATTCTTGACTCAGGTTAGATTTCAAGAACCCAACATTTTCTTGAATACGCACACATCAACTAAAAAGTAATTTATTATAAAAAATTGAAATTTAATTTTACTTATTTTTATTAAAAGCCTCAAAATTAACATATCAACATTGCACTGAAATATGAAATGATTCTAAGTAAATCCCCTCCCCCCCATATGCAAAGGTTAAGCTGTGGCACAATCTAACTTAAGTATAAGCACTAACAAATAATGAAATATTCTTTAGATGTTGCAGTTCTCCATCACTATAAGAATCTCATAGACCAAAACCATTTTACTACATCATTAATAGAATAATCAATCATCTTAAATTAAATAGAATTGGCCAATTAATTTATCCTGTAACAAATATGGCTAGAGGCCTAGCTGTTGCCTTCTATTAGTATTTAATAATAATAAAAATCACTGGTAAGCTATAAAGTCAGATCCTATATAGCAAAGACTGTACTTCCAAACTTAATTAAGATTTTGTTATGCAGTTTCAGAAGAACATAGACAATATATAATAAAATGTTTATGTCAGTGAGCACTTATTGTTGTCCTTTAAAATATATAAAACATATTTTTTTTGGAGTTACATCATTTGCTAATAGGCTAATAAAGTCAAGCATTTAAATATCTAGAATATTATATGTTACAAAAAGGATATCTGAATGGTTAACCCAGTGGGTTTCGTTTAACCAATAGTGAACAGTATCATTGGCTAACAAAGACTCATAACTTTGTTTTAAATAGTTTATATCTTCTATGTCAATTCCTTTTGTAAGAAATTCAAAGAGAACTGTTGCTTCTTGAACCATGTCTCGTCTGTTGAATAATTTTGTTTTAATTAGGTGTCCCCGATGTTTCTGAGCAGGTAACAGGTCATTATGTTCTATCTTGTTGCTATCTCTAACAGCCAGTGGCTGTTTTATTTTATTTAGTGTTCTATCGGGAGATGTTGACATCCTCTGTTCAATTGTCATTGAATTGCTAGATTTGACGTTAGGTGACTCTTCTGTTGTATCTTTTTCCATTTCCCATTCAGGAATAGGAGGAGGACTATACACTTCTTGTGGCATACAATATGAATGGTCTGCAAACACTCTAGATGGTTGTTCCTCAGTAGGTTTTTCTCCATTCACCAAACGCTTTTTAGTTTCTACTGGCGCCTCGATTATATTTTCAGCCGATAATTTCCGTTTCACAGCCTTCTCACTACGTTTATATTTGACAAAAGATCCTTCTTCATCTGAGCTAGATAAAGAGTCAATAGCCATAGGAGTTTCATTTCCAGTTGGAGTTAATTCTCTGAGGAGTAAAAAATTAATTTTAACACAAATTTTAATTTATTTTAGTAGGTACTGAGTGATTCTTGTAACGGTATACACTTGTTTACTCTTATTATAAGTAAAATTTTGTAGATATTCTTTTTTGTTGATGAATACAATAGGTCATATTTATTTGTCTTTTTTTTATTTTCAAGAGCTTTATCAACTTTTGAAACTTGATTGACAAAATATAAGTATAATTTAATTGAATTTTTAAATTAAAAACAATTTACTGACAAATTTGACTGGTCGACAACCAGTTTTAATTAATTGTTTTTAAAGTTATTTAAGTTTAAAACAAACGGTGAGAGGTGAAGTGTGATTGAGAAATGAACGCTGATAAATTAACTCTACACTTCATCTAAATTTTAAACTTTAACAACTGTTTATTCAGAACTGGTTTTTGACCAGTGACCATTTTCAGCAAATTATTCCGAAATTAAAAAGTTAGTAAACTATATATGTTACCTACAAAATTGTAATAATTTTATGGCAAAAAAGGTGTAGGGTGTTAAAAAAGGGTGTCAGAATATGAAATTGATAATGAAGACAATTTTTTTTACCTGACTATATCAAAATCTTCTAATGTCATTGATTTACATAGTTTTTTAAGCTTTGTTTTCCAAGCAAATCCTTCACAAGAATCTGCATTACTAGAACTTTCTTCAATAGATTCTTCTTCATCAGAAGAACTATGAACAGATTGTTCTGATGTGGACGAATCGCTATCACTTTCAAATAATTCTCTTCCTAAACGTTTACGTTCAGCAAATGTGGGTCTTGTAACTTCATCATCATTAATCTTAAAATCAAGAAAATGAGTAAGGGTACATAAATTATGTTAGTTAAATCACAAATTAAAAAAAATGCAAAGAAACAGAGGTGTGCACAGGCAGCGAGTTTTTATGCGGTATTACTGCCATCAACAGAGTGGTCTCTCATCATAGTTAAAATGAGCAGCACATGGTAGTATCAGCATTCTGCAAATTTAAAGTATGATGGAGCACCCTTTGTTGAAACATTAATTCTGCATAAAAACTGTTGCCCATTTTCGTGCACAGCAACACTTGGTGCTGGTCTAAAATCAATAATGAAACTTACATCATTGCCTTCATTATCAGATGTTATAACCATTTCTTCTTGATCACTTCCATCTACATCTTCTTGATTGTCTTTTTTTGGCGAAGGTTCCTTAGTTTTTCTCTAATTATATGAATAGGGTAGTCATTAAATAATTTACAAAGTTACTAAACAGAAACTTACGCGGAAAGATGGCATTTTAGGTATTGCTGCTCTGAACCCAAGTCCTAACCCACTCAAAGCTAACGTTTCTAATCCTTCTGTTCCAGCTTCTAGTATACTATTTAAGTTTGGAGCGGGCTGCACAGATTTGAGTTCTTCATTGGTTACATTAGTAGTCTAAAAGTAAAACAAAAATAATAATAATAATAACATTAATAAGAATAATAATAATTAAAATTGGTATTTAACTAGAAGCAGACTGGGCCAGATTAGTGGTGGACTATACCCATCACACCACATTTAGGTTAAGTAGACAGTATGTAAAATTATACTCGTTGACCAGTTATATAAAATCTATGTATATTATAACAATATTTTTATTTATGTGAACGGCCTTTAAAGCTGCCTACTAAGCCAAGATCTATTCAGTACATCTCTTTACTCAATGTTATGAAATATTACTTTAGATTGTCTTTCAGCTTCTTCCCACCATTGATCTAAAGCATTGAAAGCAACAGTTGTTCCCATTTTTTTCATAAGATCGCGTTTGATTATAACTCTTAATTCGTCCAAGACAGCTTTCATTAATTGCCTAAAATAGAAAATTAAAAATACAGTTACTGGGAAAAAAATTAAAAAATTGAATACACACTTTCTAATTTCAGCTGGAAAATTTTTGTTCTCATGTCTATCTCGCGGTGGTTCTTGCTCATAAAAATCTCTACCTGGGAATGGAGGGCCATAATGATAGTTTGGTTGATAAGGAAGATACTGATATCCATAATGGTTATTAAAATGAGGTGGATAATAGTAACCCTGAGGAGGATAACTTGGCAAAGGAGCAGGATAGTTAGGCAGTATATTAGGATCATTTTCAACAATTTTTTCATCACGCGATGACAAGCTGGACAAACTCATCGCATCATCCGGCGTATTTCCTTTCGGACTTTTTCCTAACATTGCTTCATCATCACTAGAACTGATATCACTATGCAGAGAATCGTGCATCGTTTTGTTGATCACTGAAATTATAACATAAAAAAACCATTAAATAGAAAGTAGTTATTAGTTTAAAAAATGTTTTATTCACTATACTTACCATTTTTTATTGTGTTATTTAAGAAACTTTTTGCTTCTAATTTTTCTTTTTCTCTGGTTGCTTTAAGCTGTTCAACAGCCACTTCAAAACTTTTTAGATATATTTCATTTGAAAGAAAAGGCGAGGGAGGATTAGAGAGAGGAGGTAATATTTCATCTTCATTGCTGAGCTTTTCTTCATCCAAATCAGATTGGTTGTCATTAACCCCGGGCGGTAATGGTAAATTGATTCTTAAATCGACATCTTCATTTATACACTCAGGAACTTCAGGTACGGTATCAGGCTCTTTCTTTACTATAGACAAGAACGCTGGTTCTACACTAGCACCTTGATTCATTCCATTAAGAAGCATTGCAATCCTAGTGTCTAAATCCAACTTTGACTGTGCTTCAGAATCTAACTTTGGTGCAGGTGTAGTAGGCAATGGAGGAGGTACTGGGCTAGATTCTCCCCACCATTGATTATTTGGAACTGGAGGAATATTACATGGGTATCTAAACAACAATATAATACATTAATTAATTATTGATACCACAAAGATTTAAGACACTAAATAATAATTTAGTAGTTTTTTTCTATTATAGTTTCAACTGTTAAATTAAGAAAAAAAGTTTAAGTATATATACAATTTAAAAAGGTAATTATACTGATAGATTTAGAATGTTGTTAAACTATTCTATAAAAAAAAACTCTTCTAAGACAGTTATTTTTATTTATAAACTTCATCTTTTAAAATTTTAAATGTAATAACATTTTTTAAAAGTATTAGCTCAAATTTAAAACCATATTTGTAATGCACATAAAAATTAAATTTTTAAAATGTTTTATAAAACTTACTAATATTTAATAATACTAGCTTTATCATTTATAATTTTTTGAGATTTTATATCATCACCGGTTTGGTAAAAACGAATAACTTAAATTAAAATTTTTGAACATTTAAGAATTCTTTGGACATTTTTAGCAAATAACTATTTTGTCAATATGGACCTGGACTAGAAACACACTAAAGTTAATACACATTCACCTCAAGAAGGAAGAGATTCCTCCAAGTTTCAAATACTCGAACAGTCCCCTAATGATTAAAAACAATTTATATAAATACCTCAGATGGACACAAAGAAGAAATTTAATTGAACAAAACAATGACATGGATGTTACTATTTCACCAGAGAAAAATATCTGAATTTTTAAAAAGATATTTGTATATTTTATATAAATATTATTTTAAGTAACTAATGGAAATGTATTTTTATAAATGTAATAACTAATATAATAACACATTAACAAGGGCTTATGACTTACTGTTAAAGCCTTTAAAAAAAAAAAAAAATGAATCATTTAAAAAATTAAAGGTTTGAAAGAGACGACAATTTATTACATAATGACATTAATTGAAGAGCTTGGAGCAACAACCAGATGAATTAATTTTTACTAAGTGGTTTTTCATGAAAAATTCATCACAGAAAATTGAACTACATTTTGATGCAACAAACAGTAACATCGGACTATTACTTATAAAGATATTACAAAACACATTTTTCCTGTGGCAAAATAAAAATATATGTATAATTCAATAAAAATACTGTTTTTTTTTACTAGAAGTCTTAGATGTCTAGTGAGTTTTAAGAACATTTAGTTAAAACATAAGGGTACCAATGTATTTAGCTTTTATGGTCTTTATAAATTAGCGTTGAACAATAATTTTACTATATTTTACCTATTATAAGGATATGGATAAGTTCCATTGTACCCAGGTGTACCACTCATACTGTTATATCCGCTACTGTAACTCTGTTCTGAAGGAAGATCACTTGTAGCTGGTGATGGCGTAGCATAATCATAACCAAAATTAGTGTAATTTTCTGGTACAGGAGGAGGTGGTTTGTCCTCTATTTTTGGTATGATAGGAGATTCTTCCTTAGGTTTAGTTGATTTAACTGTCCGCCGATCACGACTAGATATAGAAGGCTCTTTTTTTTTAGGTTCTTCAGGTGGCGGTTTTGGTTTTTCTTCTATTAACTTTTCAAACATTACTTTGCACTCATTAGCTATATACAAAACAAAATACATTAAAAGTATTCAAAAAATGTAAAACTATAATTTTTGTTATGTAAATAAAGTTATGTTTTTATAATCTAAATCCTACAAGTAATCCCTAATGTGCAAGATGTGATAAGCAGATTTTAAACCACAATTATTTTTAACAAAATAGTTACCGAAAGGATCCAAAAATACATTAACAACTTTTCCCATTACAGATGACTCATTTAGTCTCTGAACACACATTTTGGCAGACGATGCTTCTTCAAAAACTATTTTTGCTAAACCCAAATGTTTTTTAGTGACTGGATGATAAAATATTTGAATTAATTGAATTTTTCCAAATTTGATCACCTGAAATGTAAATATTTCAAACATTGTAATATTCCATAAAAAATATATTACTGAGATTAGCAACTTTTATTGACTTCAATGTTGACGTTAAAAAAAAATTTATACCAGAAAGCAACTATACACAATCAATGAAAAATATATGATAAATGCATGTCTGGAGCAAACAAGAAACAAACTATAAGATGGTTTACTAGCTTATTTTAATGAACAATTTATTAAGATTGTTTTACCCCGCAGCCCTTCACATGATTAATGTACATGTAAACCTAATAAAATAGTTAATAAATAATATTTTAAAGACCTATGTCCTATATGGCCTATATTTAGTATACATTCAATTTTTAGGTATACAATCTATAAGTGCAAATATTATTTTATTTTCGAAAAAAAAATGATATTATAAAATTCATTAATTATATACATATTAAATCGAAAAAAAACAAGATATATTAACTATTTTTAATAAAACCATATATTTAAATAACTTTTTTAAAGACATTTTAAAAACCAAAATATATGTATTTATCTTAAATAATCAACTTACCAAATCTGTAAGAAAAACTTTATCGATATTGTCATTTAGATTTGAAAATGTTACTTCAACCTCTGGGCGTTGACCAATATAATTTTTATCAAGCTGAAAAATAAAAAATTTAAGTATAGCACAGGTTGTTTAAAACATAACGTTTATTACTTTCTGGAATATTAAAATATCTAAAAAATATTGTAGGTTTCTAACACCTCAAATATTTTAAAAACTTTTGAGAGTGATGATGTGTCTTTCAAACACGAGAGTCTCTAAGGTTAACTAAACAGGAAAAAATTTAAAAGAAGGGAGTAAAATAAAATAGTAAAATGGACAAGATAAATTATTTTGGGGTTTTAGAGGTAGCGGTAGAACAAAGAAAAATTAGATGAATGAGGTGTAGAGATGTGTAAAGTAGATAATGAAGGTCTGGCTGACTGACCCCATTTATATAAAATAAGACATGAGAAAAATGAAAAGTTAAGCAAAATATAAGTTGATTAGATTCCATTAGTAGGCTTACACTAAAACATAATTAAGTATTGTATTATTTTTATATCTAATGAAAGTTATCTAAAAAGTGTAATATAATAATAACTATGGTTTAAAGTTTTCTTACTTAATGCATAATATTATAAAATATATAACAGTTTTTCAGGGGTGAATTATTTATTATCATTGTTAAAAAATAGAATCATTTAATTAATTGATTTTTTGTAATAATAATATGCAATAGTAACAAATAAAATTATAAAATTGTAATATAATTGAATAGACAAATGTCTTAAATTGCTTAATACATACCTTAAATTTAGGTACTGGCAATTCAATAGGAAGTGAAATTGTTTTTGATTTTGATTTGAATGTTCGTGGATCATGTACTATTACTTCAGGATACGAAGAATCATTTGGTACAATACCATCATATCTATATATTTTAGTAGGTGCCTTTGTGAGAAATGGATCTACCATAAGTCTCCAGTTACGTTCCCTAGGCTTTTCAACAATCGGAACAATCGGCGGTGGAGTAGTGGGCTTCTTAATGGGCTGAAGTTGCATTGGTGATGGAGGCTTTTCAATTCTATCTGTTGAAGAAATTCTTTTATACTCATATTCATTGTACTCTTCATTGTTGTGATGGTTGTGATGTCGTTGATGTACGCGGTGAGACTCGTATTCTTCCTCGCCTTCATATCTATAATGATGATGGTGATGACGATGCTGCTTATGATGTTTACGGTGACGAGAGTCATGGTGTCTTGAACTATTATATTTGCGATACGATTCCATTTCATTTTGTAAACTTGAAAAATTAAAAACTAATATAAACATGAGCTTATTTTAAAATGTAGAAAAAATAATATTTACCACACAATATTTTGACATGGTATTCAAGTTCTGTGATCAAATTTCAATGTAATTCTTGTAATTGAATTTATGCTTTAGCTATTTCCTAAATTTTGTAAGAATACTTGCTCAACTAAAAAATGTATAATCAAATAAAATATAAATGATTATGGAAAATGTATAATGTACGATGCACTGTACAACATTTAACAAAATACAACTAAATTATTACCCAAAACAAAATTGGAAGCGTATCTAAAATAATTTCAAAAAAACTATTCATATTAATCGAAGGAACTATAATAAAATATCAGTCGAACACGGAACAACTTACAAGTTACCAGACACTGGACACAAGCTCTAATCATAAATCTACAAAGGTATCGAAAATATAAACATCGACAGTGTAGTATTTACTAACGACACATACAATGGTAAAAATATTGTACTGTTGTACACACTGAATCAATAGTTTGATTTAATAGTTCATTCTTTAGAAAATCACAATTCCGTTATTTAAATTTACAGCTAATACTTTTTAGTTATGAGTTATGACAGATGTGAGATGAGTGATGACTTATTACATTTCTAGTTTCTACTACGAAGTGAATGAGTTGTAGCAAAATATGGTATGGAATGATTATTCGGTGTAACTATACTCACACGAAAAAAAATTATATATATACAATGTATACATTGTATATATATAATTATACATATATAATGCAGATGCATGTCGATGACGCTTTTAAAGTTTCGACATGTCTGGTACAATATTACACATTTTTACGTTTATTAAGTAACGTATCACGTAAGTGTATACTGTAGCCTGTATATTGATCATATTATCAAATTATTACCATTTACTAATCTATAGTGACACTTTTATGGTATAAACCTAAAACTAGAAAATGTCGTTAAGCCTGAAACGTTGATAACGTTTTCTGAATTCTATCTTTATACCTTCAACTGCATCCGAATGGTTTATTCTATATAGGTATACTGTTGATAATATCAAATAACTATAGGTATATTATTGTAATATAGCAGCTACACAATATTAAACGCGGGAAAACTTATTCGTTTTGTATACTAACTAGTAAAACACATTTCCGATTACCGTAACTGTGGATTAATAAAAAATTCAGAAATGTTCAGGTGGTATACCTTTATTTGAACCCAAATTTCAGTCCGTAATTTTAAAAATGTAATGTTCAAGTACGTTTCCCAATATACTTGTTTAGTAATTTATTTGATAATCCATTTTTTTATTTGAATTTAGGTTAAAAAAAAAAAATAATTAAACATAAATTGCCTGCCATAGTATTAATGATTTATTATATTTAGATTATTGTTGAATGTATTAGTGACTGTAACATGTGCTTATAAGTATAGAAATTATACGAAAAATGTAAGTATATAAAATCAGAGGATTATTCAACATTTTAGTAGGGTCAAAGAGAAAGGAGGAATTTTGTTAACTATCAATTAAAAATTGAGATATCAGATGATGATTGATGAACTTAAATGTAACTATCAATTAATTAAAGAAATTAAATACATGAAAAATAAATCGTTTTAGAATACAGGTCTTCGCTCAGGTGAAATATAGGCTATAGGCCCAAGGCAAAGAAAATTACTAACTGAAAAATACGTTATGTCAGATATTTAAAAATTATTTTGTCAATAATTTATAGGTAACTATGTTTACTACTTATTACAGGAATAATAAATGTGCATATTGGTTTACATTAAATATTAAGTTAATATTATCATTAAAAGTTGTAATGGAAATTTGAGTTAAAATTAATTTCTAGAAAAAACTTAACAATTGTGGTAATATATAATAAAGAAATAAAATAGTGAAATATTTTATTTCTTCATTATTATTATTTAATACAAAAATAGTTCGTATATTTTTACACATTATGTAATTAATTTATTATCACAAAATATGCCAACAAAATAAATCATAGCCAAACATAACAATAACAATTATAACTGTCAAGTTATAATAATTAGGTAACTAAGGTTTTGGTTTCCTTTACTAATTTCCGTTTTTTCAATACATTTCCAATAAAGAATTCTCCGGCTTTATATGAACTTCTGACTAGAGGGCCACTAGCAGTATACATGAAACCCATTTGAGTTCCAATATCTTGCCAATATTTAAACTTTTCTGGAGTAACATACTCAACAACTTTAAGATGTCGTTTTGTTGGCTGCATGTACTGACCAAGTGTAACGCAGTCGACTAATGAATCTTTTAAATCTAGATAAACAATAAGAATAATGAAATATACACACTTAATAATATTCTTTAATACCTTTTAATGTTTGTAAAATTTGTTCATCAGTTTCACCAAGCCCTAACATGATTGATGATTTTGTTAAAAGATTTATATTGAATTCTTTTGCTGTTTTCAACACCAACATTGACTGTCTAAAATTAAATAAATATTACATTAAGTTTTGTATACTATAGTTGCATACAAATGAAATAGTCAGATTTGACATCTTGGACCTTACACAAAATTATACACAATATTTTACCAGAAGCATAAACTAGAAGAAAAATTATTTTAGTTTGTAACTAAAATAATTTTTCCTAATTATAAACTATAAATATCATCTGTCAAATAAATTCAGGAATCTTACAGTAGATTAATAGACTAAAATTATTGTTCTTAAATCCTAATTATTACTGTATTATGTATGTATCATATTAAAAACAATTTTCTTGAATAATAAACTTTAAAAAAATACAAAATAAATTTGAAGCAATTTTCATTTATAACTTATACAATTTACCTATAATTTGCCCTACGATCTCGCACAAAGGGTGTTAATTTTTCCACAGTTTCAACGTTGTGAGCAAAAACATCCAAGCCAGATTCGACAATTATTTTAACATGGTCTGCTGATCCTTGAAAATCTGGTACTAAGCACTCTATCATTATATTTGGATTACTAATGGAAAAAAATTAAAGATAAAAATAGTTATTTTAAGGTACATTATTGAGACAAACCGATTTTTTATTTCAACAACAGTTTCTGCAAAATGAGCAGAGCCACCATCTTCTAAATCTATAATAAAAAAATAAATATTTATAACTATTATAAATGTTTGATGATATATATATTTATATATGTATAGTAATATCTTTAAAAATATATTACCATCACGATCTACTGATGTTAGTACTATATAATCTAGACCCCAGGATGCAATAGCTTTAGCTGTATTAACAGGTTCTTGGGGATCTGGCAAAGGTGGAGCTCGGGAAGTTTTTATAGAACAAAATCTACATCCTCTAGTGCAAGTATCACCTAATAACTATTAATTAAAATAATATTACCGACAAAATATTATGTTATTGCTATTATAGTTTTTTAATTATATATTTTACCATGATAGTGGCAGTAGCAGTACCATGTTCCCCTCCACCCCAACATTCACCAATATTAGGACATCGAGCTTCTTCACATACAGTATGCAAATTCAATTCTCTCAATTGTTCTTTGATTTTTGAAAAGTTTTCTCCAACTGGTATTTTTGTTTTAAGCCAAGGTGGCAAACGCAATCTTTCTTCTTCGCCTTTGGCTCGACGAAGTTTGCCATTATATGATTTTGTTGTTTCAGGAGTTTCGTTGATAAAATCTACTAAATCTGGCCCACTTTGGAGCGTTTCACGAAATTTATCTCTGATTGATGTTTTTTTTCTCGAGCACTTTTTTAATACCACAAAATAAATTGCATGAAGTTATGATTAAATCACTTAAATGTTATAATAAATGTCATAATAATACGGTTTAATATACCTGCAAAATAATATAATTCGCTTTCCAATGAGATCCTAACTTGTGAACTAATGATGTCATTTCAATGTGTGCTTACAACTGTTAAAATATAATTTAATCCTGAAGTTTGAAAGACTAGCTAATTGCTAAATATCACCGAGACTTAAAAATTGAACTATAATATTCAATTCTGATAAAATATATCACGGACGTTCTCTAGCCGTCAGAATCCAGAATACAAGATTATTAAAAGTTAATCTGTCTGATTTGAAGGCCATCTTATCAGTTACATATTATAAAAAAAAAATCACAGTATCAATTCACATATGGTAAGGTTGTGGTTATAACCACGGTTGTAGATCCACATCCTATCTACAGCCATGGTGATAACAGTCGTATCACAATTCACACAAGTGGTTAATCGTTGTAGTTTTAATAAAAAACAAATAAAATCTATTTGATTGCAATTTATCACAAAATAGTTAATTAGTAATTACCAAAACCAATATCAGTGTCATGAATGAGGGAGTTAAAACCATTATTTAACTCATTTATAATTCATCGCTGCTAATAGTGTAATTAAAATGATTGAACAAAATTGAATAACAGAATCTATTTAAACTATTTTGTGATTAAAACAATCAATTAAAATCAATACTTCAAAATAGTAGAGAAATAATAGCTATATTTGAAAGAATGACTGTTATCATTGAAACTTGAAAGCAACATATTCTGAACGCGCATGCGCCTAAAATAGCAAGTTTGCGGTAAGCTGACTTAGTTTCCCAAGCCACCCTGTAGTATTATCATTGATTAAACACAAATATTGTACTTAATCAATGGTATTATAGTTTGCAACGAGTTGGGGGTAGCTCTTCCAACTACATCCGGTGGAACAGTTTTTGGCGAATGTACAACCACATACCATTAACCATGATGTAACCCATATTAACCTAGGTTTTTGCTTTTTCACTTACTGCCAAAATTATGTATTATAATAATTTGTTTTATTAATTGTTGAATAATTATCAATTATCATGAGAGTCAACTGAGTAATCAAGAATAAGTCATATATATATAAACAACTTTATTTAAAAAAAACATAAGCGGACTGCTCAACACAATTTACCCTTATCAATACAGCGTATATAGTAAACATACAATTAATTTTAAGCTAAAATCACATAGAATAAAATAAAATATAAAATGTTTTGCAAAAATGGTATTAATTGTTTATGAATATAAGTGGAAGTTAATTATATGTAAAGATTGTGCTTCTTCTTGGGGCAGATCACGAACTGCTAGTAAATGTGGATCCTGAATACGCGCTAGCTTTTGGGCGATGGCGATGTGCTAGACTGAAGCCTCCCATGATAATAACAAGATTTATACAACTGTTCGCGTTGTACGCATGCTCGAAATTTGTGACTGAACGTTAAACTCGCAACAGAAAATTATTGTTTCCAACAACTTAAGAACATGTTGCAGCGCTGATGGAACAGAAAACAATTTGTTAGATGTCTCCTATTTTCTCTGCTAGAACTCAATATATTGAGTTCAGTGGCTGGAACACGTCTTTGACTTTGCACATACGCCGAAAGTTTACAACACTATGTTGGAACAAAGCTACTATGTACATGTGTTATAAGCTATTAAATTTATTAATAATAAATTAATTGATCAGTTAGTATTTTATTTTCATAATATCATTTTAAATAATAATAATATTTCTTAATCATATAGTTCACTATATATTACTACATAATATAATATATTAATAATTATACAGTTATTTAATTTAAAATAAACATTTTTGGCATTACTCTTTATTTTAATCAAAACGTGATTTAAGGGACCTGATAAATTTCCTGTGGGCGCCCCATGATGGCCGCAATGACTGTGATAATTGTATTCAACATTTCAATGAATTTTGTTAATTGTATAGTTCACTAAGCAATTATTAGAGTGTGCCTACTAAATAAATTTTAGTGAACATGAAGTTCGTAATGAAAATAAATGTAGTGAACCAAATAAATCTGAATTATTACTCGAGGAGTGCTTTACAAATTATTTGTATTTTGTAGGTATGCGCCCGGCGCCGTTCAAATTGTATTGTTTATTTCATGGGAAAACAATGAGTTCGAATTTGACATCTGTGAACGGGAGATTTAACATCAGGTGCAGACGGCACACTGTAACGGCTGTTTATGTGGCACTCCCTCCCCCCCTCACTACTCGAACCCTTTCGTTACTATTTTTCACACAATTCGCGATATGAGCGGCGCACTGAGCAGCTTATGATACACTTGTCCTCTTTACGTTTATTTATTCGTAATATAACATTTATTATATTAAGTTAATTAACTGAACAAGAGTTAATTAGTAATTCTTTTTTTTTTATTATTGTAGTTTGTTGTATTTTTATTTTATTATACTCATAGTTGAATAATACGCGTTTATATGATTATCGTTTTTGTCGTCCAACAATTGTAGCGCCGTGTGCGACGACCCTAATAATTCCGTGTCTTTTGTGTTATATTATCAGTGCACCTCCCACATAAACTCAACTTTTCGGCCATCCGGGCCGCCGCCAATTGTGTCTTAATCCGTATCCGCTCGTTGATCTGAATCGTGCCGTCAACATGTCTCAGATATTGCCCATCAAGTTCCAGGAGCACTTGCAGGTAAACGAAATCGATCTAGATTGCATTATCACAAATCTGTCGAATATGGTCAAATGACTTCTAAATATGGAAAAAACCCAGCCGGCAACTATGCGCTAATATTTGTTTCTTTTACACATAAATAGAATTCCATTATTTTTTTCTAAATATTATGCACGATTTTAAAATTTCTTGTATGTAATCCACATAACATGTCATTAAATATTGTTATAAATCAGACATAGGTAGGCATTATCAAGTGTTTGAAAGATATAAGTAGCTATCTATCACATATATAGGCGGACCTTTCTACCAGACCTTCTGGTGTTTAGCTTATCTGTGTGACTAGCTAGATAGTATTGAATAGCATATTATTGTATTTATTCTCTATGCTAATTCCTAATCTGTCGCAGGTCCGGTCCCTAAGGTATCAATTACAACAAATATTATATTATTTATTAATCCTGTTAAGCGAGTCGAGGGACCTTTTATATATTTTATTACATTTTGTTAGCAAAGCCTAATATCTACATTTGGATTGCATAACATATCATGCTTTGTCAGAGCTATTGTATTGAACTAATAAAGTACATTTCAACTAAACTAAGCTATTAGAGATGATCTCTTAATCTAATTTTAAATAATAATAAATGATAAGTATAAATATTTTTATATTATTATTAATATTATTGTTATAAGAAAAAGTAGTAAGATATTTGACACTTTATTCAATTATAATATAGCTCACAAATGTCGGCATCAATCAGTCAAACATTAGCTTTAACACGCTTACCATGGAATCGGATAAATATATTTGTGTGCGTGAAAAGACTGGTGATGTGGCACAAGTGGTTATTGTTGATATGGCTGATCCACAAAATCCAATCAGACGCCCAATTTCTGCTGACTCGGCCATCATGAATCCAGCTAGCAAAGTTATTGCACTCAAAGGAAAAGCTGGTACTGAAGGAACTGCTGCTTGTAAGAATATAATTTGATATATACATGATTATTTTTAAACTATTATATCATTATTTATGTGTTTTACTATAATAAAATGTTTTTTTGTTATTGTTCAGCCCAAAAAACACTACAGATATTTAATATTGAGATGAAGAGTAAAATGAAGGCTCACATTATGCAAGATGATGTGGTTTTTTGGAAATGGATTTCGCCTAACACTTTAGCCCTTGTAACTGAAACGTCCGTTTTCCATTGGAGTATGGAAGGTAATATTTCTCTAGTTTTAAGACAAACAATATTGTTTTAAATAATGCAAATAATATTTTAGGAGACTCCACTCCCGTTAAAATGTTTGATCGTCATTCAACATTAAATGGATGTCAGATAATTAATTATCGAACAGATCACAAACAGCAGTGGTTGTTATTAATAGGAATTTCAGCTCAGGTATATATACATATATAAGTAAATGATGACAAATTTATTGATTTATCAATTTTTTCAGCAAAATCGTGTTGTTGGAGCAATGCAACTATATTCTGTTGAAAAAAGTTGTTCGCAACCTATCGAGGGACATGCTGCAGCATTTGCGAGGTTTCAAATGGAAGGAAATAGGGAAATGTCTACATTGTTTTGTTTTGCAGCTCGTACTGCAGCTGGTGGAAAGGTAACAAAAAAAATTAAAAAAAAGAATTAAAAAAAAAATAGAATTCTAATTAATATACTTCTATTAGTTACATATTGTTGAAGTTGTCCAAACACCACGAGGCAACCAGCCTTTTCCGAAAAAACAAGTTGAAGTTTTCTTCCCTCCAGAAGCCCAAAATGATTTTCCAGTTGCTATGCAAGTGAGCTCTAAGTTTGATGTTATCTACCTTATCACCAAATATGGCTACATTCACTTGTACGACATCGAAACTGCTACTTGTATCTATATGAACCGCATAAGTGGTGATACAATATTTGTAACTGCTCCACACGATGCCACTGGTGGAATTATTGGTGTTAATCGTAAAGGACAAGTATTATCAGTCAGTGTTGAAGAAGACAATATTATTCCGTATATAAACACTGTATTACAACATCCCGAACTCGCTTTACGAATGGCCGTCCGCAATAATTTATCTGGTGCTGAAGAATTGTTTGTACGCAAGTTTAACATGCTTTTCCAAAATGGACAGTATGCTGATGCAGCTAAGGTAGCCGCCAATGCCCCTAAAGGTATACTTAGAACACCTTCAACCATACAAAAATTCCAGCAAGTCCCAACAGCTACCAATCAATCTTCACCTCTTCTACAGTACTTCGGCATATTACTTGATCAGGTATTTTAAATCACTAAATTATAGTTTTCATAAATTAATATAATTTGTATTTTAATAATTTAGGGAAAATTAAATAAATACGAATCATTAGAGTTGTGTCGTCCAGTTCTTGCTCAAGATAAACGACAATTATTAGAGAAATGGTTAAAAGAAGATAAATTAGAATGTTCTGAAGAATTGGGTGATTTAGTCAAAACAGCTGATATCTCTTTAGCATTATCAGTTTATCTTCGTGCAAATATACCACCTAAAGTAATATTTATTAATATAATAAACAATGTGATATAACATTTCCTTCTTTTTATAACAGGTCGTCCAGTGTTTCGCTGAAACTGGCCAGTATCAGAAAATAATTTTGTACTCTCAAAAGATCAGCTATGTACCTGATTATATTCATTTGTTCAGGAATGTAGTTTTGAGAACAACTCCCGATCATGCTGTTGAATTTGCCCAAATGTTGTTATCTGACGATGCAGAACCTTTAGCTAACATCAATCAAGTACGTTTCTATTACACATCTACTTTGTACATGCGATCTATGTAGAATTAAATTAAATTTTTTTTAGATTGTTGATATATTCATTGAACAAAATATGGTCCAGCAATGCACAAAATTCCTTTTGGAAGCCTTAAAGCATAACCGTGAAGCTGAAGGTCCATTACAAACTCGTCTACTTGAAATGAATTTGATATCTGCTCCACAAGTTGCGGATGCAATTCTTGGCAATCAAATGTTTACTCATTATGATCGAGCTCATGTTGCACAACTCTGTGAAAAGGCAGGTCTTTTACAAAGAGCATTGGAGCATTACACAGATTTATATGACATAAAAAGGGCAGTTGTTCATACACAATTGTTAAATCCAGATTGGCTTATTGGTTACTTTGGTTCTCTGAGCGTTGAAGACTCTCTGGAATGTTTAAAAGCTATGCTCACGAATAATATTAGACAAAACCTTCAAATTTGTGTTAAGGTATTTATTTGCTTTTTTTTTAAAGAAATTAAATTTTTATTGCTGTTTTTAAAAGCATTTATGTTGTGGTAATTTTTTTAAGAACTGATGTGTCAGACATGTTTCCTGTGTTCACTGTTGGGTTTAGAGTTTAACGATAGATGCCCAACCGGTGGGCATTAGAAACGTGTTTGAAACTTCAGTTTGTAAACACACTACTTGGATATTAAAAAAAAAAAATGTATAATTAATTTATCAATCCATGCTAGTTTTAACAATTACATAATTTGAATTCTGTTATTTTCGTATTTTCTGTAGATAGCAACCAAATATCATGAACAACTTACCACAAAAGCTTTAATTGATTTGTTCGAGTCATTTAAGAGTTATGAAGGTCTTTTTTACTTTTTGGGTTCCATTGTTAACTTCAGTCAAGATCCAGAAGTTCACTTTAAATACATACAGGTTGTTGATTATTTTATCAAATTTATTTTTATATCTAATTGAATCCTTAAATGTTTTTTAGGCTGCATGTAAAACGGGACAAATTAAAGAAGTGGAGCGAATATGTCGAGAATCAACATGTTATAATGCTGAAAGAGTTAAAAACTTTTTGAAAGAAGCAAAACTTACTGATCAGTTACCGCTAATTATTGTGTGTGATCGGTTTAACTTTGTGCACGATCTTGTCTTGTATCTCTATAGAAACAACTTGCAAAAATACATAGAAATTTATGTACAAAAAGTCAATCCATCTCGTCTACCAGTTGTAGTCGGTGGTCTTCTCGATGTAGATTGTTCTGAAGATATTATTAAAAACCTTATTCAAGTTGTGAGAGGAGAATTCTCTACCGATGAATTAGTTGAAGAAGTCGAAAAGCGTAATCGTTTAAAATTGTTGTCTTCGTGGTTAGAATTGCGTGTACACGACGGTAGTGAGGAACCTGCTACTCATAATGCTTTGGCCAAAATTTATATTGACAGTAACAACAATCCAGAAAGATATTTGAAGTATGTACTAAGATTTGTATATCTCACTGCATTTTAGTATAAGTTTAAATGTAAATTAAAATGTTTTTTACAGAGAAAACAAGTTCTATGACAGCAGAGTTGTTGGAAAGTATTGTGAAAAGCGCGATCCACATTTGGCGTGTGTTGCTTATGAACGTGGAAAATGTGATTTAGAATTGATTAATGTGTGCAATGAAAATAGTTTGTTTAAATCTGAAGCACGATATTTGGTTCGACGCCGTAATCCTGAATTATGGTTGGAAGTTTTGAATGAAAACAACATCTATCGTCGTCCTCTTATTGATCAAGTTGTTCAAACGGCTCTATCCGAAACTCAAGATCCTGAAGATATATCTGTGACTGTAAAGGCTTTTATGACTGCTGATTTGCCTAATGAATTAATTGAGTTACTTGAAAAAATTGTATTTGATAATTCTTTGTTCAGCTCACATCGGTAACTAATAATAATTTTACTGTTTATTTTATGTTTGATGATTTTATGTCTAATTCATTTAATTCATGTTGTATAGGAATTTACAAAATCTATTAATATTGACGGCAGTTAAAGCTGATCGCACTCGAGTCATGGACTACATTAACCGTTTAGATAACTATGATGCACCTGACATAGCTTCAATCGCTATTAATAATGAATTGTATGAAGAAGCTTTTGCTATATTCAAAAAGTTCAATGTTAATCAATCTGCTATTCAGGTAAAATTATACATTTATTTTTAAATGAAAATCCAAAATAACTTTATTAATTATCCCATCACAATACTTTTGTAGGTGTTAATAGAAAATGTGAAAAACCTTGACCGAGCGTATGAATTTGCCGAACGGTGCAACGAACCAGGCGTATGGAGTTTGTTGGCCAAAGCCCAATTACAGAATATGTTTGTCAAAGAAGCTATTGATTCATTCATTAAAGCTGATGATCCCAGTGCGTACATGGATGTGGTACAAACTGCACATAAAACAGGTAACTTTTTTTTTTTTTGTTAAATTGTTTTATTTATTAAGAGATCGGATAATGTATACATAACATTATACCGTGTTTGTATGAGAGGAAATTGTAATTACAAATTCATTTTTTTTTTTTAAATTAGGAAGTTGGGAAGATCTTGTTCGCTATTTGCAAATGTCTAGAAAGAAGGCTCGTGAATCTTATATCGAGAGTGAATTGATTTATGCGTATGCAAAAACTAACAGGCTTGCTGATCTCGAGGAGTTTATATCGGGTCCAAATCATGCTGATATTCAAAAGGTTTTACCTGAATTACACCACCAAATTGATTTTTTTTAACAAGTGTATATCTGTTTTATAGATAGGCGATAGGTGTTTCGATGATGAAATGTATGAACCAGCTAAACTGTTATACAATAACGTTTCAAACTTTGCGCGTTTGGCTATTACTCTTGTTCACCTTAAAGAATATCAGGGTGCCGTTGATAGTGCTCGTAAAGCCAATAGTACTAGAACATGGAAAGAAGTGTGTTTCGCTTGTGTTGACAATAATGAGTTTAGATTAGCTCAAATGTGCGGTTTACATATTGTGGTTCATGCTGATGAGTTGGAAGATTTAATCAACTATTATCAAGTAATTAATATTTTTATTTTTTATTAAAAAAATATATTGCTAACATTATTTGTCTTAAGGATCGTGGCTACTTTGAAGAACTGATCAATTTATTGGAAGCAGCGTTGGGATTGGAACGTGCACATATGGGAATGTTTACAGAATTGGCTATTTTGTACTCAAAATACAAACCAGCTAAAATGAAGGAACACTTAGAACTGTTTTGGTCTCGAGTGAATATACCAAAAGTGTTGAGAGCGGCTGAACAAGCCCACTTGTGGTCGGAGTTAGTATTTTTGTATGACAAATATGAAGAGTATGACAACGCAGTGTTAGCTATGATGAACCATCCAACTGAAGCCTGGCGTGAAAGTCATTTCAAAGATATTATTACCAAAGTAAATTTAACTTTTAACTTTATGAATGACATTTTAATGGTTTTACGTTTCATTTTTATTAAATAGGTTGCCAATTTAGAATTGTATTATAAAGCAGTTCAGTTTTATGTTGATTATAAACCGCTTCTCCTCAATGACTTGTTGTTAGTGTTGACACCACGTATGGACCACACTAGAGCAGTTGCCTATTTCTCGAAGGTATTTTTCAATAATAATTGTATTATGAGTTTTTAATTCATTTAAATGTGTATGTATTTTTAGACAAATCAATTACAATTGGTCAAAACTTACTTGCGTTCGGTGCAGTCATTAAATAACAAGGCTATCAATGAAGCATTGAATAATCTATTAATTGATGAAGAAGATTACCAAGTAAATTATTTTAAAAAAACAAAAAAAATTTTGAATACTTATTGGACAATTTATTTTAACACTAATATTAATTATTAATTAGGGTTTAAGAACATCTATTGATGCATTTGATAATTTTGACACAATCGCACTTGCCCAAAAGCTTGAAAAACACGAATTGACTGAATTCAGACGTATTGCTGCCTATTTGTACAAAAGTAATAACCGATGGAAGCAGAGTGTTGAGTTGTGCAAGAAAGACAGATTGTATAAGGTAAGTTTTTTTTACCTATTATCAATTGTCATTAACGTAGTAAATAAAAAAAAAACGATGATGTGAAATTTTATTACCTAAAAACTTTTATTTACTAATGAAAAAACCACAAATGGGGAAATGTTTTAGTTTACTGCAAAAGCATGTACGATTCAATGTTTTTGGTTGTCACTAAAAAGTATCACCATAAACCTTTTTCTACTGACTGGCAGGCCAGAAAAATTTCAATGTTGAAATGCTACTCAACTATGTTTTTTTATTGTACATAAACCAAATAAAATCAATATTTTTGTGTAAATACCTAAAAATTTGCTGGGCTTAAACTAAAACCCTACAGTTTTTTAGGTTTAGTTTATTTTTTGCCAACTTTGTCTAATACTGACTAATGTAGTTCAACACCTAAAGGATGGTAACCAACAAACACGCTCACATATAAAGAGGATCTGATATGGAGAGTAGGCTAAAGTGTAGTTGGATTAGGTTGATAGACGCTACAAGTTTTCTGTATGACAGGAACGTGTCATTTAGAGTGAAAAGAAAATTATATAAAACTGTAGTGAGGCCAATGATGTCAATGTGGCTAAAATAAATTTGACTTTGGCTCTATTTAAATAAATATTTTTATAATTTTAATTTAAATAAAACCTACTAACAAATAAAATTGTATTTTTATTTGGACTAATTTAATTAACATTAATTAAAAACGTAGCAACACTTGTGGTTAGGTTAGGGTATATAGTAAATATTGTGTATATAGTAAATAAATAATATAATGAAGTATATAAAATAACCTTTACCACAACAACTTTTACAATAAAAATGGTTTTCGGAGGCAAAGAAGAAGCATTAATTTAAATTGAAAACAAAACCAAGCTTAGTAGGGTCATGTTAGTTACAGGACAGTGTAGATGTTATTAAACTAAAAGTGATAATATCACTAGACAGCCAACTATATGTATCAAAAATTCAGCACACAAGATAATTTAGTGGGTGGGTCTAGCTACAAAAAATAAAATCTTGTTTAAAATCAACTTTGTAAGTCTTGTCAACTTTGCGTCAAACCTCTAATGTAATATTAAATGTTCTTAATTCTACTATTCAGGATGCTATGGAGTATGCAGCTGAATCCAAGAACTCCGAAGTGGCCGAAGAGTTAGTAACTTGGTTCTTGGAACGGGGAAACTACGATTGTTTTGCCGCAGCTTTGTTCCAATGTTACGATCTTGTTCACCCAGATGTAGTATTAGAATTAGCATGGAGGCATAATATTATGGATTTTGCCATGCCTTATCTAATACAAGTCACTAGGGAATATGTAGCTAAAGTTGACAAATTAGAAGAAGCCGAATCAAAGCGTGTCGAAGAGCATAAAGAAGAAGACATTAAGCCAATGATGATGCGTACGTATTATAAATACTGTGTAATAATACACTATTTACAGCTGTCATATAACTTTTTTTTTTTATGTGTATATATTTAGCTGAACCACAACTGATGTTAACAGCTGGTCCATCCGTAATGAACAATATGTATTCACCGTCTTACCAGGGAGCAATTCCTCCTTCACAACCCTACGCTCCTCCTAATGCTGCAGGCTCTTACGCCGCCCCAAGCAATTTACCTTATCCAGGTTATGGAATTTAATGGATCCATTACATACTCCTTTCCTTTATAGCAGTATTTTATAAGAAAACAATGATGGGGCTCTGCTATTAAAACTAGAAAATTTACCCTCTGTGTTTATATTTAATAAATAGAAATAATAATTCTTTTTGAAAGTCATTCCAACAAAATATAAACTTGAATAAGCTTTACAAAAAATATATACATTTATAAATTTATGTATGTTTATTATACTACTCTCATCATTGTTAGATAATATTTACATAGTTAATGTTAATACTTGTTAAAATATTATTTGTTTAAATTATTCAACTTCACGTCGTAACTTATGAATTATTTGCATATAAATTTTTAATTTTGATTTCACGTTAATTTTTATAATTTATTTTATTTATAATCGTATTATTATTATTATTATTATTACTATTATTATGATTTTTTTTTTATGTAAATTATTATTATCAACAATTTATTTAGAAATATGAAAAATCATAACAGCAAATGAGTATATTTATTGAGTTCCATGCCTGTTTGTTATTATTTTTACTATAAAAGAATTTATATAAATGCTATATTTAAGCTCTTATTAGGAAGTGTGAACTGGAATTAATTCGATAGCAATTTGAAAATGTGCCAACTCGTTAATTTAATATTCGAGTTATTATTAATAATATACTTTCATAGTATTACAAATACTTTTTTTTTAAATATCTGTAACTGTTGTTTGAAGTTATATTTTGAGTATACTAAGGTATGTGCGTCAACATAGCTTTTGTGTAACAGTCATTGACATATTCTGTAGTAGTTTGTTCATGATCTATTTTGAAAATATAATGTACATACTGAAAAACAACATTTAATATATGTCTAACTTGTCTTAATTAAAAAATTATTAAAACTTGAATGGGGTACAATATTTACACACCTTGCGGTTACTCCCATTTAATTATCTTGACTGTCTACGGGAGAACGCGGTATAAGCAACATTGATCCAGAGCCCAGAAGATGGAACATGCAAGTGTTTTGAAACGTTGGCCAACCAGTCAAGATAATCAAATGGGAGTACCCGCAAGGTGTGTAAATAGTGTTGTCTTAATTATAAACAGCATACATCAGTGTTATTTTTCTTCTGTATTATTATAAGAATTTGCAATAGTTTATTGTGCCGTTTCAATACCACATTTTCGTTCGTGTGATCACTTATAATGGTCATACTATAACAACATTTTAAATGGCTGTTCATCAACAGCGCTAAAAACTGAAAACATATATTGTGCATCAAGAGCAAGTGTAATTTTGTTTTACCTTACTAATCCCTTACGTTGAACAATATTTTACCCGTAATCCTTAGAGACATGACCTAAAAAAACAAAACAAAGAATAGTATAATATTTGTAAAAACGATATATTATTTAATAACAATATAATGTTTACATTAATTTAGCTAATACAATTGAGTTTTTCGATAATAAGCTTCGTTTTCGGCTGTGCATTTGTTGATCTTGGGGCCGGACAAGTACATCTCATCGGCTGACAAATGAGGTAATATTAGGTCAAGTCTTTTACGTTGCTTGTCGAAATCATCTCTTTTATTAGCCAATATTTTCTCATCCTTTAAATCAAGACATTTGAAATTGTATAATTTTATTGCGTATTATCCGTCGTCAGTTTTTATTACTACTACTATTATCGCATAGGTTTACCTTAAGGACGTTTTCTTCTCGTCTTATCACGTCGAACAAGCGATTTTCTATATCCTTGCCTTTTTTGTCAAACCTGCTTTGAATGTTTTTAGCACTTTCCAAAGCTTTAAACCCTTCTTCCTGTTTTGCCATAGCTAACTACAAACAAAAACAATGCGTTTAATTGCCTTATTGAATAATATTTGAAACTTAAATGGTAACGTAAATATTTTATTAACTTTTTTAATTGAGAATAATGTACTAAAAATGTTGACTGGTCGATAACCAGTTTCGGATAACTATTTTTGAAGTTATTGAAGTTTCAAGTTTAGGGCAGGAGGAAAGGTGGAGTGTAGTATTATTTTTATCTGCGCGCATTTCCCAACCGCACATCCCCTGTCATCCTAATTTTAAAATATAACTTTAAAAATAGTTATCCGAAACTGGTTATCGACCAGTCAACATTTTTAGTACATTATTCTCAATTTAAAAAGTTAATAAAATATATGCATTACCATTTAAGTTTCAAAAGTTGCTATCAAAAAAACTAAGTTGGGAGGGAGGTAAAACAAAAATAATTGTGAAAAATTAAAATCACATTGTTTAAAAATAATATGAAAAAAAAAATTTTAATTTCTTATTAAACCCTGTGAGATATTGAGTAGCCCATGATAAAAAAATCACCCTGTATGTTGAACTTTTGGTTCTGTTTCACTGTTCTTTTTCAAAGAACAGTGTTCCATGTTGTTCACCAAAATTCGTCAGTATGAATTAAATTGTGTTTAATGGGTAAAATGAAGACATTGATGATATATGTACCTATTATAACTTCTAATTACGAAAATATGACTTAAACGGGCCTTATATGATTCGGTTCAAAAAATCGACGGCAAGTTAATTCATATAGAATACCATTAATTTTGTTTTTAGTTAAACCTATAGGTACGCCGTACGATGTTCATAAAAAAACTGGTTTTGTTGATTGGATCCACAAATTAAATGTGGAAATATGACGTGATGTTTGAAATCGGTATATTTTTAATCCTATTTATATCTACAAATACTATAAAAAAATATACCGATTTCGAACATCACGTTATATTTCCACATATTACTATCGACTGAGTAGTACTTAATAATAACTATCGTCTAAACTTAATAGTTACTTCCGTACGTTAAATAACCATCACATAATATTTTATTATAACTAACATATTACTCCCTCAAAGCCCAAATTCTCTTTCCTAAAATCGTGACGATATAGTGCATTTACACGATCAATGAAATTTACTTTCAGAAGTTTTTCAGCACGAATTAATTTTATTTTTATATCGTCGTCTTGCTTTGCCAACTTGTGTTTCTCTTCGACTAAATGCTTTTCGTGTTCTTTTAAGCTTTCAGACAATTTTTCCAAATCCTTTTCTTTTTCTCTCAAATTATTAAAGCTCTCCTTAAGTTCTGCTTTCGCCCGTATTAGATCGCTTCCGTTACCAGTATCCATTTTCAACATGGTTTCCAGACGACAACGTTCGGAGGCCACTTCGAACCGTTCTTCGGCTAGTTTGCGCTGTTCTTCCATTACCGACGAACGAACTGCCTGTATATACATATTTGCATTTATTATAATTACGTTGTAAGTGTAAACATAATGTAAGGTAAACTGACAGGTATAACGTAAGACTAATTGTAAGGAGGGCGTAGGTATCTACTCTTATTTTTTGTTTATAGCGCCTCGATCTCATGACACACTATAAATCTCTATTAATGCACTCCAGTAGTATTTACTGTGGATTGATAGGGGTGATCACGCCTCAGAACTCAGAGCTTTTATTTTCATAAATATATTATTAATAATCTACTTGTCAAATAAAAAATTCTTCTTGTTAACCGTAGACACATTTTGGACAAAATATCATAAAACAAAAAAAAAGAACATTTCATAATAATAGATATAAAGTAAAGTATTATCGCGGAGTGTATGAATATATATATATATATAAATTATATTTTATGAATAGATTATATAATCTGTGGTGTAAGAAAAAATGCTATTTTATTCATGATAAAACCTACCTACGAGTTACGAGTATGAAATAATGACCAGCTGACGGCTCCATAACACAAAATGGGAGTGGGCCACATGCACTTCAGCCAAGAGGAGAAGAAAAAGTTATTAAATAACACCGGAGACTTATGTGGTCCACAAAAAGGTATGAAGAAATATTTTGGATCTTGGATTTTTTAGAGGGTGTATCATAATTTTTATTTAATTTTTAGAATCCATATGATAAACGCGATGGATATTGCTATAACAATAATAACGTCGGGGATCTATGTGCGTGTCTTACTTCTAACTCTTGTTTGCGGCTTTCGATGTATTGGGTATCAGACTTTTTTTCACGTTCCCACGATTTACGACTGCTTTCGAATGCAGCCATAGATCTTTTCAGCTCTTTACTGGCAACTTCCAACTCGCTACGTTCTCTGGCGTATCTCGATTGAAACTCGTCCATTTTCACCTGGAGGGACGCCTTTTCGCCGTCCAGCACTGCCAACTGTTTGTCCACTTCTTCCTGCAAGTCTTCGCAAATATAATAATTGTACTAATTGTATATTGTACCGACAATTGTAAAACAACACGTATAAATGTCCTACCTTTGAGTTTTCTCTCTTGTGTAATTATCGACATTTCTCTGGCCGACATCTCATCACTGTTCATTGAGCGCTTTGATTTTGTATCTCTTAGACTGGATTCCACTTCTTCCAGATGACTCATCTTGATCTTTTGCACTTCGGCGGATTGTTTGAGGTCGATTAGATGACTTTCGTGAATTGTTCTTAATCTGTCTTCGAACGATTGTTTCAAAAGCATTTCATTTTGTTTTTGCTCTATAGAGTCTTTTTTTCGTTCTTCATCCAACTCACGGATACGCGATTCATATCGATTGAGTTTATCCCGCAGTACTTCTAGTTCTAATCTAAATTTAAAATTAAGTGTTCGGAAAAGTGTTTAAATTAAAATATTAACCTCACAATAATGCTTTAAGTGAGATCACTGGCGTATTAGACAATAATCAAAATGTATGTTTACAACTTTGAATAAGGCCTAAGATGCCCAGACATCAGCTGCCAGTACATTTTAAGTGTTAAAATAGGTTTTTTTTTTATTAAGGAGGACTTAGAAGCAGCGAGAAATGTTAATATACAGTGCGTTAAAGTTTCAAATATATATTTGGTTTTATTTTACTTTGGATCAGATTAAATTTAAATATATTTATGAAACTTTATTAAACATGAATCTTACTCGTATTTGGTTTTTATCGTATCCAATTCCAACTCCTTTATTTTGGTTAAATGGTCGATTGTTAGTTGCAACGATTTATTCTCAGATTGCAAGCATTCTAACTGTTTACTATCGCTACTTATCATCGCCGAATTGTCCATCAACAACGCCTATTTATAATTTTTGTAATTTTTATATGTTTATTTGTGTAACGGTTGTTTGTATTTTGTACACCCTATAATTGGTTCTGTCGAGTACTGTTATAAATAGATAATATAGATTCATTGTAGATTTGAAAAATATTATATAAGGTGCTAAATTCCGCTTTTTTAATAGTATTTTAAGGGGTTAGGGGTAAGTCAGCTGGGTGAAAAAATGAGTATTTCAAACAATTTTTTTTTTTGACAGTAGTTTAATTTATTTTATAAAACAAATGATACAATGTTATTATATTATGTTTTAACTTTATTTGACAAGAATTAACATTTTTTAATTTTTATTTTAGACCAAGTTGTCGCTATATTTCTCTCAAAAGTCGTGTTTTGCAGTGATCAACATAAAATTTTACTGATTCATCTAAAATCAATGAAACCTAAACAAATCATTAGTTTAATAGTTAATCTAGTGCCTGATCGAAGGTTTTATTTTAAATAAACAAAATGGCGACCTCTCATCATTTACTTACGGATTTTCAAGGAAAAAAGCACTAGTTTATTGTTTATAAAAAATATAATGTTTAATAAAAAATTTTTTTTTGATCAGGCACTAGTTTTTTGTGCTTTCAATAAGCTGTATAAATTTCATTTAAATCTGTCAAGTGGTTTTTTAATTACAGTGGTCACCGATTTTGAAAACATAGTTTCGAGAAAAACTCATTTAAAAAGTGTTATGCTCGATTTATGTATAGAAATATTAATTATTTAATTACTTACATCGAGTCATCTTTTCCTTGGATTAACTTGAAATTTTCAGATAACATTTTTGAGACATCATACTTTAAGAAAATGAAAAAAAAAAAATTGGATTTTTTCAAAATCCTGACTACCTCTAACCCCTTAAAGAAGATACGAACTCCAACTGAATATATACCGGCTGTTTAAGACTTGTATACAGAACACATTTATACAGAGCCGATGATGGATATATTAGAATGGCAATGGGCATTTAAAATAAACGGTTTTTTTTTAAACAAGACAAAGCAAAAAAGCTAATTTTACTTTTATGAGGAGATCGCTATTTTGTTGGTCTTGTATTAAAGTAATAGTAGCTTGTTGAATGTCCTGTTTTTTCTTGGCTAGTTCCTGGATAAATTCTAAAATAGATGTTTGGAGATTATCTTTTCCCTCGAGGAGCGAGACAATTGTTGGTGTTGGGTTCACGTTAATTTTGTTGTTTTCAATAACTTCCGAAATATTCTGCTTGACTTCTTGCGTCACGCGTGGCGGTGAGGCCGGCTGAGGAGACTCGTCTTTTTGTATTAATCCGCTTAACCAAGGGGGCATTTTATCTGAAATACAATATCATTAAAAAAAACACTTGAAAAGAAAAAGCCATTGTTGTACAATGCGTCTGCCATTATTCAGGCCGGTTTTACACAATTCATGGCTTACCTGTCTTGTTTGCTGACGACTTTTGCGCCATATCGTTCGTAACCGCTATGGTTGGCGACGTCTCCCGACGTCTTGGTCTCGTCTCGGGTGTCGGCAACCGGATCAAAACAGGTTCGGTGACCGATATTTTGCTTTCCTGAAACAATTCCAAGTCCAGCGGTCTGCCGTCCTTTTTGTTGCTAGTAATTGTTTTATCGTTGTCGCCACCGATGATGTCTCTAGCAAAGCCGCCGCCATTGTAGTCGTCTTCGTCATCATCGTCGAACAACAGGCCCGCCGATCGAGATGTCCGGTGAGTGGTCTGTCTACTTAGATTATTGCGTCTCGACTTACTAGATCCTCCAAGAGACGGCTCGTAAACCATGTCAGTACTTGGTGTCCGTAAACCCAGCCAGTCTTCGGACCTTCCAGTGTTGGCCACCGTAGGCTTTAACTGAGCGTCGCTGCTCCTAAACATTTTTTTTTAAATTACAAATTTACGTTATAACTAGCTGTTTTGAAAGTATTTTTCAAATATACACATATAACTAACAGACAACAGTGGAGTAGGTATTTTGCAGACACCCAAAGGCGCGACCAGAGGGTATGCTGAGAGGTCTAGTTAAACACCACATAATTTATTTGTTGGTCTCTTCAAATATTCGAGAGGTTTTTAGCCACATTTCCTCAGATCGGGAACTAATTTATGTATTTTAAGTTTCAAATTTTCACATGGTAATATTTTTTGTTTACTTATATTTCATGAATTTTTCGAAGATGGATATATTTTATACAATATAAATGTATAGTATCTACAGAAATGTACAAAACGCGGATGGGAGAGTTTAGTTTTTTAATAGGAGAGACGGGATGACCGAAATCTAATCAAATACTTTTTTCACCATACTAGACCATATTCCACCATGTTTTTAAACTTCACCTTGATTACGAAAAAATTGAATATTAGTCATAACTTTGAAGTTTAATAATTGCAAGCAGGTAAGAGATAAAAATAATAGAGATTCCAATGTCTGCAACACCCTGCCACTCAAAATTACACCTTACATATCAACCGTTTTCAATAGAATTTATATTAAAAGGTACCGAAATGTAGTTAAAATCAAACTATATGTATACCTACAGTGTACATGGGCCCAAAAAACCCATATTTTATTTCCGTTAACATAGATGTATTATACATAATATATTCTATGTGTGAAATGTTAACAATTTGTAGCATTTTTTTGTGTTTAGATTTTTTTAGAATCTACGACAAAACTACCTAAACACTTGTACACATGTACCTATCGCTTGTCAGGAAACTATTTACATACTACAAAATAAAAATTAGTCGTACGGTTTGTCAAGATCCTTCCTTCTATCGCCGTCTTCATTTGCTAACAAATCGTCTAGTACATCCCAATTATCAGCAGTTCCTGTTAAGTAATTACAAAAGATATAATATTACAACAGTTTTTTAGATGTAAATATGATTTAAAATGTATGTAATCATAAAAAAAACACCTTTTAAAAAAACAAAAACCAAAACAATAATAAACATTATAATATTTCAATTGTAAATAATAAATTCTTTCATTTATTTACCTGTCATGACTCACACATTATTTTATCTTATATTTTAGAACTATATTGATTATGTATAGGTATCATAACATTGTCAAATGTATTAAGTTTTCACTTATTTGTTCACCGATTAAACATATAATTACACATAATAGGAGTATGTAATACCTATTTAATTATTTTTATTATTATTTTATCACATTTTTATAATATACAGGTAGTTAAATAATACCATAATGTTATACTATTTGTATTACATAGATGCAATGTTTGTGTAAATCATACACCGTTGCCAAGGCAACATTTCTGGTTTGCATATTGTATTATTTTTATTAGAATTATACACATTTTAGTTGCAATATGTACTAAAGCAAATTGACAAGGAAGGCAGGTTATAAATAATCAGAATTATTAGTTTGTGTATGCCTCAAGTATTAAGGATTAACCAAATTAATAAACACAATATTCGTTTTTAAAAATATTGATTAATAATTAGATAATTTTTTTATTAATCAATTTTAGTAACTGCTAATGATTTACTAAAAAAAAATTGGTTAAAAAATGTATTGTTCATTTTGTAAAATATTTATATTTTTTTAAATTATAGCAGGTACATTTTCAATAGCTAACTTTAACAATAACTAAAATAGCAAAATAATAAATAATTTTTAGTTTTTTAAATAAATGTCAGAACAAATATGTTTACACAGTAACATGATACATAAATAAAACTTACATACTTAACTAAAATAACTTTTTTTTACACAACTCTTATGTCCTTAACATTAATTTTCAACTAACATATGATGCATCGTAATATAATCTTATTAATTGTCCAATAGAAGTTAAAACAACAATTTTGTTCATAAATGTTCTCAAGTTTCACATCAACGAATTGAAAATGTACATAATGAATGAAATACTTTTATCTAATATAGAACAACTATTTGAATAGTCTTATCTTCTAATTGTAATAATACATTATATTGTATATGATGAGTTTTAATATTAAGTATTAAAAATTAACTAATAATAAACTTAAAAAATGGCATTTAATGGGCTGAAATTTTTGCCATGGTATAAAATAAATAATAATATTAGTAATAAAAAAAAATTTCATAATTTTATAATGTAAGTATCAAACTATCTGGTATACACAATAGATTATACGCTTAATTACAAGTTTTATTATTTATTGCTTCCTTAAATAACATATAAAATAAATACATTTTTGTCATTACATTAAATACCATCAATATTGTAAGTAGATTTGTCAAAACTGATATGAAATATTCAAAATTAATATAATTTTAAAACAAATAAAAGGCTCATATTATACTTTAAAAATATTTATTTTCAAATTATATGCAGAAATTATCTTGGACGGATCTAAATTTTTTATGACTCAAACTAATATACATTTTTTTTAAGAAGTTAATTTATGTTTATTTTCAATTTTGATCGGTTTATTTGATTTGTTCTGAAAAATGAAGCTATTTTTTATTCTTAAACTATTGAGTCATAGTTGCAGTTCTCGAGAAAAAAGATGATCCAATAATAAAATAACTCGTCGAATAGCAGAAAAGTAGGAAAAAAAGGACGATATTCAAACAATACCTAATCCGATCAAGATTTAGGGGATCTGTAAGTAAATAATAATTTTAAGTCACATTTTTTTTGTCTAACTAATCCATATTAACATGTTTTCACAAGCTAAGGAATGTCCTTTGATTAAGGAAATTCAAATGAGAATAAAAAATAATTAGTACAGAGTATGTATAGTTATGGATATGATTCTTCTATTAATAAGTATGGCATTTTGTCTAAGTATTTAAAAAACTATTGTATCATTTCCTCATCATCATCTTCTTCATCACCATAATCAGCTTCACTTATCGTTGGAACTACGGATCCCTTTAAAGGGCAATGTTTGCATCTAAATAAATATGGAGTGTTATATATTTTTTGTAATGATTCAAGCATAAATGATGTATTAACTATAATTACCTGCTCTCATTGATTCCGTAATTCATGCAACGATCGCCAACACATTCGCAACAGCCATCGTGGAACCATCTATAGCTTTTAGATCCCATCGACATGCAAGACGCTTTACATTTGTTCCAAGATAAGCAATGACTCATATAGACAACAGAACAATTTAAAGTGATGACATCCTTTATTGGAGCCACTTCTTGAGCCGAATTCTCTACAAATTTATAATTAAACATTATGAAAGTTTGTTGTTTATTTATAATTGCCTCACGTTAAATTAGCTAACATGAAACCAGCTATAAAAATGCAATGAAATTTACTTTGTAGCAATTTGAGTTCCTTTTGAAAATCGGGCTTAAAAACTTCAATGTCAAAATCAATGGGGAATGTCAATGATTCCCATCGTTGCTGGACATCAGGTTCGGATACAAGCGCATAGAATAATGTCATTATAGGTTCGGGTAAATCTTCCACATGACTTTTTCTACTTAACGCATTGGTGGTGACATTAGGTTTTGGGCACATGTCTGAAATAAAAATAACCAATAAATAGTACATGAAATCTAAGTACCGACAAAAGTATTCATAGTTACTATTAGTCAACTTTTGTGCCACAGTAGACATCAGAATTGGAGAGTATTAAAGGTATCAGAACACTATTAGTATAATGCAAAATAGGTTATTTCTTAATGGGAAAAGCGAAAAATTAAAATAAAATTAAAAAAAATATCCTGTCATGTGACTGAATTAAGTAAGCCCTGTGCATTCTTATTTGAAAAAGAGTGGAGTAGAATTATATTTCGAACATTTCTATATTATTTGCCAAGTTGATATTTATATTGATTGTCTTGAACTACACTCAACTGATCTGTATAATTGTATAATTTACGGTACTTTACATTATGCAAAGCTTTGTTGTATGCATAATGTTGTTTTCCTTAAGCTCCTTAATAAGTGTAAAATAACTGTCTAGCAAATTATTACATAAATAATAAAATACCGTACAAGGATAAATGGATGTAGGTACATTTGGGCAGCAAAACAATTTTTTTGTTTGAGCTATTCATGAAAATGTTTTTATATATTTATTAAATTAAAGAGTAGTTTTCTGAACATTTTGATGAGACGGTAACAAGTTATGAATAATGCTAATAATTTGTTTGCGCCTAGAATTGAGGTCACTCAATGATAGAATTTTGCACGCTTTACTAGAATATAGTATACTGATCAAGCCAAACGAGTACTCTTTTTCTTTTTAGACCAAAGCAATTGGTCAATGAGAAAAATAAAAGTTAAATTAGGTATTGTGAATTTGTATCATGTTACATCAATTTATTTTAATTAGCTTAATAAATCGTTCCATAAAAGAGCCCATTTTACAGGAAACTGCGGTAATTCTTCAAAAGATTCTACTTACCCACACAGGAACAACATTCGCTATATAAATTATTAAGACAACTGAAGCACTCTTTGCAGCACGAACAATTTGCTAGGTCACATTTGCAAGATTGAGTGATCATACACTTAGACACAATAGATGCACACACGGCCTCGTTGCAAGCATAACTAATATACGCAAACCCTGCTAAGGACCCGATCACAGTAATAAGAAAAATGTTCTTCATTGTGTACTTAGCATTAAACACCGTAAAAATAAAAAAAGTTATGTTTGTTTCAATGCGGCTATGAACTCGAGGCTCGAACACTTTATTGTTGACAGTTAACAGGTCATTTGTTACTTATTAGTTATTAGACCGTAGACTGCACTGAACACGCTTACGGCTAATACAGTAAATTGTTGCTTGTTTTGACTTTTGAATAGATAGGATTCAGGTAGAGAACACACAAATAACAATACACTATACAAAAAACTATCGAAATCGAATTATCTGGGCCTTATCATTAGATTTAGTGCTATCGATTATCATGAAACATTGATGGTGTCTTTGGCCGGAGCCCACTGGGCACTGCAGCTCACTCCTTCCACAAAAAATTGTACTTTACAAAATAATAATTAATCTCCAAGACTGAATTCTGTATTCACATTCCACACACTTTGAATGAAAACTTTAATGTGTAAATAGTTTTTAATTAATAATGATTCAAAACTAGGTATCTATCGACAGACACGTTTTCGGAAAATATTGTACATTAAATTTAATAATCGCTCTAGCTCATGACTAAATAAAAATCAATTATTTAGTTTTGCTGTACAGCTTTTCTCACGGGTTGCAAATGTCAACAGTTCTTTTTTAACGAATTATTATGAAACGCTTTTAATATATAGTATTGGTGGTAATTGTGATAAAAAAATGTATACCAATGCTCTTCATCCATCTTCTAAAATATAAAAGATTGCTTAAAGATATCGAATTGGCGTTTTAGGTTTTCTGTTTTAAGTCTTCTTTAAAATTTAATAATATTGAAACTTATTTAAACACTGAAGTATATTACGTTAGGATTGTTCGATGAAGTCAACATAGATTAATGTTATAATAGTTGATGAATACAGTGAAGCAAATTGGCTAGTATATTTACAGATATATCTCTGTGTAATTAAGAGAAAACAAAAAAGCAATACTTTAGTTGGTAAAACACTATTTTATTATTTCAATTTTATTCATATAACCACACCACCAGCAAATATATGTGAGAAGCAATAATCTATAAGCATACATTTTAAAATGTATTTCCTTAATATATATATTTGAATATTACTTTATTTACTAAATATAATTTATAATAAGTAGGTAATAATGTATTTTCTTATTGTTATAGTATAAAATAGTATGTTTTTTTAATATCTAAATTTAAATTATAGCATATACAAAATATTATTTTATTAAATAATTACGTAGTTTAAAGCAGACAATAATAATGTAGAAAAGATTGAAATAGTAATAAATAAAATAATACATTAAATTAGAATACATTGACTTAAGAAAAGTACATATAAAGGTATTTAATAAGTAAAATATTGGAAATGTCATTTTAGTTGACTAGAAAATACAAAGTAAAAAGGAACCAAAAAAAAGGTAAAAAATTTACATCTCATAATTAATATAATTATATAGTATTAAATAATCAAGATCAATCTGAATAGAATTTATAGAAAAATTAGCTTTCAAATTTATGTAATCTCCAATTAGACAATATAAAATATCTGATACTGTAAATATTTAGCACATTCATTATGATTCTTAAGGACGTAAAATTGTAATGTTTGCTTCGATGCAATTTTAAATTTACTATTCAATTATATAAAAGGTCATATATAAATATCTATTCAGCCTGTATAATTTAAAAAAAAAAGTTTAATTATTTACAGTAATTTAGGTTAAACGATTTTTTTGAAAAATGTATAATGGTTAAAACAAAAATAATATAATTAGGCATGTCAAGAAAAAAATATTAAAAAATAATTTTTTTTAGTTATTAAATAACATTGAAAAATTTATACATGTGATAGTTTCAGCTAATATTAAATTATTATTTTTTTTTTAAGTATTTAACTAGAAAATTAATGTATTTTTTTTAACATTATTAATTAAAAGCAGTTACACATTTTTAATAATTAAATATATCAATATGATTGTTCTATTATTTAATTAACAATTTATTTCTATATAGGATAAGTATTTAGAAAAAAAAAAAAACCTAAGAAATGTAAGAAATGTCTTTTATATTTGGACACGGAATAGATTATAAAACTATAAAGAAATATAAAATGCTACTAATGATTACCTTACAATTTAAAATTAGGAAAAATAAAATAATTATTAGGCCTGTTTCAAGATTGTGGTGTATGAAAATATGTTGTTCAAATATAAAATTAAACATCTAGGCGTATTTTCTTTTTTAAACGTACATCCACACGCACGGCTCATCAGTTCTAAAGTAATACGAGTCTTAATATTGATGTGCAATAGGCGTGAAACGGGCCCAATAGCTATATTATGGATTCAATGGAATTGAAATTATTCTTCTTTAGATTCTTCGGAACCCTGGAAAGGAGGTCCAGCTGCTTCATCAACTTCAAGGGATAACTCTTCTGGATCAGGTGCTCGAGGCAAGAATTCAGAGTCAGGGTACATTCTCGAAAAAATGGTCTTTGCCTAAATATATTTAATTGGTTAATTAAAAAATAGCAAGAATATATTTGTGTGTCAATTGTACTTGGTTAACAGCAAATTCATAATCAATTTCTAAATCGGGGCCCGAACACAGATGAACATTCTTCGGAACATTGCGTGATAGGTCATATTCAGATGTTTCCGGACAATTGAAATATAATGCATACAACAGTTGTGGTTTCAAGGCTTTAGCTTCATCACTAGATTTTATCTTTGAATCTATAGAATCACCCTAAAAATACAAAAATATTAATTAAACTACACTAATTTCAGCAGTAAATTTTTAAACAAATGAAATACCTCTTTTAGAGTTTGTGTAGACTGAGTATCAGTATTAATCCTAGCATTTATTCCGTCAGCAAAGTCTGAGTGTAATAAAGCTTCAACGGCTGGCTTTAAATCATTGACAGCGTTATCAATTTGTTTTGCTGTCATGTGCAATAGATCTGAATCGTACAAACAATATTAATAATTAATAAACAATATAAAACCTTAAAAAAAGTATTAATCGTAGCATACATAATCCTGGAGGGCAGACGTGGGTCGATGGCCCAGCTTCGATTATCGTTATTGGTTCTTTTCCCTTAATGGGAAATTGTAACAATGTTAAAGATTCTTTGTCAGTGACAGATATCGATCTATCAATGATGAATATGCCTCTAGATAGCCCAGCTTTTGGTGCCGAGCCTAAGAACTCAGGAGGCGCATCAGCCACACCCAAAACAAGATGGTCACAATCGAGCCTTGATCCATCGGATATAATTGCTTTGCACTGATCATCTTCGACAATAACGCTATTAGCTGCTCGTTTGAGATGATAAACACCACCAAAAACGGCACATAATCTACAAAAGCACTGAGGTAATTCGCCAGTACCATACATAGGCCATAAGAATGGTGTATTGCCGTAACGGCCGAGGCTACTCAAAAACCGTTGGGTTCTCTCAACTCCAACCATACATGGCGTTGTATCATTAGACATTGCAATAGCATATAAAACATAATGCATTAAGTTTTCAGTTAAGCTTTTACTTTCTAAATATTCTTTTAGTGTTTTGTCTTCGAATCCTTTGAACTCATTACTTTCTGGTTTATATTCTACACACAATGTTAAAAGTTGCATAAGTTGACGTTTTTCAATAAGTCCTACATTTTTTGTAGCAAAAACATCAGCACGAGAACATGGGACTGTTTCCAATTTATTTCCTTGCCAGGTTAAAATACGATTAACACAACGGAATTCTGCATAGCGAGATATATTTGAAGAAATAAGTAGCTCTACTAATGTACCACGAGAAAATAGAAGCTAAAAATTAAAATTAAAATTTGTAAGTGTCAAAAATTGATTGAAAAAATATAATAAATAAACTAACTAACTTTAGGTGCTAAATCCATATTAAATTTACGGCCCAAACTCTTAACTTTGGCTTGGCACCATAATTTATCGTTTTGTTTTATTGTAGTTTCGGGTTCAGTTTGTCCATATTTATTGTCTTTGGGACTTTCTTCTGTTTGAGTGACTTTTTCACTCTGTAAGTTGCCACTTGATGGAAGTTTTCTATTAGGAAAAAAAAAAATTGAAATGTTTAACAAATAATTGAGCACACTGTAGTATTGGACATACTCAGGAATGAACCATTTCTCTTCGATATTAAATACAGTAGAAAACTGATTGCCAATAGATACAGCCTTTTCACTTCCTTGCGTTAAGGATGTGGATTCTTTGACATTATTACTTGTTTTTCCATTACGACATTCTTCTAGCCATTTCTGAAGGGCTTCAAAAGTAAATGAAGCCCACATACCACCATAGTAATCATTTCTAAAATTTATTCACAAAATGATAATAAAATATAATCATGATGCATAGGTTGTATTATAAAAAATATTATTCAATGATTTTACCTATCTAAATGTAGTACACGTTTTCCAATGCGACTAGCTGCAGCAGCAATAATAGACTCTGTCATTCCTAAAAACCATAGTTATGGAGATTTTAATAAACATATTAAAACACAGTGTCTACTTAAAAAATAAAAGCATATTTATTATAAAGTGTTTTAATAAATAAAATACAGTATTGACTATTTCTTTTTTTGAAGTCTCAAAAGACAAAATAAAATATTAAGACTATTTATATGTAAATAAATTAATTAATATTTAACATTGTTGACAATTCACACTATGTACAGAGTTATTCAAATTTCATGTTACAATGATTTTTTTCATCAAAATTATGTAAGCTAAACAATTTTCTAATGAAATTCTAATTATATTTAACAATAACAAAACTACATTTTACATTTAGTAAAATTAATCTTACTAGGTAATTGTTAAAATTGAAATAGCATTATACATATTTTAATAACCTTTTACAAGCAGAGCGATATTGTAATAATAAAAAAAGGACTGGTCTATAATCAGTTGTGAATAAACACTTTTTGAGTTATTAGCACTTAAATTTTAGATGGAAAGAAAGTACGGGTGAAAGCTCCGTGTGGATATAAATAACACTACAATACCTCATCCCTAGTTTATACGTTTAAATGCTAATAAGTAATAACTCAATAGTATTTAACCAAAACTGGTTACTGAGCAGTCATTATTTTCATTACATCATTTTGCTTTATATATTTAAATCTCATTTATGGCTTGATATTTTATTATTAAACTTCACCTTTAATATTTAAGATTGTATGTTTTCAATAAAAGCGTTAATAAATAAGAAAAAAAATATTAAAAGTATTTTATTTTACATCTTTTTGGCTAAAACAAATATTTTATAGACAAATTTACTGTTACAAGAAATTTGAATAATCCTATACATTATAAATATGTACTAAATCTGACAAAATATTTTATAAATACTACTGCTGCATTTCTTGAAAAGAATAATAGATATAGATTTTTATTTTCCATTTTTATATAATGTATTGCTCCATTTAAAAAAACTAAACATAAGAATGGAAATCCACTTTCCCCGTTACCATGACCAATAGACCGTGAATATCTGATTACACAACCGTTCAATGAACTCTTCATAAGAAAATAAGTAGCAAATTTAATGTATATATATATATATTTTGATAAATGTATTTATAATTATTTTTACTGATTTGATCCAATAAAAAAAATAAGTCTTAAAATAGTATTAAAAGTATTATTACTGTTCATTATTCAACAATCAAAATTGTTTACATAATACATTTTTATAAAAATATAAGTATTCTATTCAAACTTAAAGATTTAGGTGCCATATATAATGAATATACAATGAAACGTGAATTGAAATGGAACACTGAATTGGCTAATATTCTTAAATACATTCCCAAGTTAAAAAAAAATTTGTTTTTTTAAATTATTATTTCGTAATAAACATTTTCCCACTTAGTATAATCTCCCTAAACTTTGATAAATCAAATTTCTCTGTTGCGCTCTATACAGTTCTATTCTATTCCTTCTATTCTTAATTTTTTACATGTCACAAATTACATAAAATTCAGATTTTTAAAAAATATGTATACAATTTGTTCTAGCCTTCTGTTATAACAGAGGTATTTTATCCTTTTCCCATATTAATTCACGTTTTTAAAACTAACATAATCAACTGATTTCAGATCTTAAAATAGACATCAAATATAATTTGGTCTTCTGTATGGTTTACAAATTATATTTTATGTGTATTTTAAGATCTGAAATCAGTTTTAACTTTAAAATTAATAATAGTTGTCCTTTTTAAACCCAATAAGAATTATAGAAATTAAAAAAAAGGTTCTTTGTTATAAATATAGTAACAAAATACATTTATTGTTATCTTATAAAATTATTAGTTGAAAATTGCTATCATTTTACTTAATTTGCTTTGCATTACCTATACTTTAAACAGACTGTCCTGATACTAATACAAAATGTATGATTGGAAATTAATGACTTGGTTTGATACAATAGAACAGTATAGTCTAGAGATAAAATATGATAGAATGTAATTAAATTGTTGAACAATGAGTCATGAACAGGTGTTTATAGAAATAAATTAGCATTACTTATAGGTAACATATTTACGCAGTTACATGCAAAGAATAAATCTTTTTAGGTAATTCATTATAATTAATCTGTTCATAAATGTGTCATTTATATCAAAAATATAAATGACCAAGTTTTACAATATACTTATGTAGTCACAATCAAACTATGTATAGATAGTCTTTAATCTATCTAGAGTAATAAATTGTAATAAAAAAAGTTTAATAAACATTTATCTTAATCATAACAAATTAACAAAATAAAAATTATGAAAATTCTATTAAGACATATGGGAAGAATTACCAGTGCCAATTACGATCACTTCATATTTAGATGGTAGATCATCCTCCATTTCGAATTCGTTTAGCTGCTAAATATGTGCACAATTATGACGAAAATCGATGCTTCACTTTAATAAAATGGTTGAATTATATTAAACGATTACAGCCAGTATGCCTGACCAAGTATGTGTAACGAAATTAAAAGACTTGTTCTGATGGCAAAGTAAAAGAAATCAATCAGTGCCGTCAGCGTAGATCACTATTCTGTGGGTTATCATAATTGCATTTTATCAAGAGCTTAGGATTTATGACATGGAGCTAAAAAAAATATCATATTTTTTTCCATGTAAAATTTTTTTTTAAGGTTATATTATAAAAATGTATATTGTTTTTAATCTTTTATGTAAAATAAACGTATAAGTTAAAAAATAACATACGTATTGATGTACACAATATTTATTTCGCCTCGATATTTTGTTAAGTAATTATTACTAATGTTATAATATATCAGTTATTAATAATTGTTTTAGTATGATGATATGTGTTTGATTAAATGATAACAATTTTGTTTTGTGTTTGTATATGAGTTCGTGCCCATAATGTCTCAAGAAAAATTATTGGAGAAACCTCTACAACAATTCGTTGTGCAAGCTCAAAAAGTTAAAGGCGACGAGCTTATCGAAGTCATCAAACAGGCCTTAGATTGTGTCGATACATTTGTGTTTGCTGAGCTCTTAGATTGTCCAAATGTTGTTGAGCTAGAAAATACTTCTTATGCTCCTTACCTGCATGTGTTGCGCATATTTTCTCATGGTACATATTTAGATTATTTGAATGATAAGGAGTCATTACCAGAACTTAGTACATCACAAATTAAAAAACTCAAGTACTTAACAATTGTTACATTAGCAAATAAAATGAAACGAATACCTTACGATGTACTTTTGAAAGAATTGAACGTTAATAACGTTAGAGATCTTGAAGACCTAATTATAGAAGCTATTTATTCTGATGTAGTAGCAGGTGAACTAGACCAACAAAGTGGTTATCTCGAAGTAGATTGGACAGTTGGGAGAGACGTAGCACCCAATGATATAGATACTATGATAGATACTTTACAACAGTGGTGTGATTCATGTGAAAGTGTATTATCCACAGTACAAGCTCGGATCATTGACGCCAATAGAACGAAACAGGATGTTTTGAAGCACAGAGCTTCAATAGAAAATGAATTGTCAAATGTAAAAAAAGCAATAAGAGCACAAATACAGGATGAAGAAATGTCAGTTGACACAAGTGGTCCGCCTAAAAAATCTGGCAAAGGAACAAGGTCAAGTGGAAATAAATTTTGGAATAAGTAAATAAAGTATAAATTAATTTTTTTAATTATAAATTATATCTATATTTTTGTGTACAATGATATGTATAAAGTAACTAATAAACCTATATTTATTAACTATTTATGTTAATTATGCTATTTGGATAATTCTTTAGAGTGTATTTAGATATTGAATTTTTATTATGCTAAGTTTAAAATTATATAGGTACTTCTACAAGAGACTTAAAAATGATGAAAAATATACAGTTATCAAATATTCCATGTTATTATTATTATTATTTTAAATTCTTTAACAACAAACATATTGTTATGGTGTATAATACATGCATTAAACGGCAGTTTTTATTTTAAACAAATTTTTGCAAATTTCCAACAATATTTTTTTATGAATCTATAGTTACCAGATATTTAATTTAGGAATAGAAGACATGATAAAAATACACAGGAATAAAACAATGATTTTGTTTTTTATGTGAACTAAAAAAACTGATTCTAAATTAATTTAATAACTACTAATTTATCTTTAAATAATTAGTTATACATAATTTTCTATTGTTTTTTTTAGGTTATATGCATACAATTTTCTCTAACACCTAGTTATATTTTTAATTGCTTCCATCTCGTTTGTTTGAAAAAAAAATTAAAATTCTATGTTAATTCTAGACTTGTTCTTAATTGACTTATTCTTTATAGGAAATAGAATATAAAAAGAATTAACGATTTACCAACATGATTTTAACTTGCTGTAAGTTTTTAAAAAAATCATCGAAAAAAATAGATATTTTAAATACATTAAATAAAAATATTATTAATATTGTCATTTAATTAATTAATTTATTTGATTTTTCGTTATCGAAGAAAATTCGAGTTTATAAGATTTATTAGTCAAACAAATTGTATAGATAGAATTTAGCGAAAAAATGTTTTTTACAAAAACAATTTACTTTATTTTCAAGTCTGTAATTAGAGAAGGCTACAGTGGGTAATTTTCCTGAACAAAGCAAGTGCATATCTCATAATTAAAACAAAAGTTAGGTACTGTTTTAGTTTCGGGTGTATAATAGATTATTCTATTGAATAATAAGAGAAGAAGAATAATATATAAGAGTACTATAGACCATTATATGAGTGTATTATAGACAACCTACTGTGTAAAAGCAAGTATACCAAATAATAGATTATTTACAATTTTCATAAGATTAAAAATAAAGATTCATATTTTCTAATAATACAAAAAACACATCGAATACAATATGTACCCTCTAAACGCATTAAAGCGTTTTATTTCAATGATTTTATCACTCCCGTCTCTCAGTTAAAAAAAATCCTACCGTTCCGCGTCTACACTCTACACAGATCTAAAAAGAAGCCAAGTATAGATCATTTATAACAATAAGGATTAATATTAAATCAAGCAATTTGCAAAAATGTGGGAATAGAACGGTGGTTAACATCATTACCATTAGATTTTCATACTATTGTGACAAAATTACTTATATTCAAGTCAACATTCGATTATTTGATGCCGGTTTGCCAAACCAAATTATTGATGGAAACATCAAAGAAAGCTTAATAGGCTGTTGTTATTCATTGACAATCAAAAATCAATTATATTTATAGTTAACAATTATTATTAAAATTATCCTTATTATTAAGTCTTAATTTGTTAAATACTGTTTTAAAAAATGTTCTTTATTTTCATGTATATTATTGAGCTTTATATTCAATTGTGTTCCTAGTTTAGAAAAGGCGTAATCTGGGACTGTAAATAAAATAATAAATAATTATTATGTACTTTGTATAACATAAGTAGGTAGGTATAGTTATTTATTACTACATGCTATTTTACAAATTCGATGATATAATTAATTTAAAAAAATGTTTGTACCTATCTAACACTTATAACATACAAATTGAAAAGAAGAAAGGTTGTTTACCATAATTATTAAAACTAAGGTATAATTTAAAAAATAATTGAAATTTTAAATATCACACAATATACAAATGTTTACAAAATAGTGTTAGGTTATTTGAGTGGGGGTTTTATTTAATATTAATTATTAATTATTATATCCAATTCTATATAGTAAATTATAATTAGAGCAATCAATTTATTTTTTAAAAACCAGTTAACTGGCCGTGAACACATACAATATCAGATCCTTTTCATGTCAACTCCGCCTTCGTTTTCTCTTGCGCTAGCCTGAAATGAAAAATTGCTTAACATATTTATTCTGATTTCTGTAGGTTAATTATTTCAAACGAACATAAAACCACTAATAAATACTTTTATAGTACCTATAATTAATCAAAAGTTAAGAAAAAATATATAAGAAACATTAACACTAACTTTTTTGATATAGTTTTTTCTATAAAAGTCTCCAAACAATATTAACATTGTGATCACGTAAAACAAGAACACGCATCTTAACCATAATGGCCATTGGCAACCGTTAAAGATGGCATTTGTTCCTAGAATAAATCCCATGAGGAATTGTGCCTGAAAAAGAGTCTTGTTGAATTGTTATTTTGTTAAAACTTATGTGTATTCATTATTTCTACCATTTGGATTGACGTTATATAGATCCTGAACTTGGAAAATATATTTCCATAGGCAATAGCTAATGCATAGTATGTGTACATAACCACGTGCACAAAACTGTTAACTAAGATAGGCAGAAATGCTGAACCACCAGGGATATATTTAATGGCCAACCAAATGATCAAGAACATAGTAGAATGGTGATATACGTGAAGGAAAGTTAATTGGTTATCCTTTTTACGCAAAATAAAAAAAATTGTGTCCAAAAATTCCACTAATTTTGACATGTAATACAACCATATAGCTTTTGCTATCTGAAATATATACATATATATATATATTAGCTTAAATCCAGTATTTTAGTGTTAACCAACCGCATTATATTACCCTAAGCTCAGCATTTTCATCGACGTACGTTATTGGTTGACACGTCCAACTATAATTCAATTTAGTGGACATTAGTGCTAACTGAAAGCCAGTCAAATAACAAATATTAAAAAGGTACGTAATAACGAGTATAATTTGGTTGAATGTTAACATGTTTAATACTATTGTGTACCAACCTCGACAACAATAAATGAATTTACCACCACCATTAAGCCATTGTATACAAGCATAATAATTTTTAAGTTGAATGGAGAACGATTTTTCATATACTTTGGCAGCAGCCATATTGTTAGGTAATAACACAAAATTATGACTATTGTAGTCCATACTGAGTTGACCATTATCCATCCTTTAGTTCGTTCGTCTGACATGAAACAAAAACAAATATTTAGTAAATTTATAACTAAAATAATTTAGTATATTCAATTATTTGTTATTTTTAGACGAAAAATTTAAATCATAAACTCACCAGCCACCGATTCCGACCATTCATAAAAATCTTCCAACTGCTTAAATATAGATGTTATATTACGATCAAGATGAAAAGAATTGAATTTGCTGAAACATTTTAAATAAATAATTTAAAATGGAAAATTAGCAAATAAAAATAAATGTTTTAATTTGTATTTTGCATTTGTTAAGTATATTCATATTTTTGTGACGAACAATTACATTTTTCAATACAACTTTATTTAGGTATACGGATGACATTTTGTGGAGTGAATAGATTTTAATAAATGAAATGATTTAATTTAAATCATAAAACGGTGATCTTTTAGCTGAGTACACAAAATAAACCTATCATGCGGCCACTTTATGAACTAGACAATTACTTAGATTTTGGTCTAAAAATTGTGAACTTTATGTAAATTTATAATATTTATTAAATGGTAAAAATTTGAACTGCAACCGAAAAATGTCTACTTTACAGATTTTTTTTTGTTGAATCCGAATCAGATTTTAAATTTTTAATTTCACATCAGATTATTTTTTTAATAGCTTAGGAAGTAAAAAACACTTTTGTGGTATTACGTATACAATTCTGTGTAAAAAAAATGTCAACTTTTGTTGTGTAGACAATTTAGTGTAATGCACAAACATTTTTTTTTATGTAATATTTTGGAATTTTTGTAATATTATTTAGTTCCTTTTACTATGCCCAACGTTTATGCAGAAAAGGGTACAAAGTAATCACACAGAGTTTACACACGTTTAACATAAATTGTTCTCATATAATATTTCTTTAGTAAAAATGAAGATTTCCTGACCACCGATTTTTAATTAAATTACGAGTGTTACTATGAATTAATTTTTGAAATCACATCGTCAACATTTTCAAAGATAATTAAAATCGAACACTGTAAAGATCAAAATCCGATCATTGTGCGAAGCGTCAGCCCTTTTCCTGCAATATTAATCGCCTCTTAAGAGGGCGCCGCACCGGTGATTTTAAATGGTAAAATCATGTTTACGCCAAATGAAAATAACTCGCTTACTTTCGGTTTTAGAGTAAAAGCATCCATTCTAAAATTAAAAGAGAACAATAGTTAAAGTCATTTAAAAATGTTTAAATAGTTGTTATTTCTAAACTATGTATTGAGCGTTATACTTGGAATAATGAAAAAAAACGCACCGTCTTGCCCTCCAGAATATTGTTCTCTTTCAATTTTATAATGGATGCTTTTTACTCTAAAACCAAAATTAAACGAGTTATTTTCAGTCTGCTTAAACATGTAGAGATGAAAACACATTTTAAAATCGCTTTCAAGGATGCTGTGATAGTCCAAAAAATAAATTAACTACCAAAATAGAGTCCTAGTTATTGAACTAATAATTACACATCACAGTTTAACCTTTAAGTTAGGATTTTGTAAAAATTGCTTATACTTTACTCCTTAAAAATGGGCGGTGCGACGCCCTCATAAGTTGTATACATTTAGACACTTAAAATGCCTATACGTAACGCCGTCTTAATTTACGGTTATATTATTATTTCTCAATTTACGTTTAAAATATTTATAATAATTACTCGTTTTCTAATGTGTACATTTTCCCGTCTTAAACGCTTTCACCGTCGGTGTATGTAATTAATTAATTTTATTCACTTATTATATTACTCAAATAAAACAAATTTAACTATTTCTTTAAAAATATGTCATACAGTTAAAACAATCATGGTAGCGCGGATAAGTTAAATTATTAGTATTAATTATAATAACAACGTTATTGTATATAGTCAGATTCAAGAAATAGATCTGTACCGACGAGCAGCAAGCGTTAAAAAACACAAGACGATTTGTAATATTAAATTAATAGCGTATACGTATGAATTCAACGGAAAAACTAATAACTATTATACGGTTCATACGGTTAATGTACAAAACAAAAAAAATAATACGTTAGTACGGCACGCATAACCGCAACACACTACAGCTAAAACATATTTTAGAATTTCCAATCGGCAAATGCAAATATAAAATATGAATGTTCAAAAAAGACCTTACGCTTTACCTTGCTCAGTACCATACTTGCGAACATTTTTGAACGTGTGCATAAATTTTAACGCGATTAAAGTAAATGAGAAAAACACTTGACGAACGGCCTCGGGCGATTTTCTTACGAGTGATTTTTTTTTTCCGTCTTATTGCCACTACATAGATTATAATATGTAAAATATTATTGCAGCACACCAGCAAAAACGGGTACGTGACAATATAACCGTTGACTATTCATGCGGCATTTTGTGTCGAATTTCGATTGAACTTACATTTTTCACCAGTGTGTTTTTGACACCGATAATGCCGATCATGCCAATGAATACTCATATACGCACCTAAACACGATGATGTAATATGCCAAATATGTACGGATACGTCTTCGTTATAGATTAGCTCCTAGGTAAAGGTTGAACTGCGAAAAATGTTCCAAGGGTATATTATAATATCCCAATAATATATTTGTCCCGTTAAACATAAAAAGAAACATGTTTATAATATCGAAATAAAATAAATAAATGTATCTTTTGCATTCATATATGTACGTGACGCATATATTATTTTTACAGATTTGAATAATCGGATGCTTCAGGATTTCAGATTTCATTCCCATTTCTGTAATAGTTATTTTTATATTCGATTAATGTACACAAATTTATCAATTTAAACCCATAAAGGACATTATCCTAAAAGCGCAAAACGCAGTCCCCGCTGCATTTTTGTTTGAAGAAATGGCTTTAAAATAAAAAAAATGTCTCTATCTGTTCTTTCTACTTATGATAAAAAATTAACACCAACCTATTATTATTATAAATTATATCTTAAATAAGCATGTCATGTGCCAAAATAATAATAAAATTGAGATCTGGAAAAATGAAAATTACAACGGGAGTTAAGCCTAGAAAGGGCTTACACCACTATTTATATACTATTTACTATGTACTTATTTAAATATCATGGGATTTAACGTTTTCTTTATTATAATATCTGAGACGTGAGAAAATATCCTAAAAGTCCAAATTCTATGCGATTTGATTGAGCATCAAAGCACAAGCTTTAAACAACAGCGTACAATATATAACATTATACATAGTAGTGATTTACCATTCTTATGATGAAGTAGGTGCAGCTATTGCATATCGCACCTCAAATATATAAGTGCTAAACTTTTGAGTTGACGTTTAGAGCCCAATCATGGTTGAAATATACAGGTTATCGCACATCGTCTCGAATTATTATCTTCAGAAATAAAATGACAGCGTAACGGGATATCAATTTCACTATTACTATATATTTTTACCCTACACTTATATACTTGATTTTGGTTGGCCGCCCGTTACGCTGATATATTTGTTTTAAGCATCGAATATTTGATAAAGAAGGGGTATATGAGCACCAGTAACCTTGTATATTTCAATCATGAGCACAATACAGTATGGCGATCCGTTATGTATCCAACGAGTAAGTTCTCCTTTTCCAATAGTAAATAATAAATATATATAAGCACAATAAAAACTACAATATTCAAATGTAGTAATTTATTATTAAAAACAAATAGTGTTCTATCCTTGATTATCTACATAACTTTTATAACATATTGAAAATTGCAAAATTGTAATATTCATAATACATAGTAAAAAAACCTCAGTATAATACAAAGTATAATAGCCTTTAAGAGTGCTGAAAATATCAGTTGCTAGCTATGGGTAATTTTAAAATCTAATATGTCAACTTACTTTTAGCTTTATTTATATTTTATTACCCATAATTAAGGCAGCAGTTCCCAAACTTGCTAGCGGTGTCTTTTTTTGGACTAAATTCACAAGCGGTACTCTGCTGTGAATACCACGAGGAATATGAATAAAAAATGAACACTATTTCATAATGATAAAAACCTATTCAAAATTTTTATTGAACATCTACATAACATTTTATAACAATACACAATTTTAAGTAATATTTTCGTATTAAACGTATATTTTATTACAAGTTCAAGCTATTTTAGGGTGAAAAATGGCATTTCGGGAAAAGTGATAACAATACATAGAACAATCAGATTTTTTTTTTTGAAAAAAGTAAGATTTTTGACGGTCTGAATAACATAGGGTTCGATTTTTGGTTTTATTTTCATAAACAAATATACCGGATAAAAAAGTAGTTACATTCAAACTTTTAATGACTTCAAACAAAGACTATTGTAATTGTTTTTCTTTCAAACAAAAACAATTTAGCTAAATCCGATAACCATGAAGCGTTATCACTTTTCCCTTAAGTCTTTTTTTTAACAAAAAACCTAACAGACCACGGGTGCCTAATAATATTTTTCTTATATTAGTACTAATAATCTTAAATTTTAAAACAATAATAAAATAATAATATACGCATATCTGAAAGCTGATAATTAAATAATGTAATACATTGTGTAGTTTTAAACCTATATACAAGGCACTGAGTACAAGTTCTGTGAATTATTGTTGTTTAGTGTAAAATCAATATTTTTATTATAATAATCTTTCACAAGCACTTATATTTATTTTTAACATTATCGGTCTCCATAATAAATTCAATCCAACATAACTAAGAATATTTTATTTTTAATCGATTTTTTTTGTACTATCATCCATACATTCCGTGTTATCTTTTAGAATGTGATCAAAATTTTGGTTTTTGTTGTTCTTTATTTTAACAGCACCCTAAAAAATGTATAATAACATCTTGTTAATTAGACGCTGAATTTATTAAATCCAGATATGGCCACTTTTTTGGAATTCAAATATAATTGTTTTATTTTGAATAGGTATTTTACTTTTAAGATTATTTGTATTTATTGATAAAATATAATCCTTAATGTAGTATAGTGTGTATTAATAAATATACACAAAAATGTAATTTTAAATTCGACGCTTTTTATATTTCTTTGTTTTTAGCTTCGATACGTAGCTGAGATGGTGTTGTTTTTACCCACGATATCTTTTAAGCCGCTGAACCGATTTCATCATGTAGCAAATCTGTAGATTACAAACCGTACCTAAAAGATACTTAATTTTGCCAATAATTTTAAGTTCTCCCTTCCACTACAAAATCGAGAAAAACGCCAAAAAATGTACATATTTTTCAACTTAAAATTACGACATGCAATAACTTTTACAAAAGTAGTCAAATTAGTTCTAAATTGGTATTGAATATTCTATAGATAAAAACTAAAAAAAAGATCACAAACCCTTCCCTCTAAAAGGAGTAGAACATTTTTCTTTACATTTCATTTTCGAGCAATTTTAGACTTTTAGGTTTGAAAATTAGACTGAAGGTAGATCTAGTGTGAGTCTACAACATAAACAATTTTTCAACAACCTTTTTTTTATTAAGTAAAAACAAAAAAAAAATTATGGGGAAATTACACGGACCGTAGTAAATTTCTAGATTGTTATGTTAGAATGAATCAACAGTCAACAGGTATCAGAAAAATATTTTGATTATGTTGTTATTTACTATATTATATTATTATTATATACTACGGCGACAAATTATTATAGACGGATGAGCAAACCTAATGCTAAAAATAAAATTGTTTATATATTATTGACAATGTATTTTTACATATCTACAATTACGCGTTTGGAAGTAATTTTATCACTTTCAGTTTAAAAAAAAATACTATAGACCGGTGACCTCCCCTGTTCCATATTCTTCGCCCCCGACTATGCCCGGACCTTACTTACTGAAGTGGCTTTTTTTGTCTTTAACTTAAAACAATTTTAACAACCTAATATACCAATAATTTTTTTAAAAGTACATAATTAAACGAGTCTGAAAAGATTACTTGCGCTGTAGGTGTCACTACTTATTAGTTATCTTAAATGACCGCGATGGTTAAATAATATTTCTGGCTTCTGAAACTGTTAGTTCCAACATAAAATATTGATCTTTGATCCGAAAATAAGTGTACCAAATTGGTAATTATTTAAATAACACATGTAGATAATGGTTTTACATGTTGCCCTTAACTAGTATTTTGTACAATTCATACCAGCATTGGTTATTACCACAATAAGGAGGGGGAGTCCCTAAAAACTCAGGGCTAGGTGCAAAACTTTCAAATCGTTTCGATCTCTCCTAAATACCCAACAAAACTTGTTTTCACTTTGAATCACTAAAATAATGAAATCTTAAAATACTAGTCAGATCGAATATTTTTTTGTAAACATTATCTAGAAATACTAATATAAAATTGCAGTCTTATAAAATCCGTGTAAAAATGTATTGTTAAATCCGGAGTTATTAGGGTATTCAAGATAAAATATTGATTTGTCCGAACTTCAGATATACATAAATCTAGTTTACCGGGCACCCTTTTTTTCTATTTTTTTTTTAATCGACAGTACTTTTAATACTGATTATACAATCTGTACAAATTAGTAGCAAGATTGCAATAACGAATGCGTGGTCTAGGTAGTAGAGTGTAGACACGAAGACGAAGAGGTTAGAATATAATTAAATTCGTATTAACTAATAAGCATTATATGTACTGTCGATTAAAAAAAAAAAAATCGAAAAAAACGTAACCGATAAAGTAGATTTGTTCCACTATTGAAAATAGCTCAATTAGTTTTCGTTTAAACAAAGAAAAAATCTATTTAAGTTTTAATAAAATGTTTACCTTCCCGACGTATGCTTTAGCATAAAAGTTTCCAAACAGCGCAAGAAATGAAATCATGTAAACTACTAAAACATATTGCATCCATTTAGGAAATGCACATTCAGATTTGATTCCGTGAATGCCCAAAAATAAGGCTGTAGTGAACTGTACCTACGCAAAATAGAAAGATAAAATTTGTAGTTAATTATTAAATTTTATTCTTAAATTGCTGATGTACAAACCAATTGAAGTATCGTTAAATATTTTTTCCACCAAAGGTATTTTTCTATTTTCGGACCTAGGGCACTTAGAGCATAATAGGAGTACATCAATACATGTATAAAACAATTCACCATGGCTGCCAAAAATATAGATCCAGTAGGAATCCATTTCACTATAGTCCACCAAAGTGCAAACATGGTCGAATGGTGATAAACATGCAAAAACGTCAGCTGACGATCCTTTTTTCGAAGAATAAAAAATATCGTGTCGCTAAACTCGAGCAACTTGGAAAAATAATACCACCATATAGCATTCAACAACTAGAAAGTAAACAAATTGAAATTATTAACTTGCAGATTTCAAAATCACAAACTTCTGTCTTTTTTTATTTATATAAATTAAAAGGGGCAGGGGTTGAAGACTAATTTTTTAGATTTTCTTGTGAATACTTTTAAAAAATATATATATATATACTTAACTTACATTGTTATATTATTTAAAACTAAAACCCATAGTATAAATATAGAATATATTTTAACTTAATATTTTTATTTTAGAATGTTAAGTTGTAATCTATAGAAAGTATGTTAGTTCTGATGAGCCTTAGTTTAACTTAATGTTACTCTCGATGTTTTATCCCATTCAACTAACACAAGCCTGATTGTAAAAGGCTTGTTCTAAATATATGGGCGCTGGTGGCAGGGGGAAGACTGGGCATTGGCCCCCTCCCCTAGGACTTTAATATAATTTTGAAAATTTTAACTTTTATTATTGTTTCAATAAACATTTCATTGATATTTTGACTTTAGTATAGATTTATAAATTTAAAATTGACGAAGAAAAAAAGTTGTATAATATGAATACTGTAGAGATATTTTAAAACGTAAGCTTCAAAAAATGTACTTTCTTTGTGCCCCTCCCTGATAAATTTCCTGTGGACGTCCTAGTCTATTGTATTTTATCTTTAAATGGTGTTTGTATGATATAAATTCGTACCCTATATTCAAAAATATTGTTTATGAAAGTTAACGGTTGACATATGTAGCTGTAGTGTAAACGACTAGATGTTATCAAAATCTGAAAACAAATACAAATACAAAGCACATACAAATTACCATCAAATAAAATATTCTATACAGATAGAACATTAATACATAGATAACTTATATTACATATTTATACCTCTATGGCAATATACAAATTTAGTAACGTCATAAGAACATTGTAAGTTATCAGAAGTGAGGTGAGCTTGAATGGTTTTTTGTTTTTCATGCATTTTGGACCCAAATAAACGATAATGAGGTATATAGATATGTAGGTAAGAGTTGGTACAGGAGAATCAACCATTAACCATCCTTTGGTCCTGTCATCTATATTAGGACAAAACAATAGTTTAAAGATAAATCAATTCAAACAATGGAAACTTTTTTTTTTCTTACCTGACATTGACAAAGCCCAATTGTAATAATTATTGACTTGCTCAGGTAAAGTGGTAAATAATTTCATTCTTTTTATGAATAAATAAAATAAAATATACAAGATTTGCGTTTATGTAATATTATTAATATTTTAGAAGTAATATTTAAGTTAAAAACTTCTAAAAAAACCTCTTGGTATAATAACTACTAACAAATGTAGACTATATCAATATCAAACTGCAAGTGTTGTAAATTTTCCTAGTCCATCTCGAAGAACGTCACAGAAAGGACTACTCACTGTTGTATGGCAAGTGACCAGTGCTCAGTTACAATGGTAAGTCGGTCTAACAGTAAACTAGTATTAACTAATAGCGTAACGTTGTTGAAGTTATTCAAAGAAGGGCCATACCATGTGAAATCACCTAATGTGTGTGTGACTCTAGTTAAAAAATGTTCGGAAATAGTCTAATACATTGTTTACAGGTCCTTGATGACAAAATAATTTTTTTTGTACCTAGGTGGTACAGTTAAAAAAAAAAATATATCCAAAACCCCCTATGTCCTATGTTTATAAATAATCCCAACTCTGTAATTTAACCCCCGATAGTAGTATCAAAACGAAACCTACATAGTTCAAATTATAATTATGTGTACTTTAATTAAATATTGAATAAATATTTTTATTTTTTAATATCCCAAACATGTAAACATTCTATTGTAGTATTTTGTTTATCATCAGTTTTTACTTTTAAGGAAAATTTAAAAACAAACATCTTGTAGCAATAAATACCGTGTAAAATTAAAACGTAAGTATAATTTTACAAACAAAAACTTTTTTTTATTCATCATTTGATACATAATTTAAATGCGGTTTACATCAGGTATCAATAAAAAAAAAATAATAATAATAATTGTGCCAAATATAACAAAGTTACATTATTTTTCTGTTGAGGCTAGAATCTAATATAAAAATATGGCAAATCTTTGTAATCGTAAAATAGATTTTGTGTAGAAGCCGAGTGGAATTTGTTTGCTACAGCACAAGGAAAGAGTTCATAAATAAACCCCAAAAAATTTTTTTTGAATTTTATGAACCAATGATGTTATTAAACATGAACAAAAATTAAAAGTTTGGTATTTGGTATATAAATGCAAAAAAATGCCCCGCTATTTGTCAACAGCATTGTTTTATTCTAGAAAATGGAAAAAAAAAATATATTGAATATTTAGTTTTTAATTAACCCAAACCACAAAAATAATACTCTTTAGCGTATACATTTTTATAAGCAAAACATTATTTTTTTTTTTTGTTTCAAAAAATTATTTTTAAAAACTAAAAAAAAATCGGAGGTTAAAAAATTAAAATATTTTTTCAATATGAAAACATGGAATGGCCTTTTGTACATAACAGTGTGAAATGAAATTATTATAGATTTATTATGTAATATTTTAGGATGCTTGTTAATATAATTATTTTAAATATGAGTATATGATCTAGTGACAAAGTGTGATAGGAGACAATGAATCAATGTTTTTCATCCACTTAGAATATGGATGAATAATTGTTTATTATATTTAAATGACAAATTTTTAAGTAAAAAATATAAATATTAAGAAAAAAAGATTTTTTCTTTGTAATAGAATAGTGTAGTTGCGATCACGCAATTTTGGTATTCATAACTATTGTCTTTTCAGTAGTTGGGAGTTGTAAGGCGACGATGAAAAAGAAGAAGATAGCATTTTGTTCTTTCTCAAATGACGGATTCATTTAACGACTACGGATTTTGGTGATCGCAGCAAAATAACGAAGGCTGTAGCTAAAGTCGAGTCATAATGATTAAAAGGTGTGATAGATTTTAGTAATAGCTGTAGATATTACAAAAATAAAGAGCGGGTTTAGTGATGGTCTAAATTATTTTAGGTCTTTGGGACATGAACGTCTGGTCTGTATAACGTTTTACAAAACTTAAAGAGAAATTAATGATATGATATTATAGTACTGTTAGTTTTCTTTGTATGAATTTTATTTTTTATTGCCTTTACATTGCGACCGCGTTAGTTACACTTTCAGAAGCTGTGTGACCAATCCATATATTGTCTGTGAGTTTTATTTTTTACAAGTTATCAATTTATACAATATACCATCATATAAGGCAATTAACTATAGTTTATTGGTGTCCCATCCAATTGGATAAAGCCTACTTAATGATAGGTACACAATAAATATAGGAACCATTCAATATTGAACATAGGTTTCAAATGTAATACAATTTAAAGAAGTAAGTAATTACACAACGGATTGCGGTTGAACCGTGTTTTATTAAAACGCATTGGGGTTATTAAGAACATAATTTTATCAATTCATTTTTACTTTATTCTAGATATATTATACTATTAGTTAAAAAAAACATAAGTATAAAACTAATACTTTCTCAGCTCCGCGCCTAAGTTAAACAAATTGAATTAGGCCCTACCGATTTTTCCATTTAATAAATAGGTAATTTAAGTACATACCTAAACATTTTATTATAATATTAGCTTCAAAATACATTTAAAAATAATTGCATAAAAATGTAATTTTTGAACTTAAAACACAGATATTGTAATAAAAACTGGGATTTTAATTCAAGCGGCTGTTATTGTTAATGATGGACTAGTCCCGTCATATTTATAATAAGATGGCGCAAAAGATTAATAAGTAAAAATTGAAGGTAATTTTTAATATCTTTAGAGGTTGCGTGTAATAAATGTTTTTAATAGTCAAAATTGTTTAGGAACTTCAACGCAATTGAATAACGTACTACCCAAAAACGTTTAAATTATTTATATAGGTCTGAGATAAAAAGAATCAGGGAAGCCTTTTTTGATTAGCACGAAGTGTATAAAAAAACCAGATAAATTCGATCAGTTGCAAAAGTAAAATGGGGTAAGATTTGGCGCGGAGAGGGTTAATTAAGGACCAACATTGGCGCAACTAGAAGTGGAGAGTACCAGGGCTGAGGGATTTAGACCCTTTAAAACTCAAAATTTCGGTAAAAATGTTACTTACAGGCTAGCGTGATTGGTTGCTGACATTTTTTTATGGCCTAAAGACGCTTAGAAGTTTAATACTTTCCTTGCCCCCCCCCCAGTCGCGCCAATGAGAGAGGGGGCAGATTTATTTGGGAAGCGATTAGAGTGACGCTGGTAATTGCGTCAGCTATGTACAGCTGTTGTTTTAAATTGCATGTATGAAATTGTTTTTTATCGATTACTAACCGATTAAATACATTCTTCTAGCGCTGATAGGACACAGTAAAAATAAATGAAAACAGATCGTAATTATTACATTGTAGGCAAGACGTGATTATGTAGCACTGCATATTATCTTAAATATAATAACATCTATCCTTGTAACGAAGATAAACGCGATTTTTAAACAGACGTACCTAGTAAAAATAGCGCGTTTATATTAGATGGATTACTCGTTTCGGTTTAGGTGATGCTGTACTGTGTAATATTGGCGTTGTTAGTTCTGTGGGTAGTTTGCAAGCCAAGAGTTTACCTTTTGAAAGGTTTAAAGAACCGAAGTGTCTAAAACAGCACGAAAATGATGGCGTGGCAAATCGTAGCATTAATGAGAACGAATTGAAACTAAATTGTTGCAATGTCAAAACAGTTGTGAGATCCGACAAGGTCGTCCACAGCCGCAAAAGAGGCGAATGGAGCGAAATATTAGAGACGGTAAATCGAATAATAAGCGATTTGAGTGTACTGAAAATAGGAGAAAAGGTGTCGCGCCATGTTGTACAAAAACGTCGAGAATTAATGGATTATCGTGTTAACCATTTGAGATTAGAAGAATTAGAAGAAAAATATTTTACTCCGTTAAGCGAATGGGGTTATACCGGAAAAATGTCGGGAAACCCTGTTTTCAAACCAACGTCATTCGATACACGCCTTAAAAAAAAACAAAATAGATTTAGATGACATAACTTATGCCCCAGCAGATCTATGGGAAGAAATGACCGATCCGCAAAAACCGGTTTTAAGACAAGCTTTCGTTGACTTTAAATCTATATGAGTCAATGCACCAAAAAAAGAAATTAAAATAGAACCTTCTACTACAGAGTATTTATGGGAAGAAATGACCGATCAGCCATCAACACAACCCATGAGAACAAGTAACTTTAGATTTGTCACTTAAGAAGAAAATCAAATCGAAGAAATGACAGATTCACCGGAGATGAGTTTGGAAGAACTTGATAAATTTTTGAAAGTATTGAAGTTTTAGTGAATTTTTTTACTCGATAATATTGTACGATATATAAATAATATTAATCATTAGATTCATGATTTAATGATAATTTATATAACCTACTACCTAATCGATTTCTATTAAAATAAACAGTTTTTTTTAAATAAAATGTAAATCCAATCAGTTTGATTATTAACGTTAAATGTATTAACTATGTATCCATTTACTTAATGGATATACATAACACATTTTTTGTATATTTAACAGTAAGATGCTAATTTCCTTAAATTTAAGTATTAGGTATACTTAAAAATAATGTTAATATGAAAAGAAATAGCAAACAAAGTACAACCACCATTGAGTACTTAAAATAGTAGTTTATTGTTGGCAATTTTTTTCCTATCTGGGTGTGATTTAGCTCAATGGGATTACACTTGGCTCTTGCCTGACCCTCACAACAAAGCTATAGCATTACATACATACCTTTGTTTATAATTTTAAATTCTGTTATGTTAAATAATGCATTGGTATATTTTACTGTATAAATTTGTTTTTAACTATACGTTAATAATATTATTTTATTTAAAAACTAAAAACAAAAAATACATAATAAGTTTGTTATTTATAACTTTGAATAACTAGATATAAAATACAAATGTATAATATCAACAAAGTATTAAATCACAATTTTTCTGGCTTTTTGTTTAAGTTATCTAAAGTCATCAGTAGCTAAGTTAACGTAGTTTATTGTGTTTAATATAATATCATTCCAATTTCCATAATTAAAGTAGGCAAAACAAATTAAAACCAATGTTTCAAACCATTTATTGCTCCAAAAAATACTCTCTTTGTGTAAAATACGTTTTCTGACATATCTTTTAAAACTATAAATGCATTGTTCTCTTTACGTTTAAAGTGCTGACACAGAATCCTGTATTGAAAACCACCACATAACACTAATACAATTTATGATATATTAATAGTCTTCATTAAAACTGTCCATCTATTAGGATCTATGTTTCTCTCATAATATTCTATAAGCTGCATCGGATAATTTTGGGGCCATAGTAATTATTTTCAATTAGACAAATTAGGTACCTAAAAAAATATATAGAAAATTTAATAAAAAGGAAAAAGGTAAATATTTAAAATTTTTACATTATAGGGTCTATTTAATGCTCAAATTTAGATATGTTTAAAAATGTATAAGATATTAATTTTATATAGTTAACGAGGTAAGTACTTACAGTATAGAATCGTCACTTGTATGTTTAACATAAATACTGAATGTAATGAAAAAAAATGACTGGTGTTTTTCGTTAATTGTTATACTAATAGTTGTAAGTTATAAGTTATATGCAAAATACAAAATAGTAGTGAAAGATAAAAGTCTGTTATCTGTGAAGTACGTCTGTACAATAGTAAAAATAATAACGTACGTTGAACACACATGTGTTGCCAAGCCTATAAAATAGGCCCAAGTATGCTACAGCGCGCCGCATTCGGCCATATCTGACAGCAAAGTGAGTAATTCACGATAATTGAACATAATCGTACTTAATTATTAAGCTATTTTTATGTACTCAAACACGATTATAATAATATGATAATACATTAATTCTCCGTTTAATTTGTAATAATTAAATACAAGAGTTCCATCTATATATCTCTCTAAATATATTTTTCTAATTTCTTCGATTTTATGACTAGAAAATATTGTATTACAATTACATTCGATCAACTTATGTAGATACTATCTTTATGTTAATTTTCCATATCCAGTGATGCAAATAACTTAAAATTTTAAATTCCGTCAGAATTCTACCTATATTTTAATTATCAAATGTATTTTGATTCTTATTGCTAAAAAATATTCGAGTTTAATTGAATAATGAACATGCGGTTTTTATACTCTAAATAAAGAAGTTGTTAAAAAAAAAAGAATTGCCAATATTTGCCCCTTGACATTTATTTTATCAATTTTCATTTTTAAATTCCTTATTGAATTAGGTTTTTATTTTATTAATTATTTATTATATTAACCAGTGTCTAATAAGTGTTTAATACTAATACTAATAAGTATTAGTCTTGATCATAGACCTATAAGATATAAATTTCTTTATAGGTCTATGGTCTTGATAGCAGTTTTCCATAGCTACTGATATTTATTATCAATTTATAATTTCACTCACCGGCTAACGTCGCACTCAAGGCTATTCTGTACATGAGTTTGATAACACAATTTACAACTGTTATTTGTCAATGAACTTGATTCGTGTGGTTGTAAATTTTTTTAAAAGTATAATGTTTTATAATTAATTTTTTTTCTGTGGTTTTTGACCTTTCCTTAATAAATCATGTATGTACTACCTCATAGTTTTGCTCGGTGCTGTTTTGCACTGAATAAAAATCCGTTTTTGGCCAAAATCGTCCATAGATCTTTTTACTGGTAAAGTTTATTTTTAGTAGCTAAATATATAAATAATAACATAATATCATTTAATTAAAAAAGGCACTCGCTTGTTTGTACCTACTATTTGGTGTATTATCAATGAGAATACAGTGCAATTGTACTATTACAGTATGTTTATGCTGTCAATTTAGTATTCTTAGTCGTATGACTAATGTTGCAATTGTAATGTTTTAGGAATTTCCTCAAAGATCAAACTGCAATCGATAGTCTTAAAAGTATTTACAAATCAAAACTTCTTCCATTAGAAGTACGTTATTTGTACAATGAGTTCCATGAACCTTTTTTGACTGATCAAGATTTTGATGCCAAACCAATGGTGTTATTTGTTGGTCAATATTCAACTGGAAAAACTTCAATGATAAGGTTGGTATTCTTTTATTATAAATAATTTCTGAAATGACTACTTAATATCTTTAATTGTACCTTTGTAGATATCTCATTGAAAAAGATTATCCGGGTATTCGAATTGGCCCTGAACCTACTACAGACAAATTCATGGTAGTCATGGGTGGTGACAAAGAACAATCCATACCGGGAAATGCACTCGTGGCTGACCCAACCAAGCAGTTCCAAGATCTATCTCGTTTTGGCAACAACTTTTTAAAAAAACTACATTGTGGCATTGTGAACACTCCACTTCTAAAATCAATAAGCTTTGTGGATACGCCTGGTATATTATCAGGAGAAAAGCAAAGAGCACAGCGTGAATATAATTTTTATGATTCATTAAACTGGTTTGCCAGTCGGTCGGATATGATTATACTCACTTTTGACGCTAATAAACTGGATATATCTGATGAATTGAAAGCCGCTATAGACGTATTAAAAGTCCACGATAGCAAATTAAGAATTATTCTAAACAAAGCTGATACAATTGAGTAAGCTAATTAATGTAGTTTCAGTTATTAATTATATATCATTATACATTATTTACAACATTTTTTACATTTTTTACTTATGCTTAATATATAAAAAAAAAAAAAAATTTGCATCTTACCTAAATTATTCATAAACAAATACTATTTTTGATTTATATTGTATTTTACAGCGAGAGATCTTTGCTAAGAGTTCATGGTGCTTTAATGTGGGCTCTAGGAAAAGCAATTATTTGTCCAGAAGTCCCCAGAGTTTATGTTGGTTCATTTTGGGACAAACCTTATAAAAATGATGTTAATAGAAAGTAAGTTTTAAATTATTAACACTTTTTTCTACTTGTAACAACTTATTACAATTTATTTTTCCTTTTTATTTTAGCATGTTTAGTGAAGAAGAAAGTGATTTGTTCCAAGATATAAAATCACTGCCACATAATTCAGTTATATCAAAATTAAACTATATAGGAAAAAGAGCAAAAACTGCAATTGTATGTGTTATGTATAATTTACTCAAATTTCTAGTTATAATAAAAAGCTGTAAATATTATTATTGAATTTTATGTTTATCTAGATACATGCGTACATAGTTAGTGAACTAAAGTCACGTATGCCATTAATGGCCAGGATTTTGTTCAAAGAAAATCGACAAAGTGAACTAGTCGACAACCTAGAGCAAATATACAATGATATAATCAATAAACACAAACATCTGAGTTGGGGTGATTTTCCAGACATAGACAACATGAAGGTTATTCATACAAGTCAAAGAAAAAAATATACTTTTAAATTAATATTTAACTAATTTTATATATATTTAGACACTTTTGAGACAAAAAGATTTTACTACCTTTAACAGTTTGGATGAAAAATTAATTCATCGTGCGGAAAATTTATTAGATGGAATGGACATTGAAATGACAGTGAATGATGTGGAAGTCTTTAGTAAGTCTTGTGTATCATATTGTTCAACCTATGCCTAATATTTTTATTCTAAGTATTTGTTATTTTTTAGGTAATGTAATTCCCAACAATAATGATATCGCTACACCTTTTAACGCAAAAACTATAGGTATTAACGAAGGAAAGTTTGGGGATGGTTGGGTTGTAGAATATCATAGAAAACCGTTTGATGAAATATTTGAAAGACTAGAAAAAATCAATGGAAAAGTGATTAGGACAGGTAAATTAAATATTGTAAAATTACACATAGTATAAATTTATGTGATGAAAAACTACAATTCTTAACCCTTTGTTAGTCAACTGATTTTTAGTTACACTATTAAAGTGTAACCAAATTATTTAAAGGTGAGACTGGTGTACCCAAGTCACAGAGTAACTGGTCTAACACTGTAGATTACCTGCCTAACAAAGGGTTACCTAATGTTGAACCTAAGACACATCACTATGATTATACTGTTGAAAATGTATATTTAAAACACTAAACAGCATTAACTTTCCCATTATTTTAGCGGCTAAAGATGAAATGCTCAAAACCAAACTACCTAATTCTGTGTTGTCCAAAGTATGGAAGTTAGCCGATATTGATGAGGACGGTCTCTTAGATGCAGACGAATTCTCATTAGCCATGTATTTAATTAAAATAAAACTGGAAGGATCAGATATACCAACGGAACTCCCCCACCACTTGATACCACCTAAAAAGCGGGTTCCTAAACCTACTCCTGCGATATCTGCACATTAATGCTTTAGTATTTATTACTCGAAAGTATATATATAAAAAAAAATATTGTACTGTGATAATTATGTTATTTTTTTTAAACTATGAAATAAAAACTTTGTTAAAAAAACTTAAATGTAGTTTATTAACTTACCCTGAAAAATACTATAAAGTTAAATATTTTGTTAAACACTTAATTGCGTAAAATAATAGTATATACTTTTAAATATTGCCAAAATTAAGCATTACGTAATTGCATTTAATTTCCAACAGATATACCATAGAGTAATATTACTATAAAGTAAGAGTAATTATACAGAATAATGAATATGTATTGTGTGATATTACTCTACATAAGATAACCCCATTTTTCACATGTATATCACCTTAGGAGATCTTCTAAGGTTGAGGATTAAATAATACATGTGTTGGGTATTATTATACTAATACTCGATAATTACCTATATCAGCAATCGATAAAATTAGATTAACCCCCTCGATTGCTTTGCTGTCTGCCGATCGCAGTGCCGGCCAAATTTACCCTACGCATATTTTGGGCAGTCCGCACTAATATTATCGCTTATGGTGCCTGCAATTCGCATTGTAGTGTGACAGGTGTTTGTCCACCATACTTTGGTTCAGCAGTCTTCTCTACTGACTACTACCACTGTGGTGAGTCTTCACTTTGCTTTTATTACTGTCTTCGTCAGTCTCATTGCTTTCACCATATTCGCGGCAATCTTACCACTTAAAAATTCAGGTCCCTGACACCTATTACATAGATTAAATATGTAATTAATCTATGCCTGTCACGTGAGTTGGCCATATGCCTTAGTAGTTGTATTTTTTTTCTCTTTAAGATAGTTACTCTTGTTAATTTGTACATTAATATGTGACTAACCGTACTTATGAGCTCAAATATGTATAACTTTAGTTCCATAGCATACCCAACTTACATAATTTTATTACACTTATTCTCATGTTTTATGTTAATAGTTAGTAATGAAATAGCCTTACGCAATAATTGCATTTTTCTCTTATTTTTTGTTAACCTGTAAGCATTCCATAGTAGAGGATAGTGATACACGTTACAGCGTGTATCCATAGATTAAGTATACATACGTAAATTGGAATCTGTGGTATCCACGATTATAATCTTTATATAATCTTGTTTAATGTTCTTTATAATCGTGCTAGGTACGCCGTACGCAACAACTAGTAACGTTTAATTTATGCCCACAGTCCACTTAAATATCTTTTTTATGGTCAACAGTCTACACTAGCGGCTGGCCACCGGCCGGTTTGGTAGAAAAAATATGCCACAGCTGTAGAGATAGATCATAGAGAAGAGATTATACTCAATGCAAGGTGGACTCAATGTATCTTTACCACAGGTGACAGTATCTGCCATCTACTCTTATCACATTTTAAAAAATGGCCGTTATTTTTATTTACTTTGAGGTTTTTTTTTATCAAAAGTCTGTTCAGTAAAATATACAAACTACTAACTAGTGATATTAATTATTATTAGTCAACAGTCAACTGACAACTTCTAATTATTGTTAGTTGCTTTGGCAATACGGTATTCTTGAACTTTACTGATCGGGGTTAAATGTAATTTATTATTTTTTTTAACAATAACGTAAAATATATATATATATATATGTATTTTATTGCCTAATAATATGTTTTGAGTGGAATGTGTATTTAAATTTTTAATCGTTACTCTTATTCTTATATTGTAAACGTTCAAATATTGTATACATGGCATCAGCATTCTTTAAGCTAACGAAGTAATCTTTATGTTATTTGAATTGAATTGACAACTATATACGAAACATGAACGAGCATGTAGAGAATGAACATTATGATTCCATCAGGTATCAATTAGATACCCTTGGCTATCGACAATATATGCCACCAGACTCTGCAGATCTTGTAGGTCAATTAGTTGCAGATTTGTTACACACTACGGATAGTTTAAAACAGTACAAAAATATAGCACAAAACTCATTAGAAGTTGCTCGCAATTTGGAAGCAAAGTCTACACCATATGTACGAGATAATTGCTCTCTTATTCAAGAATGTAAAAAACTACACACAAAACTCAATGAATTATGTGAAAATGAAAAGGTATGTTTAATTTTATACCTACTGAGTAAATTTTACAAACTAAAATAACATTAAATACAAAATAGTTTAATCCAGTAGGGCGTATTTTTTATTTAAGAATGTAAGGTATCATATTTCATATACGGTTTAGTTCTGATTTTCAAATATGCTAGACTAAGAGTGAAAAGAATTTATACAAATATTCTTGGTATTCCACTAACCTTGCATGTGCTTGAATTTAAAAGAAGGCAAATTAAATATTTATACTTATGTACATCAAATGATTTAATTTTTAGTACTCAAAAACAAAATCGGGGATTTACAATGTGAAAATGATGAAGGAAAAATTGAAAACCAGAAACTTAAGCAACTTATTATAGATTTAGAAAATGAAGCTGTATCAAAAAATGCTAAGCTTCTAGAACTAGGAAACATGTTTCTTGTACCACAAATTGAATTAAAAAGTACATATTGCTTACCTATAACTTCTTTTAAGGTTTCTTAAATTATTTTTATTTATTTATTTTAGACAAAGGGTTTCGACCAAGAATACAAATTGATAATATGCAAGAAGATTGTACAAAAAGTGAAAATGAAATGTTAAAAATCCAAGTAGAAGAATTAATTAAAGAAACAACTCGTTTGAAAAAGAGCAAGGTAATATTTGCATAATTAAACTATAAAATATGTATGTTTTTTTAATCACTTTTCTATGTATTATAAATTAACAGTCATCAAAATTCCAAAATATAAGATCTAAAAACTGTGATGATATGTATACAGACATTAAAGCGGATAATGAAGTTTTAAGAAGACAGCTAGATGGTATCTATCTTATAGTTAAATTAAACAATTCATTTTCGACTGTTTTTTTATAACTTTTTATTTTATAGAAGCGTTAGCTAACCATAATGAAGCTATGTTTCATTTAACAAGAGTGTCTGAAGAAAAAAAGTCACTTCAGCATACTCTGAATGAATATCTTGCTAAACATTGTCATTGTGAAAGAGTAAGTATATATATTTTTTAATTTCTACTATTAATTTAATATAAAGCTAATTGGTAAATGTTCAATTGTATTAATAGAAAGCTTTTTTTTTAATTGTTACAAGGACTCTAGTATTATTATGGAAAACAATATGTGTTTAGAAGATTTGAAAAAAAAAATACATATTTTAGAATCTGAAAAAACCGAGTATGAAAAAAAAATTAAGACTATTTTAGACGATCAAAAACAATTAATAGATAAAATAAATGACTCAAAAAATATTGGTAAAATTAAAACATATTTTTAGTTTTTAACAGTAAAACTTCATATTTATTTTTATATTGTATATTATAGAAAATGATTTAATGTCTGAAATTGAAAAGCTGTCCGAAGAAAAACATTTACAAGCCCAAAAATTAATAAAACTTGAACAGGATCTAAACAAATCAAGTAAACTTATACAATACGCGTACCATTTAGTTACGGTTTTTTTTTTGTTTTATCAAACTTAACTTTGTTAACATATTAAAAAGTATTTTGCTTGAAACTAATTTAACCATAAATTATTTAATAACTTAAATTGTTGAATTAAATTATTAAAAAACTTAATGTTGTTTTAATTTAGAACGAAAAGATTACGAGACGAAATCTGAAAAAGCAGTAAAATCTCAAAGAGATTCTTCGCCACATAATAAGAGGATAAATGATTTAGAAATTACTATTAGTAAACTACGAGCAGAGCGTGATGAACATCTTTACGAAATAAACTGTTTAAAGAGACAACATCGTAATCAAGTATTTTTAATTGGTTTACAAATTGATAGCTTTAAAGTTGAATATATAGAAGCATGTATTAATGAATGATTAGATAATTGATTTAAATAAGAAAATTGAAGATATGCAAAGAGAAACACAGGATACATCGGAAAAAAAATTTACTTTACAACTTCGAAGAGAAAAGGACGAATGTACAGAAGAGATAATTTGCCTAAAAAAAGAAATACAGTTCTTAAGTAACCAGTTAAAAGTTAGTTGTAGAGTTCACTAATAAATTAATATAATTTTAATGAATATGTATTGGGATTCATTTTATGTTTATTTAGAAAACTAGAGATTCTGTTGAAAGTAATGAGTACAACGAACGTGAGTATGTTAAACGTTTAGAAAACGAAAAACATCAGTTGATTGAAAAACAACGTTCACTCACATGGGAAAGTGCCAATAAGCAGCGCGAAGCAGAAAAATATGTAAGAGACATTACTCATATGAAAACTGAATTGAAAAGACATAAAGCTATCATTGATGATCAAAAGTAATGAAAAATTATATTTCAGTTTTTGACCACTATTTAACAAATAAATTTAGATGTTCTCAGGATCGACTTGAACGTGCATTGCAATCCACACAATTTGCACAGAACGCTATTGAAGAACAGCTAGAAAGAGCACATAAACGAATAGAAGAACTAAAACATTTAAATAATACGCTTAATGATAGGTTGATGAATGAAAAACAAGAGAAGCATATGTATCATGATTCTATTGCTGTAACTGATCATCGTCATGAAACGTTAGTAGTAAGTAAAATTTAATAAAATGTTATACAAATACTTTTTAGTTATTTATACATAGACAAGATGTACTTAAATTTTTGAGAAAATATTTTATAACATCTTTTTAGCATCTCTCATTGAGTTTGGCCCCATAGAGTGCAACATTGATGTTCTAAATACCCTGTATAAATACTACTTGTATTTATTAGCTTTCATACGATTATTATTAAGGGTTCTAAGTGACCGATCACCAGTATGTCTATAAATAAGACAAGATACTTGCGAAATTATAGTTCATCTACTATATACAAGAATATTATTTTCTGTATTTTTTTTTTCAATACACAGTATAAATTATTGTGAATTTTAAATTTAACTTGGTATATTTTCGAACGTCCAGTAACCGTATGGTATAGAATTTTAAGTTCACTTACTTAAAAATGATAAATTATAAACACTTTTAAACAGTTTTTTTGCGGTTTTGTAGTAAATGCATTTGCCGTTATCTATGACAATGAGATGTATCGTCCAATTCAATATGTAGTCTTTGAATATGCCTCTTTCTTAACATTATTAACAAATATTTAACATCATTCTAATCTATGTGATTGTACAAAACAAATTTGTTTTTTATAGAATCTATGTGAAACCAAAGTTATTAGGTTTAGGCCAGATAGTAAGTGTCGTGTGAGATTTAAGTTAATAAGTTCATTAATAGCACATTCCGCTCATAAGTCCTTGGCAAACATACAGACAATTAATTGCCTTTTATATAGTAAAAAAAAAAATTATATAATTGAAAAATAAGATAAGTTTAATAAATGGCATGTTATTATTTTTACAAGACTGAATTGGAAAAGAAAACCAAGCGTATCGCCTTCCTTGATGGATTGGTTATGGATAAAGAACAAGAAATTGCCTCTTTGCACTCTAAACTTAACGATGCTTCTAAAAAAATTGGGTAATAACAAGTATTTTGACCAAAATTGTAAGTTTTAACTATCTCATTTTTTTTTTTTTAGAAATGCTTTGTATTCTCAAGCAGAGAGCGAAAAAATGTGTGATCGTTTAAAATCTGAACTTTCAAATATTAAAATGGAATACAAAATTGCTGAAAGTAACACTGGTAGCCGAGAAAAAGAAAAAAAGTATGTAAAACATACAAATAATAATTTATTAACATTACAAACTGTAAGTTTAACTACTTCTCATTATTTTTTTTTTCAGAAGATTACAGAACGATTTAGATATGGTAATGCAGGATAACAAAGGTCTGCGTTCAGAATTAGAATCATCAAAAAAACAAACGGAAGATTTAAAAATGCAATTACAAGTATATGTATTAGAAATAAGACGTATAGAAGAGATGCTTGAGCTTAAAGAATCTGAAAGAGATGAAATATTAGACCAGTTCAAGCATCTCAACTGTGAAGCAACACAACTAGAGAGCAATAATCATAGTTTAGAAAGTGAAGCAAGATCATCCAAGACTCTGCTTAGAGAAAAAGAGCACCAAGTGTCTGATTTAGAGCGTAAACTTTTGGACAAAGAAGAGCTTATATCTAGCTTTGAAACGCAGGTGAAACAGTGTTATAAAAAATGTATTTTATATTAATTTTAGTTTATTTGTTTTTTTTTAGATTTCAGAATTAACTCATCAAGTTGTATCGTTAGAATCTCAATTGACTATTGGAAATGATCGTATTATTAAACTAGAACAAGATTTAGTTGCTTGTCGGAACATATGCTCAACTGTAGATTCAGCTAAGATGACTCTTAATGAGCGTCTTTGTCATACAGAACAACTGCAGCATAAAGCCGAAGAGGAACGCCTACGCCTTACTAGTGAACTGTCATTTGTTAACACTCAGTTAGAAAGAGAACGTTCGAAAATAGCCACTCTGGAAACGGTATTAACTGATTCAAGACAAGAATGTATGGAACTTACTATTATTAAAAATGATTTAACAGAAAAATTGGAAGAGAGTCAACAAAAATCAAAAACTCTTACAGAATTATTGTAAGTCCATAGTTAGTTAGTTACATAATATTACATTACATTTACATAATTTCTGCTGTGTAATAAGAAATAATTCTATAAGAAAATAGGAAATAGTTTTCCTTAAAATTGTTGGATAACACATTTTAAGCCTAAGTTATATACACGGGGTTAAGAAATATTGTTTCACACTTAACCTAAAATTAAACATACATAGATAAATCACATAGTATGCTTTTGCACTCAAATCAATATTAGCCTTACATTAGTTGCCAGTTCTTAGGCGGCTTGTCAAAAACTTATATGAGTCAGACTAGTGAACTGAAATTTTATAATAAATCTTCGTATGTGTGTTGTAGAGAAAAAACCAAAACTGAATTAATGAATGCTCGTTCTGAAGTAGCTGCTTGCGAACATGAAATAAGCTTGTTGAAAAGACAATTGAATGATGTTAAATTTGAGAAAGCTAAGCTGGAACAATCCAGAAGGTAAGAACTATTAACTATAAATGTTTTAATCACATAAATAATAAAACATATTTATTAAAAAATAATTTTATCCATGTAAATATTACTCAATACGACTTAAATGTCTGCAGGGCTTGCTCAAGCCATTATTACACCATTTGAAATCATAACAATTACAAGAGGGGTAAAGTGTTGGGTTAAACACCCTAAACTTTACAAAGCCCTTAAAAATCAGCAACTAAATTTCAAACTATACCAAAAAAATATTTATTTTTGCACAATTATACAACAATTATTTTAGTCTAAAACTAATTTTTTACTCAAAATTGTAGCCCAGGCAATCTTTCAGTCCATCTGTACTTCGAGCAGGCCCTAAGTGAACGTTGTAATTAAAATGTATTATAATATTATTTTTGGTACTCTAATAATTATGTTTTACACTTTTCAATCTCCATTATATAGAGTTAATCTAATTTATTTATTTATTTTATTTTTAGAGAAAATCACAGTACAACTTTATGATTTATAGAGTAACACAATTTAATGATAATGCATTAATGTACTTTTAGTATTTTTATTAATGTATGTACTTGAAATTTAGGTTTCATTAATTAAATATGTATATTTTAATTCTGTATTATATCACAAACTCGTTTTAATATAATTTAGCTATAGCCATTTGTAAGTATGATTTTAGATTTTTTGTATAACATCTGATTAAATATGTAAATAAAAAGAAATGTCAAATGTTTAAAATTTGTTATCTTTTTTAACTAATTGTAAGATTAATGTAACAAATAGAATATCATTTTTTGCACGGATAATAACTTTTTTAGGATATTAAAACAAAATGTGCATAAAAAAAATAGATCAACACTTCCTTTAAATGTTTACAACATTTTTAAACATAGTTTTAATTTATAAACATTTACTACTTACAATCTATTTACAACAAATCATATGAAAATTAACAGAATTAAGACGAATTTCGCATGTAATAATCTATTGCTGTAGAAAAGGTTGCAAATCCCAAAGCTCCAAGCAAACCTGCTTTGGCTCCAGCTATAAAAATTGTTTTAAAATAAATAAATACTATTTTTTAAATTATGTACTAATTTTTACCTCTAAATCCTATCAGGCCTCCAGTAATACCGCCTGCATAAGTACCATTCTTCCAATCGGATTGACCTCTATACTATAATATATTAATATACATTATATAAATTATATATTTAATTTAAGCAACTATTTTTAATTATTAATTATAAAAGGTACATAATTCATGTTCTGTATAATTAGTATAGAATAAATCAAAAAGTTGTTCATTAATTTAATTAAAATTGTCAAAAATATAACACGATCAACACATATGAACAAATTATAAGTTCTCTAACTAGAGGTATAATTTAATATCAAGACACAAATTAATGTGAATGCGTTAAGCTTTCGTGGATTGAAATTCCATTTTGCTGATTTTCGGATATATCCACGTTAGTATTTTTAGGTCGACGTTTCGAACTCATTGCAGAGTTCATCATCAGGCTGTTGTGGTCACGACTGTACCGCTGTCATGGCTATACTCAAAGTTCGAAACGTCGACCTAAAAATACTAACGTGGATATATCCGAAAATCAGCAAAATGGGACAAATTAATGTCTTTTATACTTTTATTATTTTAAAATGTCTTTAAACGTATACAACCTTCAGTTTTTTAGTTGAACATTAGAAGTTAAATTTTTTTATAATATAAAATAATTCTCAAATAAATCTAGGTTTTGGGAAAATTGTAACTATAAAATAAATTACAAATTGTGGCTTATTTTAGTTAGATTGTACATGTTAATGTCTATTTTAATTTGCATACTTACAGTCTCTACTGTGCATTCTATACCAGAAAATACAGCTCCTAGTAAAGCAAAATTTTTTGCATATCCAAGTGATGACGTTTTCATTTCACGTAATATTTCTCTAACGGTTTCTTGTTGACCGGGTGCTTTAATAGGTGGGTTTACACTTGATGTAAAAAGACCAATAGCTCCTCCGAGAGCAAAACCTATAGAAATTTAAATTTAAGTATTTATGGAAAAAGTGTTTTTTTTAAAAATCTTTATTTTAAGATAAAAGGACCTTTCCCTGGTCTAGAGTGAACATTTTGGAAAAAACAACTAGTTATTAGGTGATTGAATGTCAGCATGCTTATTTTGTCAACTAAAATGTAACTGCCAATATGAGGGAATTATAATAAATATTTGTTTTCAAGTTTTATAAAAACAAATCTATAAATAATAAATTATTAAGCTGAATGTAAATTTTCAAATTTGCTTATTAAATAATTTATTTACAAAATAATTATATATTCTTTGTAAAACTATTTTGATTTGTAGAAAAATGTATACGATGTGTTCATCATATTATTTTGTTAATAATTTAAATTATGTTAAAATTTACCCATTACACCGCTGAGCACAGATTTAAATATACAACTTTCTGTAATAGAATCTAAAGTTTTCTCTTCTAGACTTTTCATTACTGGTCGTCCCATTACAGTTGGCATCATTATTTTCTCTCGAAAGGGATCATTACTAAAGATGCGATTAACAAATTTATTTAACGCATCTTCTTGGGCCTTAGTAGATATTTCTTCGGTGTTAGGCATTGCTATTTCCTTATTACTATTAGCACCTAATTTCTATAAACAAATATATACTTAAAATACTGCAGCACAATTTGAATCATTTATTTATTTGATTAATTTACTAATTATTGGTTACACAAAATATGTCATTGAGTTTTTGACTGTAAAATATTTTGAATTAATCCCATTGAGTAATAATTGGTTAATACATGCCGATTGCCGATAGCCATAGCATGCAAGTGATAAGACAACAATATGGGCGGTGATAAAAAGTAAAAATGTATGATAACAGAGCTGTAAACCATACGGCATACCTAAGGTGGTTTAATTATGAAATATAAATCCACAAATTTCACATTTGCTTTGTTCGTTTTGGAAAAAAAGTGTACTCTAATTAGGGTTGTTTAAGGGGTGTGATCAGGTGTAGTTTTTCAAAACAAACGTTTTTGGTGTAGATTAATCAACTGATTATTTATTTCTAATAGGTTTGTTTGTTTTGACAAAAATTGTACACTTTTTCACAACAATTGTACACCAAACCGTTCATTAACTACCAAACCAAGTACGTCCGTAAAAAAATTCTTGCAGATTCGTAATCAGCATTAAAAGAACTGTCGATTAAAAAAAAATATCGCAAAAATAGAGTGCCTGGTAAACTAGATTTATACCTATTCTGTATGTGATGGGTGCCTTAGTCATTTAATCGTAGTGTAATTTGTATCCATAGTTATATTGTTGAATTTTTAGAGGTATTGGTTTTGAAATTTTTAATAGAAAAAAACACATTCTGACAATAAGTTTGATTAAATTGATCAATAAGTATTATTATTATTCCAAGTCAATGGAATTAATTCAGTGAGCATGCCTGTTTTTTAAATTTAATTACATCATGATTACTGGTTAAAGTGCGGTGGGATTAGGTTTCGTGTCCGGTGTCATTGATAAGTAAAGCTATTTTCTCAGTCCTAAAAATGTTTGAATGCTTTAAATGAGCATACATGATTGTTGTTCTCCAGTGGATTTTATTAAATCGTAAAAACATTTTTATTGAAAAGCGTGTATGTCAAAGAGAAATAGAAAAAATATAAAATTTAATACGGTTAAAATAGGAGAACTAAGATGTCTCGTCGGGTTTTTTAAAAAACATACATTTTACCTGAAATATAAGAACTTAAAAAGTAAAAAGATGTCAGAATTAAATTATAAATTGTGAATGTTGGGTTAATTATATAAAAAAAAGCTGACGAGAGAACTTAGATATAGTTCTCATTGTATTAAATATGTAAAAAAAACTGTCTACGATTATTATTTAGCCAATAATAAAAAATATGAGTAGCTATGTTTAAATTAAATTTATGAAAAACAAAATTAATATGGCTGTCGAGTATCTCGAGAAAACAACAGCCATCCATAAAAATGTTATCACATTTTGATAACCACGGTACTTGCATGTATAGCATTTTATTGCCACAGTTTTTTTAAATTTTCCTTTGGTTGTTTCACGTTTGTAGTGTTGTTTAAACGTTCAAGTAGCTCTTAGCTTATCGCTATAAAGCACATAATTATTACATTTGGTGTGCAAGTGAAATTAACAGTAATTGGCTATATAAAGATAAAATTCAAGTCAAAAGGTTAGAAACTATTAACTATTTAAGTCATATAAGACCGTAGATTTCTCTCCTATCGAATTAGTCTAACATCACACGCTATTTGACTAGCAGTACTAATTTTTAACGTTAAAACAAGTTATTCAATTTGTTTTTAAATATGCCTGTTTTTCGTTTGGAAACAAATATACCAAAGTCTAAAGTGACTCCTGATGTGTTGAAAAAAATCTCGAAAACTGTAGCAACAACACTGGGGAAACCGGAATCTGTAAGCTATTTTTTTTATTTAACTTGAATTTGAATTACATTTTTAATACTATGTATTGTTTTTATTACACAATATTATTTTATTTTTTACAGTATGTTGTTGTTAATGTTGTGCCTGATCAGTTAATGGTGTGGGAAGGAAAAGATGCACCTTGTGGAACTGCTACATTAATGAGTATTGGTCGACTAGGAGTAGAAGAAAACAAAAAACATGCCGCTGCTCTTTATCCGTTGTTAGAAAAAGAGTTGGGCATACCTGGAAATCGGTAATATATTTCTATCTAATTAATAACATATTGTATCCTTATTTGTAATTAATTCTCATCTTTCAGGTTATATATTACATTTTTAGATCAGAGTACATCATCAGTGGGTTATACCGGCACAACATTTCATTCTATTTTAGGTTAAATATTTAATTTTGTATATTACTAGAATCAAGAATTACAGGTGATTTATATAAAACCAATTTTTTATTTAATTACATTTAAACATATTCATGTTTCATTTAATCAATATTACTATTTTTATTAATCATAAAAATATTTTTTTAATCTTTATGTTACCTACTTTCAGTTTGATAAATCAATTAAATAATACAAATATTCATTATTAAACAATAACTGTTTAAAAGAAAATGTATAGTGATTAGTTATAATACCCAGAATACCACTTTGTACTATAGTTGAAAGAAAATTAAGATTTATAGTTTGTCATCAATTTTGTTTTTTTACATAATTTCTGTAGCTATGACTTAATAAAAATTATGTCTAGCATTTCTGTCAGATTATGACGTAAACAGCGTCCACATTTATTTGGACGACCAATTTTTTTCTTTATTAGTACTTAAGCCGTTTTAGAGGTGAAGAATGTGTTATCGGCTGGTAGAGAAATCAGATTTGGATGTTTTTTTCTTGACAAAGGATGACTTTTTACAGTTTTCATTACATTATCAGAAAAAAAACTTTACAACATTTTACATTCAAACTCTTATAACCATATATATATATATAGTTTTTGAAAATCAAAGCCATATGCAAAGTTTTCCTATTTTAAACAATTTTTTTTTATCTTAAAGTCCAATAATACGAGGCAAAATCACTTTTTTCGTAGGGCATGTTAAATTTAAAGTAACTTAACAGTTTTATTTTAAGTGTATAAATATAATTGGAATTAATCAAACTATTATCAATCTAGGTCAAGAGAGATTATAACCAGTTGTAAATATTTGAATTAATTCCCATAAATAATACCGTCTCTGTATGGATTATACTTTAATGAAAAAGATATTGTTTCTCAATATAGTAATAAAAAAGTATAGTTCATCACATTTAATACATTTTAAAACTAGATGTACATTTTTTCATTAGTTTGCATTAGTGACAGAAGTATATAATATTATACAAACAATAATTCTTAAAAATCAAAAAACTAGTTATTATGTCAAATCAGGTTTATAAATATATTTTGTATAGTAATATAGAGTATAAAATTAGTTATACCTAATTTAAAGCAATTTAGTTTCTATTCAAGCAAAAGTCTATTAAAAGTGTTTAATATAATGCAATTTCAAAAAAGTGTTGTGTACCATTCATATACCAATATACAATATTTTAAATAAACCTGTATAATATGTGGATTTTATTATATATAACATAACGACTAATGTTTAAATGGGAAGTAAACAAATACACATAATGTAGGAATACAAACAATACATTTGAAGCTACAAGGGGTGGGAAGGGAAGCCATGGGCAGATTCAGTCTTTTCTAGTTTTGCGTTTTCTCGGTGAAGATGGCAGCTGGTCTCCACTAGCTTGCTCATTTTCCACCGCACTCTAAAAACAAAAACGAAAATAATGTGTAAAACTATTCATGTAATAAAATATTAGACTGTTTTTAAAGTAAAACTATGTACTGCCATTATATATATGTCTTGATTTTCCCAGTGAGAAAATCATATTTATTCATAACCAAAATTTTGTTTTATTTATTATTATAAAATTATTTTTTTAAGAGCAAAAAAAAAATGGATAGCATTAGATCTAAATTTCTATTATACCATGGATTGTTATCTTTATTTGTGTTTTGAGTGTATATATCAGGTGGCCACAATGAGGCTCGTGAGCCGCATGAGGCTCTTAAATCAGTTTTGTGCGGCTCTTGAAACCAAGCTTAGAGTAAAATTAATAAATGTTCATTACTTCATTTTATAAACATCGCTTAACAATGTGGCTCGCTTCGAATTAGCTTTATAAATTTGCGGCTCCCAAAATTAAGGTTAGTGGCCACCCCGGGTATATACTGTTTTTATTAATTTTATTTTATTACAGCCTATCATTGAATTAAGGTTAAAGGTACAGTAAATGCATTAATATTTAATACAAATTAATCGGATTTACGATTATTACTACATTTATATAGTACTGTTGTAAATTATACAATGCGCAACTACTCATGTTAATGCAAATAGCGAGCCAAATAGCAAGAACTGACTTTTTTAAAATCTTATTTGTAGTTATCTTACTCAGCCTTGGCAAATTAAATCTCGGGCAACGCCGGGTCGGGACAGCTTGTCATAAATTAAAAAAATTATTTTTTGGCGCAGAATATGTCACACACGTCAAATTGTATCGCATTCAAATAATGTTAGATGAATAGATACATTAGATGCGCACAATATACTTCAGTATGTTTAATTTTATCATTTAAATCTTACATTTTCCTCGGCATCAGAACTTTTGTTGTCTATTTCGTCCTCTTCTTTAGTATCGACTGCTTCATCATCATCCATTTCTTCTTCAATATCTGGAACGGGTTCATCAGTTTTTTTTCTAGACTCATCGGATGTAGGTTTATCCTTTACAAACAAAAATATCATAGTGAGATATTTGAAAACAATTTTATGTTAAAATAGGTACACAACGTGAATTCTACATTACCTTTGATGAAGTGCAGTTTATAACTAATAAAACAACAACTATAGCTACTATAACTACATAAATTGCCCATAACCAGGGGTTTTCATTGGTGTATCTCAAAACAGCTCCAAACGCACTCTCCTAATCATAAGAAAATAAATGTTAATATTAAAACCTTGGTTTTTTTTAGCTAAAAAAAGTATACCAAAACTGGTTCTTGACAACAATAGTAATAAAGAAGTTTGCTACTACATTTCTTGTTTAGGTAATATTATTATTACACATTCCCTATTTTGGAATGTCTCATTAATATTTCCTAATTATGAGTTTTTTAATAACTTAACACCTGAATAATGAGATATTTAATAATAATTATTCATCTGAATAATGAGATATTTTGAGAAAGGATAAGGTTGGGTACCTTCTAGTATACTTCTACTAATACTACTTAGTCTCTACCTTCCTAAACCTTTGTATTAAATATGATATGTAAGCAATCACGGGTATAGAACAATAAATTGCATAACATAACCATAATCCCGGCTTATAATTCACATTCTTGAGAATTCTGCCCCAGAATGAACGCTATAATGTTGTTGGAACATTAGATTATTAGACATTAATTGATCCAAAATATTAAAACTAATAGTTATATCTGAAGTATAGTCAATAATAAGAAACATTTTACCGATTCACGAGATAAATTCTTCTTTTTTAGTGACCAAGTTTTCTCTGCCCATTCTTCGGCAATTCCTTCGTTATCTGTTATTATTATATTATCAAAATAAATTTTATCTGAAATAGACCATAACTCAAAGCCAACAGCACCCTAGAACAAATTAAATTACAAATTAAAATAAAATATTTAATCAGCTAAGTAAATGAGTTTACTTACAATAGGTGATGATTTTAATGGAGTCGGATCATTAAAATAATCAGGGTTTGGTATTAGTCTTGGAGACCATTTTCCGCGATAATTAGGATTATCTATAAAAGGTTGTTTCCATTTTCCCTTGTACTTGGGATTTTTCATAAGCGGTCTTGACCAGGGCCCACATCCTGAACGATCTTCACACTTTGGATTGTTGATTAAAGGTGCTTCCCACTCACCATCCATATCATTATCCCTTAAAAGAAAACCTGACAATTAGTCAATTTTCAAAATTACAAATATATTGAATTATAAAAACAACATTAGTTTTTAACATTATACATTTTTTTATTTGCCTAGTTTTATTTAGTGAGTACCTTATATAAGCATAATCTAAAGAGGAAAAATGTGTATCAATATATAAAAAATTTTTAAAAATATTGTCGAAAAGTTAAAAGAAGTCAGTGCAGTAGGGTCGAGGCATATTGGAAACTGAGCATATTAACAGAGGTCATAAGTTCCCATAAATTATTAAAACTAAAATGATAAAATTACTTTCAAAACAGCTGTTCAATAACTCAATTCAATTGTTTAATGACAAAACATGTTTATTATTGTGTCATTTTGATTTTATGGTTCTTACCAATCTGTTGGTTTAACTGCTACAGTGTCAGGTATGTGAGTAGATTCATCTTCTAACCAATCATCTGGCATTGATGCTGATTCATCGGGAATACTTTCAGGTTCACTTTCATCCCAGTCATCAGGTTTCACAGCACTTTCATCAGGTATCTTAGCTCGTTCGTCCCAATCTTCAGGTTTCACATCATTTTTGTCAATTATTTCTTTAGGTGGATTGATTGTGGGATCAAAGTCTTCATCTGACAAGATGTCGCCTTCGTATTGTAACTAAAACACAATTATCTTTTTACTAACCAAAAATTTATGGTTGATTAATTTCATTTTATACATGTTTTGACCTACCTCTCGATTTAAATAAAATGAGTATGAATTATCTGGCTTGACAACCAATGTGAATAAATGGGGTTGATGATCAGTGAATATAGTTTCTTCCGTTTTGAGTTTAAGGCAGTGTTTTTCTGTTATGGTATTATTTTTAGGATTTTTGTGTCTAATTATGAAATGTACTTTAGAAGTCGGTCCACACTTGTCAGGACCAAACATGATTGAATAAGGCGTTTTATCATTAAACTGAGTTAAATCTTTAGTAGCTGGGCCTTCAGTCAATAATTTAAGATATGCTCCACCACATGTATGCGGCTTTTGAAATGCCACTTCGTATTGAACGACTAGAGTTTTTCCATTATCAAATTTAAATGGTTTATCCAATTTGGAAGAAATAGCGGCATGACGACTCTCAGACACTAAAACTAGACCTTTATCGCCGTTCAATGAGAATCTTTCTAATTCTTCAATATTCCATTTACCTAAAAACATAAACTTGAATAAGCATTAAAATAATCAAATTTTTTTTCAGCATTTTTGAATAGTTTATTTGTGCTAGTTATAGTAGTTTATGCTAGTTGGATTGCAAACATGGTTAATAACATTTTTTTTATTGACGTTTGCCTCTTAGATACCTAAGTCCTGCTAAATGTTCAAACAACAAAATATATCTATTTAAAAACGCTATCAGTGATTATAAAACCTGGACATTTTTTACTTAAAAAAAAAATTATTATTTGAAAATAATAACATATTTTAAATATATTATTGTGTAGGTGAAATAAAAAATTAATTACAATTTTTTTTTGTATAAATAAAAATAAAATTTAGTTTTAATTTTAAGTTTTTATTTAATAAAATATTATTAAAATAAGTTTTTAAAAAAATGCCCATGTTTAAACATTATTAAATATTAAATTATAATAATAGTTGTCTACTAATGATTAATTATGCATGTAAATAGGTTCATAATTCATTTAATTAGATATAATATTTCATAATAATACATTATATATTATAGTAATATATTATTATTGTGTTACTCACATAGGTTTTTAATTCAAAATCTAAAAAAATATATTTAAAATTAAAAATAAATATTTTATATAATATACAAAATATCACAATACTACAACAATAGATGTATTTTATAAGTACAAACAAAAGTACATACATTGCAAAAATCTCTAGTATAGTTGATGTTGTCTGTAAAATGTATTTCTATTAAATTATTATATTATTTTTATTTAATAGTTGGAATGAATTTAAATGATATTTAAAACTTTGCAAATTTTTAGTTATTAACACATTAACTGCCATGGGTAATGCCGGCGATCTTAGTTTAGTTATTTATCTTGGCAGTTAAAGTGTTAAGGGGTTGTAGTTTTAATTTAAAAGGCAAGGTCCGAACTTAGAGTTTTTACACTCTGGACACAATATGGGTCTTTAATACAATAACATACACTACTGGTAGAACAGCTAGTAGAAAATGATTTTTAAAAAAAACAACAAAACAAGATTTATTTAAAAAATAAAATAAAAACAAAACAATGACCCTATGAATGGATAATAAATATCTAAAAATATTAATATCACCATATACTAACAAGACAAAAATCATTGAAATAATTTTGAAATAATCCTTATTATGAGCTGATGAGAACTGTTAGATCACATATTTTTCCAGATATAATATTATCTAATACTCAAATAATCACAGCTGTCCCAGCAAAGAAGAAGTAAGTTACAATTAACAGATTATGGATCAGGCGTACTAACATAACACTATTCTGCCAAATTTAGGGTGGGTTTTTTCCAAAGAATTAAACCAACAACATTTGATTTGTTTTTTTCACGGCAAGTCTAAATCTGCTTTCAAAATTGTTCTAGAAAAAATCCTCAAAAACCGGCTATTTCAATAATAATAAAAAAAAATTGTTCCCTTCAAAATGAACAGCGATAAAAAATACTCTGAAATGATAAATACCTCATAAATGTTAAAGTATAATTCCTTAAAATTCTGATAATCCTAAAAAAAAAAAAAACAAATTCTTTTGCCTTTGCCCGGGGTAAATTTCTACATATCTCAGGGTTGCCACTAGAGTTTAAGATTTAAAATAGTTGCATAAGTGACTCAAACATTTTTAAAAGTGACCTATATTTTTTAATTAAAATTGTAATAATTTTATATATTCACATATATTTAACATATAAGAAAAATTTATAAATTAAATTATAACAAATTCATTTAGTGATTATTTGTTTAGATCATTAAATAAGTATTTAATTGGGCATATTATTTATTAAAAGAATGGAAATAATAAAAAAGATTTAAAAACATAATATTCGTGGTGGTATAACAAGAACTGATAAAGTCCGGCATTTAAGGTGATTAGATTAGGACCAGTTTATCGAGCTCCGTTCTCATGATTGAAATTAATAAAATACTAACACTATCAGTACCTCTTTATAATATAACATATTATACAAAACAAAAATTCCCACCGACTACAAATAAATATATATATTACAAAGTAAAAAGTGACTTTTAGTGTCTATTACTGAAAAAAGTTGACTTTTAGTTAATAAGGTGACTTAGTGGCAGCCCTGCATACCTGGGATACTTTCACGTCTGGGTTCAATAATTTTTGATCTATGCAATTATTTTTTTTAATATTTTCAGAACTTTAAACAAGGGATTATGCTATAGTTATTATGAGATATTTATCATTTCAGAGTATTTTTGTTATCGCTGTTTTTTCAACTAATATTTTTTTTTTAGGAACTTGAAGTGCGCGCTATTATTATAATATTATGAATATTGTATTTAACAACAATATATTGTCTTGAGTATTAAAGCTTTAAGTTAGAAAGTTTTAACTATATAAAACAATTCCCAATGTGAGCCGACTCGAGTCCCTTTGGAACTCGTTGGATGGGGGATCACGCCCTTACTCCCAAAGGAAAAAATAGCTTGCCTAAAGGACTAAATTAACCTAACCTACTGTTCTGAAAGCGTCAGAGCGGTACCTAACCTATCCTTATGTCGCCGTCAAATGTATGGTGCCATGGCAGGCATCTGTGGCTACAGCCGCCGCCCGCCACATATTATTTTACACGCGAAAATATGTGAATTTTAAGTAGCTATAACTTTGGAACTAAGGAGTCTGTTGATTTTTGACTTCAGATTCGTATTCAGCGTACAAAATACTACAAGATGGTAAAAAAATTGCAAGAAAAGGTGTCTGGTTAAGTAAATTTATGCCCATTATATAATTACCATCATATTGTGCCAAATCTTCATCAACGTCTGGTTTTTTTGAATTAGATTTCACCCATTTATTGTTCAAAGTTGATACATCATCGAAATGCTCGGCTAGGTACACGCCTCTTTTTTCTGTTGTCGGACGAAAGTATGGTACCGATTCAATAGTCACATCATCCTATAACCACACAAATCCATATTATTGATCTTAAAAATAACTTAAAATGAAAAATCATTTTTACTTACAGATGCGTCTTCAACTGAAACTTCTTCGCCTAATGTTAAATGCACCAACAGCACCACTATGTACACTAGCAATTTAATTTTTGCCATTGAAATCTATCAAAAAATATACATCAGTAATCGTTATGTAGAAATTACTTGAGGATTTGAGAGAATTTGTGAAAAAACTTACTATGGAAGTTCGTGAAACATGCACGATATTAATAAGGATTGAGGAAGTCGGCTGATCTAATTTTCACCTGAAATATGATAATGAAAACGTACAAAAGTCTACTATTTTACTTATCCGGGGACTTCAGCGGCGTAAAATGACAAGACAGAAATATTATTACTGGACCGGTACATTTTAACAGTGCAAGTAACAAACGTTGTTTTGGTCGCTTTAATGTGTCAAAAACCGTAGCGTCGCATTTAATTATTATTTTTCTATTGAACGTTTGAATTAGCGACGTTAAAATTGATCGCGATCGTACCTAATGTGTTTTTAATTATTTATTATTGTAACAAACAATTTTTTAACAAACTATTTAACATTTCCGCATGTAGCCTGTGCACACTTACTAGTTTTTCGCAGGGTTGTCTACACTGTTTATACGACATCGTCACTACTCACCAGTGACCAGTCCGCCGTCAGCGTTTTTAATTTTCATGCTAAATGCCAATTGGCAAATACGCCGATACCTTAGGTTACTCGTAGATGAGAACACTACTAGGCTATTACTAAAGTTTAAACTAGTGTAAAAACTCAAACCATAGATTCTAAATCTAAATACTGAATACTATATTCTAATACCTACACTAATTTCTCATTAGTTTGTATTTTATAATTTAGATCGAAAGAATCAGATGAAAAACATACTAATTACTATGGAAGTTCGCGAAACTTGCCCGGTATTTATAAGCATTGAGATGAGGATTTTCAATAAAGATATAATAATAAAAACGTACAAGTCAAACGTCCACATTTTATTAATCCGGAAACTTAAGCAGCCAAAAATGACAAGACAATAAAAAATGATTATTAATGTGGGGCGACAATGCAAAACGTATTATTGGCGTTTTACCGACTTTTCAGATGTCATTTTCTGCCGTGCGAGGAATTTTTGAGGTATAGATGACGTGAAGTGTTTAAAATAGATAAAATATTTTAAAATTTAATACGGTAAATACAATTTTCGATCATTTTTGCTCGACTTACATGTTACACTGATTTCGGTGGACTCATTATTAGTTTATTTTTGTGTTAATATCCCGACTCCCGGGACCCGAGTGAGTAGGTAATCTGTTTTCAAATAGTCCGTGCAAGTAATGTACAAAAGTAGGATTTTATTTATCCAGGAATTTAAACAGCGTAAAATGACAAACAGAAATAATATTACTGGATTCTTAGATCACAGAATAGATTCAATTTAGATTTTTCATTTAATAAATTTTTTAATATCTAATTATCTCAGGCTGGATTGGTACATTTTAACAGTGAAAGTAACTATCGGCCGTGTGTATTATTTAACTGTTATTTTTTAATCGAACGTTTAAATTAGTAACGTTCAATTGATTGTGCCTATTTAATATTGTATATTCAACTATTTTTATTGTAGTTAAAAATTGGATTAAACTAATTTATTAACATTTCCGTATGTAGCCTGTGCACACAAGGGCGCCCGCAGATAAAAATTCTAGGGGGGGGGGGCAGCCTTAATTTGTATAAAAAATAAAAATTACTACTATTAAGGTGTAATGTGTATTTTAAAAACAATATTATCATAACCAAATTATAAAGGTATTATATTATACTTTATTTTACATTTACTTATTTATTTATTTTACATTACACATCAACTAATTGAACACAAATTGCAATTATGTTTTATCTTTTCCAAATTCATCAACCACTTTTTCTGCTAAATCGAGTTCTTCGATTTTTTTCCTATGTAAACCTAACAAACATAAGCCGGATAAACGATTCTCACCCATTGTAGAACGCAACCAAGTTTTAACACGGTGCACATTCATTCGTTTTTCGCAGAGTTGTCTACACTGTTCGTACGACATCGTTGCTCGTCGGTCAGTCGGCGTTCTCACACCGATTTGGCCGATACCGTGAACCGTGAACTAATATCGCCGTTCGGCTGTTTGTTTTTGGATTTTTGAATATAGAGTTTTTGCGGATTGCAGACGACGGGTTTCTACGTGAAACGGTTATGTAGGAATTAAACGATCCCGTGAGTGTTTTGTTCCGTGACAAGTGGTTGTGCGAATCACGATGACTGCCAGTTCGGATGCAATCGCCGCGCCTACCACTAAGGTGATCCAGGTGACGAACATTGCTCCCCAAGCGACTAAAGATCAAATGCAAACTCTGTTTGGCTCGATCGGTAAGATTGAAGATATTCGATTGTACCCGCAGATACGTGATGTGTCTGTGCCCGTGCAATCTCGTATTTGTTATGTGAAATATTTTGACTCCCTGTGCGTGGCTGTTGCCCAGCATTTAACCAACACGGTGTTCATTGACCGTGCGCTTATCGTTACGCCGTACCAGTCTTCTGTCGGTGATATACCTGACGAATACAGAGCACTGGATATTGCCAACCAGGCGAACGTCGTACCTGGATTATACCCGTCTGATCCCAAACTACCACCACACGTTGTCAATTCAATTGAAGGAATACCACCGAATCAAGTTATTGTCACCCACGATCCAGTGTTGGCATCCAATGGTTTGCCTCCTTATCCTCAACTCCCAATCACCTATGATTCTAGACGGATTGAAGAAATTAGACGAACTTTGGTAGCAATTAATGTAGATGAAAACGTAACTAACGATGAGTTGATAAACTTTTTTCAAAAATCAGCAGGTGATGTCAAGTATGTGCGATGGTGTAGCAGAGAAAATGATATTACTCGCTATGCTCTCATTGAATTTTCCGAACAAGCTAGTATTATTGCGGGATTGAAACTAAACGGAACGTTACTAGGTTCTCGGCCACTTCAAGTTACTCATGCCACTCAAGCAATAGCAAAACCTATGGCTAAAAGTAACGAAGCGGCTCAAAGAGAAATAGAAGAAGCTATGACAAGAGTGAAAGAAGCGCAAAGTCTTATATCAGCAGCCATTGATCCAGTTATTGGTATTTTATCTAAAGACAAAAAACATGGCCATTCTCACAGACGATCTCGGTCCAGATCACATGGTAGGAGCCGTCGAAGATCATCATCTAGATCACGAAGAGGACATTCACGAACACGAAGACGACGGTCTAGATCACGTTCAAAGCGTCGATCGAGATCAAGAAAAAGGTATAGGAGTCGAGACAGGCGTTCAAGGGACAGAAAAAGATCAAGGTCGAGAAAAAAGTCTAGATCTAGAGATAGGAAACGTAAATCTTCTAGAGAACGACGAAGATCAAGATCAAGATCTAAGCGTCGTTCACGATCTAGAAGTCATAAAAAAGATAAAAAATATTCATCCAAGAGAAAAGAAGAGAAATCGGAAAAACGTAAAGAAAAGGATAAGAAAAAAGATACTACTCCACCTGTTGTGCCTGAAACAGACAAAAATGATAAATCGAAAACACCTGATAAAGAAAAATCTGGGTCTGCTACACCACCTAGAAGTAATTCTCGTAGTCCTCGTTCGTCCAGTAAATCACCTAGGAGGAGTAGTTCTTCTGGCCGAGGAAAAATTACTGAACCAGTAAAGAGTCGTTCGTCTAGCCATGTAAGGCATACTTTATCTCCAAAAAGATCAAGAACCAGAACACCAGCTAAGAAGCGTGTTAGTAGGTCTCCTCGCAGGAGCCGCTCTCCAAAGAAGCGCAGTAGAAAATCTAGTTCTTCACAAAGACGTACTAGAAAACGTAGTGTGAGTCGCCATAAGTCACGTTCACCCGTTGAAAAAAGACATAAACGTACACGTTCGCCTGTACGAAGATCTCCTTCTCCTAGATCACCTCCGCCGAGGAGAATCATTCGAACGCCTCCGTCTAGAAGCCCACACTCTCCTGCAAGATCATTGTCGGGTTCACCAGTAAGAACCAAAATGAGTCCTTCGGTTGAAAGAAAAAGGAGTGTGTCAGCAAATAGAAGAAGTTTATCTGTGGACAGGAGTAGAAGAAGTATGTCTATAGATCGTAAATCTCGATCAGATAGTAAAAGTAGAAGTGGTTCACCTACTTCTGCGAGAAGTAGATCACCGGCTTGGAGAAAAAGTGAGTCTAGATCACCGGTAACAAAACGACAAAGTGCTTCTTACACTCCATAAACAATTTATATTTCTGGATTTTTTTATTTGTATGTGTAAGCATATATATATAAATTTGTTTCAGTGCTTAATAGTAATAACATATACTATCTAATTTGATGTATACCATTTCTTTGAAATAAAAGTTTTACAGTAACTCTGGTTGTTTTTCTTTTCATCAACATAATATTTATCCTAAATTTAAAATAATTTTTATAAATTAATTCTTAAAATATTTTTAGCAAAAACAAACAAAACCTCTTAACTTTTAAGGGGTCTGTTGTTCCGATCATTTTTTTTTACACAGTTTTATAACATAATATTATGTAATTTTTATTATGTTTTTTTTTTGTTTATTATATTATGATTATTGTAGAAAAATCTAGTTTAATTACTAGAGACATATATATTTTATTCTTGGAAAACGTTATTATAAGATGTCGATAATTTTATGTAAATGTAGTATATTATGTATTATTATGAGGTAATGAGTTTCTATAAATAATAGATTACAACACTAGTAGATTATAAATTACGGATTAGTATTATTCGTTTCATATTGTTCATTAGTCATTACTATACAAATACTATAATATGTATTTTATTACTATTTACATAATAATATCGTGACTAGTTTTTTAGTCATAAATCGAATTAAATAACGTAAAGTGGGTACTTATTTTGTTCTGTTACGGTTTTAGCATAGTTGACTACCATAATAATATAGCTAATATATTTTATATTTTATTATAATTTATAAGATATCACAGAATATTCTATGATAATATGAGGTACTGATAACAAAAAAAATATGATATAAAAATTCCGTAATTGATGATAACGAGGTAAACCTAAGTCACGTGTTTTTATAATTAATATTTATTGACAACTTTTAAACATAGTATATACCTACGATTACATTAATAGAGTTATCCATAAATTTAAATTAAACATCTAAACCTTAGTTAACCAATTATCAATGATGGAGAATCCTATTGTAATGAACAAGTATTCGATCGAAAGGGTAAATACCTTAATCTAAATTTTACTGGATATTATACACGGGATTAAGCTGACAGTTTTACATAATTTTATATATTTAAATGTTAGTTCATCGTGATACAAGTGTACAACCTATATTTCAAGTGGTCACCGCTGTATATCAGTATATGTATTACAACTATGATAGGTACTCTCAAATATATCATACCTAGGCATTGTTTTTTATTTTAAAACATACCTAATTGTAAATTGTAATTTTAACAATTTCAATTTATAACACGCAGAATTTTTTTTTTATGTATTAAAATGACAAAAAAAGTTTAAAATTATTTTGCCATCCTAATAAAAAATATGCAGGAAATTTACTTTTGATGTATGAATTTTCAACTACGTTGATATTATGTGACTGTTAAATCTTAAACTAACTTTTTTGTTAAATAATTAATTTAATGAGTTAATATAAATAATATTTTAACTTATAGTTATACCCTATATTTTCAGACTCTTGGACATGAAACAAAATCGTACAATTACAATGAATTTGTTAAAGTAAATATTTTTTCACAACACTTAGAAAATGTTTAACTAATTGTATACATTTTGAATGTTATAGAACTTTAAGATAAACATAATCAGCCAAACTGATACTGACTTAGAGTTTGATTTAATTGGTGTAGATGTTGCCTTGGCGAACAGTTTAAGGCGAGTCATCATATCTGAGGTAACTGTTCATATTTTGCAATTATATTATATTATCTTATTTTTCGTACATTACGGTTATACATTTTTAAAGAGTATTCTAAATTCATAAAATATTTTATTTTATTGTAAAATTGCAAACTTTCATTCTATAAAAACTTTCTAGTTTGATATTTGGTATTTTAATGGCGTCCTAATTGTATCATAATGTAACATTGATGGTCATTTTTTTATTCTGATTCACTCCACACCTCTATATCTTTATTACATTCAATCACTTCATCATCGGTCTACTTCTATCTCTCAGTCTGTCTATTACGATTTCCAATTTTTTTTACCATTTCACATTTTCTCTGTTCTTTTAACATACTCATTAAATTATTCAAACATTAATATTATCTGTAACCTAAAGTATAACATTTACTATCTTAGTTGAATTATGAGTTTTCAAATAATTGTTGTAATTATTTAGGTACCCAGTATGGCGATTGAGAAAGTGCATATATATCAAAATACATCATACGTACTTGACGAAATTCTCGCCCATCGATTGGGTTTGATTCCATTAAAAGCAGACCCTAGACAGTTTAAAATGAAGGATGGTAAGATATAGATAATGGTATAAATAGAAACGGACACTTATTCCTCCCAAAAAAACCCCATTCAATCCCTTTTCAAAATTCAGCTCTTTTAACCTTTAACTAGTAACGTGGATTTTTGTGACATATCTCTACTCATTCAATTGTAACTGTACCTCAATTTTTTGGTTAAAATTAAACAAATTTGCTAAGTAAAGATTTATACTTGATGTAGACGAGTCGTACGAAAAGTAGTACCGTTCTAGTTCTAGCGAAAACCAACACCGTTCGAGGCTTCTTATGAAAACTAGCACCGTTGGCACCAACGTCACGAATAACACAAACAGTGCTAGTCTTCGTAAGAATCTGTGAACGGTGCTAGTATTCGTAAAAACTCACGACGGTGCTACTTTTCGTACGGGGCGTCGATGTATACACTACAATCGATGTTTTGTTTCAATGACAAAAAGGAAATTGATGTTAGAATAATTAGAGCGGTACGAGATACCGCACGCCCCTAGTTAAAGGTGAATAGATAACATTAAACTTTTTTTCTCATATTATAGCACTTTATTATAACTCATTCACTAAAAATAAATACATTTTTTTTTAGAAAATGCTGAACCTAGCGAACAAGACAGTTTAATGTTTGAATTAAAAATTAAATGTACAAAAAAAGATTTAGATGCTTTAGCACATAAACAATTTATAAGTTATCCTGGTAAGTATAATCAAGAAACCTTTGTTTTGTTGACATTTTTTTATTTGCATTTGTTTACATATTACAGTTTATTCGAAACATATAAAATGGTTACCTCTTGGTAATCAAAAAGACATGTACACAGAACAAGATGTTGGTATGATTAATGACGACATTCTCATTGCAAAACTAAGACCGGGACAAGAAATTGAACTAAAAATGTTTGCAGTTAAAGGAATTCCGAAGGATCATGCCAAATTCCAAAGTGTTTGTATGTCGTCACAGAATTATTATTTTTTTTGTTTAAATGATAAACATACGAGTTGGTCTTCTTCTACATCCAGTAACGAGTTATTCAACTGTATTAATTTATAGTTACTGTATACTCTGTTGTTATGTCGACTTGTTTTAATAGTGATATTTATGTTTAACTTTCGAAATATTTCTTAATTATTCATCACACTCTATATGTTTTTATCCAAGTTGTTTTCCAGTGGAAAAATGTTGTTGGGGTCTGTTGGTTAATATAATTAATATATGTAAAGTTTTAAACATTTTATTAAAATAATTAAAAATCTGAATAAAAAAAAAAGAATTTTTACAATATTTGATTATTAAAGTTGTTGCTTATCATACTCGTGCAAAAAGACTTCAACTAAACCTTAGAATCCGTATGCTTAAAACTTTACTAATTAATAACAAACATACTAACTTAAGTATGAAACTTCTAATGTACAAATCCCTTATTAAACCTATTTGGACCTATAGTCTCCAACTATGGGGTAATGTTAAAAAATCAAATATAAATCGTATTCAGGCATTTCAAAATATTACTTTAAGAAAATTAACTAATTCCCCTCCATACGTATCAAATTATACCCTCCATTCTGATCTAAAAACTAATACTGTTAAAGAAGAAGCAATAACATATTACAAAAGATTCCACTCTCGACTAGCCTCCCACTCCAATCCCCTAATAAAAGGTCTTTCAACTAATGTTATTCCTGGTAATCCTCCTAGACGCTTAAAGCGCAACTGGTGTAGAGATCTATTAACTTAACTTTAGTTAAAAAAATTAAAAAATAATCACTTAAAAGTGTCATTAATGGGTGGCTCCTTTTATCAAGTATTTCATGTTATATTTTAATTTTAGCTAATACTCTTATTGTACCCATTGGGAACAGATTGTGTATATATTAATAAAAAAAAAAAAAGTTGCTTAAAAATTCATCCGTATTTTTTTTTAGTAATAGGAAATTATTTAAATATCAATCAATGAATTATTTCTCAATAGTGGTTATTCTAAACATGTTGGGCTAACACAGTATTATTTTTTAATAATTCACTCAAAAGTTTATTGGTAAAATCAATATTTTGTAGTGTAGTATCATAATATTTGTAAAAATAATTTCTAGTTGTTTGATGTTTATAGTTATTTGTGTTTAAGTTGATCATTAAACAATTTTTTAAAAATTAATTTAGGTACAGCGTGGTATAGACTAATGCCCAAAATTGAATTATTACAAGAAATTAAAGGAGACGATGCCAAATTATTACAAAAGTGTTTTTCAAATAATGTCATTGGATTAAAAGATGTCAAAGGTTGATAAAAAATTATCAATAATTTCTGTTAAATAAAAATTAGTCAATTAATAGTTTTTACTTTCAGGTGTACCCGTGGCATACGTTGCAGACAGTAGAAAAGACAACAGTTCTAGGAACGTTTTTAGGTACAAAGAATTTGACGGTAAAGTGTTAATGGCCAAAGTTCAAGACCATTTTATATGTAAGTTTTAGATTTTATTAACCTAATTTAATGTTTTAATTGTACAACTTCGTAATGCAGTTACTCCCGCTCATAGGAAATTGTCGTGATTTTCAACATTATGGTCTATCATTTAAGAGAACGTACCTATAAAATTCATTAATAAAAAGCAACACTTCTTTTACAAAATTGACGCTTGAAAATTTGGCTGGTTTATTTTAGGCGTTTTTTTACAGTTTTGCGTAGTATTATGTAGACTTTTTTCATTTACAGTTCCAATATTATTTTATATATATATATATATATTTATTTACATATACAAGACTATAGAGGGGGAGTGGTTGAGTGGGTAAGTTGTCAGTTTGTTCAGTGCTCACTGTCACCGGTTTGATACTCGGACATGGGCGTTCTGTTTGTCAGGTGAGAAATCGTCTAGTAAAAAGCAGCTGCCATCCTCCTCTCTAGGGAAGGACTGATGACCTGTCCCGGTTAGCGAATTTGTCTATAAACCATCTCGTGAGGCAGCGTTGGGCCTTCAAGCACCGTAAAGCTACATGACTATGATGACAAGACTAAAATTGTTATTATAATCCAATGTGTAATGATATTTTCACAAATTGTTTTATTTTATTTTTATTTTAGTTACAATCGAATCGGTGGGATCAATGAAACCAAATGAAATATTTTTAGAGTCTATTAATATTATTGTTCAGAAACTAAATAATGCTTTGGAGTCGGCAATAAACCAAAGTGATGTATAATGGAAATTTATTTTTTTATTTTCAAATAAACTAGATTGTAATATTACTCTGTACACTGTGTATTCTGCAATTATTTTGATTTATTCTTAATTATTCATAATTTATGTTTTTTTTAAAAAAGAATTTAATATTTAAAACCTTTAACCATAAAATAATACACTCTCTGGGTATACGTATTTCGGCAACAACATTGTCATCTTCAGCGGTTACAACTGACATTGTTGCCGAAATAATGTATACGCAGAGAGTGTATTATTTTATGGTTAAGGGTTTTAAATATAAATTTCTTTCTTGCATATAACCATAAGTTGTTACCACGTTTTAAAATCCATGATTTTAATGTTTTAACAAATGCACTCCCAACAAAATGTGTTTTCTCAATTTCTTAAGAGAAAGTCATTAGTATATAGTTTAGACTTTAGAAATGGTGATTTTTTAAACAGTTATATAGTAATATAATAAAAGTCAAGACTAGGATATTTTATTTTTAAATTTTGGAGAAACAACTGATTGTTAATATCTAAAAATATCAGAATAACAATAGTTTCTCAGTTTTATACCAATGCTACGCCTTTTTTTGTATGAAAAAAATTCTCTAAAAATGTTTGTATTTTATTTGAAAAGCGGCTCATTTTTGTTAATTTTACAATATTTAGAATTAAATCATTTATAAGAAAAAAAACCAAACATAATTTATTAAAAATTCTAACAGCACAAAGAAAAAAAAAGAAATTCTCGTAGAATTCTCATAATGGCTATTTTGTTGCTGTTAGTTTTCTAAAACTATTACATAAAAAAAAAACAATACCAACATTATAATTTTTATTAATTTTAATGAAACTTAATAATAAAATAAAATATAACTTTTACGACAAGGCACGCATTTGTTGTTTTTTTTTGTTTAGCTTAATATCATATCATAGTAATAATTTAGACAATGGTCAAGCATATAAAATTGTAATACATAATAAAATGAATAATTACTAAAAAAAATAGCAAATAAAATAATAGTTTCAGACAGCAGACAAATAAAATGTTTTCATAATCAGCAAGTTTTTTAACCTTTCTTTTTTAAACATTTAGAATATAATTTTGACAATTATATGATTATAATATTTGTAAAACAATAAATTTCTGTTCAAAATTATCTTATAAAATATTTATAAAAATATTAAAAATCTTTCTGAATAAAAATTATTATTTTTTTGTTGATTATAGAATTATTCCTCCCCTTAAGGACGCCCATGCTAAATTTACATACAGTTATAATAACACTATTTAATGCATAATATATTTGTACAAACTACTCTATCGAGTATAACAATATAAAACTAAATGAAAGGAAAAAGGTAATAATAATCCAAAAAGCAATAACTAAAAAAAAATGTGATGATAAAATGTTTTACTATAGAAATCTGTCCATGTTTTATAATACAGAAGCTAAGCCAATTATTGTGTTTTCAATTGTGAACATTACAAACATAATTTCTAAAAAGATGTCACATTGTTTTGTAAAAAAAATATTATTTTTTTAATAAATATATACATATTTGATGATTAACACGTTAACGACCAGGGGTGAATTTTCAAAACTTTACCCTAGGTATTACTAGCTATATTTATTATAAATTCATGTGAGCCAAATTGGGTCACAGGGTCTGTGGAGAAATGAGCCTGTGTACTTTCTGTGGCACACATAATCGTTAACATGTTAAATACATTTTTTATTTAGGTAAGTAAAACAATGTACGTACTTCTTACAGACTACATTTGACTAAGTATCATACTAACTGGATTGACCTACGTGTATATCGATAATCTTACATATTCATTGCATAATGAATTATTAATATCATTACTAACAAGTGTTTGAATGTATTGATTTACTTGGTAATATACTTTGCATTTGGTGTCCATTTTGAGGAGCATTTCGACTAGATTTTGGCCACCATTGATTAAAGTCTTTGTACTGTAGATTTATTAGAACCCTGCGATAGTAGATGTACCAAATTGTCCCAAGAACCGTACTCAAGATCACTGTACAATAGTAACCGTCCACGATTGTTGAACAGCTCCCTCGAATAGAATTACAGTCCTTAAAAAAGTAATATCATTTTACTAATGTCAGGTTGTTGTGTTATTTAAAAACGTATTACTTCTACGAGCCCAATTGTAGAGCAATCGTTATTTGTATCGGTCGAACACCTTTTGTAAGAAAGCCAGTCACTCATACCTAGTGACATGGACTTGGCAAAATCTCCACCATACATTGTCAGTTTAAACAGTAATGTCATGTAAGTGGCCCCTATTCGACGGTCGCTTATTCGGAAAAAAAACGATAGCAGCAGAATTTTAAACAGAAAAGCCATCCCCTAAAAAAAAATGAACAATGCAGTATTCAAAACTAGGAATTAGCCTTATTATATGAGCTCTGAATTCAACTAAAAAGTCGGTTATTACCATGTTGGAGTATGGTTTTTATTTTTATAAGGTAATTTTTTTATCTCGGGTCTTCAGTCTTTTGAATACGAACACAAGTGTGTTTGTTGATTATTAATGAAATGAACTATTTCCGTTTTTTTTTTAAACGCATAGTTAATAAATATAAAAAAAGCAAGTACAGTGGGGTCGGGGCATATTATATTGTTAATTACGATAAATGGGTAACTATGACAGTACATTTTTATAGACAGACGATCAACCCTTATCGTATCCACCCTGCACAAGACTAAATATTAAATTTTAAGTACATTATTGCTGGTCCCACGATATCTTCTAAACCACTATAACTGGATTGAACATACTATCCACAGATTCGCATCGAAGCGTTTATTTTAAAAGTGATTTTATCACTTTCAGTTATAATAAAATCTGTAGACCTGTGACCTCTCCGTCCCCACTATGCCCCGACTCCACTGTACTGGCTTTTTTATTATAACCAATTATATAAAATAACTCACCTCGAGTATTAATTTATTCGTTTCTATTAACAAAAAATAATCTAACGGCAATGTTCTGTGATTATTTTTGTTCTGTATTATTATATTTGGAGCATAAAAAATCAATGTAGTCATGAGAAGACCAAAAAATAACCTAAAAAGCCAAATAAGTTTGTTACGTCATAACTCATATTATAAATAAATAAACTAGTACAGAATAAAGACATTTTTTTAATCCAGTTCAGTGTAGTTTGTAAATTGTACTTAATAACAAGTCAATTGTTGTGCTATGTTATTTCACGTATAGGTATTCTCAATAATTGTACAGCAGTATTATACTACAATATGTTAGATGAAAGTTTGGGATAATTACTATTTTGATCTTACCGATAAGGTATCATTTTTATAAGCACACTCAATGGTTCTGTACCTGAAGTGTACTTACAAAAAGCAATTGGTATTATCATTTGTACTGCATAGAGCATAGCTGTATTTAAGAAGTCGTCCATGGGTCTTAAGCCATATTCCTCTAACTTTTTACTCGATAAATGTGCAACAGCGGCAAAACCGAGCTATATGACATAAATAAGTTAAAATATTACTCATTAAATATTACAAAAATGTAAATAATACTCAATACACGTCTTAATAAAACGCCGACAATAATACAAACAATTACTTTTACTTTATTACCTTGGTAAAAAAACTATTTTACTTTTGGAAGTTTAAAAGTGTTGTAAATTAATATTTAATTAGTACCGAATACATTTTGGATTGATTTTGTTTTTCAATTTGCAATACGTCTAAAAATTGTTGTAATCAATATTACCTCTATCGTCAGCAACGCACTGGCTAATTTCCAGAAAGCGCTTAATTTGAAGACACCAACGAATAATGCATATGCTTGACAAACGCCTAGTTTGGTGCTGTGAGAATTTGAAAATGCATAATGTTCTTCTTTTATAACAAAAGCTATAAGTTTGTTTGCCAAAAAAAAGAAACTGCCATAAAAATAAAGAAAACCTGTAAGAAACACACATGCTTGTATAAATTATTGTTATGTGTTTTACAATAAATAGTTTTCCATTGTACGGAGGACAATTAGACATTTTACTTGACATCATTTTATTATGAAAAGGGACAAACATTAACATGTGTGTCTCGTATGTCAAGATGAAGGCCATCAAGGATAAGACTGGTAGGAGAGATTAAAGTGGATGTACTCGAAGAGGTATTGATAGAACGAAGAAGTAGGTTGGTACTTGATGCTATTAATAGGAACATGCAAATTGTTTTAAATTATTAATAGATAAACAAGTAGAGAAATAGAGTAGATAGAGAACAACGATGGCAAATACAACAGCGAGGGAACAGAGGACCTAGTGAACGAAAAGAAAAGACGAAATAATAATAAAACATTTCATATGAAATTAACAACATTGAAGATTGATTGATTGGTAACTGCAGCAGCTATTACCTTCTAATGTCATAACACCTCCTTTTTCCGGTGAGCTGCGCAAGTAGGTGTTACAAAACTCCTCGGAATGTAACATGATCGGTAAAAAATATCCCAACACAGTTCCAACTGCCCGGCCTGTTGTCTTACAAGTTGACAAAAATCCTACATTTTCCCTACAAACAAATACTAATAAAAGATACTGGGATGTTATGTTACAACGGTAATTACTCCAATTACCAGAATTTAAATGCACTCCATTGAGAGACACCGCCTCGATGGAATAGGCGATTACGTTAAATGGATTTAAGTATTTAACATATTACATAAATATAAAATAAGTAGGTATAATATATTAAAAATGTTGATCGTTATATTTATTTTTAGCGTCTTAACCACTCGTGCTAGATTTTTTTTTTTTTTACATTCGAACTCCAGTTGATAATTGTAAAGTATAAAATATGTGTTGTAGGTACTCATATGTATATTTCAAGTTGTGTTCAGTTGTCAGAACCTATTTTATGGACGATATTTACTGGTTGGGTTGTCAAAAAATATAACTTTAGGATAATGTGATGTAATAGTATATTTCTAAAGACTAAATGTAGTGTGTAGGTACTTCACGAATTGACGGAATTTACTTTTTTAGTATAGTCGTTGCCCAGCCGTCAATTGATACATCCAACGTTGATGATAGGAAGTTAATGCAAAGGAAGAGTACACAAAGATAGGTTATTTTTGGCGGTTTTATTTCAATCCAGTCGTAAATATTGGCTGCTAAATAAAAGAACAAAGCTCCTAGAAATGTATAAAATCAATGGTTTAAAATAATTATAACAACATAATGTTTAAAAAAGTATACCTATTAAGTACTGAGAAGGCAAGATCCACGATTTCCTTCTACCGATATTTTTAACATACACTGAATCCACTAAAGGTGCCCAGAAAATGTTTAGATTGTACGGAAAGTACATCAAGACATACTTAGCCTATAATCAAAGAAAATACTATAATTACTAAATAGATGCTTGATGTTCTATGCATTTTTAACGCTTTATTGCAATACAAGTTTGTAAACTTGTGTATTTTTTTAAAATATTTTTAGTTGTATACTGAGTTTTTTCAACTTTTTTTATTTTGAACTTCCTATTTTATCTATATGTAATGTGAAGTTTGGAATATTTTAGAGGGAATACTTAGGGAATAATATTTTGTAATACGTGTCATGTTTTTGCTTTCTTCATGTTTTAAAACCGATTTTATTCCAATAAAAATGTACTAACACTGTAGCAAAAACAAATTTCTGATGTACGTCATCTATATGAACATTTTAACCTTCGATGATCATACTAACAGACAAAATAAGGTAGTTAATTACTGACTGAGAATAATAGTGAACAAAAACGTTGAAAAATCTTGTTAATAGACTACCAAAAGTCTTATAAACAGTACACTGATATTTTTATTTGAAATAAACATTTTGACGAAAATTGCCTATACCAAGAGACAATTAAATTTGTAGTATTTGTTGTTATGCATAGAAATAATACACGGTATGTTCGCTCGTTCTGAAATTTGATCTACCAATTCTCAATAGGTCCAAAATGTGATTTCAATTTTAATTAAATTACAATACAATTGATAACATTCGTTATCTGTTTCCTAGTTTGAACTTCGGTTTGTTAAAATTACCAACTATTGTTTGATGTAATACATTATCCAACGATTTATAATTTTCAGTGGGAGTTTTCAGATTATGACGTATGTATATATTTGTTATCAGTAAATCGCCAAAGCACGTTGCTCAGTAAGTAAATAGAAATCTATTTTATTCTGACTAAAAAAAGAAATTACATTTTTTAAGTTTACAGTTTAAAAAAAAAAAATAGAAAATGTAAATTTTTGTAGTTAAAAGTGGGAAATTCTAGACTTGAATAGGCCAATTTATATTATATAAAAAATTTGATAGGAATAATAAATCTGTAGTAAAAACTATTTTTTTTTTTTTTTTGAGAAAAATTTTTTTAGAAATAATATTAAATAAACGCTTAACTCTGAATTATAGTGACTTAAAAATATATGGAGTAATATACTTAAAAAATATTGGGCATTTTGATGTTTGTATACATTTTAAACATTAAAAAATACAATATTAATTAAAATATTATAATACTTGTATTTACGGAGCCAGGTCAGAAATTTGTTCCAAAAGTAAAACTTAAAGATTTATATAATTATGTAGAACGATAAAATGTCATTACAGAAACCAGTTAGTCTATTTGGAAAATAGTTTAACAAGAAGTTTGCATGTGTATTCGCCGAAGTTACTCTTTTAGGGGTACCTAGCAATGATATTTAAGTGATTAAATCAGTGTAGAAACTGTTTAATGTGAATTTGTAGATAACTCAAATCTCATGTTAAGTCCGTGCAGCATAGACTAGGTAATTTGTTTTTTCTCCCAAAGATTTTGAATAAAAATAATAAAGTTATCATAAAATAATTAAGTTTACAAAAACAATTCGAAAACTATTAGTTTTCTAGTAAATTCCAAAATTGCCTTGTAAACAAACAACGTGATTGTATACTTTCGAATCTAGTGAATAATATGCTTAATACTATATTACCCAGTCCTTTTTGGAAACGTATTGTTTGGTTAGTAAAATGGTCGACATGGATTGAAAAAATCCTTGGCTAACGGATTGTTGGATAAACAGCAATGTCAAAATGAATACGTTCATCTTATCCCCCGTTAAGTTGGGCGCGTCGTTCACATGACTATCTTCGACCTGGGAATCCAGACGATCATCTTTTGACGAATGATTCATTTTTTATATTTTAGGCACAAAAAAATAAAACCCGAAAAAAATAATAACTACAAAAATCAGTGATCTAATTGCATTTCGGCAACCAAAATCACTAGTGTTTGTTTGCACTATAATAATATGATTCAACACGCTACATCACAGTCCAATGGATTGACTCGCCACTAATCAGTCAAACAGCATCAAAACAAAAAGGTTACGAGTAAGGTCAGTTGCCGCAGTGTTAGGTTTTTATCATAACACTATTTTTAATCGATGCAATTTTTTATTAATTAAGACGGTAGGTAAAATTCAAGACGTTTGTAAGAATAAAATTCAATACCTATCACATTTAGTTGTGTCCGTTGAAACCTTTACACGATTATGTTTCGTATCTATTAATAACTGTATTGTTGATCTTTTTTGTTTTATTCAGCTAATTATTTTTTTTTGAATGTGTTCGATTATTATTGAATGTCTAAATACATAGCTGTTGAAATGCGTGTTAACGGTTAATTATTTAAGTTTGAACCGTAAATTATAGTATAATAGTTGTAAGTATATTGTTTTCTGTAAAAGGTCATATTGGTGATAAACGAAAGGACTATGCAAAGTAAAACGATTGTTTTTTTTTTTTTTTTTATAACAAATGGAAGGTTTAATAAAAATGTACACAATAGAAAAATTAATTACATTAGCACTACTTTACAAAATAAATATTAAACAATACCGTTTAAACGCGTGTGTACATATTATCTTATCTTAAACATAATATAACATTACATACTATTGAGTATAAATTAACATCATGTACATTAAAGAGTCTAAAGAGTTTACGTAATTTTGGGTATGGTCGAACCAGTGGCGTGACTACGGTTCATTTTTTGGATAGGGGAAAGAGAGATTACAATTCCAAAATCCCTAAATCGGGATTCACTGGCGAGAGAGCACAAAGAAGCTGACTCGGGGCGGAGACAAGTACAAATATGTTCCCAACGGGGTTAGGTTTTAATCTTTATCTCACAGTCGTTATGGCTTGTTAAGAGCCGCCACTACAGTGCAGCACCTTTTTTCTTTCGCTAATAACTTTCGCCTCGTTATGTTATTATACAGCGCTGTAGTTAGCGCTGCGCACACAACTGTACCGATCACAGTGGGGTTTGACACGACTGCAGTCTATTATCAAATATGATAATAATCGCTAATATCATAACAAAACGCGAATCGGTTGCATTCAAGAAGTCCTGTTGGAAGCGGCTGCTTCGTCGAGCGACCGTTGCACGCTGTTCAGAGTGACCACGTCTGGCGGCATGTTGCAGTCTCTGTTGTAGCCGGCCACGACGGTCGGGTCAACGTAGTGGTAACCGTTTGACGAGCACGTGGTGCGAACCTGAAGAGAGCCAATACGACCACCAATTTGATTAAAATGATTATTTTTTTTTTTGGGTGTCATCTTTTCGACGTAAGTTTCATTGTTCTTACCAAGGCGCGTTGTCGGGACGAATACGGTGGATAATTGTTGAATCTCTGCGAACCGCCGCCTGTTTTGTGGCGAGACACTTCGCTGAACGTTTTCCGGCCGCAACCGCTCAGCACCACCGACACTGGAACACCGTGCACGCTACCGCAATCGTCTGTAAATTAATACCGCACGGTTAGGTTGTATTCTAATGTCAGTCAGGCTGATGAGGTGGGTGTAGATCCATTCCGAGAACACCTTTCGCGTAAACACCTCTGTAGCGTTTGCATAGCCCGGTCACATCGAGCGTCAACACAGTTTAGCCGGCAACAGTACTCGGTGAGTGGATAGTGGGATCGGAAGAGTACAAATAAACGCAAATACCGACGCCGGAAATCTCTGGAGAAATCTCGAAATCCACCGAGGCTGCAATATTAGTTTGCTTACCTCTCAATTAATCGGCACATGGACATTTCTAACGTTTAGCTAAAGTGAAATCATCACTACCCACAGAATAATAATTGTTGAAGTTTCTAACTATAACGGATACAAGAAGCATTTTAAAATCGATTGATTTCAAACCAAGATTATGGACTCGGTTAAAAAATAAAAAATCAGCAGCGTTTGGTAAGTTTTTTTTAAATGTCTATACGCGCGTGACTTGTTTAGTAAGCTTTATATTAGCAACCACTATGATTTCAATCGCCAATTTCATCGAAAACCTAAACGAGCAGAAATAACTAAAGAACGTTTGTAAATTATTATGAAGTTAAAATGTTGATAAAATAGATATGGTATTGGCGTTAAGTTAATATTATTTTGTTCCCTATCAAAGTTAGTCGAACACTGTTGATTATATTATCAATGGTAGTATAATATATTTACCGGCGCAACTTTGGCAATCGTTGTTGCTGGAGCAACAACTGTACCCGCTTTCCGAGTAGACGTTTTGGGCCTGATAAATATTTGCGGACGCATAAGCTGCATCGTCAGAATTCCTTCTCATTTGAAGCTAAAATATTTATAGAAAAATACATAAATATTATACTTGTAAACATATCAAAATATCTAAACAATGTAATATAATATACTAACGTTTCTCGAATTTGAATTTGACACTAAAGTAGTCGTTGCATAAGGGGCTGGTGAAGATAGATCACGATCCTTCAAGAAAGTACTCATAGTGTTAGGGTTGACTTCCGCATAGTCTGCGATTTCTGATAATAATTTTTGACTAGAATCTTTTTCATTATTGTCGATATCGTGATGAGTCCTGGAAGAAACAAAATGGAAACGTCCAAAATGTCTTATTCAATTACATTTAAGCGTGTGTTTAGAAAAATTACCAATTGTGCTTGTGGTATGAATTCGAATCGATAAAAAGACATCTTTGACTGTTTGCCGCGCTGTGTTCGGATTGTAAAAATGCAGACACTTGTCCACGGTGAGCTACGTCTAATGTTGTTTTAAAACCTGATGAATACGACAGCTTGTTGGCCGGGTTCAGCGTATCTAAATATAAAGTAAAATATTTTACATAAACACTAGTTCATGTTGTATAATAATTAACTTTGATAAAAAAAAAAAACGGTCGTACCTCCTAAATGCGATTTTTTGGCATCCATCTGACGGTATCGGACAAAAAGTACGGCGGCAAACAAAAGCAACATTAATGTTATTACACCGGCCATCAACACGATGAACCACGGTTCAGCTACGAACTCCTTCATCTCTTCGTGATTACTAATGTCAGCGTTGAGGTTCCTATTGGAAAACGCCATAATTAAATAAAAACTTTATAAGTCAATAATATAAGTTTAACGCGGACTAACCTTATCTGATCCGTCGAGTCCGTCGGCAACGTAATGGGATCTGTGTAAGGACCTAAACCTACTTTTGTGGCTGCAGCTATCATTACTTTGTACTTGACTCCGGATGTAAGATTGGTTAGTAGCAATGTCGGAGTGCCAGCACTGACCGTTACGTTGCTCAGTACGTCCCAGCTAACGCCTCCTTGGATTATTACTTGGTAACTGGTAATCACTCCATTGTGCGAGTTGTCCGGCGGCGGATCCCATTTCAAGTACACAGAGCTAGAGTTGTATGTTGTCGGCTCAACGTGATGAGGTGGTTTTGATGGATCTGCAATCGATGGTATTGTTTGTTACGGAAAAACTGCTTTTGGTCATTATCCAGTGGGGTACTTACGGTCTTCTAGTGTCTTAGCGGATCTGGAATTCGACGGTCGCCCTTTGATATGTTTATAGAACGGTACCAAAAAGAACACGTAGTTAACCGACGGATGTAATGAGCTTATAACATACGCGCCGGAGAGTTCAGTTGTGTTTGATAAAATTTTCATAGACGTTAAATCGCGGCCGGTCGAATTTCTACTGCGATAGTACAAATAAAATCCGTCCAAAAACTCCCCGTTGAGGATCTGAAATAACCATAAAAATCGTTTTTAGACTTTTGACTTTATGCGTCGTATTATAACATGGTAAATATAATTATACATTTCTACATACCTCCCAAAACAACTTGATTGACGTCGAGCTAACCGTTTTAATATCTATAAGGTCTACGATGTGACCACCGAACAACGTCGACTTCGCTATGGACATGTCGTGGGTAAAACGGTCGTTGTGTCGATACTCCATTGGCAACGTTATGCGGTTAGATAGATGGCTTGGTGGCGAAAGGCCGTGTGAGTTTTCAGCGCGAATCAAAAACAAGTATGACTGGCCGGGTTTCAAGACATTTTGTGTGAAGTGGGTCGAGTGAAGCCTGCGAGCTAACGTCATCCAACCAACATTTTCGCCACACGCAAACATTTCCACCTAGAATTACAAAAATATGTTAGCGGCCATGAAAAAAAGTCGCCCTCTTTCTTCTCAACCGTTTCATAGGCGGGTTTTCATTTGACTGTAATTTCAAATCATTAAGTCTAAACCCAATACGGTAGGGGAATTTAAAAGTATGCGCAGGTACTGACCTGGTAGCCGAGCAAAGGAGACGATCCAACTTTGCCGTTACGTCCCCATGACAATGTCACCGTGGTATCCGTATGGTTGACGACAGCCGGTGTGCTCGGAGCTCCGGGAAATGTCGATGGATCTGGAGACCTAAAGAATCCTACGTTCGGATTCTTGGGGGATTCCATTTTCAATTCGGCACTCCACGTAGCCTTGCCGTTATCCGATGACGCGACACAAGTGTAAATTCCGTTGTCGCTTTTTTGTAAATCTAAAAAAAAACAAAAAAATATTAGTCATGCATAAATGTTACAGGGTTTGTAACAGGGTTGAACAAATGAATCTGCAACGGCGTATTTGCAACGCTCGGTTAGGGTGACTCACTTATAATTTGCAAGGTTCCGCTTTCCGTTATGTTAATTCTACTGGATTCTATGGACAGAGGTGAATCGTCTTTGTACCATGTAATCACTGGTTGTGGACTGCCAATTGCTTTGCATACAAGATTTCCAATCGAGTTGTACGGCAGGGTCTGGTTGGCAGGACCATACTCGATGATTGGCGGCAATGTGTCTTCGTACGAAGCTGCCGTCACCGTCAGGGTAGCTCTCCATTCGTCCGACCCCGCTTCGTTGATGGCCGAGCACATGACTACCATCTGATTATGTTGTTCTTTGCTCACGTTCTGTAAAAACAATAAAGTCATCTATCGTTGGATAAACAAGGTATCTATGCGAGTAGTGTCACTTACATGAATAATGAGGGTGGACACGAAGTCCTTTGTGGCTTCTGCGTGGAATTCATTCCAGCTCTCCTTGGGGAATATCACCGAATCGTTATCTTGCAGAGACCAAAACAATGTGGGTTTGGGGTTACCTCTGATACCGCATTCAAATATCGCATTACTGCCTGCCGATACGTGCGTATCCGCCGGTCTCTGGGCGATAAACGGAACAGCTATGATATACAAAACGAGTAATTACAATCATGATGTTGTACAACAGTTTTATTAAATTATACCGTCGGCTCAAAACCAGAAACTACAATTTATAGTTTTATATAACTACGAAAACTATACGGCGGGACGTCAGAAATATTTCATTGCCATTTGTGGAAAATATAACATTATTAAAATTCTTATTATCGTGCTGACAAAAATCTATACGGACGAACGGACGTTAAAAGCTTTTTCGCGTTATCTAGACTTAAAAGGCGAAAAGGAGAGAAAATAAACTTTGAGTCTATTTTATTATGTCTAAAAACTTTTTCGAATTACTTTTAAATGATTTTATTTTACTTTTACAGAGCTATCGGGTATTGATTATATTATATACGGTGTGAATTCTGACGCGTGTATTATAAAAAACTTACCGATGAATATTTTATTGTATAAATTACTACAATGTACATAAATCGCGATAACACGTTGTTAGTGTTATACAAACTTTGGTGACACTTTTGTCTTTTCCATTCCATTATGATCGATAGGATATTAGTTAAATCACATTTTAAGAATATATTTATATATATATATCAAATCGATTCTCTGTGAATTCGTAGTTTTTTTTTTTTTTTTTAATATATTGGTGCGGAAAAAGGAAATTGACTTCTCTGACCGTGTTTTATTTCCTCTCACTCTGTCTCTCTCTCTCTCTCGATAATGCAATATGGCAAGCGAATACGCACTCGCCGAACAAACTAAAGTTGGATTTTCCTCCGGAACAAACGGCGATAACGGCGGCGCAGTAGTCTATATAGTGGAAAACAAATCAAAATCACTGAGACTTTTCCCACCCAGTCTTGCCTCGTCTAGACCGTAAAATTAATTTGTGACGCCAGCAGATTAAATCGGCGTTAACAACACTATACCACAGTCTGTCTTTGAGACGAAATGCATTTTATTAATATCACGGCGAAACCCTTTAGAAAAGTCCAAGACGATTTCTGCAATGGCATCACACCAATATACACTTGTACATTTGGCAACAATAGCCGTCCACCAAGATTAGTATATATATATATTATATGTGTGTGTGTGTGTATAAAGACGAGCCATTTGATTAACGTGGGAGACGCGCGAGAGCGGAGCAAAACAAAAGCCGCAGAGATAATGGGGAGAATTCGCATTGGGTTGGGTGGTAGTCAATGGTAGGCAGAGGGTGCCTAAGAATGGAAGTTACCGAATTGTTTATATCGTTGTGCGCACGAGTTTTCATCCTCGATACACGAGAGAGGTGTGGTTTTAAAAGCACCCCCGAGCCCTATTTTATGTATATATATATATATTATGTGTGTGTGTGTGTGTTGTCGACAACGGTTGAGTCGGTTCTAAGGTGTGTTGGAGTATGGAAAAAAAAAAACACTGAAAGTTTTAGCCAGACAAAATAATTAAAAGCTTAAAGCCGCCAACGACGGTGTATATGTGTAGGTACACTGATAGAACAAGAGGGGAGAGGACACGAGGAACTGTGTGTATTGTGCGGGTAAAATAATCTGCGGCTGCTAAAAGTTTGCACTTAAAATTCACCGTAAAACTTGCGTGTCTCCTTACGCTGTGGTGGTGGTCTCTTCCACGCGAAAACCAACCCATCGGGATTTAACACTTTTCGGCGGCTGAGAAAACGATATTAAGTAGTACGTATGATTTTTGTGTTTATACGTACACCGTCGTTACATCAATCTGACGGAATACATTTTTTTGTGTTCCGGTGGTCGCTCGCAAATTATGGGGTTTATTTCAAAGCGAGCTCCACTGCCGCCCGTCTGCCGGGTATTCGATTAATTAGCGTTTGTTTGAAAACTATATCGAAATAATTGCACCCCTTTGAGATGTAGTGGCCTTTTAAACGGGAAACGATTATGTTTAAACGTGTTATAACTCCTACGCATGATTTTGTATGCACGCGAAAATGTGTCAATTGTATTTATGAAGTTGAAGGTAAATACGAAATTCCAGTTACGAACGCCCGCTACGAAAACAGTCGGTTAACGCGTACAATACCCGTTCGGGTGACACGAAAACATTTAACGTCGAATTTAAGTCAAACAGTCGCCGGGAACAAATAAAACAGAACGTCAGTCACGTCTACAGTCATTTTGGGAGTTAAACAATAAAACAATAATTCGAAAAGCGCGAAATTTAACGGAACTGCAGTCGCGGACTGATGAAATACAGTAAACAGTAATTCGGAGGACACGAATAAACCTAATCGCAGTCGAATAGTGAAGGCAAATCATGCGCCTTTTCAAGCCCAAACACGTTAATATCTTTCAACAGCAAATAATGTAGCAGCTGCTTATAATTATTACGGCGGTACGTTTTTCGGAAGTCTTTCAATTAAAATCATAACTCGCTGTGACGACCATATATAATATGTTATTTTGTTTTATCTACTTACAGTGCACGGTGAGCGTCGACGCAGCGTTTACTTTTCCCTGATGGTTTTCAGCGTGGCACACGTACTTGCCTTCATCTTCCGGACTCACGTTGTCTAATCTCAAACTGCCGTCTTGCGTTATGTAAACGTGCTCGAACGCATCCTTGTCTCCAGAAAGCTTCTCGTTCCTAAGACCGACGAAATCATTCATCAATCATTTTTTATCGGTATCGTACAATAATGATACATATACATTGAACATCTTGCACACGCCTAACGTTTTGGAAACGTTCATATTGAACATATCCGCACAATCGAAACACGAGGCGCATAAATCCTTATTATTATTATTATTTTGTTTTTGCACACAAGACAATTTATTCACTGTATGGCCGAACGCATCTCAAACTTGGAAACCGACAAAACGGGTTTTTAATATTTCTATAAAAACTCTACTATAGAGTGTCAATAGTTAAGTGCACCTAAGAAACAGAACGAGTTGCAAATGCTGTTGGTTGAAGTAGATTTAGCCCGATCTAAAGTGTTAGGAAACAAAATGTTTGGAGACGGCTGTTATATATCTCGGTTAGATATTTTTGAATTCATGACGGAATTAAAAGAATTAGCAAAGACAAAATAATTGCCACCTCTTGTTAGACTATCAGGCTTTAGGTTAAAATAACCGTGACAAGGGAGTTGGCATATATGATTTCTATACTTGTTTTCAAAATTCACTAAATTTAAATAATAATAATACTAATATCACAATTATATTAATATGATATTTTGTTTTAACGTAGCATTTCGTTTAGTGTTCGTTTTATTAAATTATATTTTATTGAACTGAACTTTACGATGAATACGATTCATTAACTTGCTTATAGCCTCGTCACTTTTTATAAACCATCTGAGGATATGGGTATATATTTACCAACATTGTTTTACTTATTTTAGTTCTATAGAGCTGTTATCGAGTAACGTATTTATCCAGTTTTTTATTTTTATTAAATTGCTTTTGATCCAGTTTTTTTATTTACTCAGTTTCAAAGTACTTTTTTTATGAACATCAAACCGAGGAAGGGAGAGATAACTTTGGCTAGAGGCCCAAGAGGAAAATGTCAAATTTCCCTTGTTAAATCCGTTACTAAATGCTAATGCTCTTAGAGAATCCGAACCTTTGGTATGGTAATTATTTTGGTACAGTAGTTTGCAAAATACATTGTTATATTCCCCATTTTATCGTATTTTTTTTTTTGTCGTGTCAGAGAGCAATTATAACAGATAAATTTACAAATTATAATAATTTGCAATTATTAAATACGAAAATAGCAATAATATAGGCTAGCTATGCAAAATAAAAATACAATTAAGTAAAAAACGTAACAAATTCTGTTCCGGTAAATCGTTACCTTAGTGACAATACCGCGTACCTACATTTTTGATATTTTTCAGGAGGGACTCAAAACCGATTGACTATTATTTCACAATGTGTCTTTTTTTGCAGGTTATGTTAAAAATTGGGATAGGAGATAGGGGGCGAAATATTTTCGGTACTTCAACGAGACACGAAAATGCTCGTTCGTGGTTGCAGAATCGGCTGAAAAACTTTTTTTTTATAAGAAATGTATTTTTATTTTTTTGCGTGAATACGAAAATCGTTTTTATGCGGAATTGTTTCCGTGGACGGGGCCGTGATAAAAAAGGGGTCATGATATTACCTGTAACGATTGGGGCGTATGTGTTGTGTGACGCCGCTGTTGGATATTTTTTTCCACAAAATTTCAGGTTGCGGCTGTCCGCCGATTTTGCATTGCAATTGAACACTGGAACCAGCCATAGCGATGGTGTCTTTGGGGGCTTGAATCACGTACGGGCGCACTGAGCGTAAAAAAGACATTGGAATATTACACACATGCGTTTTAAATTCGATTCCAAACAACGTTTGTAACTCACTTTGGGCGGCTAACACGATTGGCTTGGACTTCCGGACTCCGGCAGCGTTGCTGGCAACGCATATATAAGACCCGTCGTCTTCCGGACTCACGTCTCGTATAACCAAATTGCCACCGTCTTCGATAATCCACCTGCAAAAAAATATTGGTTTTTACTACTATGTTTATAACAATGCTCTTTTGATAATGCAAAAGTCAAAACTTGCAAACGTGTGGCACGCACACGGTTATTCGGTGTATTACTAATAATAATCGATTAAACAAAATATAAAACATAGCGATCGCAATCGCTGTTAATAACTTTCGATAACTATTTTTGTTTTAAACTATTTAAGTTGCATTTACGCGGTAAAACATATATTTTTATGGAGTTCATTTCATGAAACGTCACCCATGATATTTACTAAATATAAATATTAGAGAGAGAGAGAGAGAGAGACAGAGAAAGAAAGAGAAAAATGATTTTTAAATATTTGCAAGAAAGTCACGTTTTCCATCATTATGTAATAACCATAATATAAACCTTCAATGAAACCGATTATTTCAAAAAATAATAATCATGGAATTTTACATAGTGTATTATTAATTTATTATTGTCACAGGTACTATGCTATCTTGTATTTGTCAAAAAATGAGACTGAACATTTTTGCACTCACAGCGATAAGTCAAACTTATTTTTTGAAGTGGAACAAGTATTATTATCTACAAAACAATATTATTTTAATTTTTAAGCAAAATAAAATATTACTTTTTCGTCCTTTTGATTTTTTTTAACTTTGTCTGACTTCAAAGAAACAAGTGGGGTGAATAAATTACAAAATGTATAATTTGCATTATTAAGTTCGAGTGGAAAACAAGTAGTTTCTATTTGAATCCATTACAAAATATCGTACAATTAGGTATAAGAGGATGAATCCAATTAAAAAAATTATTTTGTTAGAAATATATTTTCATTTTTACGAAACGGCTATTTTATTGATAATAAACATAATTGAATTTTGTCCACAGTGTCGTGTCTAGAACTAATTTTATTGGTGTGCAATAATTTATAGTTAAGTTTAGTGAACTAAAAAATAAGTTAATGTATTTTACTTCTTATAGTTGTATTGTTCAATTACAACAGAAATGTTTAACATAAGATTAAAATAATAAATTACATAATACTAAAGTAAATAAGAAATATTTAAATAGAAAGTTTAATGAACTCTGTAGAAGGTGGGGCATATAATTACGATTTGTAAAAAAGTCCAGTGAAGTGCTCAATCTATTACCAAATATAATAATGATCATTGTATGGAAACAGTCTAAGACTACTGTTTATTTCAATAGTTGTTTCTTGTTTGCACTGTTGCACATAACATATTATTTCATAGACCTGTAATGTACTTTGTAGAAAAGCTTATTAAATTAAAATAAAGTAATATTATTAGAAATTAAATTTATCGTTTCCGACTTAAAGCATCACGATGTGTTAACAATAGTGTTGTCAAATTTGTAAAATTCTTATTTTTGATAGTTTTAATTATATTTTTTTGTGCTAACCATGTAGTTGTATAATATGGTTTTGTCAGGTGCGTAGAAGTTAAGTAATATGTTTTGTCTAATGAAAATGTGTATTTTAAAAGCCTTTTTTTAATTATTGTACAGTGTTGTACATATTAACTATACATGGCGTATAAACATGTCTGAACAAGACATATCGGCTCACCCCTCAAACACGTTAGTGCACATTATGACCGGGTGGAATGATAAAACTGTATTAAATACTACGATGGCACAAAAAATTACCTGTTTTTTTCGTCTACCAGCATCGGCTCTCCGTTTTTGTGCCAAGTCACCGAAGGTTCGGGGTGTCCTTTGGGCGGTTCGCACTCCAAAACCACCGTGTCGCCTGACGCCGGGTTCGCGTCCTTGGGATGCAACCGAAAGTCTTGTCTCAAATCTGAAACAGCCAAAGGCGAACTAGCGTTACACCGTGTATACGTCGAACGTTGTATTTCGAGGACCGTTAACGGGCGAAAACTTAGGCGAAGGTTATAACGACGTTACGTTCGGAGCTAAAGAGTAAAAAAAAAAAAGTTTATACATCTGAAAAAATAATAACAGTAATAAGGAAAACAACGTCGTCGCCGTACGTGCTCGCTTAGTGCGCAAAAAACAGGTGCAAACGTTAATACTCCAGCGCCCGACTTGGGGTCCCTCCGCCGGCGTTGTCTTAGGAGCCATAAAAGTTTAGTGCCGCTTTGTTCCAGTGGGCGGGAGGCGGTTGCCGATGCAAATGAGACAAGGGGGTTTCGCCAAGTGCCTAATAAAACAAAGTCTCTTCCCCTTCCCCCCCCCTACAGCAGCCGCCGCCGCCGGGGCCTGTTGAAATATTGTCGAAATCCAAAAATGATCATTTTTTTCCCTTACCGGCTCCCCGGTGCCCAGCAACACGTCCGAGGAGCTTTTCTCGCTCAGGGCTCCTGTATACATGGAGGAGGGGCACGATCACAGTTTTCTTACAGTGTCGCCCTCCCCGCCAAAAAAACCGTGTACGTGTGACCGCGTATGACTCCAACACGAGGGACAAGTAGAAAATGCCAAATAAAAAAAAAAAATAAATGAAAAATGGAAAAGGCCCATCGGCGGCGTCGAGAGCTTCGCCTTAACGATAACGAAGCGTGCACAATAACCAACCCTCGTCGGCTATCCACTTTGAATATCTATGAGTTACGATTATCGGCACTCGGCGTTTACAACCTGAGTGCATGCAAATGCCAAATTATCAACGGTTTGTGTGTGTGTGTGTGTGGCGATTTACGTGCAATCTCTAAGAGGCGACGGCGTGTAAAATGCTAACGAAAAATACCAGTGTATCCGGTTTACGACCGTCTCGTCCAAATCGACTTTGGCTCTTCTTTATGCGGCTCTGTCTCGAATGGCAAATAATTATTGTTGTCGCGTATAATGTCTCAACTTTAAACGCACACAAAACGCGTCTATATTCGCCTGGTTTGGTACCACGTGGGGTAGAGAAAAAAACCGGTTTCCCATATTTTCAGTTTTTATACTCATACTACACATAAAGTTTGTAATATTCGCAAGAAAATCAATAATATCAGTGTATTTCTCGCCCGCCGAACTCAATGAAACCTCAGAAGAAATATGCAGAACGTCTTATTTCGGTCAAAAAACGATTTCCCACTTTAGTAATCGACACAATGTATGCATTTTCTATAAGGATAATTCTCGAGCGGTGCAAATACTCGTACGAGTACATAAACAGTATTAATAAAGAAAAAAATGTAATTATATCAACTGTTCTGTGGTATTCTGAACTGCTGTTGAAAATGAGGTAAGTGTATTATTCAATGTAATGTCTAATGGTACATAAATCATCTACACTTTTGAGCTTTACAATATCCAGAACTGAATAATCCGTAACGTTAAAAGGTTCGCCTTCTTATAGCAAGAAGATAACAGATTTTAATAACCTACTGATTACCTGCTTGAAATATGAATATTATATAGTTTTTTTTAATACATATTCACGGCTATTTAAAAAAAAATATTACAATATACAAACGAAATAAAGTTTTAGCATAAGAACTTTTGTATTTTAATTAAAATGTGCCGTTAAGTTTTCTACAATAAAATATTTATCATTGTGCACTTTTTACTCCGATGAGGGCTAGAGTAAGGTATGATTCAAGTTACATATTATATTGTTTATCATTTTTTAATTATCGGTATTAATATGTAGCTCTATTGGCTAATCGGATTCAGACATGTTAAACAGGAATCTACTGGATATATTTATATTCTAATCTCGATTTGGCAAGCCCGAATTATGTGCTCTTTAAGCCCTGCGACATAAAACCACTATCCTTGACATTAACTGACTAATATCAATGATAATATTTATGCAATATTGAAAATAATTATTGTTTAAATATTATTTAAGTACATATTATAAATTAACAAATGACCATGGAGACGTCGACAACCATAGGTCCCAAGATACAATGCTCATTTTTATTTTCAACTGGTATAAAGTTAAAGAAAAATGTGTACAGCTATAACGGAGTTTGAAAAGTATCTCGGGAGTGTGATATGAGTCAGGTATTTGTACGCTGAGCATTATGTAAATTTTGCCCAAAACTACTGTGGATTTATCGGATAAACATGAAACTATTTTTGTAGTTAAATTTAGCTTGAACAATTTCGGTGAATTTTAATGCTACGATTACCGTATTCAAATGACGAAGTTATTTAAATATTTAAGTAGTCTAAGAATATTTTATTTAAAAAAAAAATACTGCCTCGGAATTTCTTCATTCTGGAAATTTTACTTTTGAAACGTTCATATTTAATTTAATTGTCTAGTTAATGATTGTTTTTTTTAATCATACATTTCCTATGAAAACAGATAATTAATTATTTTAAAAGTATGCGCTCGTATATTTTTCATTTGAATAAAACACATTCTTATCGCCGCTATCTTATGTATGGTATGAGCCATTAAGTGTTAACAATATGACTGTTAATAAACAAAGTCTAAATACCACCGTCCGCCGCGAAATATGGTGTTTAATTATGCTTTAAAATTTTGGCGCGTTAAACGTTTGAAAAAGTCACCCTACGTATTATTAATATTATTGTTTTTTGTCGTACGTACTCGAGCACTTAATCCTTTACTGCACAATGTTTAGGAACAATTAAAAATTTGGCGTTTTCTACAAAACTAAAACTAAAAAAAATTAAAATTTTTTTTTAATTTAAGCAGTATTAAGTAGTACTTACTTAATAATACCCTTCGCTGCATGTTTTATTTTTGTTCGAAAAAAATGCTGTGAAGGTTTAAGTTGTGATTTTCATTCTGGCCCTTATTTATCGGCAATGGCCATACGAATTATTGTCCTTTGGTTGTTTTTTAATAAGCACGTTTACGTGGACGACAGTACGAAAATGAATAACATCCTGCGAGAAGATCGTGTGTATAATATAAACGGATGGCGGTATAATAAATCATTTTGGTAGTGATGAATTCCCGCTCACAGTTACACGATGTAAGTAGCATATCAATTTCAGAGGGATTTGCTCGGGCGCGGCCGTAGTTGTCGCGCAGGTACTTTTTTTTTCAATTTTGACAAAGTAAGACCGATCTGGGACGTGCAGTGTAGTTAATTCGTTAAAAACGACCGGCCGTCCGCGGTGATGTGCAAGCATGAAATTACACGGGTTTCTACGGCTAATTGATGGATGTTTGCCTTGGCCGCCCGGCACGGGCTCTCGGTTAGCTCGCGTCGAACTGTCGTACTTAGGCGTCTGACGGATGGGTAATCGATTTTTGACTAAAAAAACAGGCAACTGTCCTCGTTCGGCGTGTGTATGTGTTTATAACCATGACAAATGACGTGCGATGAAAATGTGTCGCTGAAAATTCATCTTCCCTGTCCTGCCCCCGACTACCCCCCTGGCATGCCTGGTAATTTTAAAAGTTTTCCACGCTCACCCGTTCGTTTCTTCCAAAACGGTTATGACTCTTTCCGCCCGTCGCGCTAATTACAAAACAATCGTACACTTGATTCATGACCCAACATTGCGCCGAAGACGCGGTACCACTCAGCACTGTTGCAAATCAGACGGATCGGATGATGTTTGCCATTAAGCCTCGCACAACAATACCGACGTGACGTGGCCCGCAGACAACAGCTGCAGTCAGTGACGGATTTAGGGAGGGGGAAGCGTGTTAAGTATTATATATTTTTATATCAACATCGTGTAATGACATATTACCATGTAGTCCCCATGTGACAATACCGTTTGAATACCCTTACGAGACTTTCTAAAGGTAATACCTTTATGTACAAGACCTTTCTAAACTAAAAATTATAAATGTTTGCTTACCCCTAATTTATACATTGTACATACCTAATGGAGATACCTATTAGCACAAAAAATCCTAGCTCCACGCCTGGCTGTAAGCACTTATTTTAAGCCCAGACTAATTAATATCTTGGGGAATATCTCAGTGCGCGGATAAGAACACAATTAATATATTTTTTAATATTATAGATTGGAGAAAAACAAGGACTGGAGTGGTTTTATTTTCGGAACAAGCGATAACGACAAATGTGAGGGTGCTAAAGGACCCCCTTACAGTCCCATCGCCGGATTAAGGGTGGAAATTCTTTGATGATTTTTCCATATTTTCCCGTTTATAGTCGAGTCTGGTTTTATACGTTTCTCAGTAGACCTCGGGGAAGTTTTATTACTTTATAGCTTTAGACAGTTAAGTACTACATTCCCGACACGACACCTGTGTTCGTCGCATCGACGAAAAAGCAGTGAGCCCTAGACTACTCTAAACAACGCCTTCGCTCATTTTATAATATGTTTACAAAAATTGTAAAAAGTATTTCTTACGGGCGGAAACAAAGTAGCCGACTATCGTATACGGTATATTATGGCGGTTGTCGATCGCAAGTTTTTAAAATAAATTTTCGGCGTATTACTATACTATACATAGTTTGGTCTGCCTTGGCATTCCACCGTGATATGACGCTCGCGTTGTGTTATTAAAGGCTTTTTCCGCTAAGAGTTCATAAAAGTATTCTCAGCCCGAGCTCTCGAGTGAACTTCAAGTGATGGTTTTTGACTTGGAGTTGCGCTAAAAGTTTGGTCACGTTTTTCTGACATGTCCTGGAAATCTGACAGATCTAATTACTCGAGTGCGCATACCGGGGATAATAATTAAACAGGGTTTCTTTTTGAAACTAGGGCGTTATTAATGTATACCGGTACAGTGTACTTCTCAGAACGAAATGTCTTAAAGAAATGTATACAGTTAAGCATTTAATGGCCATCTGACGTTTTGTTAAAATAATTATTGGATTCCACTAAACTCACAAGCCCGAAATCCGAATTAATGTTGTTTTATAATTGATCATTTTTAGT